GGCGTTTAGAAAGAATCTGTACAAGGGTGGCGGAGGCCTCTGGTTCACGGAGGCGGGGTTGGAGGGTGTACCCAGAGCAGAGATGGAGAGATGGAAGGTTGGAAGGGGAGACGTACCAGAGGAAAGGGGCAAGAGGTTTGTCACCCTGGAAAGGGCGGATTACGATGCCGTGCTGCGATATGCGCGTGATCCGGAGACGAGGAGGCGGGTGTACGTCGCGTTTGATAACCGGTTTCCTGAAAACATGCCGCCGTTCAAGGAGATGCTTGTCCTACGAGATGAGAACGCGAGGATGTTGGGGTATGGGAGTCACGCGGAGTTCCGGATCGAGAGGAGGGTTGCGCCGTCGACTGAGTGGGTTGAAGAGTTCTTGGAACGGTTGAGAAAGGGATTGGAGCCTCGGGGAAGGGAAGAGATGGCGAGGATCGCGGAGAGGAAGAGGAATGAGTTGGGGATTGTTCGTGAAGAAAGTGATGAAAAGGAGGGGAGGATTCTGCCGTGGGATTATGAGTACTATACGAGGCTTCTTGAGGCAGAGGCGGACGTTGATCAGGAGAAAGTTTCCGAGTATTTCCCCCTGAATCATACGTTATTGGCCATGTTGGGTTTGTTCTCAGAGTTTCTGGGTCTTGAATTCGAACCCGTACCGGAGAGCGATCTAGTTGGGAAGATCTGGGACAAGGAGGTACAGGTTTGGGCCGTCTGGGAGGGAAGAGGGGAGAGAAAGGGAGAGTTTGTGGGGTACCTGTACGCCGACGTTCTCTGGAGAGAGGGGAAATACCGGACGGCGTGCAATGTCAACCTCCAATGCGTACGTTGCCGAGACCTGTTCTCCTTTGGGTTCGTTCCATCAAGAAGAATCACTGACTGGTAAACAGGGTTACTCGAAGAAGAATGGCACCAGAGTCTACCCTGCCACGGTGCTCATGTGTGCCTTCCAGCCCCCTACAGCCGCGTCTTGTGCGCTGTTGAAGCATCGCGAGGTCGTGACATTGTTCCACGGTACGCCTGAACCAGTTCAGTCCCCTTCTTCGTCCCTTTTCTCTCACATTGTCATTCTGAAATATGATTCGCCATACACTCATTTTCTGCGCCCGTCCGATGGGAATGATTATTGCTCACACCGCACACGCAGAGCTGGGTCACGGGCTTCACGATCTCATATCCCGCACAAAGCATACCCGCTTCCACGGGACGCGTGTGGCACCCGACTTTGGCGAGGCGCCGAGCACGATGTTGGAAAAGTGGTGTTGGATGCCGGGAGAGCTTGTCAAGATGGGCCGGCACTACACGCGCGTCGATCCGGCGTATATGGCAAAGTGGAAGGAAGACCATGCGGACGGCGAAGAGCCCCCGCCGGAAATGATGCCAAAGGAGTTGGCGGAGAAGTTGGTCCAGAGTCGAGAGCTGAACCGGGGTCTATGGTTCCTAAGGCAGCTGTAAGTTTTCTGTCTTTCCTAACCTTTCTTTTATTACCTTGTGTGATTGGTTTGGTGATATGATGGACTGCTGACACGGAACAGGGTATTTGCCACGTTTGATATGATGGTGAACAATCAAGAGTCAACCGAGGCCCTGAGAGAGCTGGACGAAGTGAAGCTCTACAACGACCTTCAGGATGCCATGACACTCAGGCCGAATCCTGGTAAGAGAGGGTACGGACTGGTTCACTCCACGCATCTCATCGAGCTCTATGATGCGGGTTACTATGCCTACATGAGGTATGTTTGCTGCATAGAATCATTTCTACAATCTCATCCAGAGTTCGACGGGAGCTGAGGCCCTCTACCAATGACTCAAGTCCCGTCACTACAACTTCCAAGTGCAGTGCTGACTTACCACGACCAAGCGCCCAAGCATTCGCGGCCTCGTTCTTCGAGTCGTGCTTCGCCAAGGATCCCCGCAGTCCTGAAGCCTGGGACCGGTACCGAAGAGGAATCCTCGAGCACGGGGGCAGCAGAGACGAAATGGAGATGATGAAGGAGTTTCTGGGTCGGGAGCCCGGGCCGGATGCGTTGTTGAGAAGTCTCGGGTTATTGAAGGGTGATGGGAGTGATGTTGAACCTGCGGCGGCATCGACTTGAAACCATTTGCGATGAGTCTCATGGCACTACCATCTTTGGTATTTCTTCGAGAAAAGATATTGAGTGTGGGATACGACGATTGTTTGAGAATAATTATTGGATCGAGTCGCGGCTGAAGTTGCTCTCAATTCAGACTGAGACTAAAGCTCGCATTAGAGAGCTCAGCTGACCTGCTTGTCCTGCGTCTGCTCAGGTACCACCGCTCCGAGACAGTCTCAATAGACCCTGCTGTCTCTTGCTCACAGTGTTTCTGGCTCTGTCAAGGCCCAATAGTAAGCAGATCAGGTATCGGATACAGTATGTTGCGCAGGCAGCCCCTTTTCTGGGGTGTTAGAAAACTGAGACCGCAATTCAATACGAGACTTGACAGTGTTACTTTTGTCATTGGCTCAATCTAGTGAGACATCTTTCGTGCTCATCACATTTGCCTTTGCGGGTGCCAACGGTGTTACTGAACCATAATCCCACGATAGCTTCATGTTCAGCTGGTGTTTCTGGGTCTCATTCGTTGGTATCCGCTCATGCTGACCGTGCCACATTCACCCAATATTGCTCGAACTGGCTCAGCTGGCTCATATTGGGACCAGTGAGACCGCTCGACGTGTCCCGCATTTGGGATCCTACGATAGATAAAAAGCGACTGCCCGTCTGCTTCAACTCGTCTCCATGTCCCGCTCAATCCCCACTTAGCCATCAAGAACTCAAGAGTTACGATCAAATCGTCAACATGAAGTTTATCATAGTCGCCTTCGTAGGCTTCATCTCCTTTGTCGTTGCCCAGAGGTGCAACGCCGACAACTGCGCCCGCAGAGTGACCGGCACCTTCAGGGCCGCCGGCGTCCCGGACGTTACAAGCCGCGGCTTAGACTGCTCCTCTTACATGCAAACCACGATCATCCCGGACACGTTGTAAGTGCCACGAACTAGAAGCAGCCCGAGTCATATTCACGGACGCCAGCTCTAACATGATCATTTACTAGCACTTCAACCGTCACAACCACAATCTACACCGACAATATCCCCCTTACCCCAACCACTACCTTCTCCCAGTCTACAACCCGCGCCCCAGTCACGCAATTCCCAACCTCAGTCCCATCCTACGCAGCCGTCTCCTGCACCAGCACCAGCGCCTACTCCTCAGCCTGCAGCTGCTGGGGCTACAACCCGTCTATAACAACCCTCCCCGCGCCAGTCGCCACCGTCACGGCAACCCAATACGCCAACCCAGGCTGCCGCGGCGCCCGCGACTGCCCCTTTGACGGCGTGAACCTCTATCAGTGCCCCGGCGGCGGTGGAAAGCTCTGCACCTGTCTTCGCGAGGTCGATAGGAACTTGGACGAACCGAGTCGGAGGCAGGTCTGCGTGGAGAGTAAGGGATGTAACGAGGCCAGGACGTGTACTTCGTCGAGCAGCTGCAGCGCGGGCGAGGCGTGCGTGTGGAATTACTGCTGTGAGCGGCAGCGGAGGAGGATTTGTCTCAAGTATGCGCCTTTGGCGTGTGGGAACCCGACTCTGCCTAGAAATATCTTTGAAGAGCGGCGGGAGGTGGTTGAGGGCCGAGGTGGCGGGATGGTGTGAGCTTGGTTGACGATGCTTAGAGTATCCTCAAGGTCATGAGACGGCGGGATGAGATTCCTCGAAATCGTATGAGGGCTTCTGTTTGAGGGACGACTGAGGGACGTTGTGTCGGCGAGTGATAACCAGACAGACGAGAATGCCCAAAAGATTTCTGGCTAGCCGTAGGGAGCAGGATAATAGCAGAATTTCAAACCCACTCGCTTCCCAGTCCAAAACTTCAAACATGCACTTTTGATGATGCCCTCACCTCCCCTTCCACCTCACCCGACTAGCATACTGCGCAAACCTCACAACCTCCTCCTGCTCAAGCAACAACTCCACAGTGTAATACTGCCTCGCAAGCTCCTCATGCCCCGCGAACCGATGCACAAAAGAGTGACACAGCCGACACAGCCACGCGACGTTGTTCAGCTCCTCCTCGCGGTGCCACCCGCGCTTGACGACCTTGTCGTGCACCATGCGCGGGATGAGGTGATGGTACGTCAACCCGATCCAGTCCCGCCCGCACAACTCGCACCCCTCCACGGAATCCCGCGTCGAGCGCGGGGGAGGCGGCGGCGCGACGAGGGCGGAGATGTACTCTGTCAGCACGGGCGCCAGGAACTCGTGGGCGCCTTGCTTCGCTGGGTCGACGATATGGTAGGCTGCCAGCGAGTCCGCGACGTCTGGGGATAGAGTGGGTAAGAGGTCTGCTACGTCGGCGCCGGTGAGGGGAAGGGGGAAGCGGGATTGCAGGAGGGATGGGTCGGCTGTATGGGCTGCGTGGGACAGGGATTTGAGGTCCGGGGGAAACGAGTCAAAGGTTTCGGAGGCGAGGTAGGATGTGAAATCGATCATGTCGTCTGCGTCCACCTGAGTGTTATCATCGTCGTCGCCGGTGCCGCCGCCGCTGGTGACGGCTGAGGGCCCATCATCATTTTGAGAATTGGGTGGCCGGCGAGGGTTCGCCTTCTTGGAGCGACGCTTTGGTTTCGGCGCGGGTTTTGTCACGCGTTCTACGACGGCGGCAGAGAGGCAGTCTCGTAATGTTTCAAACTGGGGTGAATCTTCATCAGAACTTCTCATTGTCTCATTTATGGTAGTGAGTTTGGATTCTGTGAGGTGAGATCCTTTTCATGAGAAGCGTGAGTGAGATGAGGTGAGGAGAAGTGAATCGATGACGTTGAGTCGACGTTGCTTTTCGGAGCTCACCTCACGATCCGTCTGGACGGAGGGCGGGCGATTTTAGGGCACTTTAGCGTGTGTCTGTGGGGAGCGGGGGGCCCGGGTATAAGTGAGCATCCCCTCCCCCGCGTTTGTGGTGACGGAAGCCGACTGAGAGGCGTTCGGACGACATTTCTCACATCTAACCATCGTGGCTTTCATTTTGCGAGGTCTTCGTTCAATATTCATCTCGTAGTATTCAGCATCAAAATCACGGCTTTGACACAGGCAAGTCTGGGCCATTGAGCGACATGGCGCAAGACAAGCCCAAGACAATCATCGCTTTTGATCTATACGGCACTCTCCTATCGACCGAATCCATCGCAAAGCAACTCGCAGAGCTGTACGGCGACGAAGATGAAGCAAAGACCCTCGCGGCGCAGTGGCGGCGATACCAGCTCGAGTACACATGGCGTATCAACAGCATGGGTTCGTACCGCATTCAGAATCTTATAAGGCATAAAAAAGGTAATGATAGACTAAGACAACGAGACACATCTAGGCACATACCGACAATTTTCCGACATCACACGCGCAGCGCTGAAGCATGCCATCGCGGAGAGAAAGAAGCCATCTCTCTCAAAAGAGGACGAGGACCGTCTGATGGAAGCCTACAACGGTCTTCAAGCCTTCCCGGATATTGAGTCGGCGATGCGCATTGTCGAAGGCGACAGCTCCATTGACGCGTATGTGTTTTCCAACGGAACGGATGACATGGTCGGCGCATCCATCAGAACCTGTCCCGAAATCAACCAACGCAAGAGCCGCATCTTTGGATCTGAGAAGTTGGTGACGGTGGAAGGGGCACGCTGCTTTAAGCCCGCTCCGGCGACGTACCGGCACTTTGCGGAGAAGGTGGGTATGACTGGTAGAGAAGGCGACATTTGGCTGGTGAGTTCAAATCCGTTTGACGCACTTGGAGCGAGAGCGGCCGGGTGGCAGTCTGCGTGGATCGACCGGGCCGGGACGGGGTGGATTGATGCACTGGGAAGCGTCATTGACACCGAGCCGACAATTGTCGCTCAAGGGGTTGATGAAGCTCTACAGAGAATTGCGGAGCTCGCAAACTAGCCATGAGGAAAACAGCCGCTTGAGATTGTAGATCTGGCAAGGTTTCTCATTGCCGCCTCGGTGTCGCTTTGCAAGACGGAGAAAAGAATTCACTTCAAGCATCATGCTGGACCCCAAGTATCCACATCACGTTGGCAACGGTTTCTGAGCTTATTTCAAGCCGGAGCACAGTGCTAGTCCTATTTCCCAAACTTTCAAACACTGGAATAGATCACCATGACGACATTGATGTCATTCAGACTGGGAATTCGTACTCAATGGGCCCGTCGCATCAAGATACCTAGGATACGCAAGCCGATTCACAAGCGAAACAGTCAAACGAGTCTCAACCTCCGGCCTCCGGCTGCAACTGCAATGCACGTTTCTATCGTTGATGATGACGATGGATGCGAGAATGATGCCACGTAGACAACAAGCTTAAAAGTTTAGTGCCTATTCGGCATGTTATGCCGTAGTCGGGTCTTGACCCTTGAAGCCTTGGACGTGGATGAGATGGGCAAGGTTGACAGTCATTTCGGCTAGTTTTGCCGCATCGGGAGGAAAGCGCGCGCTGATGTAATTGTACTCTGTGTCTTCCACGACGAAGCTGTGTTCAATGTTTAGCAATCGTTGTTGCATCCGCGGAGGGGAGAGACACGAACGGTCGGTTGGGCATCCAGCTGCTCTTGAACTGACTGGGATCTTTCACCACTTTGCGCATCTGACACAATAAGCACTTGAAAAAGTCGTCCTCCGTAATCTGAGCCGTATACTTACCGAATCCTCGACATTCTCTGTGCCCGCACCGTACGTCTTGTAGTAGTCGCCCAGAAATAGCCTGGTTCCATGATACGCCAGCGACTCGAAGCATCCGGGGAGGGCCGTCGTCGTGCAGTGATACAGAACACTGTTGCCGTCCTGGCCCTTAGTGTTGCAAAGCACCAGCGGACCGTGGCAGATAGCCGAGACAATCTTTTTGCCCGGCTTCTTGGTCTGGGGAAAGTAATCGGCCAGCAGCTTCTGCGCGGTGGTCGAGTCCATGAGCTGCCTGACTTCCTTGTCGTGACCGCCGGGAATATGCACAATGTCAAAGTCATCGAGCGTAAAGCCCACCGATGTCCAGGACAGGGGGTTCTGCATTTCGGCAGATTTGACCATCGTACCGTAAAGCTTTATCGTGGAGGCCGCGGCGCCCTGTTAGACGGGTAGCAGGTCAACTCTATTGCATCACCAGATTGCCATGCCTCGGCGGATGGGGGAAAGGCGGGATATTGGCTAGGGGAGGAATTTGCAAGCGCTCATGGTGCAATTTTGTTGACGTCGAACAATGACGACGTTTGCAACATCTTGAGAAAGAGAGTCATCGTACAAGAAACTTCTGGGAAAGGCCCTCGAGCATGCGAGCATCGCAGCGGGGCGTTGAGCCCGTTTCGGTCGCAAAGTTTACGTCGAATCCTGCATCTTTGAAGGCCTGGTAGGGGATAGCAACCTCTGCGAAGCAAGAAGGGAGAGATTAGCTTTGTGGTTCGTAACGCAGATCCCATTGAGTAAGGGTTTTGCCATGTTTGGACGATTGGAGCTGGTGCGGGGCCAGAGGATTAGGGGGATGGAGATGGAGTCTGACAAGGACCGGGACGATGTCGGGGACTTGGCGTTGAGGGGACGGGCGAGATAGGATGGGTGGGCGAGCGGAAGGATGATGAAGATCACCTGCCTGTGGGATCATGGCCGTAGTCGGCCATGATGATGAGGACTTTGACCATATTGGTGACTCTTGAGTGTGTATTACCGGCAGCGATAGATTGAAGCCGAACGAGAGCAACGATGATGGTACGAGCTGGACGAGACGACACGACACGGTTGGCGTTGAAGGATCTGAATCGTCTGAAGTTGGCTGACAGGGAGAGACGTGGGAGTGATCAACGCGGGGTTGGCAGATCACCGTGGCCGACGAATTGTACCGTATGGCACGGCACACACGGATAGGTACTCGTTGGTGCGTGCCGCATGGCCGGAACAAGCGAGACAGGTTGACATCAGCGTTGAACTCTGAACGTTTGAACAGCAAGTCAGTCGTCAGCTTATTTCTTTGCACATTTGCTGCCCAGGAGCTTGGCTTGCATTCCGCGTCGGCAATCCTCGCATGCCTCTGCTGACTCGTTAGGGTTGTTGTTGGCTGCTGTAAACAGAATTAATCTCGTAGACGTGTGTATCTGATTTGATATTGCGTCTCAGGCGAGATGAAGAAATGAAGAAACGGCTCGAAATTGACGGACGGACTGAAAGGACTGTGCTTCATGTGCTTGATCAAATTGATGCGTCCGTGAACAAATTCCCGGTTCCAAGTTGGACATTGGATGAGCGGACCCTGAAGCAACCCGACATGAGGCAGGCAGGGCCCAGAGTCAAGGGGCAGGCAAGGGCAGAGGCAAGGGCAGGCAAGCAAGGAAGGCACACCATACCTACACAGTAAATGTCCGTGTGCCCGGTTCCTGCCCCTAACTTCTTGAGTACGTACCTCAAGTGGTAACGGAGATGCAGCGCTAACGCAACGGGGACCCGTCAAAAGCGGACCCCCTCTCGACGTCATCTCTGCCAGACTTTTTCCGTCTCTCCCCCTTACTGCGTACGTCTGCGCCTTACTTTCCGTTTACCTGATACCTGACTACCTTACGGATACCTCAAGGCTCAAACTCTTGTTCATCTTTCCATCTCCCCGTCAGCCCGAGTCTGCCTTGTCTACTTTGTCTGTTACTCGTACGGCTTGGATGTGCCGTTGCACGGATATCTGATTCTCATCTCATCCTTGCTTACTTTACCTTACGGATTCGTGGCACATGCAGTTACATCTGCACACATTCATTCTGTCTGTACCTCGCAGTAGGCCAGTCACAATGCGGTTACCAAAATGCAGACTACCCCAGTGCCAAGCGGCTGATGCGAACCTTGACACCAGGCTTTCATCCTGACATTCTCTGCACGACTAATGGCCACCATTCCACACATACACTACACAAGTATCCGTAGCTAGATACAGGGCGGACAGCTCACCTAGCTACAGCTCCAACGATATTCAAGCTTTCACCAGTCTCCATAACGCATGACATCGTGGCCCTCTTGGCCCCGTCAGTACCGGCACCAAGTCCACTCCAACCCGCACATCCTGCCCTTCTCATCCAGTGGGCCCGCCGGTTTACGCAACCACGCCAACTTAGTCTCCCCGGACTCGCTCCCCGGATAGGAAGAAGCAGGCGCAAGCGCGCTCTCGAGTCTCTCTCATGTAATTACACACTAACACCCTACCTACCGGTACGGAGTACAGAGCACTTCGTCCCCTTGCCCTCTCCCATGTATCCGTACCGAACCCTTGCTGCCAGACTCCCGGCAGCTCGGAAACTCATAGCTCGCCTAGATAAGGCCACTATGACCCGCCGTTGTGGACAGTGACGACAGTCTGGGCCCTTCGTTTCTTGATATATGCCCCCTTCCTGCCACGCCAAGTCTCCGCGCCCGTTCTCGTTCTCGTCACTCTTCATCGACACACTTCACCCACCCATTCCACCGTCCATCCCATCTCCAAATCACGCCCACACGCACGCACACGCACACGACGATGAATCTCTCACTCGACAAGACGACGCCTGCCAGCAATCTTCTCTCGGAGCAGGTCCAGCTCGGAGGCACCTACGTTGACACTGTTGTCGAGATATCCGAAGAGCTGTTTCACATGAAGGAGCTTCTACCGCTAGTCAAGCTCCTGACCCTGGTCTACAAGATGCGCTCACCAAACGCTGATGAGGAACATCACATGAACACCCTTTTACGGACATTGTCAGGCGATAACCTCAACAAGATAACTACGGACCGGCATCCCGAAGGATTCACCAGAGACGAGATTATCAAGTCATTCAGCAGATTTCTGAGCCCAGTTCTCAACGGTCTCACTGGCCTCGGCGATTTCGAGCAGGCCGTGGGCGCTGGCGAAGACCCTGACTCATTCCGCCAATTCTGGGCTCTCGACGACAGAAATCTGCTCTCCGACGCCGCTTCAGGCAGAGGCCCCCTCGCCGCAAGCACAGAACCCATCATCCCATTCCTCGAGACCTTTATCAAGGACCGCAGTCGGCGCATAGCCTTGACTCAGGATCACGGCGCCCTAGTGCTGGTTCCCAATCAAACGAGGCCCGGCGATGAGATCTGGATGATGTCCCGCGCATCGTCCTTGGTTGTCGTGCGAAGACTTGATCAGCCGGAAGACTCGACGACAGACCTGAGCGTCCTAGGCGATGCTTACAGCCACGGGTTTGTCAAGGGTAAGCCGCCACGGGGCTGCAAGCGTCAGGCTTACGACGACCTGGAATTCTTGACATCGTCCGTTGCTGTTGGCCTCGCCGGCGGTGTGCCGAGGTAGAAAGTCGTTTACTGAGCTATCTTATTTACAAACCATCTGCCGATGCAACTTCGCCATGGTGGGCACGAGACTGCAAGAGCAACACAGCTTTCAATAGTGCAATCTCTCAGCATCAGCCACCTGGTTCGAAGGATAGTCAAGCCTCGTTCTGCGCCATGAGCCGATGGAAATCCTCCCGCATGCCCTTGTCGCTGTGGCTGCATCGGATCGCAACATGTATACTTTTGTACAACAACAAACCCGAGGAGCAAAAGTCCCTCGATGAATCAATCAGCGCCAGGGGCAACAGCCAGGGTCATCACCTCGTTGACTCAAAAGGCAGCATTCTGCAGCATTATTTCTTTTATTGCCTTGGAGGGTGGAAAGCTTTGTTACATCTACCACCCAACGCCTCTCCTTGGCATTGGGTTCTGGAAACGGGAGTTTGGGAAACTGGGAATCACGGAATTAGGAAAGGAAAGAAAAGGCAACACAGAACAACACTGGCGTACCATGGGATTCTCTTCGAAAAAGAAATTGGGATTTGCGTTCTGACACTCATCACTTTAGAGGCATTATTAGATACCCCAACTTGAATCTTTTATTAAATTGAACTTTGACGAAACGGTGAATTTGATGCAATCTCGTCTATCGCGAACCTACTCAGGTACTGTGGTCATTGTGGAAGGTGGCTTAATTTCCCGGGATGATGTGTTGACAAGTGACAACCCCCCTTGGGCCTCCAATCCCAAATGGGGCCCCTGAATCCTCCTGAGCTATCCGTATCCTACGGAATGGTCAATAGGGCTCTAGCGAACCTTAAAGCGACCTAGCTTATCACGAATGAGGTAAATAAAAGACGTAGGTTTCCGTACGGAGCGTCGGATACGGAGTCAATGCTTACGCGGGAGCCTAAATCGGAGCGGACCTCATTCGCTAACGGCGCCGTTTGTTCTTTCACTGCGTCTCAAAATATCTCTGCTTAAATACTCGGGACAACTTTCTTTCACCAAAAGTCTAAACATTCAATTCAGCCGCGCACCGTCGCACGCGGAAACCGTTGGTGAAATTGCACTTTGTGCCACGCGACGACGGTGTCGACGGTGGGAGGCGTTTTTTTAGATTACTTGGGCAACTCTGCAACCCCTCGCAGCTGGCACCAAGTGGAACCCGGCGTGGCTGACACTCCCGAGACATTCAGCGGCTGGTGACATATCTTGCACATTCAACATCGAGTTTGAGTTGCACAACATGGACGGAATCTTGGCTTACGTCCTGAGGTCTTTCACGGCGGCCATCTTTGTGGCCGCCGTGGGATCGGTGTTATACTTTATTAAGCTCCTGAGGAAGCACCGGGGCAAGATGGCCGAGCTGAGGAAGCAGGGACTGGTGAGTTCTCCTTCGCCCTTCTTATCGCGCTCCATCACGTTATGAGAGACTATCATGAAAGTCCACATCAGACTAACCACAAAACACAGCCAATCGTCCCCCACAGCTTCCTCTTCGGCAATCTCCTCGAGGCCAAGAAAGCATTCGACACCCTCCCGCCGGGCGTCCACGCAAACTACGCCCTCGCCCGCCTGGGCGAGCTCCACGGCAAGAATGGCGCCTACTACATCGACACCTGGCCCATGGCCGACCCGATGCTCGTCGTCACAGACCCGGACATGGCCCACCAGACGGTCTACCACCCGGTCGCCGGCTCCCAGAAGCCCCCCATGCTCGTCGGCTGGTTCCACCCCATCACCGGCGGGCCGAGCCAGTTCGACACAAACGGCCGGCCGTGGAAGAATCTCCACGCCCTCTTCAACCCCAGCTTCAGCAACCAGAACATCACCGCCGCTGTGCCCATCATCCTGGGCAATATTGCCACTTTCACCGACCGGCTGCGCGCCAGGGTCTCTCTCAACTCCTCCGGGGGCAGCGGCGGTGGTGGTAGTGGCGAGGGCGACATGTTCAGGCTGGAACCCCTAATGCTAGATCTCATCACCGACGTCATCGGCGAAGTCCTCCTCAACGTCCGCCTCGAAACCCAGAAACAGCAACACCCCCTCGCTGAGGCAATGAAGGGCCAGCTCCGCCTCAAATTCACCTCCCACAAGCCCGAGAACCTCCTAGCCCCCATCGACCCCTTCCTCCTCTTCCGCACCTGGAACGGGGGGCGCATCCTCGACAACCACATCAAGCACCAAATCAACGCCCGCTTCGCCACCCTTCTGCAGAACAAAGCCCACAACCGCGACAAGTCGGAAAACTTCCAATCCGTCCTCGACAGCGCCCTCGAGAACTGGCTCGCGCAACCCGGGAACACCGGGCGCGAGGAGCTCGACGCGGCCTACCTCTCCCTCATGACGCGCAACATGCGCATGTTCTTCTTCGCGGGCTACGACTCCTCCGCCGCAACGATAGTCTACTGCCTGCACAACATCGCCTCCCGCCCTACCATCCTAGCCCGCGTCCGCGCAGAACACGACGCCGTCCTCGGCACCGACGTCTCCGCGGCACCCGCCAAAATCGCGGAAACCCCGGCCCTGCTCAACGCCTTACCCTTCACAAACGCCTGCATCAAGGAGTCCCTGCGCCTCTTCCCACCCGCGGGCGGCATCCGCCAGGGCTGCGCGGATCTAGTCCTGCACGACGCCGAGGGCAACGCCTACCCGACCGACGGCATCGCCGTCAACATGCTGCACTGGGCCATTGGCCGGAACCCGCGGTACTGGGCCCGGCCGGACGAGTTCGTACCCGAGCGATGGCTCGTGACGGATCCGAAGGACGAGCTGTACCCGCCCAAGGGCGGCTGGCGGATCTTCGAGTACGGGCCGCGGTTGTGCGTTGGCCAGCAGCTTGTTATGACGGAGGCGAGGGCCGTGTTGGCGTGCGTGGTGCGGGAGTTTGATATCCGGGATTGTTATGGCGAGATTGACGGCGGTAAAGGGAAGATTGATACGAGCGGGTTGGGCGGGCAGAGGGTTTTCATGGTGGAGGCGGGCGCTGCGCATCCTACGGATGGGTATCCTTGTAGAGTGTCTTTGAACGGGTATGGGAAGTGAGCGGTCTTACACAAGTTCCTAACTAAAATCAAGCACATTTATCTTGCTCTTTTACATGCTCATGTTTGTGTGCCTTCGCTCGCGTCAAACCTTAATTTCTTTGGCGTGGAAACGATTGCCTATAAAGGGGATGAGGTCCTAGCAGTCGAATGGAGAGAAGCGATTTGCGGTAAGAGAATTAGGCTTCCGTAAAGAGAAAGGCTCTCAATGTCAGCAAGCAAACCAAGTCAAGAACGCTGACGTGGGATCCATATTCTCTCGAAGTCAAGACCATGGGCCTCACGTGTGATTCCCGTGCAAGGCGCACTTGCACTCGGACCTAACCATGGGAGACACCTTTGCATGACAAGACCAGTCAGGGGAAAATAATTGTAACGCAGTGCAATTCTTTTCAGTAATGTGTCTTTTTAAAAAAGCGAGAGTGATATATAATCAAGCCGTGGCTCGTTAACATTGGGATCTCTCTTCCATCCCATGTTTTCCTTCTTTTGGTGTCGTCTGATCCAACACCCGGAACGCCGTGACCCACGTGGTATAATGAGATGAAAAGTATACAAATTTGCAATCAGACACCGAGTGTCTATGCAAGAAGTGAAAGAAAAACAATTCGAAAATCAGAAGGGTATATCCGTCCACCTTTTTTCAATCATCCGCCTTTTCTCTCTGCGAGTTGGAGGACCATGAAAGCATCACTGGCTCCTCTTACGCTTCCGCTCCCAAGTGTTCTCTTCAGCACCGCCGCCAACAATATCCGACTCCTCGATTTCGATCCTGGGCGGCGGCGGCATAGCAGACAAAATTGGTGGGCTGCTCGGTCCGGCAACACTATCGTCGCTATCCTGCCTCCGGTGTCCAAGAAGCGCCTGCCTGTCTCCTCCGCGACCGTGAATTGCCTCCTCCTCGTCCATCTCCGGCACGGCGACGAGAACGTGCGAGCTGCCCCAGCTCGGCGCGCGTCCCATGCTCTCCCGCGTAACAACCTTTCCGTTCGACATGGACCCGCTGCCGACGTAGCTGTCGCTGCGGCCGAGAGGATCCGCGCCGGGGCTGCTGTTATTCGCCCAGCCAAACTCGTTATTCATGGCGCGTTCGACCATGTACCTATCAAATTGCGTGTCCCTTTCGTTGTTGTACTGCGAAGGTCTACGCTGGAGGGATGTCGCTTCGCATTCCTGCTGCTGCTGTTGTTGCTGTGCCGTCTGTTGTGTTTCTTGCTTCTGAATCGATGACTTTGTTGAGGATGTGGATATCCGGCGGAGGGAACGGTCTGCAAGGCTGAGGCCGCCAATGGAAAGGCGACCATTGTAGGAGGTCTCGCCTTCGAGGTCGTTGAAGCCGTAGGGCTTGTGGTTTACGGGGTAATGATAGTCGTCGTACTTGACGAGTCGGCGGTACGTCTGGATCGCGTAAACGCCTGGTATGGCGACGAGAATTCTATGTGTTGTCAGTTGTGTTCCTATGGGACTCATGATTATCGGCGTGGCTTACAGAAGAAAACAATCCAAGCCGAGACCAACAACTGAGTAGTGGCTGTCCTTTCTCTGTACGAATACCACAACATCGAGAGCCAGAACGGCCAGGGAGCAGACGATCTTCAAAATGTGGGTGAAAAGCATGGTCCATGGCGTCAGGGTTTCGGCGGCGAGCTTTGAGATTTCGTAAAATGTGGAAAATAGGCAGACGAGGGAGAAGGCGATGTTGACAGATTCCCAACTACACCCAGGTCAGTACACGCACTTGATGGTAAACACAGCCCCAACCCTGACTTACACGACCTCTACCATGGGAAACATCCCTTTTGTTTCCTCCTCGGTTTCCCAGTTCCTCAGCGTGTCCGATAGGCGCCAAGAGAAGAGTGCGATGACGACAAGGAAGACTAGCAACTGAAGGATCCAAAGAGGCACAAGCAGCGCCATGCGCCATCTTGACCTGTCGAACTGAGCTTGTTGGCGATGTAGAACCATTGCTGCGATTTCTTGTTGGCGGTAAGGATGATGTTCCTCGGAGGCTTTCGACTCGGGTCGCCGAAGTTGATGTTGTTGTTCGAGGCTGAGGGAGACTAGTCTGGACTCAAGGCGAACACAGGGAGTTATAAGCTGAAGGTCTTAGACAGGATGAAAATCATAACAATGACGACAGGGATAGTCAGTCGGAAAAGGGCCCGAGAAGCGCGGAGAGGGAGGCTGTGATGAGGCGACCCAGCTGGCAGGTGGTTGCTTGATTCGAGTGTGTCTGCATATTGCTATATATAAAACCACCTCTTCCAGAAAGCCGGGACGTTTGAAATGAGCAAGAGGAATCCCCAGCCAGGCTGCAGTATATCGAGGGACACTGAGCCCTGTCTAGGAAAAACTGCTCTAGTCACAACTTGCTTCTGCCCTAGACGGATTGGCTGGGCATCAGGGCATCTGGAGCCGCTTTACTACAGGTCGAAAGCGGTGAAGCGTACTCTGTATACAGCCACGATTGTTTCATTGGACAAACTCTTCAGGTTCCCGCAGTGAGCTGCCCCTTGTCAGCCCAGTTCAGCTCCTAGCACTGATCGGGGGCGTAAAGGATACCTTTGGACAAGGACTCAAGGAGCCTGAGCAGTGGGAACGTTGGGAGCAACGGGGGTCCTCCGCTAGTCATCGTTGGATTGTTGGAGCCTAGCAGCTAAGCTAGGGGGATCTCAGGGTCTCGGGCCATGAGGAGATTAACGCCGTGACGCCTTCCCGCGAGAACAGCCACCACCCCTAGGCCTGCGCGGCTCCCTTCCGTGGGCTAACACGCAAGGGCGAGTATCTTGTCGAATGGTGGAATGTTGCCATCCCACCCACTACTCTGTACTGTGTGAGGCATCGGATGGCGTTTGCGGCTGAGTTCAGGGCCATGCGATCGATATCACTCGATCAGGCAAGCGGCCCTGGCCATCAGTTCATGCCCACCTCGTCCCTCGCAGACCAGACAATAGCGAGCATCCTAATACTGTCAGGGACGCTGCGCTGACAGCATGGCAGACAACAGCATAGTGGGCAATAAGCGCGGTATCTCGAACAGATGACTGCAAAGTACTTCTCGTCCAGGTGATTCGCAGTGCCAACAAATGCGCACCCCCAGCTTCACAGCCTGGCTGATGTCAAACGAAACAGGAAATGCGAGTTCCAGGGTTTCGGCTCTCTATGGCGAGGTGGAGGGTCGGGCAGATCAAGGGTTGGCTCCAATTTCATCTCGCTACGCGCTTGTCGTCTTCCTTCAGGATCGGTTGTCGATGGGCATGAGACGCGCTTGTGGTGGCTGCGCAGGCAAAATCAACCAAAACCGGTCCACTTGTAAAATTCCCCGCCTAGACCATTGGAAATTGTGTCATTTTGCGGCACAGGCAGACACGTTTTGTTCGTTCTGGGGGCGCTGGTCTGCGAAACAGAACCATCGAGGGCTGCCGAAACTAGTGAAAGTCGTGGTGGGAGGGATTTCCACTAACTGGCTGGTCCAACGTCCGAACGTGGGTGACTGGGTCGGTCTTGTTGGTCTGTTTGATGATGTGGTGACCTCTCCTTGGCTGTTCAGCCTGTTCTGAGCTCTGGTCTCCTCCCCCAAGAAACCAACGGCAGGGCTGACAGGGTGGGGAGAAATGTTGAAAGCGGCCTAGTTCAAGGCTAATTCGAGCGTCTAGCTGCTGACGCCAGGGACGAGAGACATCGTCCGGTTCCTGGTTTCTATTGCAATCTGTTCATCTCTTGTGCTGTTCTTGCATGGGACGGTGAGGCTGTGATCCGTCAAGGCTGCAGCTTTCCACGAGGAATTTGCGCGAGTTCATCTCGATGAGGACTGTAGATGGGAAAGGTGAGATGCCATGGCGAGGCCGGATTGTTTACGACGAGCTTAATTGAGGTTGGGTCTGTCCCTAATCCACTTGGTTGCATTGGATGTGACTCTGGATCCCGACGCCACGGGACAAGTACCCATTGCTTAGGCCGTTGGTGCCATGTTGTGGTATGGCAGGGCAGGGCAGGGAGCTCGGAAGATTGTTGTTGGTTTGTCTGCAGTCGAGACCATCGGCTACTGAAGGGTTTTGGTAGAAAGAAACGACCAAGACACGTTCGGAGGTGAGCGCGGAATTGGAAGACGGTGGAAGAAGCAAGTGAGAGGTGGCTGTGCACTGCAACAGCCATCGTGCCTTCCCAAACAATGGAAACTACCTAGAAAGTGGGTCGCCACCTTATCTCTCGTCTGTGCCTTCCATCTCTGTTTAGCCTTTTTTCCTTCCCTCTTCAACTTTAAATCTTTCCTTTGCACGACCCAAATATTGCCTCGATTGGGACACTCAATGTCAATGCTTCCGTTCGTGTGCTGATCAAATGAGAAGTCATCATCTGAACGCCTGGTGCGGCGGGAAAAGTGATGCGGAAGCATGAAAGATCGCCATAGGGCATCAAGCACACCGTTATAGAACGGCAACCGACTGGCATGACTTGACGAGCAGCCAAGTCAAGCAGTCAGTTTCAGACGATAACGCACTCGCTAAAGGCACGAATCGGACGCCTGGCCATGCCATAGCAGCCATCCTTGTCCTCCGCCCGTCCCGTCACGTTCACGTCAAAGACGTCAGCTCGTCAAGAAGCAGTATCATCGACAATTGACTTTCGTCGGATCGTCCTCCATCAGCCGACAACTGAGCAACTCTGAAGTTGTCAACGACCCAGATGCTCGGAATGTAACGTCCTTGTCTGCGATGCATCACGCCCCCAAACAATCGCCCCAACACTAACGAAACATCAGACACAAACTCTATTGAGCCCCAAATGATCCCGACCTCTTGTTATCTACCTTTGACCATTGCGTATAGGCGGTGTGGAGCGGCCCTGTCTGTTGTTGCCAAACAGCCCCAACAGACCAGAGACTCGGGTCAGCATTGCCGTGCCAGCGATTGCACTCAGCCTCCAATCCAGACATATGGGGCTCGCTGGAAAAACAAAGAATCCATGGAGCATCCATAAACAGGCACTCGCATTACCGAACCCCGTCCGCAACGCAGCAGGCTATTCAGCGGAGCAGCTGTATCAAAGCAGGATGAGAACCCGCTTCGCAAGACGATGAAGCGTGGCTGAGCGACCAGACAAAAAACCGGACCCCCAGTTCCTCACTGCTCGTGGAGGCAGGCCGTTGTGCCCACTGCCCCAGGCGTCTGAAGCGAACTGCGCATGCTGCCCCTCTCAGGGCGTACCCTTGTCACCGCCCACATGGAGTGGGTTTGGCGCGTTTAAGCTTACAGCCAAGTTCTGGTCTTTCTCAAGCCTGGGTCTTCCCAACTTCCCAGTACGCAGAAAATAGCAACCGTCGTCGGGACACTTCCTCTTCCGGTTATGTTCGAGAGGCTGATCACCTGCCGAGTCAGTTTGACGTGATGGATGTGAGTGACAGTTCGATTGGCGCATTGATTGACACACATCAAACACGATGCTGCTGACACAAGCATGGAAAAGAGAGAGTGCGAGGTGCTGCGAGGATGGCTTCTGCGAGAAAAGACTGGAAGCCAGCAACAACCGCATAGCGGCGTGTTACTAACTTCCAGGTTATATTTCAGAATTATCTGCCACTGAAGGCGGGGGGATATTGTCTGTCACCCATTCCGTTGATTCCGGTCCCAAAATTCAAAGTAAAGCCAAAATCATTGATTGATTTGCCATGATGCCTATATCGCCCTGTAACCATCCATACCGGTATTGCCGCCAGATTACGAGTTTATGGACGTATTTAATAATATTGTGTTGTCGTTTTGCAGTTCGTGATAGTGTCCGTCGGGCTCTATTTCTCAATCCTCCTCTTTAAGTCGAGTTGGCTTGGTCGTTTAGAGACCGGCTTCCTTGTTGGCCTGGTAAACGCCGGCGGTGTTAAAGGGAACGATGTTGCCGTTGGCGTCAGTCATGGCGGCCTCGTTGACGGGAACAGTGGAAGCAGCCTGGCGCTTCTCAACCACTGAGCTCATGTTAGTATTCCCCAAGCTTCATCCGTTATATTCAAATCGAGAATGCAACGTACTCTCGGTAGGAGCGGCAGCAACGAAGGCAGCGGCAACGGCGAAAAGAGTGAAAACGGAGTACTTCATGTTGACGGTTGGTTGAAAAGGTAGTTGGTTGGAACGAGTGGTCGGCCGGCGACGAGCAGATAAGTTGTACAAGAAGAGAAGGTTGTAAAAGTCAAGTACGTTGAGAGAGAGTGTTGGTTGACTAGCAAGATCGAAAGAAACAGAAAACGGCAAGGAGACGGACGTATTTGTATGTTATCGATGAAGCCCACATACCTTACTTTCGCCCCCAGTCCCCCTCAGGGGGCGCTCTGTGCCAAGTATCACCATCGACATCACACATCAGACAAGCTTGCTATAGACGAGGAACACCGATAGCGCACGGCTACACGGCCACACACACGCAGATCTGCCATCCAAATTCTGACTGGAACTTTACAGTCCTGTTCGCTCCCGCACCATGAAGTTGAGACCAAGCGATCAGGGCTTCCCAACGCCCGGTTCCATCCCTGGCCTTGGTCGCCGCGACCCGCCTGCCCTCGCAACTTTCAATAGCCCTGGTCGCCCACGAAGGAGGCAGCCGCGAGCTCTTCCAGACGAGGCCAAGTTCGATGTGGATGAAGACAAGGGACTTCCCGGCGTGTCATCTGCACTTACAGGAACGGTGCCAAGACCTGGAACAAGAAAGTTAAGGAGACCATGGGATATGGAGCTGATTGACTGGCCCATCCCTATCATCTGGAGACTTCTCCTCCTCCTCTGTCCCCGTCTCTTCCATCTTCCCCAGCCCGTCCGCCTGGTGTCTGCTTCAAGCCCACGTCAGGTAAGTGGATAGATCGGCATCTTTTTGGGGAGAGGTTTGATCGCGGGAGTAGAGGACTCCAGAGGGGACGATGGGGCAACGTCTGAAACTGGGCTGTGACGAAGAAGCCGCGTAGCAGTGGCCCCACTAGTCAAAATGAGTGCCGTTGTCACAGAAGCCCATCGATCCTCCTCTCTCGCAAGCCGCAACCCCTGTTGCCCAAGGCTAGGACGAGCGAAGATCAGACAGCAAGCCGCTCGCTTTCAGCAAGTTCCGGTAGCAAAGTCAGCAGGGGAAGGCGGGGTTTCGAAGAGGGAGTCGAGGGACTGCGGCGGACGCTACCCCGGCCGCTGCATGTTGCCAAGTCTTCACCCCGGTGTACCTTATTCGTGAAGCTTGGCTTTGAGGTTGATCAGTGGGAATGGCGCTCCCGGGACGTGGGATGGTCCAGACTTTTTCGTCCTTGCGAGAGACAGGAGAGGCGTAGTGTAGAGAACAGACCGGTTCCAGGGGGCGGCTCACTTCTTCGACAGCGGAATGACGGGATGAAGAAGGCGTTCGGACCAGTGTCATTCCTGTTCAGGGGTTGTTTCGAAACTGGTTGACCCTTGCTACATCGACGTCAGGGAGAGTTTGATGCGGGAAAATCATTAGAGCGGCCCGTTAGTATTTTTAGCGTCGACTTCCTCCTCGACCTCTGTTCACGGGCACTCAGCAACTTAGTCATCCAGAAAACGGGAGGTGTGGCTGATGGTATGTGGCGCACGTCATATGGCGCAGCAAGCCTGTGTCAGCCACGGCACAACATCGCCTGACTGAGCTATGCAAATTGTGCCCAGTGACATTTCACGACATAACTGCCCCAGAACTGCACAACCGCCGAGGCCAAATCGCGGGGTTCCGTTATCTGAAGTGGGGTTTGAAGCGGTACGTAGCACCGATCAGCACCTTGAGCTACCTTACCTTATGCTCAGAGGCAGGCAGCCCCTCCCCAGCCCAAGCTGACCTCACTTGGGGGAAGCTTTCCTCGCCATCTCCATCTCCTTCTCTTCCGTATTCGAATACTGCAAGACTCGTCCATCTCCGCGTCCCCTGCTGAACCTCGTGCGGTCGCCAGCCCGAACAACTCTTTGGAACGCTCTGTAGCTCTGCGTCTCATTCCCAAGACACGCCACCACCCTCGCCACCACTATCGTCTCATACCACCCGCCAGATTCTTTTGAAACGAGCTCATGGCTTCCGTGGAACACTGCCTCTACTGCTTCGAGGCTCTGGCTTCGCACCTGGAGAAGCGACCGGGACTGTCCCTCAAGGAGATCAAACAGTCCTGGCCCGAATACGCCAAAACCCTGTCACCAGGCCTCGGTGACGGCAAGGACGGCAAGAAGCTCTTCCCGGCCCTGCAGCGCCTCGCCGAACCCTCCAGCGACTCCGCCTCGGCCTCCTCCGGCTCTAGCATCTCCCTCTCCGCCGAGACACCCGCAACCTCCGCCGACTCCCTCGCCGAAGACGATGAGACCGACGACATCTCCGAGTCCCCCCTCTTCGTCACCTGGAACACCGTCTCCCCCCGCTCGGGCCACCGCTCGCTGCGCGGCTGCATCGGCACTTTCGAAGCCCAAGACCTCGCCGACGGCCTGTCGAGCTACGCCCTCACCTCGGCGCTGCACGACATGCGCTTCCCGCCCGTCGAGGCGCCCGAGCTCCCCTCCCTCGAGGTCGCCGTCACCCTCCTCACCGACTTTGAGGACGCCGACGACGCCATGGACTGGACCCTCGGCGTGCACGGCCTGCGCATCAGCTTCTTCTACCACGGGAAACGCTACGGCGCGACGTACCTCCCCGACGTCGCCGTCGAGCAGGAGTGGACCAAGGAGGAGACGCTGGTGAGCCTCATGCGCAAGGCGGGGTGGATGGGCAGCAAGAGCAAGTGGCAGGACGTCGAGCTCAAGGTCGTGCGGTATCAGGGTAAGAAGGAGTCTTTGGAGTATGGCGAATACAAGAAGTGGGCCGACTGGGTTCGGAAGAACAAGACGAAGTCTGGCTGAGCTAAGCACCTGGGCTTTCTATGCTGCCAACATTATGACGAAGAATATGGGAATGGCGTTATACTTGGGAATTGAGACATCCATTTTTAGGAGTCATGGATCAGGCAATGGGTTACATGGATATAGAAGGCTTTCGATCCCTCCTGTTAGATGGAGGGATGCCTTTGTGTGGTAATACAGGCAACTTCAGCTCTACAACTCTAGCTAACCGTTTGTATGGGTATTGAAATGTGGTTGTGGTCGTATGTGATAGATGTTGTAGCGGTATCTGAATGCTTTGGGTAGGTAAGAACATGACAACGGTAGCCAACTTCAAATGGTATGGATGGTATCACATTCAGTGCTGAAGCTCATCTACGATAGCAGCATGGTTTGGTCGCTTAATGTAACTTCATTATCAGTGTTCAACCTGAGACATGGCCCCCAGGCCTCTTAGGCATCATCTAGAGTGTTAGTCATTGAATCTGAGGTATCTTGGGCGCTGCTCTGACAGTCACTTACTTAGGAGATGATAAGCTTCCCTTCTCGTCAGCTTTGCAAAGTCTTGACCCTCTTCCGTCCACGGTGGACTTGGTACTACATCAGACCTTGCGACACTGCGTACTTATATATTCCCTTGCACTTAGTAAGTGGTATGCAACTTCAAGGTACAGGATATGAGATGAATACGCGAAACGCCACGACGTCTGCACAATTCTAGCACATATCATATACGAGGCTTGGAAGGGAGAGACGTCTTTAATGTATACAGATGACTTTGCTCTTGGTATCAGGTCTAATTATATTGTACCGCCCGCAAATAGATACATTTCATAAAGTCGTGAAAGTTGTGTTCGCTCCATGTGTCTTTGTTACACAAACAAAAGTCCTCGGGAATATGGAATCAACCCGAAGACACCTCGCAACAACAGCATGTAATCATGCAACTGAATGCTAATCTCACCAAAGACACCCAGCCACCGATCTCCTTCCTTCATATCTAGTATCTCGTCCTGCTGCGACTGCTACGATATACATTCGCAGGCGGCAAAGGCGACCCGCTAGCCCTCCTCCTCTTGTCAACGACAACAGGCTGCGTGTACCGAACCTCGTCAACCACATACGACGGGCGCCGGCTATGGCTGTGCCTCGAGGTCTCGTGGTGGTACCGGTGCTGCGTACGTCTGCGGTGCCTTGCGCCGGGCGATCGGCCGCGGTAATGGCGGCTGCGCTCGTCGTACTCGTCCTTCTCGGACCAGTCGTTGGGCCGGCTCCACATACCGCACGACTTGACGATCCACAGCAGGAGGAGGAAGCCGGCGATGGAGCCGATGACGATGCCGGCGATGGCGCCCCCGCTGAGGTTGTTGTTGGAGGCGGACTCTTCTGTCGTCTCGGGGGTCGAGGTGATTGTCGTGACGACTTGGCGGGAGGCGAGGATGGCGCGGAGGGGGGAGGGGAGGGTTCTTGTTGGCGGGAGGAAGTCTGATGGGTGGCGTTTTGTGAGACCTGCGGCGAGGGCCGAGAGGGTGTTTGAGGTTGGTGTTATCGGTGCCATGGTTGTGAGGTTATGGTTATTTTGGATAGTGGTATATGTTGTATGACTGATGGGAGCTACGTGTGGGTGGCCGTTGATGGGTGAAGTCTAGTAGAGACACCCGAAGGAAGATGAGACCGCAGATGACAGCTGAGCTAGACCTTGCAAAGGGCGGGGAGGGAAGGACACAAGTGATAAATAGTATGTAGTTGGTGACAGGAGTATGACGCCCGTCTACCATAATGAGCGCATTTCAATAAGAGAAGGGTAGGGCAACCTTATGGGTATGGCTCACTGCAAATCTGCCAAGCGAACTTCTCAAAGGACCCCCCCGGCGAGGACGATTGAATGGGGCTGGGTGGGAAGCCCGGGCCTGCAAGTCATGGGCCTTATGGATGTGACAAGCAGGGGTAGGGATGTCACGAAGAACCAGTGATGAGAGCCAACAGCATCGGGGAGTTGAGGGGACGAGTGCCCGTTTGAACAAGTGTGAGTGGAAACATTCTTTCGTGCTATGGGCATTGACGGTAGCATTCGACAAGCGCAGGAAAAGCAGACGGAATTCTTGGTCGAATCCCCCCCCGCTCGAAGTTTGCAGGGTAAATCTTGGACTAACACCACGGACTACGACGCAGATATGCAGCATTTTTCCTCGGTAGCTTGGTCTGCCGAACTGCGAGTAACCCGGGTTTGAGGGGACTTCAAGCTTTTGCGCCTGGTCGAGTGTTACTTCCAGCTTGTTTTACCTACAGCTCTACCGCCATTTTGTCCAAGACAAAGAAGCTATTTACCCAACGCGGGGTCCACCGCGTCTCGGGGACTATTGTCTCTGAAGCGCCGTTTTGATCAATTGTTTTAGTTCGAGCAAGGAGGCCCGTTTGAATTTGATGAATCAAAACACAACCCTGGTCTTGACTTTCCTCATCTGGAGAGAACATTACGTCTGTCTTACACCGGAGAGGAGGAAGGGAGGGCGGGGGGTCGGTCGCCCGCACATCACCAGGTATCCCAATTGAGATTTCCCCATAACAAAAGGCCTAGACGATCAGAAAAAACAAGCTGGCGATGCCGGACAGAAGGTTAATTCGCGATACGACTCAAAGCTAGGCGTGCTAGGGCTAGTACATCGCAGTAGGGAAGAAGAAAAAGGCAAGAAGTTGAGCGTGGATCCCGCCGAGGACCATCACAGCTACGTCACTGGCTCGTGGCCGGGGGTGGCTGGGTGGATGCTCAAAAATTCCGCATCGGCCGAGAAAGCGCCATTGCTATTCGCCAGACCAGGCCGGAATGGGCCCTCCGGCACCTCGGGCCCCCCCACACATTGACACACCACCAACCAAGCCCCGTCCCTTCCTCACCCGCCCGCCTGTCATCCCGTCACAAGGACGTCCAGCGCACAGCGAACCTTCTCCAGTCCACGGCGCCGAGTTTCCCTCTCTGCCGCCATGTTCCTTGTTCCTGGGGCTAGCGTCCCGTGTCTTTGATCTCGATCTTTTTTATTTTCCTCCCGGACTGCCGGCGTTTTCTGTGCGCGTGAGACACCCATCCACCATCGCAAGAAGGAGGGGAGGGAAGGCCGCATCTCTCTCTCTCTCTCTCTCTCTCTCTCTCTCTCTCTCTCTCTCTCTCTCTGTTGGATGCAGTTGACAGCGCGGGCAGACCGTTCTCTGCAACTAGGGGAAGGACGCCTGTCCCGAGTTGCATTGGGCTGCCAATATAATACAACATGCCGGCCCAGAAATTCATGCCCCGAGCTTTTCCCCATCATACGAGGACACGCCGTGAGGCGAGTCAGGTTTCAGCGAATCATTCTTTCACCGAGCTCACCGGGCTCACCAGAAACAGCAGAAGTGGTTCACCTTGTACCGTTTCGGGCGTTTTGGCGGAGTCCCCATGACCCAAAATAAACGATCTTCAGGGACGTTTGCACGCCCTACGCAGTAGAACAGCGATCACGATAACCTTACCAGCTTTTAACAACATTCTTCCTCGTGCCCTTAGATTAAAGAGTATTTACTTGTGGATGACCTCTCTTGTCATGTAGTTGTCGTTTTAGTTTATACAGACGGGATTCATCCCATGACAACACCCAGAGCCCAGAACACCCCCGGCAACCAGTCGACGATCTGGGAACGGCGCTCTACCGTCAACGTAGGATAACCTGCTCAAAACAGCCGCATCACCCTCAAGCTTCTGTGTCACATTGACGACCAAGAACCACGGCTCGGCCGACTCGCCGCGCGGCGGCCGTTCGAGAAACAATTGAACGGCCCGCAGCCCGGATCTGCCGAAAGGTTATCGTGATGGGGCCCGTTGGACTTAGATGAGGGAACCCGCTTCCTGTGGGGACCCGGATCTGCGTTCGAGCCTGGGCCCCGGGGCGCGTTCTTTACAAAACGTCACGGGAGGATCTGAGATTTTACATTTAAATAAGCTGCGCTGCAGCTTGGTAACGAATGTTTCGACGAAAATTAAGAGCCGCCTGGGTCGAATGCTCTTTACACTCTGGACCTGCGTCGACCTGCGTCTATCACGACCCACGTGGAGACTATGGAGTGCGCATGCAATGTCTAATGGTATTGCTCACCGTGACAGGACGACAAGGTGTCTCATTTCGGGATGTGGCAGGGTGCTTGACTCTGCTGCTTTCCCTTTTGGGATGAATCCCTGTTGTTGCTGTGCTCTTGACTAAGAACTTGTTTGGAGACCACCTCACGAGCAATGCTGTCCTTTTTGCAGTGAAGAGTTGTGCCAGCTCTTCATGGCTTGCTGAGCTCGGTATGGAAATTCTCCTCTTGGTGTATCGCCCACCTGGATTAGAGGGTGGGCAGGCCCTTGCTCAAATACACACTCTCCCCGCCAAAGCCATGAGATTTTGTACTCATGCAAGAGGAAGGATTGGCTCTTCCGGCCTTTCACTGCGATTTTAACCCCTCCTAAGGTGGTTGAAAAGGACTGATGGTAGCTAAGAAGATCTGTGTCTTTATCCACACGGGTTTCACTGCAATCTATACCCCCATAAAGGCGACGATGAGGGGCCGGAAAGATGGGGCGAGAGGCTTGAGTGGCTATTCCAACTGACCAAAATGAAAGCTGGCCATGAGTTTCTATCTTGTGCATCCTCATCTAAGCCTCCCTCTCCATGTAAAGTGCTTTTTCGGATCCGCCGCCAGCTCCCTCATCGCTTCAACATCCCCCGTCTCCGGCCCACTCTCAATCGTACCAGCCTCAACAGCCAGCTTGGCATACTTGACGGCCAGCTTATTCCTCCCAAGTAGGTTAAAGTTGAGCGCCGCAGTCGTATACGCGCCCGCCAGCTTTGACTCAAGTCTCTCCTCCTTATACAGCTTCAAAAACCTCTCCACCGTGGCCACCGTCACCTTGGCTCCGATATCAGAAAGCTGCCTCTCCAGCTCCTCCAGCTCCATCAGCCGCTGATCCGACGCCGCGGCGAGCTTCTTGGGCAGGCTGCACTGCGAGCACCTGCACTCGAAGCCCCACGCCCTCTTGGCGCGGTGCTGCCGCACGGAGCGGACGCCGAGCTGATCGAGGTACGATATTGTCAGCTCCTCGCCCGGCTTAACCGTCCTGACGATAGTGGTGCGGTGTCGCAGGCCGTCGATGCGGAAGGCGACGTTGGGACGGCAATCGTGGTTGTACCGCGATACCTCGGGGAAGTTGCCGTAGTGGTGGCCGTCGCCCTGCACACCGCCGCCGAGGTCCATCTGGAACGAGTTGGTCGCCATGATATCGCTGACCTTGTGGCCGCCAAAGTGCCCCATCTGGCCGAGGAAGGTCTTGCGTGTCGCAGCCGGCAGGAAGCTCGTGACGCTGTCGAGGAGGAAGTGCCGGTCTGCTGCTGCCGTGCGCTCGATGAAGGCGCGGTGGGCGAGGAGAACTGGGGTCTTGAGCATGACTGTGTCGCCCCGGGCAAGGGTCTTGTTGGCGAGCATGCCGAGTCCCTTGCCTTCTACCTCTGCGATCTGGAATGATGGGTTCCGTGAAGACGGATCATCTTCCCGGTCTGGAGTCTGTAGGTCTTGTTCCAAGCTCTTTGCTTTCTGCACGTTTTCCGGTGTTGAGATGATGACGATCCCTCGCCCGTTTGCAAAGCCGCGATTTGCGTATAAGCAGTAGACTCCTGCGCATCCGTGAGGCCCCGTCCATCCTAACGGCTCGGTCTCTGATGTTTGGTTCCGTTGACGCTGCCCAGTCTCTGTATTTTGCTTTCTTTCTGTCGCGATATCCCAAGTCGAACATTCCAGGAGCGTCTCGAGTGGTGTCCAAGGGCATGTTCGTACCCCGCCCAAGTGTGCTTGGGCCTTTGATGCGACCGTGTAAGACGCGAAAGCAAGAGGGAACAGTAATGGTGAAGACAGCATCATGTCTGTCTAAAGTTGTAAGGAAACCTAAAATTTTGAGCCTCTCTTTTTTTTTTTTTTTTATGAGACGAATTTGCGTTTCTGTCAGTTGCCTGACGTGCAGTTAAAGTATCCCGCCTTGTGGACATGGGATGAAAAAGCTGCTTCTTGCTGTGTGTTGGTCTTGGCATCGAGGAGGACCCCACCCGTTTCAGCAACGTTTCTGAAACCTGACTGGCTAGGAGATCAGCGCAGCGAAGGCGGCTTTGCGGCTCGTCCCCGTCTCATATTCTCTTGGGACGTAGCAGCCGTTGGTTCAGCGTGTTCCAATGTTCTTTGATACGATACTGGATTGTCACTGGCGTCTTCCGCAACGCGGCAGTCTCACTTGATTTGATGAACAAGGGCTGAAAGCCGGGGCCAAGTACAGTCGAGCTGGCTAAAGATTGCCTCACTGCCCCTAAGTTCCTATAGTCAATTCTTTGAAGTCGATTCTTGCTGATGATATCTTCTCTCAATTGACTCAAATTGCAGCCCATCGCGTTGCTGCTGAAGTTGGTCCCTCTTCTCCCTGATCGTATGTTATAGTGACGGTGCTACTCTTGACAATCTTGTCCTCGCTCTCGGGATACGTATCACTCTGGCGCCCAGAAGAGGACGTCTCCGCATTCTTTCCTGGATTTACAATGCTCTCTTCACTGTCTTCCTTGGCGTGCATCGTGAACCCGTAAACATCAACTTTTTTCCTAGGTTTACTCCTTAATTCGATCGAGTCTTGCTGCGGTTGCTGCTGCTGATGGTGTGCGCTTTTCTTGCTGTGGCTGTTGTATTGGTAGCTGCCCGACTTCTTGTCGAGAGACCAGATGCCGCGTCCTTTGAACATCTCGAGGATGGGTTGCAGAATCGGGATGCAAGCCGCGATGATGATGAGGTTCCCCTCAATACTGTCGACCACAAAGGTTAGTCAAGGCTTACTTCTAAGAGAGAAGGAGTCACTCACGACGTCCAATACAGCGGATCACATAAATCGTCTGCAGTTGATACTTAGTCACAAACTCTGTAATCAAGGCCTAGACGGTTAGATGGCTTACAGCTGACATCTTGGCTCGAAAGGGTTGGTACACCTGTAGCCTTCACGATACCAGCACATCCGGAGCTGTTGATATCCGTCAGCTACGCATCTCAGCCTGCGATAATGAAACTTACATAATGCCCATTCCAAGAGCGCACGTGAGCGCCAGCTTCTTCTGGAACCGCATCTGCAACTTCCAGAGCACCACTGCTGGATATACAGCCAAGTAGAAATCAAGAAAGGCAGAAAATGCTGTCGATATTAGCCAGTCAGTGACCTCAGGAATATACATGCGATCACGAATATCCACTCACAGCTAGCCCAGAAAGCCAATCCTTCCAGAACCTTTGGGTCTAAGCAGTTTCGCGGCAGCGAAAAAGTCCACAGAGCTCTAGGTGGCGTACATTGCAGCAGAAGTGTCAAAACCATGGCTGTCAGTGAGAGACAGCATATGATTCCCATCGACCAGAGTACCCGGAGGTGAAGCTTGCCCGGCGCCAGCAAGCGGGTGAGAAGCGCAATGACGGCTAGCTTTGGGAAGCCGAGAGTTTCGATCCCGGGCACGTAAGCCGCTATCATCCATTTGACCGTGTTCTGCTTTTGCTCTAGATCGAGAACCGTGAAGCGTTTGCCGTTTCCCCACCCGACTGAGATTGTCACCAGTGCGTTCGAAAGGATGGCGCAGGCCTGTTGAACGTCGAATTGTTAGTCAGTGTCCGCGAACTTTGACATTGATGATCCAGAGGATGCAGAACTGAACAGGCGTACAGATGAGAGAATGATCCAGTAGTCATCGCTGAATAGCTTTCTGTGCACAGTGGCCCGGACGAACAGCCGTCCACCGACGAATATGAGGCCAAGGGCGGTAAAGGTCCAGCAGACCGCAATGATCATTGGACCTTTGTCGTCAACCATGTCGAAAAATTATTCTTGATGATCGGGAACAATGAACAATAGAGGTATCAATTGACACGGAGAACACGGCGAAGGTCGAGATTCACCATCACGGATGGAAGTAGGGAGGCACCGGGCTCTCACGGTCTCAGATCGCCAGCAGAAACATTGTTATCACACACGCCTCCGACTGGTTCCGCACGATGTGCATTGCAAATTAGGTCTGTTTCCACACTATCCATGACCGCAAGGGTTGGTCGTTCGTTGTTGGTTGTTGATCAATAGTCAACATCCTTTCCCGAGCTGTTGGTTCAAGAGAACTTTGGTTGAAGACTATAGCTTGTGGCCTGACACGACCTCGGACGAAGTCCGGGAATGGAACCCCAAAGACCGGGAGCCCGGGGAAGGCTCGTCCGTCTGTCGAGGCTTACGTGTGAAGTTGTTGAAGGCTGAGGTAACTCTTTACTTCGTTACTGATATGCATCTTGTACCTTCTCCCACAGGCTTGGGCCTTTAGGATTTGAATGCCTGTACTTGAAGGTCGATGTGTGGGGGTTGTAACGCAATAAGTACTTCATCACGCGATAACTTACGTACCCCTTGAATAGCAACCCAGGGTCTCTATCAATCCCCTTGTCGGTCGTTGAGACGAAAACGGATGTAAAAGTGGTGACTTCTGTTGGAAGCAAGCCAAACCAACATGATTTCAGTGGGTACCGCGGAAAGTACTCGTTGCAATGTTTCTGAGGATACCCATGATCCACTTTGATCCCTCGAGAAGCTGTGCCTCTGCGTTACTTAAATACAATTCTCTTTGAATGACTTGGTAGAACATGACAGATTGTCAAAGCTCAAGTTTCCCAACAACCCTCCCTGCAACACTCCATTTGGCCCTTCCCACAAAGTCTGAACATGGCTGGAGATCTTGACCTGTCTCTTGCTACCCGCCCGAGTAACTTCACGGCTGTGGGTGGCCTGATCCAAGACATTAATGATCTGCAGAAGAAGCTAGTCGAGGGAGACGAGGAGACACGCCATGAACTGGTTATCAAGACCCGCAGCCTTCTTCAGTCCCTCCTAACACCACGTGAGCAAATGGTACAGCACACTTGGGCGGACGTGAGTATTGACCTGAAGCCAGTAAACTAAGTTGCAAGTTTGTTGACTGGAGTTAGCCGGGACTCAATGCAGCTTTGATCACTGGAGTCGACACTGGGCTATGGAAGCTCATGGCCAAGAATGGTGTGGATCAACCCCAAAAAGTTGGCGTTCTGGCCGAGACTCTCAGAGTTGATCCGGTACTTCTTGGTAGGTGGATTGTATCATGTGGCTTTGTAACATCAGTCGGCTTACAGTTTATAAAGGACGTCTTTTGCGCCATGTCTGCGCAATGGGTCATCTGAAGGAGACAGCGCAAGACGAGTACTTACTCACCAACTTCACCAAGTCTTTGGCCCTGGATGTTATCGGCGATGGCTATGTTGCCCTGTAAGGATGCCTGTCTCTATACTCCCCGCAAGATCTGTCATCTCAACTGATATCTCGGACGAATCATAGACTCGGTGGCATCGGTCGCAGCCCGATAGAGTTCTCCAAGTTTCTCCGGGACACCAACTGGAAGAATCCTACTGATGCTGCACATACGGCCATGCATGCGTCTTATAAGACAGACTCGCCTAACTGTTTTGAGTACCTCCGTTCAAGAGGACTAGGACCTCACACAAACCATCACAGTAGGTTAAGAAGTAAGATCCAAGGCATGAAAACATGTTCACTGACGACGACTTTACAGTGGGAGGCTATCGACAAGGGCGCGTGCCCTGGATGCACCCTTCGTTGTACCCTGTCGAGAAAACCCTGTTCCCAGATGCGGATACCTCGCCCGACGCACCGCTTCTTGTGGATGTGGCCGGAGGCCTTGGCCATGACATTGATGAGTTCAAGAAGATGTACCCGAATCATCCAGGCGTCAGTCTTCCCCGTCAAATATTTCATCTTGCTTAAGGTCCAACATATTCGCTTGAATCATTGCTAACAGCCAAACAGAAACTCATTCTTCAGGATCTTCCCGTAGTCATCAACGACGTCAGGGGCATTGACACCAGCATCGAGCTGATGGGGCACGACTTCTTGACCGAGCAGCCAATCAAAGGCGCAAAGGCCTACTTCATGCACTCAATCATGCACGACTGGCCAGATGACGTATGCAAGAAGATCCTGGCTCCCCTGGCAGAGGCGATGAAGCCCGGATACAGCAAATTGTTGATTTTTGAGGTGGTTATTCCGCGTACTGGTGCTTACTGGGAGGCCACAGCGGGCGATATCCTGATGATGACCCAGCTCTCGGCGTTGGAACGCACCGAAGACCACTGGCACCAGCTGATTGAGGAGAGCGGGTTGAACTTGAGAGTCGTCAAGTTCTGGAAGTGCGGCCAGTCGGATGTTGAGAATCTCATCGAGTGTGAGTTGGTGGCTTAGCGTACGGACTCAAGTACAAGTGCGCAATTGAATCCTTTACAAGAACTTCGAATTTTAGCCAACATTTCGAACAACATAATAATGCACATCACGTATCATCACATCTTAGAGTCGTGTCAAGGTAAACCTTTTAAAATTGTAATGAATTGGAATTTAAAACGCCACGATGAACTATCAAAAGCTATGAATTAAGGAAAATTTGGAGGCGAATAGCTTCTTTAAGTAAAGAAGTTGCTTGAGAAGAAACAGTCTCATACGATCTGTCTTCTTTGAGAAGAGAAAACACAGCCAACCAGCTCCTGAGTTCTTAGGCCTTGGTGTATGCCTGCAGCCAGAAGCCCAGGAAAGCATAACCTCCAGCACAGCGAACGTTCGAGTTGTTGGGGATCATGTAGACGTATCCGCCCTGGTTCGGGCAGTATCCGAAGCCATAGACAACAGGGTTTCCAGTAGGAGAGCCGCTCGATTGGCAGTTGCCGTAGTAGGCACCATCAGAGCGGCCGGTGTACGAGCAAGTGATGGGGTAGTTTCCGGTGCCCTGCAAGTCGCTGTAAACCTTGTCGTTGGCCGTGGCAGGGTCGGGCTGGTAGTAGTCCACGAGGACCTTGTCCGGGCTGTTCAGGTTGCGCATCTGTCCGGCCTTGTCGACGTAGAACGGTGTGGCGACGGACGCGTCGCGGACGAGGCGGAGCGCGCCTTGACCATCGACCGTCACATACAGGCTCCGGTCACCGGAACCCTGCAGGACGAATGCCGTGGGTGTAGCCGTGGGCGTGAAGGCAGCCTCGACGGTGGTGGTGACAGTAATGGTGGTGACCGGGGTAGCCAGCGTGGTGGTTGTGGCGGTGATGCCGTCACAGGAGCAGGCAGACGAGTAGCGCGCCGTGGGAACGAGTGTTCCGATGGTGCTCTTGCAGCCCGTTTCAGCGTAGGCCGGCATGCTGCTTGGGCGGTTCTGCGCGGGTGTGCAGACCGGGGCAGCAGCACTGGTGGTCGAGGCCTGGCGAGCCTCGATCTCCTCGCGCTTCATCTTCTTGAGCCCGGGATATGCATTGGCCAAGGTGGTGGTGTACGATACGACGGTGGCCGTCTGGGTTGCGGTTGAAGTGCAAGGAGTCTCAGTGACCTGCATCCATGATGAACAGTCTGCCGACGCCGAAGCTGGGCCGGGCTTGGAACCGAGAAGCGCGCGGAAGCAGTTGTCACGGTTGCAGCCGGCTTGACGTGCGAAGAGTTCGTCCGCAGGGGTGGCGGCAGCACGTTGTGCGATGATGCCGCCGACGAGGGCAGTGATAATGGAGGACTTCATCGTAGCGGAAGTTAAGAACCTGAGATGAGAGTGTTCTGATTTGTTTGAAAGTATTCTATGACTGCAAGCTGTGTAGAGTAATAGGCAAAGGCGAAAGCTGCTTCAGTTGAGGTGATGAGTGAGTAAGAGACATATTCCTTTCGAGTTCGACCAGTGCTTTATATACATGATAGCTCTGTGTGTGCCTTCATACTCCAAGGTCTTGAGTCCATCTAGACCGCAATTTTGCTTAGACTGGGCTAGAAGCATCACAGCTGAACTTCGTATAGTTCAGCAAGCCCCAATGCTTCGCTAGATTTTACTTTAAGCTTCGGATGAGACCGAAGCGGAGTCTTTTCTCCACGAGACTCATGCCTAGAATGCTCTATGATCCACCGTGTCTTGACGGTACCGTGGGCTTGGATCCGAAAGCTGAATGGCATAGTTCGGCAAGCATTCCCATCTCCCTGCATTCCCTTTCGAGAGATGCTTGTTTCTACTTCGGGACGTCCATCTCTAAGCGACTCCGAAGTGAGACAAAATCCTACGGCTTAACAATACCAAAAGTAAGTAAGCTCAGATCATACCTTGCCAGGCTATGCGTTTTTCTGGCCCTATTTTCGGGGTGCTTGCTGCATTGCGACGTTGTCAGCCAGGGTACAACAGTCCAGAACGGTCATTTCAAGCTACCGTCTGGCCGCTACTGCGGGTGCAGCCGTACGGGAGCCAACACCTAGGCCTGAACGGTGCGCTGCCACCCGCTCGCATGGTCAAATTAGCTAGCTTACTCCGACGTACTTTTCACATTGGTCTGCTGATGGTTAACATGGGATATTCACTAGTTTGCAAACTAGTGTGACCAGCGCTGAACGATCTCAAGATGGGAAACGTCTTCCCCACTAGCTGAAAAAACCCCTGCCTTAACCCCATTAACCATGTTGGGGCCCCTGGCATTCCTCAGAAAAAAGAATTCTCCGATGCTGCGGTGAACGTAGCCGACTTTCGATTCCTAGAGGCTAGGACCCCGATTCCCTCCGAGAGCTTGGATCAAGGTCTAGACGGATGGTTCTGTGGGAAAAAGAAGGAACGTCAACTTGACGCACTAGGCTCATCTGAGATTGTTATTCCTGCGGCTGGGACAGTGTTTACTCTTTTTGGCAGTGAAAGTGTTGTCTCCTTCTGCCTGAAAATGTTTGAAATCGTTTCTCATAGAAGAACGGCGATTCCGAGTGGAACCGACAAAAACATGATGGATCACGTACTTGTAGAGGAGGAGGGGCTGAGCACAAGGCTAGTACCCCTGCTTAACCTGGATCCCCAAGTCCAATGGTATTCCCAACTCAGCCATGAAAGCCGTACATATTTCATTGGCTTTTCTACGAAAGCTTGTGTGGATGGCATGTATATTCTCGTAAAAGGTAGTCTTCTGCAGCATGCCTCCTGCTTTGACTCACTTCCAGCTCAGGGCCCCCAAGCCCCATCGAACTGATGTACTCGTGAATTCCAAACGCCTAGATCATGTCTCCGATCCATTCCATAGGCCAAGGTTCACGTGGCGCGAAACCATATCATCCACGGCATGGTAAACGCCATGCCAAATTTCGGCTCCTCGGATAGGTTTCTGATCAATCAAATTGCATTCAGACTTCTCCAAGGTGCCATGCTCTTCATCAAAGGTCTCGGCAGAAAGCATCCCTATCACCATCTTAGAGTCTATGAGGCTCAGCGCTTGCTTCCCACACATAGCTACCGATATTATTCATTGGCTCGATGCTCAACGTGGCAAGTCACATTTGCGCATTCTGTTGAAGTCTTATTCTGCTTGTCTCACTAACTCAGGTCTATTGACCCCAATCTTGTATCCGTCTCGCTGGATTCACACTAAGCAATATCTTAGTAATGCACTTGCAGTATTCGAAGTCGTGGATGTCAAGTGGACAGCCACACTCGGTCTTGCCCACTGCGACCCACTGCATAACGGCAAGGGCAGATACGGTCAGCATGTTGCAGGCAACTGCTGGATGGTCCACGAGGCGGCAGTGGCAAATTCTCTCGAAAGAAACAGTATATTTCATGGAAGAGCCAGGGGGACACCACTCAAGGATATTGACGCACCGTGTGAGAGGGTCCCAAATCGTGATACATCTAACGCATGTCGCCCATGTGAAATTGGTAATAAAGAATTGCTTCAGAGTGAAGAGCCAACTTTCGCCAAGACAGCGAGGATTCGACACGTTTCACATTTCGCGCAGCTCTGCGCGTCCTATCAATGCGAATAAGTCGGAAATTGAGGGTGAGAGGGCAATTGACGTCTCCTTAGCGTGGTTGCCGTACATTGGCAGCATTCTCTGGAGTCTGGAGGGGGTCTGCTTACCAACTAGACTAAGAGCCATACACTAATTTTCCGTGTTAAAGCGATATCGAAATTAGTCATCATCCAAGCAGCTAGAGCTTCTTGCAACTAATGAACACCATCTAACCCATGGATTTGATCCAAATGACGATAATTGTTGAAATAAGCAAGACATATTATGCTGGAAATGTTAGAATCTGGAATACTATGTCTTGTGGCGGTTGAATTTTCCTCGACTTTCCCGCAGAGGTCGCATCTCGAAGGGCAAAAGCCGGCTAAGACGCTGAGTTGATTCGTGCATTTAGTTATCCGAGGTAGTCAGGTCATTGCGGTTTATGTGAGGAGCCCCCTTCTCGATGACTGCACTGAGATTCTCAGTCATACATCATGAGCAAGAGCTGATAAAGATGGAAATAAACATCAGGCTTGCCGATTTGTGATTCAAGTCAGTATGCACAGCTTCTACGGAGTACCGGCGTGGACACTTGCCCTTTTTGGATGCGAGTTTGGTACGAGGCCGTTTCCAGGAGAAAGTTAGGAACCCCCCCTACCCTGTCTTTCCCTTCTGCAAAAGGGAGCTTCCTAGTCAACGACCGTTACAAAATGGTTCCTCATCGGGTGAATGAGAAGCCAGATTTGGAGAGGCAATACGTGTGGATCTGCTATCCATTCTCTTTCGAGCTGCTTTTTGGCGATTATCTCATTTGAGTGACTCGATTTGTGGCGAATGCACATGATCGACAATATGTGACCACGGCAGCGGAGTGAATGCGCGTAAGCGACATAAGGAGCAGTCAAACTTGGGTCTGAAACATTGCTTGATGACTTTCATCGGAAGAGTTAAATACATCTCTATTCTTTCATTCAATTGACTCAGTCCGAGACAAACTTGAAGACACTGGCTCCCCAAGTCCTATCAAGCAACCATTTCATTCTATTACTTGCTGTAAAGCCGTATCTGCTTCATCCGAAACTTGCAAGATCATCCGACATCACAGTCACAATGGCCAACTCTCCAGAACTGACGGGCATTCTCACGGCCATTATCACTCCTTTCGCAGATGGCGGAGGCATTGATGTTGTTGCCCTTGACCAGCACGTCAACCGCCTTGTTGACGCCGGGGTCCATGGCCTGGTCCCCGGCGGAAGTACTGGAGAGTTCACTGCGCTCACGGTGGAGGAGCGTAGGACTCTCACTGAAACTTGCATAAAGTCAGCCGCTGGCCGTATTCCTGTTGTCGCTGGCACCGGTGACTTAACGAGCAAGGGCGCTGTCGAGTTGGCTGTCCACGCCGCGCAGGCCGGCGCGGCTGCTGTCATGGTTATCCCGCCCTATTACGAAGCTCCCAACCTCGAGGAGACACGCGAGCTCCTCCAAGACATCCACACCGCAAGTGGACTACCTATTGTCTACTACAATATTCCGAGCATCAGCGGCCTGGCTTTGTCAGCCCAGGATATTGCATCACTTTCGGATGTCGGTGTCAAATACCTGAAAGACACCTCGGGCAATGCTCCAGTCTTGACTGACTTGCTCTTTACCTACGGCCAAAAGATTACGACCTTCAACGGCTGGGACACTCTGACCTTCTATGGTCTGGCTGCAGGCGCAAAGGGTTCCATCTGGGGTGCCGTTAATATTATTCCCGAGCTTTCTGCCGAGCTTTGGAATGCCCTAGCCGTAGAGGACGATTTGAAGAAGGGTCGCGAGGTCTGGGAAAAGATTTTCCCAATCTGTAAGTGGCTTGAAACCCACCACTACTATGCTTCTGCGATCAAATCAGGCATGGAGCTTCGAGGATGGAAGACCGGAGGGGTTAGGAAGCCATTTGCTCCTCTCAAGGAGGGTTCTCAGGCTGAATTGGCTGCTTTGCTCGAAACCGCAGGAGTCAAGCTGTGATTAGTTCCCTTCTCTGCCTTGGAAGTTCTTTCAATACGATAATTAGAAGTATGATCTTGGCAATGATGGATTAGCTCATGAATTATTTTATTGCTCCTTTGAGCATACTGCCCTAAGCTGGAATCACTCACCAAACTGCCATTTTAGACCGGTCAGCCAATGCATAAGGTTTCTTTCAGGAGAAAACTATGATCAATCGACGACTTCAGTGGCCGCCTCTTCTCCCATAGCAACGAAACTGCCTCAGCAGAAGGCTTTGAAGTGAGATGCAGTCCTCGGGCATCAGTAATGCTAATGCACTTCAGTGCTCTCTCCTGAAGTTCTGGAGATATGGATTCCCTCGCACAGACATAGACTGTCCAGGCAATACCAAGCGCAAAGTCATCGCCTCTGACCATTGAATCAAGACAAGACTCCAAGTACCCCAAAGCTTGATGGATGAGGGTTTGGAGGAGCATGGCGCTAACATCGTGTATATGGCGATAGAAGTAGATGATCAACGCTCGATGCATCGCTTGTACCATTGACTGTGTAGAAGGTTGGGTGATTAAGTTCCCCTCGTTATCGATGGGCTGCGATTTTCCGGCCACAGATAGTACTGCTATTTCGGATTCAATTGACCAGGTCCATATTCTTGCCTCCAGGGTCTTGACGTGCGTTTTGAGGTCACCAGCAAGCTTCGGATTGCTGCGTGCGCGAGTTTCGAGGTGATCTTTCTCATTGCTTAGTTGAATCGTCTGAGCTAGCAGCGTCATGAGAGACTCAGGGATGCCGTGTATGTTCGAATGTAATGTTTCCCGCCAAAGACCTTGTGACTCAAGGTGTATGTCTGCATACCCGACTGTCTCGCTCTTCTCTTGGTTGGGATCTAGTCCTGTGTTAAGGGACTCCTCGCGAATTTTGAAACTACCGGGTGCGACTGCTTCGACTCCAAGCAAGCTTGTGCGATCAGACTCGCTTTCAGAATCCAAGAAGGGGTAAGTAGCCTCTGCAATTACCCTCATATAGGTATAAGTGTGATGAAGGACTCTGACTATCTCAGAGTTGTGGCCAGAAAGCCCTTTCACTCGTATCAAACGTTCAGCATCCAGCAGAAAGACGCGTGAGTCACGGCTTCCATGACACAACTGAAGTCCGTCAGCTTCGAAAGACTGGAATTCCAACACAAAATACTTACAGATCCCATGGCCATAGCGATTAAGGCCATTAATAGGTCTTTGTATCCGCTCAATCCAGAATCGTGGATCTCTATCTTCACAGCATTCTTGAAATGCATTCGAGCTCGTTCTTGGTGTTTGTTACCCAGATGTTGCCAGTAATTCGGGTAGCGCGGGGTTAAATCCGTTTTGTTGAGTTGAAAGGCGCTATGAGCAAGTAATGCGCACAGGATTGCCAGCCGACTTTGAGATGCCTCATTCAGAACTGACAACTCCGCAAACGTCTCAAAGGCACACGGAAGGAATAGTAGTTGCCACGCTGATTTGAAATTCCCCCGTCCACAAGTTTTGGTAGATCCAACATGGTTCTTGTAGTAGCGCAGAAGCGCCTGTGCCTGTTCAGGTACCTTTGAGAGTGAAGTAAAAGCTCCGAGGCATGACGATGCAGGTGAGATCGCCACAATAGCGGCGGCATCAGCATGGGAGGTGGCCGACTTGTTGTCTGTCTCGACAGAATTGGTGGCAGGTACAATGATATCTCCGTCTTCCCCACAATCAGTGTCCTCTACATGCTCCGGCCAACTCATTGGCAATATGTCAACGGTGAAGTCTGACTGAAGGTCAGGCATTGAGGCTGAAAATGGGTCCGAGGCGGTTATGGAATCATCCTGGGCAGGCAAGAGGTCTAAGCAGCCTAGGAATGACTGAAAAGACCCATCGAGTTCATCCAAAGACCAGTTCATGCCAAAAGCCTCTTGTAGGTCACTTTGCGACTGAAAGCCATCATGTTCAGGATCGACAAGAAGGCTATCATCATGCTTCGGCAAAGTAGGCGATGGTGATAGCTGGATTGAAGGGACTTCTCTGCATTTTACAGACTTGAACGCGCCAAAAGGTCCTTTCGAGATGCTAAAAGCCTTCTCGGTCTCGGAGGTTTTGGACGCCGTATCAATTTCGGCTAGCACTTTCCCGGCTGCTCTTGAGCCAAGACTATTTGTGAGCTGGCTGCTCATGATCTCACGTTCAGAGTCTGAAGACGCAGTGTTCCGTATCAGCATGTGCAAGGATTAACATTACACGAGGATGCACCCGACCTGAAAATAAGGTGTACCGGTACTCAGGCACTTCGGCGCCCCGCTGAGTAGCTTCTCCAGAGGCATCGCTATCTTCGATCCAGGTAAGACGAGCGGTGTAGCCAGCGCACTTGATCCCATTTCGCCGGCAAGCTGCACACTCCGGTCTCCCCTCATCGCACTTGGCATGACGACTCCGGCAAGTTCGACACCCCGTAAACGTTCGTGTATGCTCAACTCGACGCCTGCTTGACTTCGGCATTGCGTAAACAGGAAAAGCAAGGATAGACTTAGAGATCAGTAGGGCTCTTGTCTGTTCGTCTTTTTCGGCGATTAGTTTGACAAAAGAGTTATTCGAATCGTAAAAGATCGCAGAGAGAGTCACTTTTCAATGACGCAAGATTCCTCATCCAAATGATATCTGTGAGTGTTGATGGGCCGTGACCATATAGGCATGTCTCCACGGGATTAAATGGGTCCTTCGCCCAATGAATCAAATCGACCATTCGCAACCCCGCACTGACAGCAACAATACCTAGGGGTTACCTACCTAATTTGGCATTCGATGATAAGAATGTAGGCTATTATTCGAAGCCACTGGTTCGAACTTCGTAATACTGCGAGACAGTGAATCCCGAGAAGGGGAGTTGTATGGCGGTTGTCATCTGCGATTAGTCCAAATGCAGCATGTTACACAACCGCGTGATGCTTGTCCCTTTGGACGTGGGAGTCAGGCTGTTAGATCGAGAAGGCCAACCCGAACAAGCACAACCGGTTCGCCATCCAACTAACTCTAATCCGGCTTGTCTATACCTGCAGTACGAGGTTTTACTTGATAGATGCGTGTGCTAAGTAGGTACTCTGAGGCGTTGAAGCAAAGATCTTTACCAGAGCAATGACGGATTCGCGCTAGGTTCGTGGCTGGACAGACCCCAAATCACTAAGCCCCCCGCAGACGAATCGGTTCAGTGCATTGCAGTCCGGGAAAGTAAAGTTAATCAGACACACTCACTCGGAGTATACCAATTAAAACAAGATTCGTCCTCTATTCGAATGGAAACCTATCCAACATCAATCCTGCAAAACAGTGCTATAAAGAAAGGCTGACGCCATGATCGCCGACATTGACAGTGCAGCAAACACGGCCAAAGAAGACACTCCATCTTCCTTCAGCATGACTCCTTCAGCTACTTCAGTTGACACTTCTGACACCGTCAGTAAGTGCGACTCAGAGACTTCCCGGAATAAACACGGCCATGAGTTGCAGAACAAAACACCACTTCAAGCTATGTCCCATGGTGGCGTTGTTTTTGGCGGCATTCCGAAGCATTTGGACTTCCAATCAAACCGTCAATGGCAACTCGAGCATATGGCTGCTGCCTTCCGTCACTGGCATCGCGAAGGCTATGTCGAGGGGATGAGCGGCCATATTTCGGTTCGTGATCCGGAGTTTCCCAATGCGTTTTGGACCAACCCCCTCGGCCGGCATTTTGGTCTCTTGAAAGTTAGCGATATGATTCTTGTTGGCTTAGATGGATCTGTCATCGGTGGCAATCGATCTACTCCTCCGAATACTGCCGGTTTTCTCATTCACGCCTCAGTTCATAAAGCTAGACCGGATGCCCATGCTGTTTGCCACTGCCATAGTGTGCATGGGAAGGCATGGTCGGTCTTCGGCAGACGACTAGACATGTTAACACAAGATTCTTGTAAATTTCGAGGAGACGCACATGCTGTGTATGACAGCTACGGAGGTGTCGTCTTGGGTAGTGAAGAAGGGGACCGCATTGCTAGCGCACTTGGTCCAAACGGCAAAGGATGCATTCTCAGGAACCATGGTATCCTGACTGTTGGGAAGACTGTCGACGAGGCTGCGTTCCTATTCACATCTATGGAACGAACATGTCAGGTTCAACTGCTGGTAGAGGCAGCATCGCATGAGGGTAGTGGTCTTCGGAAGGTGCTAATCAGTGATGAAGAGGCGAACTTCAACTTTGACGTTGAGAGTGATCCTGAGATTTGTTACTGCGAGTTCCAGGCATATTACGATTTGGAGGAAGAGCTATCCGGTGGAAGTTTCAAAATTTGAATGGGGGTGGCTTGCATAGATGCACGCTCGTCATGTTTGACGTTAAACTAGATAAAACTGGCCATGGAAAGCGGATACATTCACGACTCTTGCGCCTTTGTTCTGAAGACCCGCAGATTGTCCAGAAACGAAAGTATCTAGCCCATCGAAGATTGCCCATTGATGATTACTGAATGAACTTCTGGACAATGAAGTCGACTGCAGGATCAATGAATTCGGGGCGAATGTAAGTGAGGTGGAAGAATGTGCAGGTGCCATTGGCATCGCAAACCTATACGTAAGAGTCAGCCTGGGTCATATGAATTCGGTTCGAAGTTAGTATCAGTCTTACTGGGTCGCCAGCTGCACAAACCTGCCTCGCTTTCTCGTTCAGTCCGGCAGGGAACTTGCTAAGGCTGGCTCCGAGCTTCAAGTATCCATCTCCAAACATTACTAACGATTTGATGCGGCCATAGAGCTCGGCCGGAATGTCAGCCGCGGCAGCATGCATCACAGCTGCGCCCTGAGAGTATCCGACAAGAGAGAAATTCTGATTGGGACAGGCAGTAGCCTGAGACTTGAGACGGTTGACCACGTCTCTAGAACCTTGACGAACGCCCGTGATGATTTGCGAGCTGGCCGGATACTATGTGCATGGTCGCGTTAATAGATTCTCTGTTGGACATAAGAGTACGAGTACTTGCCTGAACCGGGTATCCTCTGGCACCAGGCAGAGCAACAGTGGCATTGCTAACGACCGGGTCGCCGACTATGATGCCAAACTTGCCGCCACCTCCAACATAGTTAGGCTCACTCGTTCCTCGAGCTGGGCATCCCCGAGTTAATCTCACAGAACCAGCGGATCAGGGTTGTAAAGAACGCACCAACGAGAATCTCAAAATCAGAACAGCCAGCTGGGATATCTTCCGGTCGGATGGGGACGGGATCGCCGATAGTGATCCCCGTCTCTGGAATTTCGGGGCATTCGTCAGTGCCCTGACCGTTTACAACGGACAAGGACAGAACTGAAAGAGCCACAAGCTTGATGAAGAACATGGTGATTGGTATGTTGTTAGTTCGATTGCGATGGAGGTCTGCCAGATAATTCCTTGATGTTGCGAGATTGGCCTCATTCTCCGGGAGGAATATGTCTTAGCTATTTAACTGCAATATTTCCAGCACAGAGTGTGATGCCAGTCCGATACATCAAGATCATGAGCCTCGGGGCCTCGGCTGCTGCATTATTGGCATTTTGTCTAAGTTGATTTAGTCCAGCAAGTTTGAGGCTTCATCGCAACTGCTTCCGGAAGAGGGGAGTGTACGAGACGAGATTCACCGTCACTTCACGCAAACGAAGTTCTCACTCTTGGCTTACTGCCGTATGTGATGGTGTGCTCATCAAAAAGTCTGTGAGGATAAATCGCAAGTCTGTGTAGGTCGACGTCAACAAATGGACATTTGGCCAGGTCCCCTGAGTGATAGATTCGTCTGCCTCGGCACTCTGACTACGAGGGGATCGCGATGTTCTCAACTTGACAGGGATCTGGCTTCTCCAGGGTCGTCCTCCAATCGCATCTCATAAGATGGCCGATTCTGGCCAAGGGTGGATACACACCAATGTGACGCAGTCTGCATGCACCCCAGGCGGGGTTGTGGAACAGCGGGACTCACAGCAATAGAATCCTTCGCGGGAGTTACTCAAAATGGTAAGAACATGGCCTCTCATCTATATCATACAGCTCACTGCAACTGGTTGACTTAGACACACGACTTTCCATTCAGTCCTGGCCCCTTTTTAGCCCCCACAGACAATTCGCCGAAAACATCGCGGTGGGGGCACAGAAGCAAGCTGGTTCCCCGCAGGATATGTTGACGTTCAACGGCTTGGAACGGTGCTGCAGGATGCTGCTCACATTTTCCTACTGTATAACTCAAATCGGACGGTTGACAGCTGTTAAACTCAATGAATTGCTGAATCCTTCCCAAGTGACAGAGCAACCCAATGACATTGTTCGTCATACGGAACGGAACTGCGGCAAACGGAGACTCAGTGTGAAACAGCTTGCGGACAAAAAAGAAACGCAGCGACACACTGACATGTTCATATAAATTATCCGTCTGAACTGTTAGCGCGGCCCGAGCCTCTGTGCGCTCTTAGTGTAAAGATACTCATTTGGACGAGGCCAAAGCGACAAGCACGGATGTGTCCTTCACGTGGCGTAGTCCTGTCTGTCTGCACCGCCGCAATGAGGTCCTGTTCTTATCGTGCATGTCTTACTCTGGCCTCATGTGGGCAGAAATTTCATGTGCATCAGGTCACTGGTCTTGAAAAGTAAAATTGGCGGGTAACGGTGATGTATTTTGGAAAGAAAAGATGCAGCACTTAAGCAGGACTAACAACCGCGTGTCTTGGCCAATGCCAGACAGGATAGAAACAAAAGAACAGAAGCCTCCGGAAGCCTCATGTCGCAAGCAAAACAAAAAGGGGACCCAGCCAGTTTTTTTCATGATATGTGCGGAACCACTCCCATCAGCCCACTCAGCAGATCTGATCGCGGGACACCGTTCTCAACGAAATGGCAATGCCCCCTGTGGGCCTCAGAATGGCAGATGGTGCAAGACAACTTTAAGCCTGAACCTTCTTGATCTGCGCAATCAGGAAGTCGGCTCCCTCCTGGGCGTTGGCGCCGTATGACAGGTGAGGTGCCAGGACAGCGGCGCTCAAGTTTCCGTCGCAGACAGTGTCGCGAGGGTTGGCGGCGCAGATGATCTTGATCTTGTCCTTGGGGAAGTTGGGGATCTGGCCGTTGTCTGCGCGGAACTGGGTGTCTCCGAAGGTGACCACTCCGGCGATCTGGTTCTTCTGGGCATCGGGGGCGTTCTCGATGGCGCGGTGGTTGACCGCCGCACCTTGGCTGTTTTCGAAGCGCTCAGCATCTCGGGCTAGTCAAGTAGAAACGAAGATGTGAAACTTACGAGTAACCTCCAGTGACTACGATGGCGGTAGGGCACTTGCTGTTGATATCGCTAAGGATGCTCTTCATCTGGTTGATACCAACGGGGTCGGCGCCACCGGGGAGGAAGTTGGTGTCCAGGCCAGCGGCGTAATCAACACCCTGGACGGCAACCTTACCCGGGAATGCGGCCTTCAGGTCGTTGGCAACAGGTGGTCCCACAACGGTGCCCTGTCCAGAGAAAAGAAAGTTTTAGCATCAAAGTCACCAACAGTCGACAGTTGGGATGAAGGAACTCAAGCAAACCCACCATGTTGCCGATCTCCGTGGAGCCGCGCGCCCAAACGAAGATGATGTCGTTGCATCCGCCGGTTTTGAACTCGTTGGCCGTGCTGCCGACGGTGCCGCCCAACTGCCGCTTGGTTTCTTCCTGCGGGATCGTGGGGTAGGCAAAGGCGGTGGAGGCCAAAACAAGAGTGCTGAGGAACTTCATGGTGAGATAGGTGAGTTTCAAAGTGCTTGGACTTGCAAAGAGAATGAATGTGAAGTGACTTGTCGCGGACAAGATGGCAAAGAACTGAAGAGAATGAAAGTGGTTGCGGTTAGCTGCTGAGGTGCCTGGATGGGTGAAGAGCTATCGTGGCTTTGTGGTGAGCTTTGTGGGAGTTCTTATAGAAGATGATGTTATCCACAACCTCAGAGCATCTACGCCTAAAGAGGAATGTTCAACGAGATGTTCTCCTCATTCCTAGTTATTCCTCGGCTCTCAGGATTCCTCGGCTCTCGAAGAGAGACTCCTCGGCGGTTTTGTTTGTATTGAAGGATGACAAGGTGCGGAGTTCATTCTATTGAGGTCTCGAATGGATCAGGACGATCAGAGACTACCTAGGCATGTTACCATAAGTCGGGGAAGGTACCAATGTCTTGGGATCAAACAAATTGGCACTGCGGCGAGTCCCGCGAGGATCCGCCATGTTTCTCCCGAAGATGCGGTCCGTCATGCAGAGTCAGGCCTGTCATTCGTTCTATTGCGCGCAGCTATGAACCTGCCAGAACCTAATCAGGCGCCTTTTGCGAATACATGTATACAACATGGTCGTTGGAATTACCTGTTTAGATCATTCAGTGCGGCTGGTGTGTTGGCTTCGGACGTAGGCAATGACAAGATGAACGTGAAAGGCCAATGACAGGACGAACCACGCATTGCTTACTCCTACTTAGGCCGTTTCAGCTAGTCAGGGTTGCCCACCACTCTATCGACTGCCAGCTGGCATGGTCACCTCCTGACCTGTTTTTCTCCGCACAAAACACCATTGAGTGGTGTCACCCTGAAGCCTGGACTCAAGAGAAGGTGTGTGACATGGATTGATCGGTCGTGCTGCCCCCTTAGTTACCTTACTCAAGTGTGTCCATGGAATTTGCCACATAATGGGTCCTTATGGATACTAAACTCCCAGTTCTGACATTGTATGAAACGAAGATGCTATCACGAATTTGAAATAATCAATGACAGTTTAGTCAAGTAGACTTCGAGCTTGAATACAATGAAACCTGGCTACTTCAGTGGCTTAGATGTCGTTCCGACAAAGCTGGAGCTATTTTTACCCAAGTGCCGTGTGCATGTAGCAGTGATGCCTTTGCAAGCCTGCTATACACACATGACACTTGCATTGAGTTCAAGTGAGTTCAAGCTTGCGCTCAAAATATTGAAATATTGTAGTGTCTTTCGTTCAGTCTGGTTTGGTTTGATTTGTAGAGGCCTCCGAGCTCTGGAGCACAGATATTTAGTTTCGAACCAAGGATTTCAGTTGATTAATTGCTATCCACGTTCTAGTTGCCATCATCCGAACTACCCGTCCAATCGCATCCGCCTCTTCCCAACACTTGTGGGATGGCAGCTCCACTTGCCTAACTCCCGACAACGCTCCCCGATCATTCCAAGGTTCCATGATCTTCAACTAGAAGGCCGAAAGCTTGTCAGTAAGTAAGGTACGGAAGTCAATTAGCACGTCTTACTTAGTTTGGAAAGTCAACGAGCATTGTTTGCTAGCCAAGTGTTACGCAATATCAAAGCTCCAAATTCAAGGAACAAAGATGGAGCTTCTCAGGTCTTCAGCTCTTTCTAGCAAAGTAAGTCAATGATTATCCGGGAGAATCGGGACACCGAGGAGGCAAAATCAGCACGGAGTAGAAGTTTTGACCTCACGGTATGACATCTTCAGCCGCCGTTTGTGATGGGATCGTTTGCATTGCGATCGATTCAGTGAGATATTTTCCGTTCGGCTGAATGGTTCACCCGAAAGTTTCGATTGCTATGGGCCCATGAGACTTATTCACGCCACGATTTCTGCATGAGATTTACAAACTTCAAAACAGGAGCCCGGTTCAATCTCCGGTATCCCCTTACTTTGATGTCGTCCTCATATCCCAGGGTGACTGTCTCAGGGCTCTTTCTGATACACTCAGTGGGTAATGAAGTCTAGTAGCCCCCAAGAATGGCTCGGTTCATTGACCAACCTGATGAGGCATCAGGTTCGGAGATGCGATGCGATTCAGGACCCATGAGCGGTTGATGGCATTACATTAGATGGTAAAGATTTAGTGAAGCCGAGGCCTCACAGGTCTGATAGTGCCTCGGCATGAAAGTCGAGCTGTTTCCAGTAGTGGTCTAGTTTTGCAGGTCCCCCTATAAGTTCACAAGTTCTATGATATGAGGAGGTCCATGTGTTTTCTCTTTTTCTACAAGAGTTAGAGCGAATGTAAAACATCAAAGCAGCTTTCCCCTCTCCGTTTTAGTACGATTGCTACTAACAAAATTATACAAGTTGACAAATGGATAATTCATAATTCACAATAGCTCTGCGATTACTTACGAAATATGGACACTTTTGGTAAGACGCACAAATTTGTTGACATGATTACTAAGACATGATGTCTTTGCTTAGCCTTTACCGGCTTTTCTCTCGAAATGCTGAGGAAACGCGCAATTCTGTTCTGGTACGTGGAGGTTTTCCTGCATGCGTCTACTTTTGAATCCATCACAGCCAGCCTCAGGCGTGATGAACTGTGGGGATGGACATACGGCCAATCCAGACGCTGTCTTCTCGGATTTCAGCCAGTAGGAGCCCCTAAATCACAGCTGAATGTTCCCCGCTGCCGCTTCTTCCGCGTTGTCACACTTGAAAATATGCTACGCTTTTAGTCCCAACTCGTTACAGGTCCGTAGTGCAAACTCTCTTGAGACTAAGGCAGTCCAGCCGCAACTTCATCACACATATTTCTTCCACACATCATATTCTGATGCTATTATTCGGCTTTCGAGTTTCTCATCACACTCTAGATGGGTTCACTACAGCCAGCCACAACCTCTGACTGCAGGTTTGCGTAGGGCAATTGACTTTTTGTACGTACAATATCTGTAAAAAAAAGAAAAGAACAGAAAAATCGAACGTGGGAGAAGTATAACTAGACGAAGAGTTTCCCCAGGAACAAATGCTTTTTGACTACGAGCTACAGCTCTCGACACCAGATCCCGAATCCTTCAAACGCATCTGACTTTTCTCCACCATCGATCTTGTCTCCTTCAATTCAAAATGGCTCAAACCGAGACTCTCAGTCTTTTGCAGGATGTCGTTGCTAAGACCCAACAGCAGGCAGTTCTGGAGTCCGACATTCAGGAACTCCACGACCACATTCTCGCCCAGCCAGGAGGAGAGGAAAAGCTCCGGATTCTGGCCAAAAGCGTCAGCTCGCCTGTTACGGCCTTGGCCACTAACGATGCTGGCGCATTCAAATCCAAGATGAGCGCTACAGGTTCTCTGATTAACCTCTGGTTCTATCAGCGCGTAACCGTCAAAGTCAATGTCAACGGGAGGGATAGACAGTTTACCGCAAACCTTGGCGGGCTCTCGCCGGGCTTTCCGGGCGGTGCTCTTTTGTGAGTTAAAGTCACCAGCATCTTTGGACAAAATACCTGCCGCGAAGCGTTTTTCACTGACTGTACGGCGAACGCTTTCCCAGTGGAGACCTCTACTACGACGATATCAATGATGTCGGTGGTGACTATACCGTTCAAGCTGGCTCCATCGGGGTAAATACTCATCTGCATCCCACAGCTCTGGCTGAATCCTCGCTTCGTCGGGGCATTAGATGTAGCACACTAACAGATGGAATTTTACAGCCATGGTACTCAGTGCAATTCTTCCGGAATGGTTCTCTCAAGATGTCGTTCCAGGCCGGCAACGTGGGATTTTCGACTGGGGTCACTGGCGGCACCGGCTCTTGGGACTAGTACTTACTTCATGTACTTAGCAGGAGCTTAAAACACTTCCGGTGTTTTTAAGCACAGGACCAACGTTAGTTTTGATAGGAGATAATGGGTCTTGGAATTTTTTGCGGCACTAGGACCATCGTGGATGCGTAATCTACATCAATACACTGCATCACTGACATTCGGGAAAGTGAACTCTCAAGCTTCGCAATGACTTCGTCTGGAAAGATTCAATGGCAAAGACCTGATCAGTCCTAGTTTTTTGTGCCAGAAGCTCGACGCATATCCAGTCCGTTCTGTGCAAATATAACGGCACTTTTCTGTGATGTTGACATTGGACGCGAGTTCAAGAAATAGATCTGAGCCGGCGAGCCTCGAACTGAGGTCCCAGTGCTCTCGTTGCTCGCAATGAAGTCCAAAGTCTTCCTGCATAACAGGCTTAGGTTGTTGATGATGATGGCCTCTCCTTGAAGTGCACCAAACTTGGTACCGCCTATACAGAAGATCTCCATCAGGCGGCCAATTTCCTCGAGCATAAGATCACTCCCTCCGCAGGTAGTGCTACCTCGAGAGTTGCACCGTCGAGGATCTTGTGCCTCTTAAAGACTATGACAATCTTGTCCGGCTCTGTCTTGTTTTACAGCGTGCTGATTTCCTTGGGATTGAAGATGTACACGAGACCGGACTTCGCCATGCACCGTTGGTGTGAGTTGTCACCCGACGCCTGCTTGACCCCAGCCACTGTTAACTTGCTCTCAACTGGCCGCGCCATGATTATCTTATGGGTCAAAGCCTAGGTGGCCTCGGTTACGTGTCCGATTATGTGCCCAGAGCTGACTGTGGTCAGCAGCCACGGTGTTGACTGGCATCTCGCTCATCACAAAGTGTACGTCGGTGACAGGTGCCTTGGTATTTTTTTCTCGCCATATTCTAAGCAATCTCCGCAGAAAAGTCTTTGCCGTACGATCATCGGATACTACTGTAGAGTTGTGGTTTGGAGGTTCTGCTGAAATTTCCGGGTGCGCCTATTGTTTTGGTTATCTCGTTACTGCACGTGTAGAGTTTCACGATGTCAAGAGAGCATGTTGTAGAAATTATTATAAAATATAAGTATCCAACGGAATGTATCTAGAGACAAAGCAGCGGCCCATCAGACTCGGAGTAGGAACAAAGGTCACCCTGGAATACAATGGCCAGTTTCTACTCAGTAACTCCACGAAGATAATTTCGACCACACTTCCCTTTGTCTTATTGCAACACGGTAGAGGATGTGATTGGAAAGCGTATGATGTCCAAATTGGTGCTTTCGAAGGCCTTCACCTTTTGATCTCTTCATGACGGCTACCGCCTCTCAATTCTTTGGAAACTTGGTTGACACGCCTTGCTCACCAAGTGCCGGTAGACTGGTGATTGAACAAAAAGCAAGGTACGTTTTCAACCCGTCTATACCCTAAGGCATCTCAAATTCAAGGGAGGCAGGATTCAAGAGCCCCACGAAACGATCGTTCCTTCCCAGGAAAAGGTGAGGTACAAAAGGGGAAAACAGAACGGCAAATCTGACTTTTTGCTTTTCCACTTCAGGAAAAAAAGATCGTCGCGAATCCTATATCATTTCTTCAACTCACCCACTCCCCTCGACGGCCCTCGCTCTTTAGGCCTTACTACCATACTCCCCCACGAACCTCACTCTAATCTCGTTTTGCGAGCTCAGCCCATTATCAATCCAGGAACTCCCGGCAATCAATCGTTAATTGAAGTTAACAATAAGTCTATTCCTTACTTGAGGTAAGAAAATATCATGTCACACTATTTTGGGGGCCACTCCGAGCTAACTTGCCCATCGACAATTTCCTTAACTTCTCGGTTATCAGAAACCCTCTCAGCTTTATTCAGACATACATTAAGCTACTACTCCGGATCGCATTCAGGTATCTTGAGCTATCAAAAATATCACAGCTCCCAATCCCAACTTTCAACCATGCTAATACGTCGCACACCCAAAGGATGGATGACTCCAACGCCGATCGAGGCAATCGCGCGTCTCTGCGTGAACAGCTTGCCTTCTTAGCATTGACGAATGCAATCGATAACTGGAACTCTCAGTGTCCCGGGCTCGCTACTCAGCTGCTGAACGACAGTGATCAACGCCTCATATCCGAATGCTACAAGGCTCACTTGATGCCGACGGCGCGTTCCTTTTGGTGGAATGGAGAGAACGCCAACATAGCCACGTCTATACTTCTCCCTGAGATGTATCCTCTGCTCGAGGACAATTATTGGAAGCGTAGCAGATTAAAGGCTACCGACATTCTCAGAACCTGGCGTAAAGACGCTGCCAGCCTCTTACCATTTGACGATGTCGAGGACGAAGAGCTTCAAAACACACTTGTTGAAGAAAGAGAGGAAGACTCTGTCGAAGAGGACAGAGACGTCCGAAGTCTTTCCCGCTCCCTACAGCAGTGTGGAATGAACGACCGACACGATACAGAAGAAGACACTGGAGACGTCATTTTCGTTACAGAAGGACCCGCGCCAAGTAAGAAGAGAAGGGCGGAGAGTCCGTTGAGCCCAGTCATCACACCGAAGAGAGCGAAGCATCATCAATCTGTCGTCAAGTCCGTTCACGACGTCGAGAGCTCCGACGACGACATCATTGTACGCCGCCGACGGCCCCTTGCGAGGTCTGCAGGTCTTCCTAGAGTATGGCCCGCTGGCACGCTCATCACACCTCCTCAAAGCGACGGATCTTCACCCACGATCTTAATCGACTCTGAGAGCGACGACCAAGAACCCCTCACGACAAGCAGACGTCGTGTTACCTCGACTGACTCGGACAGCGATGATCAAGAACCACTTTCGATGGGAAGACGTCGAGGCCGTCGTCTTTTCAAACGCAAGCAATCGCCCAAGCCTTGGATGGAGCGTCCGTCGCCACTCGGTCTCTCTCCCATCCGAACCGTCGCGACTACCGAGCCAGTCGAAGCGCCCGAGGAGAAACACAACTGTGTTGCGGCCCTCGAGGACCTTTTTGATTCCGTCGATAGATCCCGTGATCAGTTCACGGGAGAGGAGTGGGAGCAGGCGGATCGTCAACTGAAAGAGATGGGGAAGCGGATGAAGAGAATGAGCAAGATGGCCAAGACTAAGAGAATGGAAAGAAGTCCTTAGGCCTGAATAGAGGGAACTTGGGGTTCTTGATACAAACCAACTGGGGCAAAGTTCAGTATTTGAGCAAAATAGCTCGCATTGTATCGGCGGAACAGCCTTAGCTGATAGATTCCGGTACCTTAATAAAGAGATAGACAGAAGATGTTGCCAGAAGATGCACGAAGTACACAGCTTTGAGAATAATGTCAACGCCTATTTAATCAGAACTCATCAAAACACAGAGATCAAATTAGACAGATGATGAATGAATCCACAAAGATATTTGCAAAGGTAGCTTTTGTCTGCGCACACACCAACCACTGTGTGACAATGATAATTCTCCATGTCATCGGGCAAAGACCGATTCATTGCGAAACCGAGGAACGACGCCAAGCCCTACAGAACCCGAGTCACTGCGCTTAAACAATGTTTCCAACCCATTGTGTGCCACCCTTCGGGAACGTTTCAGCGATCATTTCTGTGGTGGTGCTAAGACCCCGGGTTTGTTTGCGTTTAGCTTCCCCCGCCCGTGATAATTATCAGACGAAGAAGGTTGGACACGTGCGATGCCGAGCCACTGTATCTCACTTTCACACTCCCATGAGATCCGCGCGTTACCCTTACGGTTACATTCTCCCCCAAGGTAGCCTCGACCCTCCATTTTCTTTCACCACACATAGTAATCTGCGCGGCAAAAAAATCCAGAAATTTTCCAAACATGGCAGAGTCAATCACCGCAACAATGGCCGCGAGTCGCAAGAGATCACGGCCCGGGGCAGATACCACCAATACCACCAGCTGCAAAGCTACACTAGCTTCCATCAACTTCAACGACAGACCACCACACCCTACCACAATCATCTCACTACCCAAAACCGAGGACGAAGTCGAGACCCTCCTCGAAAAAACAAGCGCCCTCGCCGACGTAGTCTCCCACAACCGCAGCCTAGCCGTCTACACCGCCTTCGCAGCAACACCCAACCCCAAACGCGACCCCGTCGCCATCGCCAAGAGGGAAGCCGACGTGCGCGAGCTCGAAATGTACGACCGCTTCGAGCAGATCGGCTGCCAGCCGCAACCCTGGATGAAGCTCGACGTGCTCAAGGACGTGAAGCCGCTCGACAGGGAGAACAAGAAGACGGCGGCGCGGTACGAGGATATGGCGTCCTGCGTCGACGAGGTGTGCGGCACAACGGGCGCGACGAAAGAGAACGTGGCGTGGATCGTGGAGAATAGGGAGGTTGTGCTGCCTCTTGTGAAGTTTTATCTGAGGATCAAGAGGGCGAGGAGGAATCTTTCGGGCGGGCAGGCGAGTCTTTCGAGTAATGAGCTGGCTGAGTACCAGACAGTACGCAAGATTCGGAGCGTTTTGGGGGTGAGGATGCAGAAGTTCCGGATGGAGAAGGCTTCGGAGAGGAGGTTGAGGGGGTATGATGTTGTGCTGTTGAGGAGGCAGAATGAGATGAATGCTATTTTGAAGGGGCAGCGGGACCGAGATGGGAAGAGCGATGATGGGTTTGCTGCTGATGGCAGTGAGGCGAGGACGAAGCGTCAATGTTGCTGAACCATAATCTTGAGTACCACCACAAGTAGCACAACGTCAAAAAAAGACGACAAGTATTACCCTTGGGAATAATCGAACCATTTTGTAAACCTCTCGCATACTCATTTATTCCGATTGCAGAGAACAGTGCTCTGCTCCGTGGCAGATTGAGGCCAATCTACGGTTTGAACCTCATCTCACCTGGGGGAATCCCGACCTCCCTCGTCATGGAACACCTCCCCAGGCTGGTCCTACTAACAACCTTTGCCGGCACCAATCAGCTGGTCGATAGTCTCTTGAAAATGATGAAAGTTTCACGAGCAACAATTGTGTTCGGATCGACTTCACCGGAAGTAAGTGGACCTCCAACTTTCTGCTCTTAATACATGCCAAAAACCAAAAAGGAAGGAACGAGGGAGGGGGAATACTGACCTTATGATTCACGCCCCTATTCGGATTCGAACAGCGCGCCCCTCGTTTCCAGCACGGAAGTCATTGGAGTATTTCATTTACTATCGACTCTGCGTCAGAGTCTAGCCACCCGGCCAAATGGCCGGATGGTGTGCTGGTGTGCTGGTGACAGATTCGACGTTGAATGGGTATAAGTAGTACCCTTGGCCTTCACCTTCCGGTATCCCCCCTGGAGATGTATCATGGAGATGCACTAACGGAGAGGTACCCACGGAGGTAAAATATCCGGTATCCAAGTTGAAGATTTGCAGCGTAAATCTAATTGAGTTAACATCTTTAATTATTTCTACATCACCTCGTTGCTCAGAACGGGCAAACAGGGGTCGACGATATTCCTCCCTCTCACGATGTCAACCACAGACCCCAGTCCACGATCCTGACTTAGTAAGCATATACCCCCACAAAACGCCCGGGCTGCCGTGCCGATCAGTCCGGCTCCTCCCCACCCCGCGTGCCCGCCTAGCGCTAGTTTAGCTCGCCCTTATCTTCCGCCTTATGAATACGCGTACCCAGATTGTTCATCGCCAACTTCCCATGCCGGAGCTGATACTCCAAAAAAAGCAAGAGAAGAGAGGCAGAAGAACAGGAGAAACTCGTCAAGAGAAAGACTGAGATCTTACTCTCTTTCCATAAGCCACCGTGGTCTCGACCCTTTTGCCCCTGAAGAGCTTCGTTCTAGTACCGGTAGGCCTCGGGTTCCAAGACTTTCCAAGCTTACTTGTCACTCACAAGGTTTAATATCCTCGGATGCTCATCGTAAGCCTGACTTTCACGCATTTAGCATGCCCTTCTAAGGTGGTGTCTCTTCTCTTCACAGGCTCATTTATGAATAACTCTCACGTGGTCTAAAGAAGCGCATTAAATCAATACGAGGTGCGAGCGCCTTGCTTTTTGCATTTTGCATTTTCGATTTTCCTGATCCTCTACACGTAATCCTGACTCTACTCTTCCAAATACTAGGGATCCATGGGACCTGTATCATCTAGGCTGTGGGCCCTTGCGTGTTCCAGTATCCATCAGGTAGTCCCTTTTCCTACAGAACTCTTTGCATCCTTGGTCTGTCTCGCTAGGCAATCACGATGACTCTAGTGGCCCTCGCCACCGAGACCATCCAACTCCTTGAGCACAGATGACTTGGTGCCGATCTTCTTCATCTGCGTGTCCTCAAGCTTCTCGCCTCCGGCCAGTCTCATCTCGAGATCCTCGATCGCGCGGACCTTCTTCTGCAAGCTGCGAATCTTCTTCGCGTTCGGGTTTTGCGAGTTATCGGCGCCGGGGCTAGTCACAGTCACCGGTGCGGCCTGCTGAGGCTGCGCGTTAGGCACCTGCGGCGCGCCATTCTGGCCTCGGTGGGTGTTGCTCCTGTTACGATGCTGACCCGCACCGGGGTTGCGAGAGTGGCTGCGGTGTCTGTGGTTACCTCCGGCACCGCCACGGCGCTCAGGGCTGCGACCCTCGTGGCCAGAACCCGCGCCAAAGTCACGGGGAGGCGGGGCGAGCGAAGCACCACCGCCGTTCTGACCTTCTGGGTTGATTTCTCCGTCCTTCTTTCTGTTGTTGCGCTTCTTCTTGTTCTTGAGCGCCGCCTTCGACAAGTTTTCATCGTCGTTCGGGTCGGCTCCAGGAACCTTAGGAGCAGCACCAGGAACGGCGAACTCTGCACCAGGCACACCACGGCGGGGACGTCCGAACCCGTTAGGTCCAATGGGCGCAGATCCGTTGTTCATGCTGATGTGGGCCGCGCCGCCCTCGTCTTCTCGCTTGAAGTGAAGCGGGGTGGCGAGGCCACGAGCACCAGGAGGGCGGTAAGCTCCCGCGGGCTTGCTGGGCGTCTTTACGGAGCCCAAGTAAGTGGCCGCGGAGGCGTGGGGGGTGGGGACCGGGTTCAGAGGATCTCCGCCCGCAACCTTTTCAACAGCCAAGGGCCTCCAGACAACGTGATAAAGCTCAACCTTGTCCTCGTTGTACATGAGAGGACCGCTGACGTGCCAGAGCTTGATGCCGTTGTCGACACGGAGACGAGGAGAAGTGGTAGCCGTCATGATATAACGGCTGTCGGGACTCCACGTGCAGACGCTAGGGTTGCCACTCTCGATGGTGTGGAGCTTGCGGAAATCCTTCTCGAGATCAATGACATCGATCTGGCCAGCCAGATTTCCGAATCCAGCAACAAGAGCAAAACGTCCCGTGGGAGAGAAGATGATGGTGTTGCGGGGTCCCAGGGGGAACGAGTGCTGGGCAACGGCGCGGTGGTTGAAGATGGTAGTCTTCGCAGGCATGTAGCCATAGACGACACCAAACTCCTTAGAGTTCGGGGACCACGTCACATCGTGGATAGGACCCTCCTTGTCAAGGCTGACGCGGGCGTCGAAAGAGCCATTGACACTGAGCAGGTACAGCGTAGTCTCACCGTAGTAACTCTTGTTGGACTTGTCGACATCGGTCTGGGCCAGAACGAGAATGCTGGTTCCCAATTGATTCCACTTGAGCTGGACCTTGTCGCCCTTGAAGAAGGTCTTCTGGGAAATGGGAGCGTTGAACTGGGGCACATTGTAGACCTTGACGGCAGCGGGTTGTCCCTGAGAAGTACTTGTTAGCATGTTGAGGAGTTCAATGAACGAACGCAAAGATTGCTTACCTTGCGTTCAGGAATGAAGACAGCAACGGAGTGGGAACGACCGGGAGCCAGGGCAAAGTCGGCGACGCCCTCGACTCTCAGCTTGTTCCAGACGGTGCCGAGATCATGACTTTCGTAGAACTGGACTTCGTTGGTGACTTGGCGGGCACAGAACTTCTCGTCGGCTGTGTACTGAAGGTTCCAGCCTCCCTGCGACTTTTGGACGTACTTGCCCAAGGGCAGCTTGTCGGCTCCGGCAACGCCGTCTTCGACGGTACGCCAGACCTTCAGGTTCTTGGTCGCATCTCCGTTCTCGTCCTTGCCAGGTCGCTCCCAGGTGACGAGGAAGGTGCCGAGAGGAGAGAAACCGAGCTCAAGGACATTGAGGATGGGGAGGGCAAGAACCTGCTGGCCAGTGGAAGCGTCGACAACGGTGACAACTTCGGGGCTCGCCCAGGCAAAGTACCGGCCACAGGGCGAGTATGCACAACACCGGAGGTTCCCTTCAGGATTGGTGAACCCAGAGAGAGGCTGGTAAGATGGCGCAGCATCAAACAGGCCGATGCCCTTCTGGGTGCGGTAGGCAAACTGCAATTGTGAGGACGCCATAACTAGTCAAAGTCACAGTGTGTATCAAGAGCAGAGAGTGCCGGGTCGGAAGGTTGACGTTCTTGGGTGGAATTGATGGTTCTTCTTCAGTGGGCTCAGAGATCAGAGGTGGTCGTCGAGATCGAAGTCGTCGAGGTAGACGGACAAAGGCAGATGGCGATGGCTCGAGAGCTTTGCTTGTGTTGCTTTGCGATGGACGGAACCCGTGGATTGACCGGGGTGGCGGGTATTCCGGCGACGTCTTGTTTTTCTTTGCAGCAAAGGAAGCTTTGTTGATCTGCTAATTCGCAATCGGTGGCAGGGTGTTTGTGTTGATGTTCTAACGTCGGATATGGATACTAGAGTATACCACAGAGCTGGCGTCGGATGTTGGCTTTGAAGCTGGTCGACGGATGACGTGTGAATCGATGGTCGATGGCTGACGGGGCAGTCGTGATTCAGAGCGGCGTCGGAATCGAGATGCAAACACACGTGCAGTGACAACGAGGACGGAGAGGCAGACGACAGCAAGGACGACTGGCTGGAGCTTGAGCCGTGAGGCTATAGGGACCCGAGGAAGAAAAATAGGGAAGAACGTGAGGAAGAGGGGAGAAGGGGAATGGGAGGAGGCACCCTGAGGGGGGAAGATTGGCGTGCAACGGTGCGTGTTGTTGTGTGGGCTGGAGGAGAGGAAAGGAAAGGGAAAGGAAGGGGAGAGAATGCTAAAGTGGGATTTTGTGAATATTTTTTTCTGCTTTGCCAGTTGCGCCCCCTGGTCCCGTCGCCTGCGCGGGTTCGCCTTGACTCTGGCTGGCACACCCTGGCCACTTTTTTTCTTTTCTTTTCTTTTTGTCGGCCTGAGCTCACTTCACGCCTCACCATGGCTTCAGGGCACCTCGTTTTGGGGGCCTTGGGGAAGTACTTCAGAGCTGGCACACTGTATCCGTACGATTAATGGACGGGAGGGCACCCAAGCACTCCCAGTCCTCAATCATGTTAGGCTCCCGACGGTCAGACGGCCCACTCAGAGATGGAAGTAGGTATACGTATCTTGCCTGAATAAGGCGTCTTATGTAATACTGCCAGCGCACCTCTCAAATCCCACAAAGTTTCAAAAAGGATCAATTCGTTTGCTATTTATTGTAAAACACCAACAAAGAAGGAGGTAAGGTAGGCACGATACTTTAATCATGAGCGGTCATTCAACGCACATTTCTCTATTGCTGAAAGTTTTGAGTGAGTATGAAAGCTTCTACAATAAGATAAGGTAGGCAATACAGATGGCTACCTACCTAGTAGGTGTGCAGCAGTTGAGTAGCTTGAGCGACAAGGTGCAGCTTGGAAGCCAAGCCACACACACACACTTCCACACTTCCACACTCCCAATGCGGGCCGCAGCCGGACAGGGCAGCGCGGCGTGTGGTACCGTCCCCCAAACCCCATGAATCCCGGACCCAACCGTGGCCGGTGGACTCTCACACTCTCATCGCAAGAAGCTGGAGGTGAGGTTTGCTTTCCTTCGCCTGGGCTTCTAATTACCTAAGACCTTACCTTTACCTACCTACCTTGGTATATGTGGTGGATATGTGGCCAATCACATGTTTTCCATCCGCTTACGGCGCCGGCACAGCAGAGACGGGCGTTCCTTCCACGGCTCCCCAGACAATGGCTTGATTGGCACTGGCAGGAATGGTCCAGTGGACTTGCAGGAGAGACTGAGACCTCCAAATGCTGCGCCGTTGCCGTATCAATTCTGCATCTCCAGGAAGGCATGTCTTACTCATCGCTCCGTGACTTCGTCTATTGGCTGGCTGTATTTTTCTCTTGTCCCACATCTGACCATTTCCAATTCCAGCAAACAATAATTCCCTTCCAGTGTTCAATGACCTGAACAACAAACCATCGTCTGACCAGTCTTCCATCTGAGGATGCAGGTCATCCGACCATACCTACCTTACCTGACTTTCTGTGTTCATGGTCGGATGAGTTGAGGTAAAGTAGGTATGGTCGGTTGACATGTAGTCTCCTTCCATCTACCGTCTCTTCATACTGCGGGCCTCGGGTTCTGTCTCAATAGAACATCTCTAATCACAGGGTTCTGTGCTCGAGCCAAGTACCACCTTTTCCCCTGGTTCCAATCCGCCTCAGCTGCGACAGGGTCAGGAGTCAAGGCCTTTGGTCCTTATCCTCCCAAATGGGTGACAAAATCGATTTCCTGCTATTCATCTTGATAAGTACCCCTTTCACTACTCATATCATAATTACTATCCCTTTTTATATTAAGGTCCTTCTTGGGTATATACGTAGAGAAATATACTCTGTTTGATAGATATCAATGCTAGTAGTAATAGCCGTAGAACTGCTTGTCGCATGTGTCGAGCGGAAATCGATTTTGTCGCCCACTGGCCTCCCCCCATCCCGCTCAGACTTCAGCATGAATTGCTCATGTTTGGGCGTGTCGATTGTTCCTCCGCATGAGAGTAACGGAGATTGCGATCCACTCATGCTCTTCGCCCTTGTTCTCGACCCTTTGGCTGCGGGGATCCCAGCACCAACTGGTAACTACCCTGCTGGGGTAGAACCTTAGATTGACTGGCCACGATAACCTCATCTCAATTGACAACAAGGGTGCATCGTTAGCATTGGCGACGGTAGACGAATCAGCCACCGTGGATCATTGTAGCTATCGGCAATCGTTCCTGTCTATCTTGAGCATGGCCCACAGTCTTTGGTGCCCGCAATCGCAGGAGGCTGATCAAGACAGCAATTGGAGATCGGTCAGGCAGCAAGCTACTTTTGCCGCGAAGAATCATCCTGCTGACGCAAGGTCTTCTAGCCCTAGTCGGAATCATGACTCTCGTTGGGCTTCGGCATGGGCCATGGCTTTGTGTCTCGAAATTCCCAGATTAGCGAGATGCTCCTTCAGGCCCGCCGCCGAGCCGATTCGCACGATCCGTTCTTGCGACTTGACGTCGTATAAGTCTAACCTCTTGGTCACCGCATCGGCGCGGATGGGAGGTCTTCGTCAAGACGGGCCTTCGACTTTGAAAGGACTGCTGCGTCGAATGACAGGTAGAGGGTTCAGCAGGCCGACGTTGCGGTCACCCACCCTCGTCGTTACCAACTCTCCCGGATGAGGCTCGCTTTGCGGCATCGAAATCACGGCCAGCTCAATATCATAGTCTGACTGCTGCGGCTCATCTCTTTCTGTGCCGGGAGTACTTCCGGGGGTCGACGCAAGCCTCACATCCGAATCTGCTGTGGTATTTTGCAGCCTGATCCTGTTCCCAGCCGCTAGCCTGGATCGGCGATTCATGCCCCAAGATGACAAGGAGTCTAGACAATCTTTCGATGCCTTCCTCCACCAAGAGAGTCCTGCCGTAGAAGAATTAGACGATACTCTTGTCGCGCTGCGCCGCTCGAGCAGGTGGTTGATTGAGGGAAAGCAAGCGCAAACTATGCCAATGGCGAGCTCTCCAGTCCTGGCAGAATCGCTGTCAGCTAGGAGTGTTACTTCGGACACAACTCCTTCAAAAGGCAAAGACTCACACAGTCCAGTCAAGAGGGATGAAGTCCACAGTCGGGTCTTTGGTATCCGCAAACTTGATGGTGAGGTATACCCGATACACCGTCACCGCAAATGCTACACCACCCGCGCCTAGAAGTGCCACCACCTTCACCTTTCTGGCAAGTGACACCCGCAGAGCCCAGGTCAAAGGTATGGGGACAACGAGAATCACCAGATCTGACACGATCGAGATGGAGCCGTCGTACAAGAAAAGCTTAGTCTGGTCGATGCACTTGAAGTTGACAACACCCGTGTCCCAAAATGCCTGGACTGGGATGCAAACGAGAGTCTTTGCGACTTGTGCCGGTATATAGCACAGAAGAAAGAATGCCAAAAGAGCGTGAAGCGTCCGGGCTACGTTCCTGTCGACGGAGAAAACGCGAACGGTGAGAAGTAGAAGAGCCGTTTTGGTGAAAAAGGCTGCCGGCGAATACAGAAGGGAGCTGATGTACAGCCACTGGAGATTCTGCTCTTAGTACAGGAATCGCCATCGTATTCCATGAATTACCTTACCTTCTGGAGCTCGGTGAAGTTGCCAGCAGTGATTTCCCAAATGTGGAATCCTTCGCCGAAATGGAGTTCTGTTCATCTCGTCAGCGAATGCTCGTTGTGCTCCAGAACACTCGAGGTGTTCTTACTGATGAAAACGGTCGAGTTCAAGAGCACGGTGAAGATCTGAACCAGTCAACATCCGCAAGGCATTTGCTTCAGATATCGTGAGCTCACCCATCCAACTAGGCAACTCCCTGTCTCACATATCAGCCTAAGTCAAACTAGGTACTTCAGATCAACACCTACAATCTTCCAGTCGAAATTTTCCATTCACTAACAGCTTGACGTAGACCCTTAATGCGAAGAAAACCACTACAACAATCTGGATGAGAACCATGTACACCATGTGGAGCATATGTCCAGCGTCACGCGGATTGTCGAAATTGGGCGTCTCCCCGGGCGGTGGTGGCGCCGCTCCGATTGAGCCTGTGTTGGTGCTCATCACTGCTCGCTCCGACCCATGACGGAACGTTGTGTGTGCATATCGGTGCGTTGGCTGGCGGCGACGGGTCCAGGAAGCTCAAGCGGCAGAATTATTCAACTACGGGAGCAGATTTTTCCAAGACGAGAACGAAAGACGGTGGCATCCCACGCCAACAAGACCGCGGACCCCTCTGTGTATATAGAGAGATCAGAGGAGGTCGCCGTCCCCTAGTAAACACGTGCCGCAGGGGAGGTAGGCTCGGCGAGGGGGTATGTGCTCTTTGACATGACATCTCAGCATTGAGTTTCGAAATACTGACGATAGCACAGGAAAGGAACGGGGTACCGTCTCCGCGATGAACGCGAGTAAGCCAACGCGGCCCAGAACTCGTTCGGCTCGGTCGGAGGGACTCTCCGGCCAGAAGTTCTAGACGCAGTTTGGAAACGATTCCCAGAAGGAGGGGAGGTAGAGAACTCTCTTTCAACACCGGGTGGATTGACCAATCCTTATCCTCTGAGGAGAGGTCTCGTCTCATGCTTGAGACCATGAATGGCCCGTCGACCTCAACCTTTAGAGGTTCTGGAACAGAGGTAAACTTTATCTACGGACGGACCCTCTCTCGGTCGGGAACACCGTCGTCAAACGTCTTTCTTTTTTTTTTCGCAATGTTGGACCATTTAGCTGCGTGGACGGGCAACAGATCATGCTGGCTGACAGGTGAACCTAGGTTGAGCCATGCACAGTGAGGTGGACTTGCCCGCCTCAATCTGGCATCTCGCGCGTTTTTCGAGTTGGGATATCTTTCGACCGGACGACGTCTCAGTGTGCGATGCATCGTAGACAGAGCCCGGCAATCTGGGTCGAAACCGTGCCAAGACAAACCGCCCGAGATTTACAGCGATAGCTGCCGTTGAGCAGCTGCACGGCATCTACGCAGCTTGGGGCAAGCTAGCGAGGAATCTGATCAGATAATCAGGAGCCGAGCTGATAATTTCTCGACGAAGCCGCGAAGCGTACGGCATCATGAAGCCACTTGCATGTTACGAGATCGTGTAACTCTCGCCATACTCTGGTACCGCTAATCGCAGACTCTCCACTAGGAGCAGATGACGAAAATGAAGCTTTTCTTATACCTCTTCCGGTCAGACTGCAATGTGTCAGTCGTAACTAGGTAGGCGAAAGGTTGGCGTAACAGCAGAGGGTGCCTGGTAGGTTTCCTCTGCGTGGGGTGACAGAAGATTTCCCCTACATACGTCCGATCTGGAACTAGAGACGACGAGGCCGGAATCGCTCCCCAAGAATTGGCTTCTAGAGCAGCCGTCGAACTTCGAATCAGCACATTGTGGCTGCGTGGCATCACCTAAGCATCCGGCCGACAGCTTCACGCCGGCACCGGGCCCAATCTTGACTGCTTTCCAGCATGAGAGTCCACAATACCTACCCGTGGAAGGCGCGGAGTTTGAGGGCAGATAAGCTCGTGGGGATGGGCGTAGCACGTGTCGAGTAGCGGGGAGGTTGGGTCCGGAGGAAGGGGTGTCTTGTAGATCGAAAGCTTCTGGGCCACAATGTCTTCAATACCAGGAGATCTCTGGATAGAGCTAGGTACATTTATGTTAAGATGACACAAATGGCCTAACGGAGGTCGAGAGTCATGTCCTCTATCCTTTCACGTTGGGCTTTTCAAGTTGCTAGTATGATGCTAGTCCATTTCCCTTCTGGGACAACAGACATTAGGCAGCAGCTGCGAAGAGGACTTTGGAGAAAGTGCCCGTCGCCGCTGTCTGTACGCCCGCGACTCCGTATCTTATGTCATGAATCCTCTACGACGAGGTGTCTCTATGAGTCAGGAGCTTCGACAGAGACTACGCAGTAAGGTAAAGCGATATATCAAGTTACCGCACCTTACATGTGCCCCTGCCAATAGGTCAAAGCACCTGCGCATATGGTAGCTAGAAACAAGCATCGTGAAGGTTTGCCGGAGCCGGCTCCGCTCGGATCGGAGTCTCCTCTACCGTAGTTCACGATCAGAAAGTCTGTCAACGAGGGGGTTATTTGGGTGTGGGACTTGACTCGCTAGAAGCTTGATCTACTTGTTCGTAATACTCGTAGGCTTTAACGATATCGTGAGCGTGAAAGGTGCGGGACTTGACTCATTCCTGACTTTTTGGAAGATTCGATTGATGGCTATTCTTGTGGAAGTTGAGGAATCTCTGGCGGCAGCTTTCCATTGGCCTTCCAAGTGGGACATCACTCAGATATTCAAAATCTAATTTCCTCGCAGCCTTGGTTGTTTGGAAGAGCTACATGGCGAACATCAGATTCGATTTGATACATCAGACCGCATGTAAGCTCTTGAGATCTTGCTTCAAGTTGGTATCATTTCGGGGCGAGTGCCTAGTCACGGAAAACATTCTCAAAAATCGTGAGAACGGCCCCTATCTACCAGACCACTGCTCCCTCCACCCACCCTTCTCAAACAACCACAGAGCCTCCGTCGCATACGCCCGACTCCCCCTGTGACCACCATCCACAATCGCCGCCTCGGACAAGCTCTCCAGCACGCGTCCTTCCTGCACACTGCTCCAGATGCCGCGGCCCAAGCTATCCTCTTCGCCGTTGCCCCATTCACCCTTTCCCAGTCTATACAAAATCCGCCCCAGCGTCTGGAACGCGACGCACCGCTGCGCGGGCACGGCGCTCCGCGCGTAAATAGCCAGCTCCTCGATCGTGTAGCCCGCCGCCTCGGGCGCCTGGCCGTGGTGGTGCAGCCCTTTTGACGTGGGGATTGACCTGCTCAGGCGAGGGGGGATCAGCCCGCCCTTGAAGTCGAAGCGGAGGGCGGCGATGGGGAGGGAGGACTGGCCCGGGTAGTAGGGGGATTCGCGGTCGGCGGGGGAGTCAGCTGTCGGGATGGGCGCCATCCAGGCGAGCTTGCTCGGGTCGGCGGGGAGGTTGGGGAAGAACTTTTCGTGGAGGGTCTGGAGGAAGTCGGGGTGCGAGGGGTCGAGGTCGGGGAGGGCGGGCGCCTGGGGGAAGTGCGTCTTGTCGGGCTGGTCATTTAGGGGGAAGAGGTCTGCCGGAGGGGCGGCGGGGGCCTTATCTTCGTGTGTGTGCGGATGCTTTGGTGTTACCTTTGATGTTGGCTCGTCTTCTTCGTCTGCGAATGAGACGGATTTCGGAGCGGTAGTGGGCTTTGGTGCTGGCTTGGGTTTCGGCGGCGCAGAGGTGTCCTCGACCTTGATCTCTGGTGTCGGGGCCGGCAGCTCCCTCTTGGTTTCGTCCGCGGGCGGATCGAAGGGATTCGGGCCGTGCTGCTCGTCTATGTTGGCTCTGCCGAGGAGGCGCTGAATGAGGGACGGGTCGAGAGAGTTGAGCAGTTCCTGCCTCTCCTGTGCAATGTCCTCCGGGCTCATATCCTCCAGCTTCTGCCTGTTTTCGCGGTCGATTCTCCGTCGCTCGGCGGCCTCGAAAGACTTTTGTGAGTCTGCGACGACATCGCCGCTGGACTTTGGCTGGATCGAGGAGGTCGCGGCCGCGGCTTGGGCACCTGTCGTGGGCTTGCCTTGCCGTTGCTGCTTGAAAGCCGACACGCGGGCTGCGCGCTTCTTGTGTGCGGGGAAGCCTGTCGGGGCGGCGTCGATGTCGTCAAAGACAACGGGTTTCGTAGGTGCCGTCTCCTTTTCGACAATATCTCCAACTAGCATCATCGGCTCCATATTTGCGTTGTGAGGGTTGGAAAGAAGGACTTGGAAGAGAGCAAGATCGTGAGAATGATGGCGGTGCGGCGGGAGCAGTGGTGGTGGGTTTACCAATTATTTTTTCCCCTTTGGTCACAGTCCAGAGTGACGTACCTTTTCTTCTTATCGGGCTGTAGCTCTGCCTTATCAGATTGCACCCCCCCCAGGCCAGTGCCCCCTGCTCAAAGGCTCCATGCCTTTTTCGGAACTGCCCGTGCGGCACCCCGAACACAAGCTCATTTTCAGATGGGAGTACGACGGGGAACCAGGGTCACCGCGCCAAGGGGTCAAATGCGTTTGGGGGTCGAAAATTGCCGCATATCGAAATTTTGAGCTCTTTGTGAGCGCGTGCAATTCCGGTCGCGGATGGCATAGGTTCAATATGGAATCAATCATCGCTCCCGCTGTCCCAACCAAAGGCGGAAGTGCAACGGCGATGGCGGCTGGCTGCAGGCCACGCTACCAGAGATGGAGGCTCATGGGAGGGGGGAGACGACTCGTCCTAAATCCCGAGAATGCGCCGTTTTAGAGTTGTGGCTGACAAGCGGGACTGAGCCACATCAAGTTTTGCATTAGCGTCGATCGTCCGCAAAATTCCAGAAAACTTTGGATGGGCGGAGAGGCGGACTGGCGGGCGACCATGCCGGGGGGTGCAGTATGTACGGATACGCTGTGCACCATAGCATTGTGTTTCCGTTTGATTGGCACAGTGTCGCTTCTTGGTGGAATAGATGAAACTCGTTGGATTTGTTTGAGAGTTCATTTGGAAGATGCATCGTCAATGGTGCACAGCGATAAATGCGTGTACTTGTATTTGCAAGTACACCTATCCGTACATTTGTTTCCGTGTCGGTGTTGCCGTGTCTCTCTTGACGAAAGATTATTGCATGCAATTAGGTTAGAGCTTCCGGGAGGAATTTCGGCTGGAAAATTCGCGTACTGTACCATTTTAAACACCCTCTTTTCTTCTTTTCCTTCGCCAACCATGCCACTCAGCATACAAACAATTGTCGTTTATGTCTCGCTGATGGAAAGGAATGTTCGGGTGAGAAAAGGAAGGATTATGCACGTTCTTTCGAACTTGTGGCGTGTTGCAGAATCTGCAACATGTCTTTCATGTCCGTAGCGCACCACCTAGCAGCATCTCTGTGTTGCCCCGGAAAAAGTGTTTTGGCTGTAATGAAAGGCTTGTTCCACGAAATGCACGTTAACAATGAAGATGAAATGGGAGGGCTATAAAATCAGTTGTCGATATGTCTTGTTGCGCCCATACTTAGAAATAGTCAATGAGGCTCTTGGGCCTGCAGTCCTCTCCTCCATGATCAGCGAGACATGCAGAAGGGGGGATCGAAATAGTACAGACTACAGAGGATGCCCTGCGCCGTTGTCCGCTCCCCTGAACAGTGGGGGGGAAAGCCTGGAGGAGATCTGGCTGGACCATGAGGTGAGGTGTGCCCCGGCCATCATCTCTCCGTTTCGCAGCCCCACCCCCTGGCTACTTTCCAAGTTCCCTCTTGGCTCTTGCCCTCCAAACTCGTTAGGTAAGCATAGTAAGGTACCTACACTGCTCCAAATATTATGTGCTGCGTACGGATACCTCTGCGTCGGGCTCAGCAGGGTGGGTGTGCTGGGTGTTTTGCACAAAGATCCTTGCACCGGCCGCGGTTATCTGGGACGCTAGGGCGGAAATGGAAGCCGGACGTGGTTCAACGTCAGACGCGCAGGATCCACCTTTACCCACATTTGAACGTTGCACCGCTCCTCAGATTGGCGGGAACAAAAGGAAAAAAGGCTGTTAAGACAACAAGAGGTGGCACATCTTTGTACTCGGTACCTGCGCCCGGACCCGTGTTTCTCTTTTTTGGCGACATTTCTTAGCTCCGAAAAAAAAGCTGCAACCACCTACACCTTGCACTTGCACCTGCACCTGCACCACACACAACGCGGTCCCCCCTTTCCTGTTCGCTTGCCGATGGCCGCTCATGGGAGAAATTCCACGACCCCTTCTTTCCTTCCTTTCCCCACGGCTCGGCTCCTGCTCCCCTCCTCGCGCGGCTGCACGCACTGGGCTGGATGAGGTACCATCGACCACCTGCACCCCCTCGCATCCCCGTAGCGCCGCGCTGCCTCCATGTCTTCTCAATTCATGTTACTGCATCCAAAAGGTGTACCGTACGGATACAAACACACACACACGCCGCATAGACAACCTACAACGCTACCTTAGGAAGATTGTGCCTGCCGCGGCAAGACTTCCCTTCCCCATCCCATTCCGTCTCATCGGCCAGGACGGTTCTTGCTGGCTGTTGATACCTAGCGGGTTAACTTCCAGGTTCGCCCTTTCCCCAAAGTTACCTGAGCTGAAGGCTACGACTTCCTCGCATCGGGTTGGCTGCTCGCCCTGCTTTTTGCCCTGCGTGGTCTGGTTCCGGACGGCGTACCTTCCTCTTGTACCCTGGTCTGCCATAGTGGTGTTTATTTTCCCTTGTCGGCTGTTGGCGAGACATGCCCGTGGTCGAACATCCCGTCCTTGGCCTTGACTGAGGAAGAGGAGACACCATCGTCAAGCGGAGAAAGCCCCAAAAAGCCGCCGACGTGTGTTGTTACTCTAGAGAGAGAGAAGGTGCTTGCCTGTCCGGTGATGGGTAAATGATGGGGGTGGGCGTGCTCCCATTCCCATCCACCCCGTCCCGTCCATTGTCAGTCAGCCTGTCTCTCATATTACCTTACCTGAGGTTCCTTGCCAGACCATCCCGTCATCCCGTTCGTCCATCTTTTCTTTCTGCGCCTGACCCACGTTGGAGGTTTACACATCTCTCTGTATCTCTCGTCCGGCTGTCTCGACCTTTCGTGCTTTCCTCCCTGGGCGGCCCGTTCTCGAGGTGCCATCGCTTCTTGTCATCTTGGTGTTTTCCCCCCTTCCCTTCCCTTCCCTTCCCTTTCCTGCCTCCCCTCTCCCATTACTTGCTGAGGTGAGGTGCAGCCGAAGGCATCCCGTCGCTCACGCCCCCCCTTTGGCTCTCGCCCAGGACGGTAGTCCACTCTTTCCATGTTGTTGCCATTCCCATTTCCCTTCTCCCGCTCCCATTCCCATCATTCCCAGTTGTTGTCTTCCTAATGCCTTTTCCCTCTTTTAACCTTGGCTTGACCGTGACTGACCGCCCACCCCATCCCATCCTGTCCATTCCCATCCTTTTCCCATTCCCCCCATAATCCATTCACCCGCCCCGTCCGCGTCTTGTTCTTCTTTCCTTGCTGTGCTTGCCCACCCCGTCCACGTTCCTCGTGGTCCTGAGGCCATCTGATCCCGTCGATGTGCCCCCCAGCCTAGTCCGAATCTCTAATTCGGCTTTAATAATAAAATTTCCCTCCCATTCACTCCTGCTGAGGCCATCCACGTCTGCTCGGTGCCCCGTTTTTCTCGTCTTGCGCAGCAGCCAAATGTCGGCCCAGAAAATAATTGTTGTTCCCCCCAAAAACGTAGCCATCCCCATCTCCTCTTTCGACCTCCCATTCCCCTCCTCCTTTTTCCTCTTTGCAACTACCACGACACTGCAAATTCGACTGCAGAATCGCCAAATCCATCAATCTCGACATTAATCCCCATCGTCGACATCCTCAAAATAACACCGTTTTGTTCGGCTCATCAAGCTGCACTCTTTGACGGTCGCCAAACTCCTCTTTTCTCTACACAACACCTCTTTTTTGTCGATCAAAGGTGCCAATTGTCGTCAAAAAAACACGCCTACCGATCATTGAGGTTATTCACGAGTTCCCACCTTTGCCAACTCCGCACGGCCACACCGCAGGTGACCACTGCTCAATCGGTGCAGCAGTCTCCTGCCTTAGCCAACCTAGTCCGTCTACCTTACATAATTCCGCGTCTGGCCCCAACCTACTTTCAGCCAATCCGGAGCTGTGCAACCTTAACGTACCAAAACGCGAACCCACCTCCCTGTCAGAAGGGAAAAAGTGAGGTCATTCAGGACGAACCTCTCAAAGCAATTCACCACGCGACTGCAATCGAAGAATAGTTCGATGCACTATACCTGCTGTTCTTCACAGTAGCTCCACGGTATCAAACACTGCCTTGAACATTTTTCAACCTCAGTACCTCTTTTCCCGGTGCAGGTATCTGTCGAATTAACCTTCGAAGACCTCTTTTCGGTGTGGTGTTACTTTGGTGGTGGAGGAGAGCCAGCTATGCGCGACAGCTCCTCACCTGCACTTTCATCACCACCTTCCGGCTCTATTTCAGACCCAGGCTCACCGTTAATCGGTCGGCCAAACAACAACGATATGGATATGGACGAGATCATAGTAGATCCCTCCCAACCTCGCTTCGGTGTCGTTGCAGGAGACCAACCGCCTCAACCGGAAGTCCGCCTCACTGCTGCTGGCCTGCCACGAAAGAAACCCGGTCGCAAACCTGGTTCTACCGTCAAGCCTAAGAATCCCGACGAGCCGCCCAAGGTGCGCCGACCTCGAAAGCCTCGCGATCCCAATGCGCCGCCCATTCAAAGGAAGAGAAAGTCGGCACCAGCTGCGGATGCCGACGCAGGCTCAGATTCCAAGTCCCTTGCCGCTGCAGCCGCATCTTCCTCCACACCTCCTCCCTCTCGACAGACCAAGATAACAGACCTTGTCGGCATGAGCTCGTCTTCCCGACCTGGTTCTGCTCAGCCCGAACACACAGCGCAAAAGGCACCCAAGCGAGAGGAGATGCCGCGTTCAATGCAAAGCATTCTAAACGCAGACCCCGAGCCCGAGCCGAAACCACAAAATACTGTTCTCCCTACGCGTACCAGCGGACAGGGTTACGATCCTATCCGTGGTAGCTACGATCCAGTCAGAGGCATCTTTGGTAGTGCCTCATCTCCAAGACCTGCATCACAAACTGTCAATCGACCTAGCGCGTCTCCCTCTATCGCAAGCTTGGTAGATCCGCCCACGCAGAGTGTCACGTCGCCTTCTGCACAAAACTTCCGCATTGCCTCTACTGCTCAGTCTCGAACCGAGAATGCGTCTTTGCCAGCATCCCCGTCATACCCTGCCAGATCAATCCCTCAAACAATCTCAAAGCCACCTGCACCCGAGCCGAAGAAGGCCCTCGCTCCCCCGCCAGTTCCAGCTATCAAGGCAGATGCGAAGCTGAAGGACGCTGCTTCGACTGCTGGTTCTGTCGCCAGCAAGAAACACTCGCCGAAGCAAAAGCCACAAAAGTCCGGCGTCTCTTCGCCGAAGCTGAATGCTTTGGACGACTCTCGGGATCTAGTCGGAGATCGTTCAATTCTGGACTTCGGCAGAGCCGAGACTGGCAAGGAGTACAAGGCCCCGGATATTGTCCTGGACATTCCTATCAAGCCCGGCGACACGAATATCTACATCAACGTGATGCGTATGGCTGAGGAGAAGTATGGCTGGGATGCCCTGCATCCTCGCCTGGCGGAAAAGCGAGATCGCAAGGCCCGCATTGCTGCTGCCTCGGCTGCCTTGGAGAAAACGGCGTCAGGCCAGGAATCTGGCGACGAAATGTCCGAGGATTCAGACAAGGAAGCTAGTAACGTGGAGATGGGCGGTATGACGAGTGGTGCCGACCTTCCCGAGAAGCCGAAGAAGAAGAAGCGCAACTTCAAAGAAGATGAGTACGACAAGGATGACGACTTTGTCGACGATTCCGAGCTTCTGTGGGAGCAGCAGGCGGCCGCTAGCCGGGATGGCTTCTTCGTGTACTCTGGACCTTTGGTGCCAGAGGTTGAGAAGCCTGCGGATACAAGGTATGTTGCATTCACTATGATTCCTGTATTGCATAGTTCACTAACACATTTCAGACCCGATGGACTGCCCAAGCGTGGCCGTGGAAGTCGAGGCGGTCGCATTGGCGGTCGTGGCGGTACGACTCGAGGTGAGGGCGGCACTGGTCGTGGAGGCGGACCAGGCTCCCGAGGAGGTCGCGGATCCCGAGGCGGCTCTCTTACTCGCAAACCTCGTATCACCAAGTCTGAAAAGGAGCAGCTCGAGCGCGAAAAGGCGGATCGCCAGCGACAGGCTGAGCTGAGCGCCAAGTCTACGAACGGCTACTCCCTTCAGCCGCAGACGCCCTCCTTTGCAGCTGGAATGGCAGGCGCGTAAACCGCCTAGGAACCCTTCTACTACGACACAACGGATGCTACACGACCACGGCATATATCCCCGTCAAGAGGAATGGTGTCTTCGAAGACACGGCTCGCAACAAACGAACATACGAAAGTGGATTGATATGGGACAGTCCTTAAGTAGGCTACTGTTGCGGCTACGACTTGAGAAAGACTAGCGAGAGGCGGTTGTCTTATCCGAAAAAAGAAACAATCGGAACAGGCGTTCTGATGTCGATGCCTTTTTCTTGGCCATTGACTTTGCTGTGGGTGACATGGTTAGGCTGGGCGGCACTGCTTCTCAGACGGCATGGGACGGCATTGGAATCCCAGGATTGCGGCGTTCGGGCTTGTAGGACTGATTATTGGACGGAATGGGTCTACAGTTGGGCGGTTCCACTTATCCACTCGTGGCGGTGGAGTTTCCAAGCCGTGTGATAGATTTGCGAATTGTATTATGGTATTCCGGAGTAGAGATGTATGCTTAGAAAGACTTGCTACCAATCAAAGCAGTGATTAATGCCATTGGTGGTTGCAACTTGACTTCAGTATCTGAGTGCAGCACTGCGGCACCACAACATTTGGTGGTCAGATAAGCATATGTTTCAAGATGAGCGAATCCCAGCCAGAGGTTTGGTGATGGGGTCTGCAGTTGGACCCTGAGGTTTGAAGCCGGAGAACTGGCTAAGATGCGTATATCGGGGCGCCATGTCATTGCGGGGTGGGAATCCAGCTCACCGCCCCCATAAACAGGCGATGATCCGGCGGCAGAAAAGCGCCAAGATTTCGCATAAGCGATTTCTCCACACCCCAAAAAATTTCGAACCGCCCGAAAATTCGCAGCCAATCCGCCCGCAACCGCCGCAGTATCAAAGCTCTGTCTCTGTTCACCGAGTCTGCTTGCACCCGCCTAGACGTTGATTTTCGTTTGGCTCAGCAGCACTCCAAGCAACCCTCTTGCGGCCAACACATAGAAGAAAATTTACTTCTTTCAATAAGAATATCACAGGCCGAGAAACAGAACAAGGGGAATATGGCGGAATCTACTTTGCAGGTTCGTTGTATTGCCCGTGCCCCGCCACCAGCCGAAGACAAAAAAAAAGAAGAGAGAGAAAGGCTGCTGGCGGCGGTGATGATCCTGTGAGATCGCCACAAAAGACCCAACGTTAACATGCTTCGTAGGATCGCCTGCGCGAGCACTCAAAGGCCTTTGATGGTCTCTTGTCCCTCATTCCAGCAAAGATGTACTATGGAGAAGACAACTCTGTATGTTTGCCCCCCCGTCCGTACCTTACATCCTTCAATGGCCCTGCAAAGCAAAATCACAAAGCGACCGAAAGGAACCCAGCCTGCTCTCCTACTCCATCGCTTGTGCCTTGGCTACACAGCACCACAGTACCTCTTATGAAAGAGCGCACTTTGCTTACGCTTCTTTCTTGCAACAGGAACAATGGAAGCGGACGAAGCAGACGAAAGCCGAAGCCAAAGCCGCAAAGACGGCCAAGCTGGACCCCGACAGCGAGCTGAACCGCAACGCAAAGGAGGTCATGGACGAGCGGGCGGCGCGCAACAAGCGCAAGCTGGAGGCGATGCAGGAGGAAGAGGACAAGGAGGACGACGAGCCCATCCCGGGCGTGCAGAGGGAGCTGCCCGGCCAGGGCCTGCGGATGAACAAGGACTATAATAAGAAGCAGAAGACGGCCGACCTCCCGATCGACACGATTGATGACGCCAACCCTGCCGAGATGTCGCAGAACCAGCTCATGAGGATGGCGAAGAAGGAGGCCAAACTGGAGAAGCGCGCGACCAAGAAGGCGAAGAAGGCTGAGAAGAAGGCTGCTAAGCTCGAGGCTGCTGGTGGCGACGCTGCAGCCGTTGACGCTGAGGTGCCCGAGGTCAAGGAGTCCAGCAAGCCCGCTGACACCAAGGTTGCAAAGTCCCCTGCGGCCGCCAAGAAGGAATCCAACAAGAAGCAACAGAAGAAGGCCGAGTCCAAGGATGCCAAGCCCGTCAGCAACGACCACGATAGAGACGCAGAAAAGGATGAGGACGAGGAGTACGAGACCGTCGACGAGTCCGACGATGAGGCCGAGCCCTCAACAAAGTCCAAGTCCAAGTCCGCCGACCTCAACCCCCTCGACCTCTCCGGCCTCGCCCAACAACAAAAGGCCACGGAGTCCAGCGGCGCCTCGACACCGGCCTCGCCCACCTTTGACACCGCGGCCGCCGCCACCGCGAGCACGACAACCTCGACGAGCTCCACCGTCCCGCCCTCCGAGAAGCCAAAGCACATCAAACTCCCCGCCGACACCTCCGCCCTCCGCGCCCGCCTCGCAGCGCGCATAGAAGCCCTCCGCGCCGCCCGCAAAGCCGACGGCCCCGACGGCAAACCGATCCGCACGCGCCAAGAGCTCATCGAGGCGCGCCGCTTCAAGCAGGCCCAGCGCAAGGAGCACAAGAAGGAGCTCCGCACAAAGGCCAAGCTCGAGGAGGAAGCCCGGCGCGAGGAGACGCTCGCGTCCAACTCCCCCAGCGTCATGTCGCCCCGCGTCGGCCTCGGCGGCGACGACGGAGACGAGCCCGCCAACTTCGCGTTCGGCCGCGTCGCCTTCGACGACGGAACGAAGCTCTCGCACGACCTCTCCCACGCGCTCAACACGCACAAGAAGCGCGGGCCCTCGGACCCCAAGACGGCGCTCATCAAGATCCAGAACCAGAAGAAGCGCCTCGCGGCCCTCGACAAGGAGAAGCAGGCCGACATCGCCGAGAAGGAGCAGTGGCTCATCGCCCGGAAACGCGCCGAGGGCGAGCGCGTGCGGGACGACGAGCAGGCCCTCAAGAGGGCGGTCAAGCGCAAGGAGCAGACCAAGAAGAAGAGCGAAAAGGCGTGGAAGGAGCGCAGCGACGGCGTGGCCAAGTCGATTCGCGAGAAGCAGAAGAAGCGCGAGGATAATCTCAAGAAGCGAAAGGACGATAAGCTGGTGCATAAGCTCGGTCGCAAGAGCGGGAAGAAGGTCGGCGGCGGCGGGGCGAAGAAGACCAAGGCGCGTCCTGGGTTTGAGGGGAGCTTTGGCGGTGGTAAGAAGAAGAAATAAGCGTGAGGCGTGAGCAGAGAGCTATCGTGAGGAATTGGGCAGAGGCGTGAGGAGGTTGGCGATAAAGGAGATTAATCGATATCCCCCCCGGAGCAGTGGAGGCAGGACACAAGTTGTGTGTGTTCGAGGAAAACCGACGAGCGGTTTTTTTGCATCATCACTATGGATGGAAAACGGCGTTTTTGGGAACAAAAAGAGAACTACTGTACATTGTTTTGTCTTTTCTTTTGCACAAAAAAAGGGGGACGGCGGCGTAGGAAGGAACCCATGAATACATATTTCAATCGTTCTAGCCATGTCATGATTGTCTACCATCGCTTCGTGAACTTCCGCTACCGTATATCAGTGCAGAGGATAGTGAGTGTTGCCGATGCTATCGCCACGACGTTGGTACGCCTGATAGGGAAGGAAGACTTCGATTCAAGCTCTCACCAACGCTGGCCGGATATATGATGTATGGCCATATCATGCACATCTCAGCTAGATCAACAACGCAAGGCAAGGAGACGGTAGAACAAGCCCACGAAGATCTTTCAAACTGATATCTCTCACACTCATTTTCCCTCTTCGCTCTCGTTTCTCGGGACGTGGACTGAGTGTGTTCTGCATTAAAACGATCGCTTACGGTAGAAAAAAGTAGTTGAAACCCAACCAACTACACGCGTGTGTATTTTTCGCCGTCCCATCATCCTTCATTTTTTCCCTTGCTGGAAACCGAATCCTCCCCTATGAGGCAAAAAGAAGGATATAGCGCCCTTTCATGATATTTTGCCCCCAAGTTTGCGAACCCAATATCCTGCTCCCCTACGGCCACCTTATATGCTGCACATTTTTTGGTTTAATGGGGAGCATAAGAAAGTCGCTTTCCCCTGTTGCTTTATTTTATCATTTCTCGTGAGGGTTCGAATTTGGTGAAGGTCGGGAGAGCTCAATGCCGGGGCGTTTCGATGTGTCTAGGTTATGAATGGGATTGAGAAATGGGGGAGTCGTGTTCCTGAAACTCGCTCAGTGCTCTCTGCCCTGTACAAAGTCGAGGCAGCGGAATAATCGGTTTCGAGGATGTCGAGGTCGATTAGGTTTACAAGAGGGAATCGAGACGGGTGAAGACACTAAGACAGGCAGCCACAACTTCGAGTTGCAGCTCCTTATCCTTGCCCTTGCTGATTTCCTGCAAAAGTGTTAGATCCAGGCCAATAAGCCACAGGGGAATTGTGTACTACATACATCTGCGATGACTTGAGGCAGGTTGGCACCGATACCGTTGCCGGTAGCCTTCTTTCCAAAAGGCCATTGGCTGTAGTCGGCGAGAAGCTCGTCTGTCTGGGCAAAGGCGCGCTCGCGGGCCTCGTGGCCGAGGGTGCTTAGGGCGTTCTCGAGCACGTTGGCAGCGTAGGCGGCGCACACCATGGCCAGAGTACGGACGTAACGGAATTCGAGGTTCTCGGGCAGGAACTGAGATGCGGGGAGGACGACAGTACGCTGGGTCAAAACGTTGCGGACGCGGCGGCGAATCTCCTCCTTGGCACCTCCGTCGGCGACGGGGTGAGTGGCCATATCGAACAGCAGGAAGTTGCGCTTCTCGGTACGGAGGATGCCCTTGTCGACTAGACCCTTGGCCAGGCGCTCGCGAACCTGCTTTAATTGGTATCCGATCTTCATCAGGTTCCAGGTCTCTCCTGTAGGTGGACCACATCCGTCAGCCAGAGTGCTTTCCAAGGGTGAAGTGGACAGCGCAGTGCTTCATTCCATTTCAGGGAGGGGAAAGGGGGGGATGGCTTTACCGCTCATCAAATCGATCCAAGAGCTGACACTCATCTTCTCGCTCTGCTTCATCATCTTCAATGCCTCATCGAGCAAGACCTCGCCTGTCAGGGTGTCGTCGATAACCTCAATGACGCGGTCCGCGAGGGGGAAGCGTCTTCTCGAGGCATCCTTCTGCATGCTGATGCGACCGCGGAATGCGAGTTCGATGACGATGCATCCTCTCAGAGCATATGAGATGTTGTCGTTCCAGAATGACAGGTAGCCCTGCACCGTGTAAAAAGTCAATTAGCGACCTGGCTTCATTTGTGGAAATCGGTGCGCAGCGCTCGTCGTCGGCATACCTGCTTGTCCTTGAGACCGAGGAGCAGAACCTCCTCCATCAACGTCAGCTTGGGTTGTTTGCTGCGCTCGGCGCTCTCGCTGATATCGCGGGGGTCGAAGGCGATCTTGTGGCCGTTCTCGCCGCTCTCGTAGCTCGTCTCGGGGGCGCTATCCTTGATGTTGGGCGTTGAGTTGGTCCGGCTGGCGCCATTGCTGGCCTCACCATCACCGGCCGCGGCACCTCCGCCTCCACGGCGTCGGGTAAGACCTCCTGCCGCTGCTGACATTGTGTCTGATGTCGAGATGGTGTCGTGGGTATATCGTTAAAGGGAAAGGGAGGTAGGGCTGGCTCGGGGATTATCCTGAGATTCGGGCCCGGTCAAGCAATGGTCGCAGATGAGACGCTAAAGACTCGTCGCAGGTCGCGCAGGTCGTCGCCGGATAGCAAGGCGATGAAGGACGTGCCAGCAAAGTGTTGGAAAGTTACTTGCAGGTCGTAAGGCTGCGGGCGCTCGGTCGTGATGTCGAGGCGCTTTCTTTCTCTCCCTATCTCGGCGATCGGGCCAGGGAGCTGACAGCTGCTGCGCGGGCTGAAATGGGCCTTGTGGGTTATGTGTCAGGAGTTTGGGGACGCCCTTTTGTGATGGTGGCTAGAGATGGCGAGAATCAATCCAATCCTGCCGATGGAAGCAAGCTGTTGATTTGAAGCAATGTGCCGAAGGAGAAATCTGACGCTTCTGTCGTGTGCCCTTTGCTTGTATCTCCTCGAAGGCCTGCTTGGTTGGCTAAGTTTTGGCCCCTTCTGCCAGTAAATGGAATTTCTCGCAGCCTGGAAATTGCACCGCCCCAGCTGTAGTGCACGGACCAGGTGCGCCTGTTGAGCTCTTGTGGCGCCATGAGGCTTGGGCTCCACCTTGAAGCACGACACAATGAGCCCGGTGGATGGAAGGGAGGGAGGGACCTTCTCCCCTGGCTCGTGGACCCTGACTAGGCATCTTCTGTAAATAATACGATGTTGCCCCGTACCTTACATACTGGGAGCTCTCCATCTGGGCCTTCACATGTATCATGTATCCATACGCCGAGAGGCTGTCGTGCTCTTCTTCGTTCTTCAATTTTTGGCACCATCGGGATATCATCATGTTTGATTTCCGCCGCTAAAATCGTAGCATGGAGCTCCGCAGGTGCCGACATTACTGCCCGTCTTCGCCGGTCTTGACTCAAGCCGCCAAAGTCTATTTGATCAATCCAATCCACAATTTCTTGTCTTGTTGTCGACCTGTCTGTTTCACATCGCGATATCCATTTTTCCGCCTCGAGATCATATCTTATCAGCGACTTTCGTGAACACGTGGCTGGACGCGTGTGCTGAATGAGATAGATTTCACCCCTGGCGTTGATACCCTGTCTCACTACCTAGGGAGAAACGGCGAGCTGCGCGAAGCACTTTTTTCATGGCTTCTAACATTCCTTTGCAATCAACGGCCACCGTGGCCTCGGTACGCCTTGTAGGCTGGCAGCCGAGACAACTTGCATCGCTGTGCCCTACACGGCAATTGGCACAGTAAAGGCGGGATAAGCATTCAACTTGAGTTCGCTCTATCGTAGACCAGCGATGAATTCAAGTTGCTTACCGCAACGTATGCAGCATTCACATGGCAAACTTTTGCATCCGGATATTGAGGTACTCAGCTTCAGGGCCGTAAGAGCTTAGCGCGGTTTTGCGGGCCATGGTGTAAGGGAGCTGGTCCGGTTGACCCGCTTACTGTGGACCCGATAACCCCGCCGTTCACCGATCGCCGTCCGAAGCTCTCATATGAAGATGCCGGAATGACTCCGTAATTTTCCTCCGGAAGTGTGGAGCTATACAGAAAGGCGGAAGTGAATATGTGACGATTACACTCGATTTACATACGCATCTCTACTCTGGAGCTTGAGTTCTAGGCGATCTACAGCTAGCGCTAGAAGCACCAGCCCACGATCCAGACGATCCATACTAGTGGCCGACTGCGGCTTCATGCATTGCTGAGAATCGCTTTCCCTCAGGCTTATTGGCTTCCACCAGCTTCCTGATGGCAAGAACCTCACTCTCCGACAACTCCACATCCCGGGAGGCCCAGTTCTCCTCCAGCCTCTTCGGCTTGGTAGTACCCGGGATGGTGATAAAACCTTGGGCAGCCACCCAGGCCAGAGCCAGCTGAGCAAGAGAACAGCCCTTTTCGGCAGCAATCTTCTTCATCTCATCCACGATGGCCTTGTTCTTGTAAAAGCTCTCTCCTTGGAACTTGGGGACTACGAGGCAAAGTCAGAAATGTGGCCACTGGAGAAAAGTGAAGGAAGGCTTTTTGGGTGCCTGTGACTACGTACCTGTTCGACGGAAGTCATCGGGCGCGAAGTCGTCGGGGCTCTGGTAATCGAAGTTGTCGACCAACCAGCCGTGGCCCAACGGGCTGAATGCTACAAAGGCAACGTCCAACTCCTTGGCCGTTTGAATGAGACCGCTCTCCTCGTGAAGGGTCTCAAAGGCAGAATACTCCGCTTGGACCGCATCGACCTTGGCGACTTCTCAAGTGTCAGTGCTTGATTACAGAATTCATGAAGCCATCGTTGTCGCGGATGGGACATACTCGAGTTAGCCTCACGCAGAGTCTTGGCAGAGCACTCTGACAGGCCAATGTACTTGGTCTTTCCCTCCTTCCGAATCTCGTCAAGAGCAGCGATGGACTCCGATAGAGGTGTCTCTATAGCCTTTGTTAGATGAGCATAAACAGGCTAGAGAGGACGTCATACTCGGGTCGATTCTGTGCAGGTAGTACAGGTCTGGTGCGAAGCCTAGTCTTTCGATGGTACCATCGATGTAAGACCGGATGTGGGATCTTGAGTTGGTGACACTGCGGTCGTTGAAGACATCAAAGCCGCACTTGGAGGCAACTTGACATATATGGTCAGTACTAGATCATCAAACGAGGGCATAAGTGGACTTGAGCTTACCAAAGACCTTATCCCGGACGTTGTGCTTGCGGATGAAATCCCCGAGGATCTTCTCGTTGAGACCAGCGTCGTACGCAACCTGATATCATGTAAGGAAACGTCATTGAAAGACTTACAATGGATCGACTAGACTTACAGCAGTATCCCAAAAGGTACAGCCCAGTTCGATTGCTTTCAGAAGCACCGGCTCCGCCTGCTCAGCCGAGAGCCTCGTGCCCATGGCCGACGTTATGCCCATCGCACCGAACCCCGGTACCGGGACGCGGATGCCGCCAAAGGGAAGAGTCTTGACCATCTTGGTATGGAATTGGAGTGACGACGGTGGGTGTGTAGGGACAGCGAGTATTAAGAGGATGACTTTGTAGAATTGCAAGTGATACATCATTCGATAGACATTGAGGGAAAGAATCGGTGACTTTATATAAGTTCTCGTACAGGGTCATCATCAATCGTTCTCGAAAAGCGGAGCCATGGTTTACAGCTTTAGCCCGGGAATTTTCTTTAGAGAAGTAAGCAAATCGCAGATTTACTGGCCATAACACATAAATCCGAATGCCATATTCGTGACTTATTTCACTTATTCTGCCTCTACGGCTTCATTTTGAAACTAGCGAGTCATCGTACTGGATGTTATGACGTTCGGCTCCGTGTGCAGGGGTGTCAGCCGGTGCTAAAGGCCGCGTCTAAGTCCGCTAGCCCCCACAGCTCGGATGACATCCAGGACAAAGCCTTCAGCTTCTCGAGTCTATGTTGTTCTATATAACCAATTATCTCGCGCTACCGCTCTTAGCACTGAAATCTTACTTCATCATCGCCGTCGTCCTTCTCTGCGGCTTCTACGTTACTGCAGCAAGAGATCAACTAGTACAGATCGCTTGAACGATACACTCACACGGCTCGGCCTTCGCGGCTGAAGCCAGAAAATGAGAGCAACTTTCACCCAATACAGCTTGCGAAAGATGGGATTTCCATCGGCGCCGCAGTTTTCGGAGCCGGCCTGACGGGCAAAAACTTAGCTTGACATCGGAAAGCCAGTGCGAGTACATGACTGCCAACACCACTGAGCTTGACAAGTTGTAGATTGTCGCGGCGTTCTTTTTGTCAAAAGCAGGACACGCCTTCCATGACCTCTCACTTCGGTCGTCTAGTTCGTATAAAACAGATGTTTTAGACGGGGGTGAATGGAGAGGTCGGTCACCCCATTGAGACAGGAATTTTTCGGATTTACTATCTGCATGGAGTTTACTTTGTTAATTCGCATGGCAATTAGATGCCCGCATCTTCCCGAGCCAATTCGTCCATAACACGTTCGAATCTTGGGTAATCCAATGTGTATGTGCCATTATCCCTGGGCGACCTAGGCCATCATCGTCTAGTATGCCCAGACATGTTGACACCTGTTCGGCCAGACCCAGATACATTGCTTGTCGGAAAGTTAATCCCAAGAGTTCTTAAATGAGACACGAAAAGAAGGCATTTAAGCTTAATTCACTGATCCGCTATCCTGAGTTCGAGGGCTATCAGCCCCCCTTCCCCTAGCCAAGTCACAGACCAGACGTTTAGGGATCTGGAGATGATGAAATGCCATGAAAACCAAGTAGTCTATACCAACGAAGATGCTGATCACTATGCATACCCTGTGATTCCTCACATCGAGACTGCATGCTTCAATGTACTCCAGTTGAGGACTTTCTCAGTCTCACTTGAGGCGTAGTATGATACGCTTAGCAGTATTGTTCGCCCGCACATGCCGTCTCTCCAGGCCCAAAGTTACTCGTTCCTGGATGCCTGACCAAAAGCTTGGATAAGGTCGTAACGGTACGGCACGACGCTTGGTGGCGTGAACCTTGAGTCCCAGGTCGACTGAGCCTCGTGAACCCCATCGAGGCCGAGAACAGTCAGAATGGTTTCGGAGATACAGTCTCAAGACGAAATCCCGGACTAGAGTCTTCCTTGACGTATCTATCACACCTGTTTGGCACATCTACAGACTTTACATAGCCAGTGAACCCCTAAAGTCTCAAACTCAACCAACCAAGGTTCCCGGTCAGCCAATGATCTACTTGATGCCGAGGAGGCATCGTTGTCCAATTTGCTCACTCCGACATCCAGGTCGAACATTTTCCGTCAAATGAACCATGTTAGATGCCCTGGGCCGTCACGGTACTCTACTGATTGTCCATCTAGACTAATATAAACCGCCCTTCATCCCCCATGGATTCTCATTCTCTTCGCCCAGCATCAACCACACTCTTCTTCGTCTCATACACTTCTACGTTCCACAAAGTCTCTTCTTGTACATACCATACTTCTCTGTGCCTCATACAACCATTTCTCTCGCACAACACTCTTCCCTTTCTTACAACACAAACCCATCTCTTCACCACTCAAGATGTCTTCTTATCAGCTTTCATATACCATGCTCAATGAAAGAAGTCTGGCTATCATCTGCCTTGCAGCTAGAGTTGGCAAGAGGACCGAGACTGGAAGCAAGGAGTACTTTCCCGGTGCCGACCAATCTCGTGTATTCGAGTTTTTCTATTCGAAGTTTGTTCGACCTCTAGATTCCGTCTGGCGCCAAATCCCACGCCAGAAGCGCCAGGACCTCCTCGAAGAGTACTATCCCGACGTAGACAATGTCCATTCCTACCTCAGTCAGCGGGGTTTCATGTCAGTTCTCAAGAAACTGTGCTCTCACTGGTTTGAAGATATCGAGAAGTACATGCCAGATGTTCTGTTCTTGATGCCAGAGCAATTCAAAGTGGCACCGACCAAGAACAGCTCAAAGAACAACAAGCCTGCTCCTACTCACCTTCTGGAGGCGCCGGCCAAGCATTCGACCAGGAATACACCCCCGCCCAAGGATGCCGAGCCAAAGTCTCTCCTTTCTACCAAGAGAAAGCGCGAAGGGGCTGGGGAACACGAGGATAAACCTCGTGTTGCAAAGAGAACGAGGCTGGTGACTCCCAAGAGCACCAGCGGCTCGGAAAGCCCCAGCCCCAGCCCCAGCCCCAGCTTGCAAAAACAGCAGCAACGACAGCGCGAGGAGCGTTGGCTGTCGGAAAAAGAGGTCGCGCGTGTTGGACGCCGGCCTCAAGGCAATCAGTGGAAGTCGCACATTACCCCACTACGTATATAGACGTGGGTATCAATGACACTCTTCTGAGCCGTCGAGCCCGTGTCTCTTCGCTTACGAGCAGTTGGTTATCGTTCAAGGAGTTCTCGTTTGTGATACCCTATGGAGATATTGGGTCGGAGTTTTCGGTTTGGTAATAAGGTCTGAGATCTCTGCTTGTTTCGTGGAGTTATGGGCTAGGGCGTTTGGTTTTGTCACATCAGCTTGGTTAATGGAGGACACTGCTTCGTCCTACCCCTCAATTGAGCTTCGGGGCCCTGATGATCGTTTGAGTCATTGGAACTTACTGCTGTAAACGACTACTAGATTGCAAATATGAACAAATATGGAAGTGATACTCATCATGCCTGTGCTGTGTGCTTGTTCCGCCTAAATGACCTTGAAGACAACGTTGCCGTGCGTATCCACACCTCGGATCGCCATCAATAGTGACTTACCAAGTGTCTCGCTGCGTTCATTAACACAGAAGATCATTTACCCGAAGATCTCATTGGCGGAAGATTGAAGAAGGTGTTCGTATACTTTCTCGGTTCGGTCAAGCTCATGACGTTGTATTTGATAGCGGCTTTTCTGATTACTATCCCTATTCACCGGCCCTCAACGTTGACCGCCATCGGTCCATCGTGCTTCTCGTCCCTCTCTCCATTATCTGCAAACACTTCCACCTTGGCTTGGGCAAACTTGCGTGCACTCACGCGGTTCTCGAACAGCATCTCAAGCTCAGCTGAAGAGCGTCCCTTCGGTTCGGGAAGACAGAAGTACGCCCAAACCAGTTCGCAGAAGCAGATGCCTGCCCAGATGAATCCTCCCTTTCCTCTCAAGTTCCAGGCGCTGGGGTTGATGATGGGCGGGTTCAAGAAGTTGGCGCCGATGCTAGCCAGAAGGTAGGCGTTGCGCGCAATAGCAACTGTCTTGATACGAAGTCGGGTGGAAGGAATCTCTGCGACTAAACAGTAGCAGGTGGGCCCAACCGTCATATCGTATGTAATGACGAAGACCATTAACAAGGCTCCCGATGCCCAGCCTAGATCCGGTCGAGGAGCCGGAATGCCCATACCGCCAACGGTCACTAGTACGGTGAACATGATGCAAAGGCCAACGACGTATAGTGTGCGACGTCCGACATGGGGGAGGAGGAACCAAGAGAGAAAGGTACCGACGATGGCCATGGCGTTAGTTCCGAGACCAAAGTTGAATGAGTTGTCCGAGTCAAAGCCAGCTTGCTGAAGGAAGTAGATGACATTGCTACCGAACCAAACGCCACAAGCAACTTGTCCCACCCACACGAAGCAGGCAATCATCGTACGGCGAAGGTTAGTGCCGCGGAAGCAGTCGATGTATGATGTTCCCTCCGAGTTCAGTCTCTCCATTTCGTTTGTGTGGGCGATCATGGAGATGCTGACGTCGAGTTCGGCGTCTGTTGTTGAGGAACTCGCTAGTCGTCTCAGAGCGTTGCGAGCATCGGTCAGACGGCCTTTGCGAACCAGCCAAGTCGGGCTCTCGGGTGCGAGCATAACGCCTACCATGATGGGCAAAGGGAACACCCATTGGATGGCGTAGGGAATGCGCCAAGCCCAGTCGTCGGGGCGAGAAAGGAGCCCTCGCAGGACACCAGTACCGATGAATTGCCCAATGACCCAGCACATGTTTGTATAAGTCGTCATGATGGGTCGAAGGGCCATGGGCGTAACATCTGCGGCGTAGGTTGTCGTCAAAGCTTGGAAGGCACCCCAAGGGAGGCCACAGAGCAACCCTCCTGCGAGAAGATAGCCGATGTTTTGCGCAAAGAAGAAGAGGAAGATGAAGGCGATGTTAAGGACTAGGGCACCGAGGAAAGTCTTCTTGTATCCGTAGCGTTCCGCGACGATGCCGCCGACGAAGAGACCAATCATTTGACCAACTTGAGTAGCGTTTTGTAAACCCGACTGCCATGTTGATGTAAGTTGATAGTCGCCGTTCTCCAACCGCACTCCGAATCTTCGACGGAACTGCGGCAAGCCGTAGAAGTTGCCAATCAGGGAGGTGTCGTATGCCTCCATGACAATGCAGAGAGAAAGGACCATTGAGAATGCCACAGACTTGGGATACGCCCGGAAGGACTCCATGACTGACATGTTCTTCTGGCCCTCCGTCGCCGCTTGAGCATCGTGGGCTACATGATCCAGAAGTACCGGCTCATGTTTGCCGTATTTTTCTGCAGCACTCGGATCTGTGAGTGCATTTGCAGTCTCGACATTGGCCGGGGTAGTCGCCATTGATAGCACTGACTCTGGACAGCTGATAAGATGATAGGAAAAGATGGAGAGAGTTGCAGTAAAGTCTGGGGAAATCTGGGGAACATGTTTCCGAATTCGGGACCATGAAGAACTATTTATCTTGATGCCTCTTGCTCGCGTGGCTTGACCTCCGTGAGAAAAATATCAACCCGCCTTTCCCCAGAAACATTTCGCTAGCGCCAACATCGTCCGACGTGCAACCCGCATCGGTGGTTCTTGATCGTACGCAGTCTTGGGTGGTTTTCACTGACTTGCAACTTTTCTCGTGGCAATCAGGCAGTGGTTGACTCGGGTCTCGGACAACCTAGCCGTCAAGGGCCGTAGTGTTGGTTCCATGTGGATAGTGCGGGTTTGGTCCGGGGATATTTCAAGCGAAAAGTTCAAGCGACAAGGCCGAGACTCTTGTTCCCGGTCAAATTCTCGTGGAATTTTTGACTACCCAAGGAAATCCGATGACCTTGACAAGGAGGGGCCCCGGAGCCGATGGGTTGAAAAAGGAAATCCGCGTCCGGGTATCCATACCCCACAAGAGTCAGTCGCTTGATTTATTCGCCTGAAATGGTATTTAGGAAAGACAACTGCAGTCTTCCAGACTTGGAACCAGATTTGGCTATTTTCATAACTCACTTTTCCGACATCTCATGTAACCATCGCCTTTGAAACCGGAATATGGAGAAGGGCAAAAAGCGTACAAACTATCCCTGCGATGGATGCTCGCTTCGGCGAGTACGATGCCACTTACAAGGAAGCAGTCCACCCTGCAACGAATGCCGAAAAAGATCAGTGGAATGCACGTTTCTTCGGGTTCCACGGAAGAGGGGACCGAAAGGACCTCGATCGAGCACCACTCACAAGGTGGTGAACTACCAAGAACAAATTCGACAGAATCGGTCAGGCCTCCCTCTGCCGGCCCGTGGCCCATCGCAAAGTCCCAGATCGCCGTCAACTCCCGGCGTGGAGAACGAGAGTACTACCCAGCAAAACTCCTTGGAGGTTTACATCGAATACTTGGACAAGTTTCGAGGCCATCTAACATGTGTTTGGCCTGTCGTCAACGTGGAATCACTAAAATCCCGAATCAGTGGTTCGCCGGATGATCACGATGCATGGGCATTAGCTGGAGCCATCTGTGCTACGGTAATTGCTCAGCTACGACTATCTCAATTGCGGCTTTCCAAGCAGCACAACTTGGTCTCAGATGACAACAGCATTGCGGAAAGCTTTGCATATCATGCTCAACTCTCGCATAACCTGAGCAATCAGCATCATCAAAGCACTTACTACAAGGAAGATACGACAGAGTCTTTACTGACTGCGTTCTTTCTGCACATCTACTTCGCCAATACAGAACGCATCAGGCTAGCCACGGTTTACCTACACGAAGCAATTGCTCAATTACATTTGCAAAGCCTCCACCGCCCAGAGATCCTGATTGGCCTCGCAGAGGAGCAAAGAGAATTGCTGTTGCGGATCTTCTGGTTGGTGTTCGTAACTGAGAGGTGAGTGTCTCCCTTATTCATAATGGCGACGGTTTCAGTCAATAAGCCTCCTCTATAGAGAGGACTGGACAGCTGACAGAGAAGAAACAGGACATTCTGCGTGCAGAACTGTTTCCCACCATGCCTCAAGCCGATCCAGACTTTCCCGCTCTCCGGATTTCACATCCAAGGAGTGGGCGAAGTAGACGCTTCCTTCCAACTCCTCGCTCAGCTCTTCACCCTACTCGACGATAACATAGTCATGGCGGCGGACCGAGGGGGGGTCACCCCCGACTCCAGCAAAGCCGACAACCTCTACAGCGCCCTCTCGGCCATGGCCAAGCAGGACTTCTCGGCCCTGGCCCCCAACCTCCCAGAGACGCAGCGAGTGAACGTGCTGATGACGGGGAATTGGATCCACATACTCTGGTGGCAGTTCGCTCTGAGCCACTACCAGATGTCTAGCCGCATGGATGATGCAATGCTCTCCATGCTGAAGCCTGCCAAGGTTGCTCACGAGACCATGCGTCTTCTCGGGTCTGTTTCTCAGCAGGCCATTCGGACCCACGGATATGGCCTAGTAAGTATTCATCACTCACACTACCGAGGTTCTGGCCGCGTCGACGCTGACAATTTGCCCCCTTTTTTCCTTTTGTGTAGGAGCTGAAAGTCTTTCGTATTGCCGATGCTCTCATCGACATCCTGGCTTGTAACACGTGGTTGTCTAGTTCCCTGCAACCTGGATGCAATAGTATGCTTCTGGGGGCTAGAGATGTACTACACTCTCTTCAGAAGGCTCTTTTGCTCATTGGCGGGCCCGAGTCTTTGTTTCACAAGAAGCTGATGCTGGTTATGGCCGAATCACAACTACCAGTTCCGAATGTGAAGACTTTGACGCCGTGCGAAGAAGAAGAATGCGTTGAAGATTCGTAGAAGAACCAGGTATCATTGAATGACCCAAGTTAATGACTATACACATTGCATACGGAAGTCTCTGAATCATTTGACTATCTCCTCAAGATGTATCGTGTAGCTTGCTAGTTGCAAGACGGCATGAGTTTCCCCGTCGACCAAGGGCCCCGCTTGATTCGTCTAGACACCTGTGCGCAGACTTGATGTGTCAAGTGACACGCCACGCCGTGGTTCTTGCGAGAAATTCAAGCGAGAAATGGTACTTTTCGGTCATGGGATGCCATCGGCAGTCGCTTGACATGTCCTTCTCGCTGATTCGATAGTTTGGTGTGGCAAATATGCGTCGCCATTAACTCGTGCCGTGGTCCTGTGTGTTCGCCATACCCAGTAGCTCGGCCGAGCACTGTAGGGACTAGAGCTTGGATTGTCATGACCACAGTCCCCATTGACAGGTTCACCGCTGAGCCCATCTCCGAGACAGACGCTATCGTCCTCGGTCTTAAGTATGGCCTCACAGTAGTCAACACTCTTGTCATGCGCTCCGAACGCGTTGATCCAGTACCTACACTGGCTCAACACATCTTTCTGAGAGTCGGGCGAGCCCTTGATTCAACAGATTATACCACGACTGTCCCGAGCGGGAGGAAAGCCAAGCCAAGCCTGCCCCGTTCGATATCTCTCCGGCCCTTCACTTCATCGCAGCGCCTAAAGCAGGTATGCTATAGTAGACGCAGTTGATGACTTAATACTAAGGTCCGACGAGAACCGCAATTTGATGTGTCGACACCTTTTGCCAGCCTGCCTATGACCCGAAATCTAGGCAGTCCCAGTACTGGCTCTGTAAACCCCTGATACCGATAGGACGACAAGTTATCTGGACGTGCAATCTCTTCCATGGGCGAAGAAGAGCAGACAAACCAGTGCCATGCATAATCAGCGTAGTCTGAAAGCGTCGAAATACCAACGTAGAAAGCGCCATCGCCGTCAAGCTTCTCTGGTTGAGCCATACGAATCACAGAGAGATTGGCAGAAACCCATCCTGATAGATTTTGGGTTCAGGGCAATTAGTCCTTCGTCATTCTCCATAGCCATGAAGCCACAGCTACGAAGATGGGAGGACTTCTTCGAGCATTCCGTCCATGATCGCAGCGACTCCTGACCCCTTTTGGGGCTACGTAGAGCAGACGAGTTGACCGACGTAGAGCACTGGGCAACGGAGCTGGAGGAATCCGTCTGTATATGAGGAACGATACCACGACCTATACTGAACTCTTCAGCACCTTGTGTAATTGCCTCTTCAAAGTCGCCTGTTACCTTCCTCCTGAATCTATGCTTGCCGTGCTTCTTGATCCAGAGCTCAGTTCAGCACAACCTGAAGGCCCCAAAGGATCAACGTCCAGCTACGCTCTTGAGAACAACAGCCTGAACCTCAAGACCCACAACAATAACCTGCATCTCTCTCCAACACATGCATGCGCGTCAAACGAAGAAACATCAAACTCATTGATCATATTTTCATTTCGATTCGATCTGATCTTAGCCCAACCGCAGCGGCCCTACTACAAGAGAAAAACATCTGAAAAAAGAACTACTACTACGACTGGTGAATAAAAAACACGCCATCTATCAACTCCCAAGCGAGCTTCGCATCGCGTCGCAATCGTATCAACAAACTCAAAGAGAGAGAGAACAAGACGAAGCAAACCCTAGACAGCAGCATGCGTCCTCCACACCAAGCCTTCCGCCCCGCGTTCCCATTTAACAATCTTACAAGAAAAAGTTTCCATACTTTACGCATGCCATGGAAACCCTACGCGACGGAAAGACGAGGAATAATCAAGATCAACCAAAATGCTGTCATGACGAAAGGCGTGCGGAATAACCATGTCTCATCCCGTCATCTGTCCAAGCTTCAGAGTCTTCTTGGCCCTCTCACGTCTCACCCTCATCCCGAAACAACAAGACAAGGAAGCAAAAGAGACAACCTCCTAAACTTCTTCCGGCTTTCCATCATGAAGGGTGGCGATCCCGTCTGCACTATACGAGATGAACAAAAACAAAAAAGTTCGTTGACCAAATAAACCCCCCCCCCCCTTTCTCTAGTCCGAGGCGGAATATCTCCCGCGCTGCAGTACCGCCAACGGACAGGAAAAACTTCGAATCCACCCTTCCACTGTTGAAAAACGACAAGAAACCAGACCGTACATCTTCGGTCTCTTCTCTGATAACGATTCCCTCCCTGAATGACGGCCAATTTGTTGGCTTTTGGGTATCCCAGTCTTCTTAGTAGTAGCCGCGCCGAGCTATGTATTTCGGGGGGTTTTTATTTGTGCAGCATTATATCTTTCCTTCCTGAACAATGAAACGACGATCCAACCTCAACGCCGATGGATGTTTGGTGAAATGAAAAAACAAGTGTTCCTAAAACACGTATATCGAAGAGGTGTACGATGCCAAGCAATGTCTGAGGATTGGGGAGGTTGCAAACAGACTGCTTCTGATGAATCCAAAGCCGTCTTGATTGCTTCCGCGACATGCTTCTGGAAGGATAGTAATGAAAACCCGGTTCCACTCAGGACTCGGTGGCAGGGTCGCCAATAAGTCACGATGTTTGTGTATGGAAAATGGGTATATATATATGTGAGAAATCGCAAGTCTCATGATGTCCTTGTGTCTCATCTCTCGATACTCTCGGGACTCATCATGCCCATGGGCTCGTCCTTATCGGTCTGACTGGCGTTGCCCTGGCTTTGCATGCTCTCGTTCCGCTCCATGCTTGGAGGCAGCGCGATCGCCGCTGGATTGGGCCCGGTGCCATTGATGTTGGCGTGCTTGACCTTCTTTGCCGGTGAAGTCTCGGTCTTCTTCTCTGGTGAAGCATTGGCATCCTTGTTGGCTTGCGCCGCTAACTCCATCTTCTTCTTCTTCTTGGCAAGGGCAATCTGCTCCTTGGGCGGCCTCTTCTGTGGTGAGACAATCTTTCCAGATGCGCCAAGACGGGGTCTGGGCCGCCTCTGCTTAACAGGAAGCTCCTCGTCCTCGACCAAGGGCGTATCGCCATTAGCGTGTAGCTTAGCCAGGAAGAAGTTCTTGACGAGACCGATCTGGCCGTGGATGTTCTCCGTCGTAATGGGCTCAACAGGCGGCAAGGATTCGAAGAGGTCGGTGACCTCCGCGCCAACCGTCTGTGTCTGCATCTGGAATTGGTTGCGAACACGGGACTGAAGCAAGTGAAGAGGAACCGAGAGCATATCCAAGCCCATCTCCTTGTCCAGACCAAGGGCCTTGAAACCAAAGAAGTCTTCGCCGAGATCCTCAGCAAAGTCGCCACTAACGAACTGCTCGCTGCCATCTTTGAAGGCACCGACGCCATCTTGTCCGGCTTCCTGGGTAAGGGCAGGCCGCAAAAGCTCGGTCAAATGGAACTTCATGCGTTCGTGGATGCCGCCAAGCTTCGTGCTGAGTCTGTCGACTTCGTCCTTAGCGTAAGACTCCAGACTAAGCAGGTCGCAACCGTTTTCATCGAGTGTGTGCAAGATAATTTCCTCGGGAGTGAAGCGAGACTGGAATCGAGAGCTTCCTTCGGCACGGGATACTGGTGCTTCGATCTTCTCTGCCTCGCGATACACATTGAAGGTCTTGATGATCTTCTCGAAGTAATCGGATGCTAAGCTCGTCATGGTGTCAATAGCAGAGGGCTGAAGCTCTTCGAAACCGGTGTGGTAGAGAATCTTGGCTACAGAGCGCTGGAGGGCACTACGGCAAGTCTCTGGCGCAATGACTGGGCCATCATCTGCGATGAAAGATGGCTCGGCATCTTGCTCCACGAAAGATTCATAATTGGACTTGGGAAACTGGTTGTTGTAAACCTAGAACACACGCGTTAGAAGACTTATACACCCGCCGGCGATGCCTGTATATACCTGAGTCTGGATCTGCATCTGCTTAATCACGCCGATCTTGCTCGATAGTTTCCTCGTCTCCTGGATCTGATGGATGTTGCTGTCGATCTTGCTGGCAAACCTGCTCTTGGGCGCCTTGAAGTGACCTTCGGGGATCAATCGGAGATATTCCTCATGTTGGTTGATGACATGGCCCTCGCCGTCCTCGATCCACTGCAGCTTGGGCTGGATGTCCGGTAAAACTGTCAGAGGTTCGTAGTACGCTGGTACAATCTTTTCCTCTTCTCCTTCCATGCCCTCGGCCAGAGTTTCGGCAGGCTTCGCGGCCTCTTTAGCAGCAATGGCAGACGAGTCCGCCTGGGCTTGACCAATGACGCCCAGGGCTTCGGCTTCCTTTTGACCCCTCAGATACCATCGAATGCCGGCTTTATTTCGGAGTAGAGCAGGAGCGTCAGTGTTGAGCTTATTGTCCTTGAAAAGTTGATACCGTTCCTTGGCGATGAGTGCGCGGTCCTTCTTCGTCACTTGCTTCCAGATCTTGTACTCTTCGTCCTCATAGGCCTGTTCTGCAGCTTCGTTGAGAGCTTGTCCCAAGGCCATGCCGTTCAACGTGGGCCCATCGATATCCATAGCATCAGCATTGCTTCCGATGCCCGAGTGTCCGTTAACGCCGCCAGGCGTTGCCGAGCCACCAATGGGCGTACCGAATCCGCTGCCATCAACTGCTTCAGAACCTTCTCGGCCCTTAGCCAGCAGGCCATTAAGCTGCAGCACCGGTTTCTGGTCAACACTGGGGGTGCCCTCCTTCTGATCGGTGGGTTGTTTCCGAGACTTGGCGCCCTTGGTTCCGGCAGTACGACCGCGAGATGACATTATCGGTTCATCGTCCGAGTCGTCACCGCCGTCTTCCTCGCCACCGTTCTGTTTTCGGCGCTCTTCTGCCTCGACCTCGGCTCGCGGTCTGATGACGAGGTCCGGAATGAGAGGAATAAGCTTCTCGGCCTCTTTCCTCATGCCATTGGCCATCCGCCTCAGAGGGTGTCCCATATCTTGGTTGTAGCGCAGGCAGTTGTCCCATATCAGGTTTAGGTCGGTGACGAATTCCGCCTTCGATTTATACGTGAGGGTCTTGATCTTCTTGGTCATAGATCCCATGTCCATTGGCTGCTTGATGACTGCGTTGTGCCGAGGGTGGTTAGCCAATCCGAGTCAAACTTGTCTGCCTGGAGGCAACTTACGGTTATAGTAATCCGGCGCATCCCTCTTATTCACCCTCTGCAAAAAGGGCGTTGAGTATTCCGTATGTGCCTTCAGCTCCGTCAAGACTTTCTCGAGGGCCTCGTACAACTCTTCTTGGTTGACATTCTCCTCGCTAGCCCATTTACTTCGGTTTTTTCGCACTTCGTTCATGAGTGATCGCAATTCTGCATCAGAGGCGCGAACTTGGTCGCGTTTCATGTCTATCCTCGCAATCAAGTGCTTGAGGGTTAAACTCGACGCGCCCAAATTGGCGCTGCTGAGCGATCCGTGGTTCTCGGCCTGGGCGCCATTTGTCTGACTGTGGTTATTGTTGTTTTCCATCTCGGCCTGCAATTGTTTTTCGGACTCCTCCAGCTGCTGCTGTTCCAGCATAGCAGTCCGGTCGTTTTCCAGAGTATAGAATATGGTATGGAAGCTCCGTCTCGCCGCTTCTTCGGTCGCGTTACGCGCCTCTTCCAGCTGTTTGCGCGCATCTTCGCTGGTTTTGGTGCTGTCTCCAGATCCGTCGGCCTGTTTGAGTTTCTCGAGCTGTTTGCCGGGGGAGCTGACGGAGTGCACAGGCGAACTACCGGACTTTGAGGGGGAGAGTAGCGAGCCGGCGCCGGCGGCCGCAATACCGTTCACGGGTTTACTCGAATCGGCTGCGGTCGCGTCTTCTTCTTCATCCTCGTCATCGTCATCGCCGTAGTCGTCTTCGTCGATGACCCGCTTGGCCTTCTTTGATGGAGGCTCTTGGATCGGCGCATGGTCGGTGGTAGGGGGTAAGATGGAGGGGGAGGGGGCCGAGGGGCGGCGCAGCGCATCGATGGCGGAATAGTTGTATGATCCGTCGTCAGCGAACAGCAGCGAGATCTTTGCCTCGCTTTTGTGATAGAGATCTTTGAACAAGGCGCGTCGTCGTTCCTCTTCAATATCAGGTTGTGCCTCAGGCATCAAGGACATTGAATGGTCGACGGGGGTTCCGTTTCGCGCAGGACCATCATCAAGTTGATGAAACAGGCGACTAGAGGGTTGGTGATGAAGGGACGGCGGCTGCCATGCGTGGTGGCCATTGGGGAGGGACATTTTGAGCCCGGGTTGATGATAGCGACAGGTGGGCGGCGTGTCGCCATGCGCAAGGAAATGCGCTCGTCAGGGACCGAGTCCGGGCGGCAAAGGGTCGTTATGAGCGCATCAGTAGAAAGAGCGACATCGATAGAGATGAGCTTTGCGTTTCGGAGACGTGACGGGTTGTGGTTGTTGTGTATTGATGGATTGGGATAGGGGGTCTTTTGGGTGGTTCCGAGAGGTGAGGTTGAGGATTTGGAGAGGCTCGTACGCAAGTACGCGATGGAACTTTTCCCTTGCCTGAAGACGGCGAGTTGGCCGCTGCTAGCGGTACACGGAACCTTGGTTGACCACGAGTTACGCAGCACAGACCACCACGAAGACTGTCGCAAGTACTTAAAAATGAATTGTCAAGGTCTCAGTATGCTCGTCAATTCATCTACCTTTTTTTCGGACCCAGAAATGAGGTGCACTGGGGTGATGATGGGTGCCGCGATTGCGGGATGCAGGTACATGAACTTCCAATGCCGACGACGGCGCGAGCGGAGGCCACCGTAATTCCCCCCCTTGGCCCAGCGCTGAGCGATCGGATCGCGTACGTTTTTGTCACGTGATGGCCCCAGCCAACCAGTCGCAGTCAGAAACGAGCCACGAAGCGCACCCCAGGCACCAAAGCACACCAGGAGGACGGACCAGCAACACAACACAGAGAGTTTGCTTTGGGGGGGAACTTGGAAGTACTTTAATGCCGAACAAAGTGGTGATGCTTATGTGATTTTCAGAGGTTTGAAATTGTTCGAGTGTCTTTAGCGACTCTCCGCAACACCATCAGACATGTCAATTCACTCCCTTTACACATCATCCCGTGCATCTCAATTCCCTCCACCCACCCCCAGTGACCTCATCCGCATCCACGGGCGCGCATCGCGTCTGGCACCCCCAGACATCCATATCGCGACAGTACCTAACTGCGGCCCACGGCATCTTCCGCCCGGGCCACCTGAACCCGACCAAACCGGGCCCCCTCCATCTGCTCCAAAATCCTCGGGGGCCTACCCCTGTCCTCGAAGAAAGGTCCCGTAAGGTACCTTACGCAGTAAAGCCTGGGGTTGGGGGGCGCCACCACTGCTGCACATCTCCTTCCGTCAGTGGGCTGAACTCCATTTCGCGTTCCCGCAGCAGGACCAAAAAAAAAGCTCTCCCTCGCTCGCCCCGATCCAGTCGCTTGGGAGCTCCGGCCAGCTGGACACCTCACCCTCGTCCGTGACGACCCCATTACGAACAACCCTGGCCAGTTTTCCCTTTCATCTTTGGGAAAGCAAACGCATAACACGAACCTCGACCTCTCTCGTCTGCCAGCTAGTAGCTGAACGTCCTTACACACCTCCATCACTCGAGCCGCCCATAATTGTTTCGAGACACTCCCAAAGCTTAGCCACCTTAGCTACCATCGCAAGCTACCAATCACACCACCATCTGCAGCAGCTCCTGCAGGTCTCTTCAAAATGCGGATACGTTTGCCCTTTGCAGGTACGTCAAGAGTCTCGACAGCGGTCAACCATGGTTCTGGATCTTCATCGATTCCCTGCAGAGCCGAGTGGACAATGTAGCTCCATCTCCCAGCTTCGGCTTCAGCCTAAGCCCCAGCCCAAGCTCAAGCTCAACTTCATCTCCATTCGAGATCCCACTTCAGCTCCAGCTCAAGCTCGCAAACGCAAGTACGCAGAACCCAAGCTAACACACTCCTCCTCCCCAGGCGTCTTCTTCGCCCTCCTCCTCGTCGCAGGCTACGCAGGCCTAACAACCCTCCAACTCGGCCAATACGTAAACGACAAGGTCCTCCACTTCACAACCTTCTTCCTCCTCACCATCGTCTTCTACTGGATCCTCGACACCAACCGCCGCCGCACCCTCAACCTCACCCTCACCGTCTGCACCTTCATCCTCGGCGTCGGCTCCGAGTTCCTCCAGGGCTTCCTCCCCAACGGCCGCGAGTTCGACTTCTACGACATTGTCGCCAACGTCGTCGGCTCGCTCGCGGGCATCGGCCTGTGCTCGTGGTACCACAAGCGCATGCTCGAGCGCAAGCGCCGCACCAAGACGTACCAGGCTGTCCCCGGGGAGGACGAGGAGGACGTGGAGCTCGGTGAGGGACACGAGACTGGTGTTGTTGAGGCTAGTGGTGCGAGGGATGGGGGTGCTGGTGTTGGTGTAGGTGCTAGCAGTGGAGGCAGGTCGCTTGAGGAGGAAGTGGACAATTGGGATGAGAACCAGGTGGATGACTGGGAAGAGGAAGATGGTGATGGTGACATCGGCGGAGTCAAGAGCAAGGATATGGATACGGGAGATATTGGCGACTCCAAGAAGCGGGCTGATTAAAGCTCTTTAGCAAGGAGGAAGCCAAGGAAACGAACGTGTGCGATATGACGGATGAGCATTGAGTTACGATTTTTGGCGTTTAGGGAGGCCTTTCATCCTAGCAGCGTGTTTCGTAATAGATAAAATGACATTCTTTCCCCTCATCATACTGTACAAATCTCACTCTTGGATCGAAGAGAGCAGAACACTAACGTGTGGCAGGGGGAGAGACGAAGAGTTTGAAACAATGGCTATGATTTCTAGGGTAGACCAACAAATTACCAAGACAGAAACGCCAACCCAGTAGCTTCGGCCATAACTTTCTATCGACTCAAAGTATTGAAATCTACAAACATGCAGGCCCTCACCAGCCAAAGGCTTCATTGTGCCATACCACATCCCGGCCCCTCATGACCCACGCGCCGACATACTCCCGCACCTCCCGCCCCATCTCCGCTGGCCCGCACACAAGCACCGCGACCCTCTCCTCGGCCCCCTGCCTGAAGACGTCGTCGACGATCTTGCGCAAGTCTGGTCGCTTGCGGCTGCTCTCGCTGGTGAGGCGGTTCCGCCTTCGGTCACGTTGCAGCGAGCTCATCTCCATCTCGCCCTCGGCGTTTGTCTCGGCGGGAAGACCAGCCATGGGACCGGTGGAGTCCGAGCTGAGGGTATCGCCTGTGAGGAAGACGCGCACGTTGGGGTCGTCAATGATACTCTTGGAGATGGACTTTTCGGCGGCCGTAGCCCAGGCTGTGTCGCTGGCGCCACGGATGGACCAGACGAGTTCGACCTTGGCGCTGGGGTTGTCTTGGAGGATGGCATGGTAGATTGGTACAGTAAAGGTTGCGCCTACGCCGCCGGCCACCAACAGGAAGCGGTCGACAGAGGATCCGGTGAGTTTGTCAAAGTGGAGGGATGCGGCACCGTACGGGCCCTCGATGCAGAGCGGGACCTTGCCGTCTTCGATGCCCGTGCCCGCGTTTGCGAAGCGGCCGAGATGTCGTGTGAGCGGGCCATCGAGTTGTCGAGCTACCAGAGTAAGGCTACCGTTATCCTCGTCGACGGATGCAACGGTGAAGGGGTTGAAGAGAAATTCAAAGAGCATCGCATCAGGGGATGTTGGGCCAGCACCAGGTCGTGCTGCAGCAGGGACGCTGAGGTAGATGTGGGAACCTGGGCGCGTATGGAAAGCATTGATTTTGTGCTGAGGAATCGAAGCAGAGATCTTGATCAGGTTCGTGCCAGGGATGGTCTCAACCTTTGAAAGAGCCATTACAGTCCGGAGACGACGGACGGTAAGGTCGATGAGGAAGACGATGATAGCCTTGACCATAAAGAGGCGAGCCGACTTGGCGTGGAAGAAGACCAGGACTGGAATTGCAAAAGCGCCGATGAGATGAGTGATGAAGAAGACGCGGTACGAGTACCTTCGAACGGTGGCAGCCGCTGTTGAAGTCATCATGTTCATAGTTGCAAACGCAACGACACCGGCAAAGACGACGGGAGCGAAGAGGCGCTTCTGAACGATGCCTTTGGCCACGAAGAAGTTCAGGTAGAATACGGCGTGGAGGACAAGAAGGGATAGCGTCACGCGGGAGAGAACTCGGTGCCATTTGTTCAGCTCTTCGTGAGATGTGCGGAAAGCCTTGGCGATGGGGCTGAAGCTCTTCAATGCCAACAGATATTGGAAGGGGATTTGGGAGACTGCGATGATGCCGAAACGCTTGGTGAGATGGAGGTAATCTACATCTAGTCAGAAACATGGCCTTTCTTTTGTTTAACCAGAGTTAACGTGTTTTTGAGCACGAAATGCCAATTTTATTGAGGCTCACTTGAGTCTCAAGGGGGGTTGGTTCCAGGGTAGAGTTTGGAGTTTCATCACGTTTGACATCCAATTGAGGGGATTCATAACTCACCATCGCCCGTCTCCAACACGCTCAGAACCAGCAGCCATGACGCCCAGGCCAAACCAAAAACCCATTGGTCCTTTTGGCCCCAATGCTGCCCCATGAAGTAGACATCGTCGGCCAGCCACCACTTCCACTTCTTGAGTGTGGCCTCCCAGCTGTGGCCCCAGCTCTGTCTTCTTGTCTTCAGCTCAGGAGAGCCCGGTACAGCAGAGTAGGAAGCTCCCGACTGCCAGCGTTGACTGAGATACGCCCCGAGCCGAAACAGCAAAGCAATGATGATTGGCGTCAGTGCCGAGTACTGAGCATAGCTGCCATAGCGATCCAGGGTCTGTCTCCGGATCTGGACCTCTTCCTTGGACAGGTCGACGAAGCGGTAGGGCCAACTCATAATGGTCGATCTTTCACGGGTGACGCGGATAATGTTGAGGCAGAGTTGGACAAGAAGGAAGCTCAATGGAGCTCAGTGCCACTGGAGAAATACAAAAGGCAAGACAGGAAGAAAAAAGGTTGTGATAGTCCGCAAGCTCGGACCGAGCGGGTAATTACACAAATGAAGACGAGATGGAGTTGCAGTGGGAATTGGCGAAGGTTCCCGTCACTTGTCATATATCGAGGAGCGTGCCTGGACAACCGACTACACACGGCAGAACGAACACCTTACAGCTGGCATCTTCGTCCAAAGTCTCACCTCGCAGTCGAGGCGGTTTTAGGTTGGCTTAGGCTCGTTTTCCAATAGGTGTATCGACCAGCTGCGATGGATTGCTTGGTAAGCGACGTCTTGATTGGTCAGAAGGAGGAAGCTAAGGAGGTGACCCCTGAGCTTTCCCCCAAATGTTCCCGTTTCTGGTGGAGGCAAGTGCTCCCCATTGCCAAGCAGGCGTCGGTGACATTTCAGCGAACATCCCAGCTGTTCGTGGGCGGGCGGGAAGGACCCTGCCGAAAGACCCTTCCATTCCACTGGCTCCAGCATCGTCGCTCTTGCACTTCGATCCACAAAGAAGGCATTGCAATTGTTGCCGACTGCTCTCTTCTGCATGTCACCTTATGAAGCTGTTACATCCTCAACGGACGGATCAAAGAACCGCAGCATTCGGGCCGCAATGTTTAGCTCTAGGCTTCCTCCAGTCATTCCACTCGGCGATGGCGAGGCTGGTGGCTGAGCCATGAATTTCGGTGTCACATTACACACCTCGCAAAGCTCATACGATAGAAGATCCTCTGTATTTGCTCATCAGTGGGACAGAAGCCAAAATCACGCCTGCCTGCAGCAGCAGATCTGCCTCAAATGGCTGGTTGGTTAACTCAGGGTGTCGAAAGACCCTGCCATGCAGCCTGCATAGGCGCTTAGAGCGGGGGTTGCGGCTCCCGTTCAGTGCCTGCTATACAAAACAACGATTCTTGAGCAATCCTCACAGCCCAGTCCTATCATCAATCCTCATAAGAGGGCTCACATTTCGCACTCCGTTTCGTAACCTAAGTTCCACCAATTACCGTGTCATGAATCAACATGGACCCCACGTGCGCTTGCCAACAACTAGAAGTGTTGTACTGGAAGAAAGGTGAGATTGAAATGCTTCCTTCCTCTTATGCTGCTGGCCATACTGATAGGAATAGGCGATCAAAATTGGAGACCAACTACAACGATCATTGAGAAGGAACCAGCATCCTTTCTAGCAGACGAGGGAGATTTCGATGTCTGCATCGTGTAAGCATAGTAGAGCTTGGGTGACGGCTCAATGCTGACAAGTGGATAGCAATGCTTTTGCGCAGAAAATACGCGAATGTTCAACATGCCGTGAGAAGTTTGCTAAAGCCTTCATGATCCCAGATCTCTGGTGGAAACGATACTGCAGGGATTCCAACGGCTACTTTGGATGCGAGACAAAGATTGATGAAGACGGAAATACTGCAGGATTGAGTGAGTTGTGATGATTAGGGCCAAGGACGCTGACTGACGGGAGAATAGCTACGTGGGCGCGATTCCCAGTGAAGCTCACGAACGAAGGACATACAGGATACGAATGGTCAAAGACCAATGTGGTTACGCACTGGGTGGCTAAGACTCGTCAAACAGTCCTCATCGTCTTCGACGCCGTCCAACCAGCGGCGAATTGTATGAAGAGGGTTCCGGAAGATGAATCCGATCCCATTTATGCCGTACCAAACGCGGACTACTTCCTCGATCCTTACTGGATATACATCGGAATTTTGGAGAAGGTCGTCACTCTGCAAGATGCCGCTGTATGGGCTGTTCGTGTTACAGTCAGGACCACAGAGAAGCAAAGGGATATAACCCACGGCTCCGACTCGGCCACGTCAAAACCTGCACCGGGCTTTCGTCATTTACACGAAACTGCACGACATGCTATACACGTTTCCGAGACATTGGATTTGGCCGTCAAGGCTGCTAGGAAGATTCTACTACAACACGAGGCATACAAAGTTGGCCCTGACGATCAGTCCAGGTCTTCCACCGCATGGAAACGGGCTTGGAACCACACACACCAGCGGTTGCAGTTCTTCGAAGAGATGATCACGAGCCTTCAAGAGCGCTCGGCTTCCAACAAGGCTCGACACTTCAACGAGATCTCGCTCGCGTACAACATGGTTGCTCAGTCCGACGCCCGCATTTCTGTAGCCATCGGTCGCGCGACGCAGAGGGACAGCGAGGCCATGAAAACCGTGGCTTTTCTCACACTACTCTTCCTGCCGGCGACTTTCGTTTCAGCCGTCTTCAGTACTTCGTTTTTTGACTACGACTCGGCCTCAGACTCGTGGAATGTCTCTGGAAAGTTCTGGGTATACTGGGTTGTAGCAATTCCAATAACCCTCATAACGGCTCTGCTGTGGTATTACCGACATCATATGAGCCCTCCAGGTGGTTTCGACATACTTCGACGGGCGGATTCCCAAAGAGCATTTGTGTGTAACGATATCGAGTTTGGGGATGGTAAAGCTGATGCGGGGTTGCAGCATCAGGCCCAGGCAAAGTCATGGACATAATGGCATAGCACGCTGTGCCGCACTTGTGGTCAGGCAGACTCGGACCTGGTGCCGTAAATATTGAATGTGACAGGCAAGCGGGTGACAAAATCGATTTCTTGCTCTTCATCTTGATAAGTATCCTTTTTACTACTCATATCATCACTATTATCCTTCTATATTAAAGTCCTTCTTAGGTATATACGTAGAGGAATATACCCTGTTTAACAGATATTAATGCTAGTGATAATAGCAGTGGAAATGCTTGTCGCATATGTCGAGCGGAAATCGATTTTGTCACCCACTTGACAGGCTATCGAATTCCGTTAGCAGCTTCCAACAATGTGCATCTTCCACCACAGTCGTTTATCCGATTGGACACTTTTTGGCCATGCAGCAGGGGCCTTGTGATCTAAATGCTACTGGACGCTGCGAGGAGCTGAAAACTGCTGCGGCAACAGGGGGCTGTGTTGGCGCAGCCTGATTGACGCCCTCGACTCAGATAGGTATTCTGGAGTCGCAGGCAAGTCCCGTCTGCCCCAAGTTGCCTTCCGCAAAGCCTATCTCTTCGTCAATTTCTCTGACCTGGCTTGAACTCGATTCGCAACAACCCTCACTGCGATTTCGGCCATATCGCAATCGCCATACCAGGTAAGTACAAGCTATTCTATCACACATTCGTTCTCACGGCGACTGAACATCGCAGATTAGGAAGACGACTTCAGCAGAAACCCCTTGGATCCCGCATGGAGGTTGACCAAAATGCTCAGCGATCACGCTCACCATCAACAAAAAACTACCGATTCGCAGTCCACGAGCGCTCCTAGATGTGCCACAGAGAAACGGGAACGGAGCGTCAGTAGTGACGAAGGGAGTGATTATGGGCTTGCAAAGAGGGCAAGAACAACGAGCTTCCTTCGTACGCCGAACAGTGCGGGGCAGTTCTTGGTCAAACTATCACATGAGGCATACACGGTGGGCTGGGTTTGTGCTCTTCCCCTTGAGATGGCTGCAGCCCGAGCGATGCTTGACAAGGAACACCAACCACTCAATATGAATCCAAACGACAGCAAGGTGTACACGTTTGGCAGCATCGGCCCGCACAATATCGTCATTGCATGCTTACCGTCAGGCCAGTATGGCACAAACAGCGCAGCCGTAGTGGCGAACAACATGCGCTGGAGCTTTCCATCAATACAGACTGGCTTGATGGTCGGAATAGGTGGCGGTGTTCCTGGAAGAATCGACGTACGGCTTGGCGACGTCGTGGTCAGTAACCCGACAGCAGATTCTCCAGGTGTCGTACAGTATGACTTTGGAAAAGCTGTAAACGATGGTAAGTTCGAGCGCATCGGGAACCTGAACAAACCTCCACCGCCGGTTCTTGCAGCTGTCTCCAGGTTACGAGCTGACCACGAATTTCAACCGAGTCGAGTTCCGGATATCTTGGCTCGCATGGAATTGCATCATCCCTATATGGTTGAGTTCTTGCATCGAAATGTAGATGAAGACAGACTCTTCGAGGCCTCATACGAACATTCTGGGGAAACCTGTGATGACTGCGATAGATCCAGGCTCGTACCACGCAGTCTACGACCGACAAACAACCCCAGCATTCATTATGGAATTATTGCCTCTGGAAATCAGGTTATGAAACATGCGAAAACGAGGGACCGACTGGCGAAAGAACTTGGATTGATATGTTTTGAGATGGAAGCTGCAGGGCTGATGGACAATTTTCCATGCCTCATTATCCGTGGTATCTGTGATTATTCGGACTCCCACAAAGCAAAGCAATGGCAGAAATATGCCGCTGCAACCGCAGCGGCCTATGCGAAGGAGCTTCTCTCCATTATCCCACCTCAAGGAAGCTTTAGTATTCAAAGGCAGCCTGAAGTGCGGGACACCGGTAAGCCATAATGCCGACCCTCTCGCTGAGAATCTGCTAACGATTTACTACAGAAACACCATCGACAGATCGCAAGGCGCTTCTAGACTCGCTCAAGTTTGATCAAATTGATAAGCGGCACGCCAATATCAAGGCCAACCATGCGAAAACCTGCGATTGGCTTCTCCAGCATCCTGATTATGTCATCTGGTTAGATCGTAAGATGTACTCTCAACATCACGGTTTTCTCTGGATCAGGGGGAAACCTGGGGCAGGAAAGTCAACGATCATGAAATTCGCCTTCAACCGAGCGAGAAGGAGAGCCACATCGATTGGGCCTTCTATTTCATTCTTTTTCAACGCAAGAGGCGAAGGGCTCGAGAAGTCAACGCTGGGAATGTATCGTTCACTCATACATCAGCTTTTGGAAAAAATGCCCGATCTACAAATTTTGCTCGATACCAACGACGGCCCACAAGAAATCGCAGTGTGGAATCTAGAAAAGGCCAAGATCCTCTTCCGTAGCGCCGTTCGGAAACTCGGACAACGGCAACTTACATGTTTCATTGACGCCCTTGACGAGTGCGCCGAGAGTGAGGTTCGAGAGATGGTAGAGGTCTTCGAAGACCTAGGACAATATGCGGTTCAGAACGATATCCGATTCTACGTTTGCTTCTCTAGTCGGCACTACCCCTATATCGATATACAATACGGCCAAAAGCTCATCCTGGAGGACCAAATCGGTCATGAAAGAGATCTCGCAGAGTACGTCCGTACTAGTCTCAAGGCCGGCACTGGGCCCAAGAGTGAAGAGGTCATCGCCGAAATCTTACGGAAAGCTTCTGGTGTTTTTATGTGGGTCGTACTGGTGGTCGACATTCTCAACAAGGAATACCTTAGGGGTCGCTTGTTCGCAGTCAAAAGTCGCCTGAAAGAGATTCCATCCGAACTGAGCGAGCTCTTCCAGAACATATTGACAAGAGACCAAGAAAACCTCGACGATTTGCTTCTATGCATCCAATGGGTTCTCTACAGCGCACGGCCTCTAAAACGCGAAGAATACTACTTCGCCTTAGCCTCCGGCTTGGAGCCTGATACTCTAGGAGAGTGGGATTCCAATGAAGTCCCGTCTGAATTCATGGATCGTCTGATTGTCAGTTCATCTAAGGGACTGGCTGAAACAACGAGATCCGATGATAAGACTGTCCAATTCATTCACGAATCGGTACGTGACTTTCTGATCAAGGACAACGGATTGCGTACTCTCTGGCCAGAGATGGGCGCTGATTTCGAGGCCCAAAGTCACAATCGATTAAGGGACTGCTGCCATGAATACTCGGCCCAAGTCAATATTTCTAGATACCTGAAAGACGATGACTATCGATTGTACACCTACAGAGAGGGATTTATCAACTTGAAAGCCGTAATCGACCGTGGCTTTCCATTTCTAGAGTATGCAACCAGTCAAATACTCTACCATGCCGATGCCGCTGCCCGGACCGCCCCACAGACCGAGTTCCTCCAACATTTCCCCTTAGAACGATGGAACCAGAGAAGCAATATCTTTGAAAAGCATCAAGTCAGAAGGCAGAAGCCTGGTGCTACGAACATCTTATACATCGTTGCGGAGAGGGGATTCACGAAACTGGTTGAGACAGCACTCCATCATGACCCGGATGCCGAAGTACGTGGAGGCCGCCATGGGTACCCACTCCTTGCGGCTTTAAAAGAAGGCCATGACGACGTAGCAAGATTCTTGCTGCAACATATTGCAAGTTCTGCAAGAAAAATTGGGTCTACAGCATACAATACCCCGGAGAACGAGACGAGCAGTCAAGTCCAACCTAGCATTGACTGCAAAGACAAAGAAGGACGTACGCCGCTCTACTTTGCTGCAGAAAGAGGGCAACTCGACATCGCCGAAACGCTATTCGACTTGGGCGCGCGACCTGACCTCATACCAAAGGACATCTCTTATAGCCCCGTGGTTCGCGCTGCCGAAAAGGGACAGGAAGCATTCTTGAGGCTCATTCTCCAGAAGCGATCCGGGTCACAACTGAGCGTCACTCCCAGCATGATTTCACGACTACCATCATCGGTAGACAAACTTCAAGACGTCAAAAGAGCTCTCATCAGGGCGGCTGAGACCGGAAATACGGGCACTGCGCAAATTCTGCTTGAGACGGGTGTTAGCATCGATGACGGGTACAAGCCTGACCACACGCCTCTGATAGCGGCAGTCCGAAAAAGTCAAAGTCGCTCCATCGACCTCCTTCTTGAAAGTGGAGCAGACATTAATAGAGGATCCCTATTGGAAGGAATGAAGCCAATCCATTGGGCAATCACACGCGAAAACGAAGCAATCATTCGATTATTGATTGAAAGAGGGTGTGACTTTGAAGTTCAAGACGCATCTGGGCAAACACCTCTCCACATCGCTTGCCAATATGAGAACCGCTTTCGGATCGTAGCGCTTCTTCTCGAAGCAGGTGCGAATGTCCATGTACAGGACGACAATGGGGATACTCCCCTGTTCATCGCTGTATTACGCGATGCAATCGATAGTGTGAAATTGCTATTGCAACACAGCATTTGTGAACACCAAAGAGATAATGACGAAATCACACTCACTCGTGGGAAATCGCAACAAAAATTTGGAAGTGTACCTTCAGATTTCAGGAACTTGACAAACAAGCTCGGACAGACCGCTCTCTTCAAAGTTCGACCCTACACACCCCGAATTCTGGAGGTCCTATTGAATGAAGGTCTGGACCCTACTCATCAAGATAATCTGGGCCAGAACTTTCTCCATGAGGCATGTAAGCGAGGCTCATCAAGCTCCAGATATTTTGAAGGTGTGGGGAAGGCCATTGAGAATGGTCTTGAAATTGACTGCCGGGACTACGAGGGACGAACCCCCCTTATGAATGCTGCTAGGGGATGGGATTCTCGATTAGTCGACTTTCTGCTTCGACGTGGAGCCGATCCCAATGCAAGGGATATAAAAGGACAAACGCCACTATCTGAGATCCTTTCTGTGGATTATTACGAGTATAGACTTGAAGCTGTATCAGCCACGATTCGGAGCCTTCTTGATGCGGGTGCCGATGTCACAGAATCAGGCCCAAACGGTAAAGATTTAAAGGAATTGGCTTTGCGGTGGAGTATTAAGGTGTGACAATGTTGATCGGAAAGGCGTTTGAGAAGGCCCATGCCACTTCCTAAGGGCGTCCCTGGGTTTTGTGCTTCCGGAAGAACTTCGTGTCTTCTCAAACACTGGTTGGCGTGTTCTCGGAATCCTTTTTGTGGTGGATCCCTTCGGAATTCATACTTTTTTTTTTAGTCACGGCGTTGGGTCAGAAATCTCATATGAGTCTACTCTTGCAAAAATCACCATATTTATGTCGATGCTTGTACAACGGCGCAAGACCGACGTCTCGAACTCACCGGATGATGGCGCCGGCTTCGGCCGGCCAAATTTACCCCGCCATCACCGTCCCGCGGCGAAGTCCTCCGTCAACCCCGCCAAAGTGGGCCAGGCGCTTTCTATCGGCAGACTCAAGCTCAGGATATGCTCGCATCCTATGACTATGTAATCAGCAAGTATCTCTGAAGTCGTCTATAGCTTCAGGACAAAGGCTTTCTATCAAATAAGTCCAAATCTAAATCACTGAATGCAAAGGCCGGGCTCGCTAACGAACACAAGGCGAAACTAAGTTTCCTCAGACCCAATCCTAACCTCTCCATGCATAATGCAAGCAACTTATTCCAGTTTGATACAGGATACAAGATATTCCAGGTCCCAAGTAAGGTCGATTAGCCTCTCGGCAAAATCCCCAAAAAGTCAAAAAGAGCCTCATCCACTAAGTAATCCATGCAAGCAAAGTCCACGCATAATCTCCATCATCCACGCCCTTTCTGCGCGCCCTTTCTGTACATGCCTGCTATCAAAACCCCACCATCCGCCGGTGAAGAGGACCCACTTCCCACCTCCGACCCCGCGCCGGTGTAATCTCACCGTCGTTGGATTTATCATCCTCATAGAGTCGCAGCTACCTTGCTTCAATTCATCTTATATCCAACATTCCAGCTCACATCCGTCTCTCCTCATCACTTCCCGTCGTCATCCGAATACCAACAAACTCCAAAATCATCCATTCCCCAATATACCACCTCAACTCAAACCACCACATATCATCACCACACCCAACACCACCAAAATGTCCGACCAAATCGAAAAAGTCCTCACGACCGCCGCCCCAGCGCCCCTCCCCCAATTCTCCCAAGCCGTAAAATACAACGGCATGGTCTACTGCTCCGGCAACATCGGCATCCTCCCGGACAAGCCAGGCATGGTCCAGGCCGAGGGCACGGTCAAAGACCGCACCCGCCAGGCCCTCAAGAACCTCACCGCCGTCCTCGAAGCGTCCGGAAGCTCCCTCCGCAACGTCGTCAAGGTCAACGTCTACATTACGCAGATGTCCGACTTCGCCACCATGAATGAGGCGTATGATGAGTTCTTCACGTTTGATCCCAAGCCTGTAAGTTTATCTGTTATCCATATCTAGAGATGACTTTGCTCGTCGTTCCTGGCAGGTCATGACGGAAAAGGAATGAGAGATTGCGTGCTGATATTTTAAATGAAAAGGCCCGCACGTGTGTTGCAGTATACCAGCTACCGCTGGGCACTGATGTCGAGATTGAGTGCACGGCATTCCTGAACAAGCCCACTCAGAAGCTGTAGATTCCTCGCATTTTGGACTTTAAAACTGTGTTCCAACTTTGAAGAAACAAACCTATTTTGAACTACTGTATTTATGTAATAGTGAACGCCTGGGTTACAGCAACCCGCCCTATTGGGCATGGCTTCTGCAAATCTATAAGAAAAGCACAGTTTTCCCACCCTTTTAAGCAGCCTCCTCATGGGACTGCATGCCCGTAACGCCGGGTAACAAATAAGCAAGCCCCTTCCACATCATGTCTTCATCAAGCGCCAGTGAAATGAGCTCCCATATCGCACACCTTACTGCCGATATCTGGCAAGCTGTGCCATGATATTCTGAACCTGCACTGCGGAATCACCTGTGCCAGTTGCAGGAGGGTGGCCGTTCGGGCCATTCGGGGGTGGCGCGCCATTCGGAGCAAAGGCCTGTCCGCCATACGAGGCAGGCTGCGTTGGTGCCGCAGGCGGCACTTGCTGAAGACCACCCATAAGGGCTTGCAGCTGAGCGTTCGCCGCTCCGGCAGCATTGTTGACAGCCGCCGGCCCACCCTGGGGGTTCAAGCTAACCAGCAACCGCTGCAAGGTCGCATTATCGATACCGCTCATCATGCTGGCGAGGTCGGCTGGCACTCCAGCCGGTGGTTGGGGTTGTTGGACAGGAGGTCCACGCGGCGGTCCCTGACCTCCGTGATAAACAGGTGCCTGAGGAGGTACGGGCTGCCCTCCATAAGGCTGTCCGTATCCCGGGTACTGAGGCTGGGGAGGCGGGCCATTCTGATAAGGTGCCGCCGGCACAGCTTGTGACTTGGCCCGGAGGACGAGCTCTGCCGCGATCGGCGGGTCGATGTCTCGATAGTCGTCGTATCGGGCACTGACGCCTCCGGAGCGGTCGAAGACTCGGAGCGGGATCTTGCCCATGTTTTGTGCCTGTATGTCGAGGTCAACAATGGCGTGTACACCTTCGATGACTTGGCGTTGGAGAATAGCCTCGCGAGGGAAGCTCGGGTGAAGGAACATGACGTCAACTTTCAGGCCGCGATCGGTGAAACCGCGCTGAACCCAGGTTATGAAGTCGCGGCTAAGATCCTGGAGGAGCAAGAATTGAACGTCAGGAACCTGGTTGCCGTAGCGGCGAGGAATGTCGAGACGGTCGTCAGCTGCCGAAGGACGGCCATAAGCCGCAGGCGGGCTGGGGCTACGCCGGCGGTATCCATCGTTGTGGCGGCCATATCCCTGCGGAGACCGCGAACGACCGCGGGAGCGGTCATGAGAGTCCTGCTGGTAACGATCCCGACCATGACTATCCTCACGGCCATGGCCCCGTCGGGGAGGGCTGTTACGTCCCGGCCTGTAATCATCGCGGTTACGACGGTTGTCATGGTGTGAGTTGGCTCCGTCATGACGATCTTGACGTCCTGACTGTCGGCCTCCACGACCGCCACGGTCTGGCGAGCGGTTTCTCTCGTTGCCGTCCTTCTTCTTTTGGGCGCGTGAAATTTCCAGATCTAGTAAAAGTGAGCAAGGCCCTCTCGGCGCACGTTGTTAAAGTCTACTTACGAATCTTGCGACCCTTGATTTCGCTGCCCTGCAGATTGTCCATGGCAGCTTGGGCATCTTCGAGATTGTGATATTGGACGAAGCCATAGGCGGATTTGAGTGAAATCTGGGCGAGACGGCCGTATCTGTGGAAGATATCAAAGACGTCCCGCTTGGAAACGCGTTCGCTCGACAGGTTGCCTGAAAAGAAGTCAATGGCGCCGTCGGGTCTGCCTGATGAGAGAGAGCGCGAACCAATGAAGATGCGTGAGCCATCGGGGAATTTATCCCATTTGGCATCAGCCATGTAACGGCGCTCGTCGTTTACGAAAGTGTCCCACAGCTTCTGGCGGTCAGCAGTCTCGTCCGTCTGGCCGGCGGGGTAGCCGCCAGGAGTGGGATAGGGAGGCGCGTTCATTGAAGTAATGGGCATGGCCGCGTTCAAACCGTTGGCGGGTGGAGGTGGGAGGCTGCCATAGACGTCGGATGCGGTACCAGGGGCACCGGGAGCACCCGTAGCTACGTAAGCAGATGGTTGACCTGACGTGGGCGGAGCAATCATGTTGGGAGAGACATGAGAAGCAGCGGTCTGAGGAGGGAAGCCTCGATAGTCTTCAGATGGATATGTGGGAGCCGCCTGTTGGGGCAACGGAGGTCTGGGAGGAAGAGTGGCAGACGCAGACGAGGTCAAGTTGGACGATGGCTGAGCATCATGGTTCTGAGTAGAGCCAGTGGGAGATTGGTTGTTGCTGGACTCGCTCGCCTGGCCTGTCATCTCAGCAACAAGGCGCGAGATATCAACGGCGGGGTCATCCTCGGGGGCATTGTCATTGCGTGCGTTGAAGGAGGCGCCGTTGGCAGTCGAATGAGGCGCGCTTGAATCAGCTCCTTGGTGGGCGGCAGCTGGTTGGGAAGGCGCGGATTTGGTGGAGTGTTCTGCAGCAGTAGCAGTGGCCGACGAGGAATCAGCGGCAGCGACGGTGGAAGGGGCCACTTGCGAAGGGCTTGTCAAAGAATCAGGAGCGGCGGAATTGTGAATGGATTCTGGTGCCTTTGATACATCATCCTCTTCCGCGCCATCTTCGTCCGCGTCCCGGGGAGGAGAGTCGAAGATCTTGAGATAATCATCCTCGCCGGCATCTGGCTCCACCTGCTGTTCCTGGACCTTGTCCGTGTGTGTCTCCTCTTCCTCGCCGTAGGCATCGTCCAGACTGTCGACGTCGTCTTCGGCGTCTGCGTTGTCTGTGGCGGCTTGCGCATACGGCTCGGTGGAAATTGGTGCATGTGCAGGTTCGTCTAGGTCGCCTTGAGCGACTCCATTAGTGTGGGCGGTCATTGCATCAAGGATATCAGCAGTATCCTGGAGAGCAGGTACAACGGCTGTTGCGGCGGAGTGGAGGGGAGATGGACAGTAAGGCGAGAGGTCGGCAGCAGTAGCCTGGAACTCGGGGGTGGCCTCCGGTTCGGGCATTCAAGCTATTGGAGTTGTTGTCGCACTGGCTGGCGGTAATACGAAGTAGTGGTTTTGGTGTTGATAGTGACCTGAAGATGCGAGTGGGCGATGTGACGACAGCTGCGGAAGCTTGCTGATGTCGACGATGGCAAGGCTTGCGCGAAACAGGCAGAAGAAGCTTGTAGGAGGTTGACGAGACAAGCTTGTGGGCGGACGGGTTAAAGAATGGGCTTTATGTCAATGGAGTAGAAGCGACGAACGAGGCAACCGGGCGCCTTGTTTTCAGCAAATTCAGTCGAGCCGCAGCAATGCCGTCATGTACTTAGGGGCCAAGGCAAGCGCGAGGCAAGGCAAGCACGGCTGGGTTGGTTGGTTTGGGGACCCAAACGAGAGGGTAAGAGCAGATACCCAGAGTGGCAGGAAGGCGGGGTGGGAATGGGAGGAAGGAAGCAGGCGCAAAAGAAAAGAGGCTGCAGGCACGGGGGAATCTCCGATGGGGTTGGGCGGCGGTATGAGTACCGAGTAATAAGGTGTGAATGGGTGAGTGGGTGCCTTATGACAGCAGATGGAAGAGTCGACTCGGAGGAATCAGAAATCTCTGCGACGGGAGTTTATTTTTCTCTGGTGCTGGGCAGGAGAGGTCGGAAGGGTGTCGATTCAGCAGTAGGAGAAAGGTAAGGTGAGAGAGGATGCAGGAGGAACGTTGAACCTTGAGGCCATGAACACCAAGATGTGGTTGGTGGCTGCTGCGGCGGTGTCGCGTGAAAGTATGTGCGGTGGAAGGAAAAAAAGGTTAAAAAGCTCAGGTACGAACGACGTGGTGGAGCCTGGAGGGCCGCGTGGGAAGAAAAGTCGAAAAAATCGCTGTGTGAAGGGACTGCAGGTGGAAGGAAACAACCTCAGGTACCCCGTAGGTAAGGTGCCATCCCACCCGCTGCCAGAGCTCTGTTCTCCGCAAGGCTGGCCGATCGCGCTGAACGGAATGAGGCCTGACCAATGTCACGGTGGGAAAAACGGTTGGAAGCCCACAGCCCGACGCTAGCTTCATCTGGCAGCTCAGTCGCGCTTAGCCAAATACGGATACCGTGTCTATCTCACAGTTTATAATCTCTCCAACACGGTACATCAACACTCAGGAAAAGTCCAGATCCACCCAAACTTGGTCTATCAATTAATGATGATGACTACTGTCTGGTGCAGACTGGTCAGTTCTGCAAAGAATTACCTACCTTGCAACCCGGAATCCAATCTATTTTTTCATCTTATAGCCAGTCAGATGGCTTTTTGTCTGAACTTCAGTCTCGATCAGTTTGACGTCTTCCTTTGATCAACTTAACCGCCGCAATGAAGTTTGCGTCAAGTCTATATCAATTTGTCCGTCCAACATTGGGAAACCCTTTGATTCGACCCCTGCAGCCCGTCCGCTGGACTCGCTTCCAAGCATTCGAGGCAGACTTTGATCCTGAAGAGTTGGAAAAGGCAAGATCATGGCACAAGTCCTTCAACGGTAACCAACTCCCCAAGGGGCAAACAACTTATGCCCGATCCAGCGGCCCGGGTGGTCAGCATGTCAATAAGTAGGCTTTTCGCATATATACTGGATATTCCAGTATCTCTAATCTCTGGCTCGCAGTTTTGCTAATGTCATGGTAGGACGGAGAGCAAAGCGGTCACAGTTTGGCCTATCAAGGACATCTTACCAGTCTTACCCAAGTTGCTACACCAAGGCATCAGGGCATCAAAATACTACACAGCTAGATCTGATTCTCTGACATTTCAAGCTCAAACGCACCGCCAGAGAGATGCCAACTCGGAGGAAAACCAGCAAAAGCTCATCGACGAGATCAAGAGGATATATCAAGAGACAGTCCCTGGCGAAACGAGTTCTGACAAGAAGAAGAAACATGCTGAGATGTGAGTTGTCTTTTTATACACCAATGCACCTGAAGGGGCTAACAAGGCAGGTAGAGCAAAATCATTCAACGAGGGACGACTGAGGCAGAAGAAACAAATGAGCACCAAGAAGCAGAATCGACGTTCTTTTGACTGAGCAGGTTAGGAAATGTCCAAAGTGCCGCCACCTGGTTTTCGGTCCGGCAAGAAAAGGGGGATAGATTCTGGCCACCTAGCGGTGGTGTTGAGTCGTGGCACCAAGCTCACCCAGCCGCTTTTTCTGCCCAGCTAATAAAGTTGGCGGAACCGAGACATGCAAACACCAGGCCGCCAGCCGGTCAAACTACGGAGGAGAGAAGACATTGGTGGGGTAGGGTCCAGAGCTGGCCAAGCACCAAAGAACGGCCGGCTGGCAAACAAGAGGGGTTCAGGCCTGGACCCTTGAACTTTGACTCAGAAAACGGCATGTCAATAGCATGTGCCAAGGACTGATTGCTTACTATCCAAGACGGCAGAGAAACCTGCGTCGTCTGTGTTAGATATGGGGAGATGTACGGATATGTGTACGTTCTTCATACATAGATGTAAATATTAGATGAACGACTCGCTCAGAAGCAGATCAGAGAGTGGCGGCGGCTGCTCCCATCAGCTCTCTGAACCGTTTGCAGTTCAGCCTCAGACCATCCGAGAGCTTTCCCATAATCCCATCCCAGTACTTGAATAAGGCTGGTATACCTACCGAGAGGAAGTCTACTATGAAGACGAGCAGCTGACGGACTGGTTGGGGGCCGTTTTTGAGTACTGCGTATGTATCAAACAGAAGCTAGAACGCACCCACCGAGCAGTTGCCAGCTGGGGTGGGGACCCCAGTTCTCATGGCTGGGCCCGGGCCGCCTCGTCAGGCCGTCAGCATCCGTCTAGGCTCTCACAGCAAACCCCCATCCTGAATGGGTCGCTTCATTATCATGGAACAATACATAGTAAATTGTCGTGGAAAGAAATACAAGTATGAAGGGGTCCAAGGGGGGATATCCTCGACAGAGCGGAGAGCGATTCTCAGACGATCAGTGGTCAGAACAAGAGCCGAAGCTCCTGTGCTGGGAATATTGTCAGTGAGCTGTCTCCAAGTTGCGGGACCCTCCATGTTCGAGTGAGAGTGAGGGTCCCTGATGTCTCGAGCTGAACGACCTGGCGCATGTGGTGCTAAGATGCTAAAGTGCCCCTAGTGCCCATACATGTCCAGTATCTTTGGTGTAGCGGCGTGTGGTCCACTTGTTCGTCTCTTCCATTCTTATCCAGTCTATGTATCTCCGCAACCTCGAATCCTTCTCTTTCTCTGCACTCCCACTTCCTCCCATCGTCGTTTTTGGTTCCCGAATTCTTCCAACACCGTCTCTTCTTTCCACCAAACATCGCGTGCTCGACGCCCGTCAACTTGATCTGCGACATAGCGTCATAGTGACAGCACACCACCCCCTTCATCTATCTGCTGTGTGCCGATTTGATCCTTGCATCCAATTCACACTGGCCCCGCGAGACCCTCTCAAGGGGCAGTCAACACGACCAGGGACCGTCGATCATCAAATCAGCCCAATAATCCAGCCAAACACCTGCCGTGCCCACTTTGTCAGCTGCTCGCTCCTTTGAGCAATCTTGGCCAGATTATTCTCAGACTTCCACCTCGAGCCTCGATTTCTCTCTTCCTGCGACTTGGATACGGAGACACATTCTTTTTCAAGACAATTTCCCTACTTGTCTCATTCGCCCTACCATTGTCGAACCAACCCGTAATATCGGCCCTAGCTTCGTCGAGTGAGGCTAACCGCCCCCAAAAAAACGCCGACCGATCTTCGCCATCAGCTTACCCCGCCAACAACCTTTGATCTCGCGACCGCAACCCCGACCGACCTTTATCTCCCGAGCCATCGCCTGACCCTCTTCGATCGTTGGGCGGCTCTTTTGGTCTCGATTCTTTCCCCCCTCCAGCACCCTCATCACATTGTCTGTTGGCCGCAGCAATGGCTTCCAACGGCGCCAACGGAGCATCTCCGTCACCTCAGGTTCAGCCCTGCAGGTACAAGGTCGGCAAGACGCTTGGTGCCGGTTCCTACTCCGTCGTCAAGGAGTGCGTTCACATTGACACCGGTCGCTACTATGCCGCAAAAGTCATCAACAAGCGATTGATGGCCGGCCGAGAGCACATGGTACGCTTTCGACTGCCTTCCTCTGCATCGTTGACCAAGAAACTGACACAGCCCCTCTTACAGGTTCGCAATGAAATCGCAGTCCTCAAAAAGGTCTCCATGGGCCACCAGAACATCCTGACACTTGTCGACTACTTTGAAACGATGAACAACCTCTACCTCGTGACCGACCTGGCTCTCGGTGGCGAGCTCTTCGACCGCATCTGCCGTAAAGGCTCATACTACGAATCCGACGCTGCAGATCTTATCCGGGCGACGCTCTCTGCCGTTGCTTATCTGCATGACCACGGCATTGTCCACCGCGATCTGAAGCCCGAGAACCTCCTGTTCCGTACACCGGAAGACAACGCAGATCTCCTAATTGCCGATTTCGGACTGAGCCGCATTATGGATGAGGAGCAGTTCCACGTGCTGACCACGACATGCGGTACCCCTGGCTACATGGCCCCCGAGATCTTCAAGAAGATTGGTCACGGCAAGCCTGTAGATGTATGGGCGCTCGGTGTCATCACCTACTTCCTTCTGTGCGGTTACACGCCATTCGACCGCGATAGCGATTTCGAGGAGATGCAAGCCATCTTGAACGCCGACTACAGCTTCACCCCCTTCGACTACTGGCGGGGTGTTTCCGATCACGCCAAGGATTTCATTCGTCGCTGCCTTACTATTGACCCGAACAAGCGCATGACGGCGCACGAAGCCCTACAACATCCCTTCGTTGCCGGCTATCTCAACAACGGCGAGGGCGAAGGCCAGAACTTGCTGCCCACTGTCAAGAAGAACTTCAATGCTCGTAGGACGCTGCATGCTGCAATTGACACAGTTCGTGCCATCAACAAGCTTCGCGAGGGCCAGAGCCATCTGATGGACGGGGCCAAGTCGAAAGAGCCTGGACGTGGCGCTGCCGCACTCAAGACCCAGCAAAATGCAAGGAAGGACGATAGCGCCATCAGTCTCGGCAACGGGGCCCACAAGGACTCGGGCTATGGAACGCAACCCGAAGCCGACAGCCAGAATGATGTGGTCATGTCCGATGCAGGCCCAGCACCCAGCAGTGTCCCAGCAAGTTTGCGGCCAGGCAGTGAGCAGAACAAGGTCGTGGAGACGAGCAAGGGACTGTGGAGTGGTCCAGCATTGCGGCGATAGCCTCGTCGTAATGTGGTACCATGTGTGAAAATCACGGCACCCCGGGAGGAAAAGCATGATGCAGACATGAGTCGCCTTACAGTAGTAATGGATTCTCTTGGTAGGTCTCACGCTCCTTCGGGACTCAATTGTCTGCGCAAAGAGACTCTCAAAGGTCTGTTCGCCAACATGCGAGGCGCTCGTGCAGCAAAGCGATCAGATCCTTTGTCGGATCGCATTGAGTCTGACAGCATATGGCTCTATGAGAAGAACGTGAGCTTGGAGACGAAGAATTGGATGACGGGAGAAATGGCAGGAAAACAAGATACCTCGGGTTGATGTCCGCGGACTGGCTCCGTCATTGGACGATATACACACACAACGGATTGGTGGCTGATTCGCGGAACCGCCCCTTTACTTTTCTTTGCGTTTTGATGTGCAGGCGACTTCCTATAGGCATATATCGAGAACAGGACGACACACGGCCTACTTTAATGGCAACGATATGAAGGAAACAGAACCTCGCAAGACGTGATTTATCAGATATGCTCAGTGAGACAGCCATTTGAGTGCGGTAAAAAGCTGATGAGGAATTTGTTCATAGGTATGTTGGATGATCTCACAGCTTCTGGTACACGCACTGTAGTAAGATTGAGCAGCAAAAGAGAGAGCAGCCCCGAGGCGAATATTGGACATGCCTGGCTTACTTATGATCACCAAGCCACAGCAAAGCCTGACATGAAAGTCATTGACCTATACGTAAAGTCAAGTAGGTAGGGATAGATCGGCGGTAGGGATAGAGTTTGATTGAGATGGGATGTCGCTACTAGACCCAAGATCTATCCAAGACCGTATTCCGGCGCCTCTCATTGGCCGGAACCGGGTCTAAGCATCGACGCAGCGTCCCGGCATCTGAGCGACGACCCCCCTTCTGCTCTCCCGTCTTCCCACAGACTCTCCTCCCTCACCGTCACATCTCAGTGGCCACATTGTTCTTCTTGCTTGATTGCCCTTACGTGTGGTGTATCCTGTATTTTCCAGAAGGATTCTAGACCCGATACTTACTGCAAACACCCGGAGTAAGATCCACTACACACCTTACCCGGTCGTAATGACGGAGAGAATCAGACGAGCCCATAACAAGTCGAGACTCGGCTGCAGGCGCTGCAAGACGCGGCGAATCAAGGTGAGCTCTGAACGAGGCGGCCCGACCCTACGTCGGTCGTGGACCACCGTGTCCCGCTACGTACGACCTATGATCCCGTTCCGGGTGCGGGAGGGTTCACGGGACATGGTTCACTCTTGAGACTGCATACCTTACCATCTTCCATGCCTACCAACAGTATACATAAGTAAAGACAGTACTGACCATACACAAAAGTGTGATGAGGTCCAGCCCGCCTGTGGAGGTTGCACAAAGGCGAACCTGCGGTGTGATTTCATCGACCTGCAATCCCGCTTCAGTCTGAAACCCACTTCTTGTCCGCCGGCGCCACCGTTCATATTATCGTCATCATCGTCCTCTTCTACGTCGTCGTCGTCCAGAGCATTATCAGTAACATCCCTGACTCTCATACGGCCCAGCAGCCCACCCGTACTAGTAGATACCATGACCGACAGCCTCAAGGGGCGCTTCTTCCGGCACTACCTGGCCATGACGGCCGCGTACCCCTCGACTGACCAACAGAGCTGGTCGAGCTGGATTACGGACCTCGCCGTGACGGATAACACTCTCATGGATGCTGTTGTTGGGTTTGCGGCGTTTCACCTCCGACGGTCCTCTGCCTTGGATGATGGCGGCAGCGGCTGCGGCAGTAAGGATACTCACGCAGCAGCCATGTCGGAGGCTTCGCATACTTATATGGCGAGAGCTATCGAGGCTCACTCAAGACAGATTGTGCGCGAGGGGGTTAACGCGCAGAATGCCCCTGTCGTAATGGCGACGTGTACGATCATCATGTTCCACACCAGCGCGAACCAGTCGTTCCTCGACAGCAGCGGTGGCGGACCGGAGGCGGAGACGGAATATCGAGTCCCGCATCACTGGTTTACTCCATTTCGCAACGTCAACGCGCTGTTAAAGGTCGCTTTGCCCGGGATCCAGAATAGCAGGATAGGTCACCTCTACAAACCAGAACGACAGACCATATCGCAGCAAAACGAGATATCAGGGCCAATAAGGTTGGGGGCGTTTGACTTTCTGTTGGAAGACCTCGACGAAGACGAGACGGAGCCGGAGACGCTGGAATCGTATCGTATCGCCGTCGACAGCCTCGATAAGATCCAGGGGTCGGCTTTGCAGCGGGATTTGCTACGGTTCCCCGCGCTTGTCCCGCCGCGGTTCGTCGAGTTGCTGGAGGCGCGGGACCCGAGGACGTTGGCTATTGTTGGGTACTTCTTTATGCTTCTAAGGAGGGCGACGCATTTGTGGTGGGCGCAGGGGGCGGCGGAGAAGGAATTTGATGGGGTGATGAACGTTTTGCCCAGGGAGTGGTGGCCGAAGATGGCGTGGGCTATTCAGGAGTTTGAGTGGATTGAGAGGTGAGAGGTTCACTTAGGGTTCTTGTTCCTTATAGTGATTGTATGATTACGATGATGGGGAGAAGTGGTAGCATTTCTGTTTTATGCATAGCGCTAGGGTGCTTAAACTGTCTGTTCGGATCTATAGTCAGGGCCTTTACAAGATTGACGTCCATCTTGGCTAGATTCATGTAAGCATAAGCTCATGACATCCCTTTGCAGCTGATTCTAATTTCTCTCAGAAGCAGAGAGTAGTGGTGAAGGAATTGGATTAATATGAGGGTAAGCGATCTAACTCTGCAGTGCGTGGAAACCCAGCAACCTTCCACTCCCACAGCTCTGCCCCATCTCGATATCACCACCGTTCACTGACTGACAATGCCAAGCAGCTTCTCTCACCAGAAACACCGGCAACGAGAAAACTCCATCTAAGGGGAAGGTGAATCCTCGACCCACGCAACACCACCAACAACACCCTCATAAATCCTTCCATTCGCACCAAGCTGGATATGCGACGGACCAGGGTTAAACACGCCACCAGCACCAACCCTCTTACGCCAAATCTCCTGGCCCGAAACATAATCAAACGCCACAATGTACCACACATACTCTCCGCCCACAGCGAGCTCCCGGTCCTGAGTGTACGCGTACAAGATACCGTTGGCCGTTGATAGTGTCACCATAGTCGCCACCATAGGCAAATCCCACACCAGCTCACAGCTCTCGTCCGCGTTCACCCGCACGCGCGCCACGCCAGGAGCAACTTGCGTGAGGTTGTTATAGCTACCGTTGACATCATCTCCGCTAACGTCGAGGAAGGAGGGGGAGTTGTAGCAGTTAGTGATCATGGCGCTGTACGTCGTGCCGTCAAAGTGCGTCGTCAGAGATGCCTCGTTGAGACTCGCGCCGGGCTCAAAGAGCGGGACGGAGCAGACCAAGCTCGATTCTTGGCCGTCTTTGGCCATGGCGGACGCCTGGCGGTAGACGTTGAGGTTGATTTGCGAGTTGGCGTTATCCGTGATGGCGACGTACTTCTGTCCGAGGAGGCCTGGTGTCGCGCCGGAGCCGCGGGAGAGGCCGCCTGGCTTGATGCCGCTGCCGGCGAGGTATGTCTCGTTCCAGGCCGCGACCACGCCGCCGCCGTTGGCGGTATCCGCTTGGAAGGCGTAAAAGTGGCCACGGGCGTCAGCGTGGTCTTCGGAGCCGGCGGGGCCCGTGACGACGTAGATATTCTTTCCGTTGACGGCCATGCCATTCTCGACGATTTGGTTATCCAGGGATGTGCTGAAGATGGTGCCGTCAGGCTGGACGTAGCCTACGGTGGTGGTATTTGTCCCCTCGAGGCCGACAAGGGGTGCGGGCGTGGCGACGAACCAGAGGTTCTCGTCGTCCGTGTAGCCCGCCATGGCGATGATGGAGCCAGATGGGAGACGGGACGAGACGTCGACCTCGCGGACCTGGGTGAAGGTCGTTGAGGTGCCGGTGCCAAGGCGCTGTATCTCCATGATGAAGCCTTCTAGGGTGGGCATGACGACGTGGTTATCGACGACTTGCCAGTAAGTCGAGATGGCTGTGCGTCCCTCGGGAGCGGTCCATTGGACCAGGACGTCCATGGTCTCCGGGTCCAGCGCCGCGAGGCAGAAGCCGATGGGCGCCTGGGCGGAGACGCACTCCATTGCGACGAGGAGGCTGGTGCTGTTCTCCCAGAACATGTAACCTGTTTGCACGGCGGCTGAGGAGACGACGGGGGAGATGCCGAGGGGGCCCATGTAGTCGTCGCTTCGGGTGTTGCCGCCGTCAATGTGGGCGTGGAGAGCGTCTGGGGAGAAGCGTTCCTTGGGGCGGAGGGGCTGGGATGTGGCTGCTTTGCCGATGAAGTCTGGGGCCGTGACGTTTTGGGAGTCTGCGATGGTGTCTGCTGAGGCCTTTGGAACGAAGGAGGTGAGATGGGGTGTTGCGGGTGTAGAGAGTGAGAGAGGAGGAGGAAACTTACAACGAACTGAGCCATGTAGGCCACCATGGCCGCGGTGAAGATGTTGACTTGCTTCATTCTGAGACTAGCGATGCTCAGATTTCGGAATTTGGGAGCTGAAAAGAGAGTTGATTGTGATTAGGAGAAACTGAATTAGGAGGAAGCTTGAGTGAGCGAACGTTGTCCTTGACTATCCAGACAGGAGACATTTCATCGGCAGAGAGATGTAGTTAACTTATACAAATCGACAACCGTATAGAGCCTCATCACGACTACGAGATGATCTGCCATGGGCCGCAGCATTGCCATCCAAGCAACCATCCAAGCACAGACATATTGCGCCGCCTCCCCTTAAGAATCTCGGATCCGAGTATTCCCACAAGTATAGTCGCATTACGGGGGCTTTTTCATGGTCAAGAAACTACGGACTAGCCAATGAGGCAACTCCAAATACGACAACATGCCTAATTCAGGTCTGCGCCGTCCATTCAACTGGATCATCTACGCGGGTCTGTCTTCGTTGTTCCATCGATTGTCCTACGTCGCATACGGTCCCGATTGGATGATCGCGGGCTGTCGCCGTCATTCTGTATTGAAGTTGGATTGGCATTCATTACCGACTGTCCCGAATGCTGTCTACACACTGCCTGTGCGAGAACGAGGCCTTGGAATCGACCTCCTATTTCCATCAGCATAGCCTCATGTGTTGGTGATCACCGTAAATGGGCTGGAGCACAATCGGGACCTTCCAGCTTGGCACAACAGAGGCATTTTTAAACAATCATGATCAATGTCTCTGTGACTTCATCCTCGAAGAAAAGTCCACGTAATGCGTGAGAATCCCATTGCAGCTCTGAGTACTCTTGACCTTCATTCGCTTGGATCAGGCACGATACTGGTGTCCCTCGTGATGACTCTGCAGACGGAGCATGCGGTCTATCGTAGTAGTTCACAGCCATCTCACAGCTTGCCTATGTTGCTTCAATCTTAGAGATACGACCTTGTCCAGAAAAGTCGAGCGTAGGCCGCCGTGACTCCCAGGGCTCATTAGGGGGAGCTATCCAGTAGACCCTCACCATCGTGACGATGGAGGTTGGCTCAGTCCAATGCAGGACAATCCAATACGATGCGTCATTCCTCGGCTTCAGATGAAACGATATCACCTGTGCCTAGACGGGCTAGTAGGAGATATCCATGGAAAGGCCTACGGCGAAGATTTATGACGAGATACTCAGTCAAAAAGAAGCATGATATCACGACCATTAGCCGAAAGACAGGTTCAAGAAAGCGAGAGCTTTACACCATTTTGACAGTTCATTACGCGTCTCTCACTGCATACATCACACATCCAGCGGCCCTTTTCCATCTCCAAATAGCACATCGTACCAAGTTTGATCTCCCTTCTGACATATTCCATCCCAGGCAATAAATGAAAAGTTGCCAGGCTGTTCCAAGCCGTCATACACCCTGACACTCTTCTTTCCATTCACCTCTTCCTCCGCCGCCCAGTAAGCCATCTCGTTCCCGCTGTCGCCATGAGTGAGAAGTCTCGCTAGGGGCATCAACTTTATGTTCGCATCCAGAGCCTGGACGATGAGATCGCGCAAGTGAGGGTAGAACCACATCAGACTCCACCAGTTCTCCAGCCGCCACTTTTTCAGCCCAAAGATGTAGGCGTTGTGATGTATGCCCACAGGCGCGGTGCCAAAGAAGAAGTCGATGTAGAGCGAGACGTTGCCCCAAGTGTACCCCGGAAGGGGCCGAGGGATATCTCGCAATTCCTCAGGAATGCCCTGTACCCTCACCTCACCTGGGACTCCAGCCTTTTCAGACTCTCTCTTGATGGCCTCGACATCTTCAAGCTCCACAAAGTACCCGTCGTCTTCAGAAGAGCAGGTAGGCGGGATCGTGGCAAACTCGTAATCCAGCCCGATCCCGAATTCAAACTTCTCGCCAGCCAGCGCCGCGTCTGCAATACGCCGCACCTCCTTCGGCATACTTCCCAGATTCTCTTGAGAAACAAAGCCATTCCACGTCGAAGAGAGCCCCCTGACCCAGTGGCGATAAATTTCCTGATCTCCAATGACCTCCGCAAAGAGCGCCTGATCGCTCCAGAGCTGTCGCCCACTAACCGCGGCTTTTTCAACTTTCTCCTTGCTCTTGCGCAGCGCGCCGCGTAATGATCCGATAGTGCCCATTATCATTCCGCTATTGACGCATCGCGGTCGAATCTTTTTGTACTTTCTCGCCGAGTCGAAGACATAAGGTAGAACCTGATCGGTCTTTTCGCCGTAAAAGTTTCGTGGCAGGGGCGAGTCTGGCCAGTAGTCGTACCGCGGATCCGACCCTGACTCCCAGTCCGGCTGGCAATCCTTGGCCGTGGTAACGACGACGCTTTGCGTTGGGGGACTAATGGGAAACCCGCTCTTGAGGCCGCTTTCCTCCCATTGCTTCTGTATCCGGATGTTGGCTTTGCGATTTAGCTGGTGAAAGCGCTCAATCAAGACGGATGGCGGGAGCTGAAACCAGATATCGTAGGCATCCACAAGGAGAATGAGATCGTTCTCATTCACATCTTCCCCGTCATCTTTGTCGTATAGAGCATCAATGACCGCCAAAAGCGACTCGAGCTTCGCAATGTGGGAACCAGCAAAGTGCCAGTCAGGCCTGTTAAACTCTCCGTTCCAGTTTAGAAGTGTAGGCATAGGATAGCCTAGCGCCACCGCAGACATGACTGTCTTGCAGAGGTTGATGTTTGGTCCGTCGGCGGGCATGAAGAGTCGCAGTCGGCGTGAGCCTCCCGTGTCAACATGAGTTGGACTCATGAGTTTTTCAAGGTCTGTTCCCGTGATTCGCCTTTCTGTAGCACTGCCAAGGACAAAGTGTCTGAACTCTGCAGGGAACTATGAAGATCGTGTTAGTAGTACCATAAGAGCGAAAGAAAACGGTGGACTTTACAAAGTTCGTCAAGACAAACCCAAAGACACCCATGAAGATGATGACAGGTACAATGAACTTCACAGTAGCAGCACAATATTGACCTGACCTTGCAGCCGGGCTTTGGCGGCGTTGTTGAGCTTCGCCGTCCCACATGCTGCTTTGCTTCTCAATCTTTGATTTCGACCACCGATGCCATGGAAACATACCTGGCGCCATTCCAGGTATCATCATGTTCTCAGAGATAGACACTGATGGATGAGAGAATGGCCTTCTCTCCTGCGGCACATTCTGCTTTTCAGACGAATACCCGACTCAACGCGTCTGCCAAGCATCGCATCGAGAAATCAGAGCTGACGACGCCGATAAGGTGACAATCGGCCGGCATGGTTGCGTGCTGCCGTTACGGCCATATGGATCGACGGGTCCGACGCGGGGCCCTAGTTCCCTATCAATTGCCGGGTTGATCCCACGTGGTGGATTCGATTCGTCCGGACCGGGTTCCGGACAACCCACCCATGCGTGTTTGGCTCTCACAGCACTAACACGTGTATGTCGAGCAGGTCTATCATTGATTCTTTGACATACTACGCGACGGTTGTGGTTCCCTTAATTGATCTTGATTAAGGCCGCGCGCAGTCTTTCTTCTTTATACTTCTTGAGAGGGAAACCCCCATGTCTCGGTTCGCGGTTGCAGGATGTCGTGAACCTTAGAGACACCCCCGAGACCTCGCTTTCGCGATGGCGTCGAAAAGTAAGACCACGGCCCGGACCGCGTGGTCTTTTGACGAATTTCGGACATTTTTGGCTTTTGCCCTGATAGGTGAGTTTACTCTCTAATTGATGACGGGCAGAAAGCACTTTGCTGCAACCACGATTCGGCATAAACTCATACGAACCGCAGGCTTAGCCAATACAATCTTACCATCCTTCATCCATGCCTCAAACTATCTCATCATCCCATACCCCCGCCACATCGTCATCCTCATCGAAGTCGCGCCGGTACTCCTCACTAAGCTTACTCTCCCGTTCATCATTCACCGCATCCCATGTCGGATTCGACCGCTCCTCATTGCGGTAGTATGGGTCATTCTCAAGCGGATTGCAGATGATACGCCGCCGAACGTGCCTCCACCAATTCGCATTGCGACAACGGCGGTTGCATCTACTGTATCTGCGGTGATGGAGGTGTCCTGTCTTGGAATGATCAGACACGCCGGGCTTCCGGGGCTAGCGGGGTGGGGCTTCGGCACCGGCGCGGGGATGCTGGAGAACGCCGTGTGGCCGTTCCTCCTGACGTACGGTGCCGGAAAGCTTTTGCGAAGCGCTACCACGTATGTCTACTATGCTGTGGCTCTGCTTGTGGTGTCTCACTTTGTCATACTGCCCTATCGTCTCTCTCAGAGGGGTACGAGGAATGATGCGAAAGGCAAGCAACGTGAGGACGCCATTGCCGAGGAAGGACAATCCTTCTTGTGGCACGACGGGAACGTTGGTTTGAATCACGATCAAAGCAGGTTTGAGATCCTCCGCAATCTCGTCTGCTCAGAGATGCTGCCTCTCTTTACGGCATCCGCAGCCGCATCTCTCTCACAATACGGCCTCGCCAGGCCGCTCGATGGATCAGCATTTGACACATTCGCTCACTTCTACGCAACGTACGGCATGGCTCTGCAGCTAGGCGTCTGGTTGGGGCGATCTTCGCTCAGGCTTCTTCCGACGCGGAACCTCAAACTACATCTGACGGCTCTATGCGTCTGGTCGGCGGTTGCCTTCTTCAACGCCGTGTTCCTTGTCTCAACGAACCTCGCCTTTTTCTTAGTCTTCTTGATTGGTTTGGCGGCCGGGTCTGTGTATGTGAATGTTTTGGCAAGGTTTATCGGAGAAGGGAGGGATACGGTTGTTCGGGAGGTTCGTCTTGGGCTTGTTACTGTTGGCGATGCGGGAGGTGCGCTCGTTGGTGGCGTGATGGGTGCCTTGCTCGAGACGGCAATGTGTCGCTCGCTTGTCGATGGCAGACGGTGGTGCCGTAGAGCCCGGTAGATAGGTAGCTAAGTAGGTAACACAACAGCCCGATGGTTTACATATCATTAATAGCTTTCTCCTTTATATCTTTAATACTCTTCTTCTTATTATCTCAAGTGCTCAATCCTTCAGGTGTATTACTTATAGAATATACTCCGAGAAGTAGAGAACAATGATAGAGGTAGAAGTTGTAGTAAGGGGAGGGATAGAGGGAGGAATATAGGTAGTGATGAGAATCGTAAGAGAGGTAGGGATAAAGGTTGTTCTGTTGTTTAATTGCCTCGATAATCGGCGTCACCTTGTTGGAGGACCGGCCTGTTGGAGAACCCGTCTGTTGGCCGCTCTCCTATCTATACCGGCGACCTTGGTCTCACCGTTGTGGAGCTCGAGTTGGCTGCGTTTGACATGATAGGTGGTAAGAAGTGCTGACTGCCTGAACTGCTGAGTCTGAACTTTACAAATATCCCTGGCCCCGTTGGCTCAACTTGAGCACATACAAACACTCAGCCGTCTAGAGCTGGTCCAAGAGCTTCTCTGCCGCGTAATCGACATTCGTTCCAAAGTTATGCGCCTGGGTCTAGTAAAACCGGTTAGCAAGGATCTCAACCATGAAGTCGACGGGACATACCTGGAGACAAATAAGCCCATCATCCAACACAACCTCCCCGTACGTCGCATACGCCATCTTATCCACAATCCGGAAGTGAATCTCCCCCTTCTCAGCAGCCTCATTAAACCCCTCCCTCAACATATCATCATCGTCAAACTTTTGATACCTCATCTGAGACCTCATCCCCTCAAAGTACATTCTCGTAAAAGCACCAATGTTCGCCTCCCAATCACTCCTCACCTCGCTCCCGTTCGTTGCCGCCGCCGCTTTCATCTTTTCAAAATTGGCCTCAAAATTGGGACACAGCTTAATCTCAGGCCTCTCGAGCATATCCGCAAACGACTTCCTCGTCTCCTCGATCTGCGGATCATAGTCCCGCCTCACGGAGGTGCGCGCCGCAAAATTCATGGACGCGGCGGATCCCGGTGCGGGAGGCGCGGCATTCAAGGCGCTCAGGAGACCCTGCGTCTCGACGGCGGAGTAGACGTTGACGCCTAGACATCCCTCGGAAAAGACGATCGCCAGCACGCCGCCCTCCTTGACGATGACGCCGCAGTAGGAGACGCGCTTTTCCTCGGGGCGGTCGTCGAGGTCGATGGTGAGGGAGCGAGCGTGGCAGATGGAGTTGAGCTCGGATTTGCCGTCTTCGCCGTATTTTTCAACAAATTGCTTGAGGTTATAGATTGCTGATTCGACATAGCTGGTTTTGATTGTCAAATTAGAGAGCTCGGATACGCTTTTCGCGTCTAGACCTTACCTTTCGATGCAGCTTCCCAGGCGCTCTTTGGCGTAACTCTCTTCGGCGTAAGGGTAAAGCGCGACAGGGCTGATGTCCTTGAGCGTCCACTCTGTGCCCAGGACGTCAGAGAGCTGCTTCTGGAAGTCTTCTCTCTTGTTCTCCCAATCATCGCGGACTCGGAGGTGGTCAGTGACTGAATATTTGACTTGAGACATCAGTACATACTGTTCTTCCGCACGGCGAGAGGGAGTTTCTCGGCAGGAGGCAAGCGAGACATGGTGATTGATCAGATAAGTGAGTATAGAAAGTGAAGTTCTATTCAGATTGATGAGACCAAACCTATGTAATGTGAGAAGTCGACAAGTCTGAATACCAGCCTTTTATCCCTCTCATCCCGTTATTTCCAGCTCTTGAAGCCGAGCTTGAGTCATCCGATCGAGTGTCTCGCAGTTCCCCCTCAGTTGTGAGCCTCCCTTCTCAGCTCCTCCTCATGAAGGATGAAAACAGCCTCACTATTGGCTCTTGGCCCGCCAACGGCCACTAGTCGCGCTCAATCACAGGGTTTAAGTCGCGACTAAGTATTCAGCCTGACGAGGCTAAACAGAAAACAGCGAACACATGTTGAAGTTGTGGAGGTTATTCTTTGACATCTGCCTAGCCTCGTCGCTTATTCCCTCATCATGTTGAAGGTTGTGGACATGAGCAGATGAGGTTCGTCGAGTTTTGGTGGTGGCGCATCGTGGGGCATCGCGCAATAGTTCAGGCAGTCATTCAGGGGTTCAGGAACAGTAGCTTACCTAAGGTAGCCCAAGGTAGTCAAAGATGGTAAAGATGGCAATGATGGGTTCACTGAGCAGTGAGGGGAATTGCGGGGTGACATGTCGATCAACGGGCGCCTCCATGAGTCCATTACCCATGAGACGAGTCTCGCATGTCGTAACTCGTAAGGGTGTAAAACATCGATAATCGATCGGCTTACCAAATGTTGCTCGGCACTGCAGCTACGCATCACTGCGGAGTTTTGGGTGCCACTATGAGGGCTGTGGCAGTGTACGGAGTAGTACATTGGTAATCCAACGTAGGAGCGGCGGCACGCACTCGAAACCGGCGCCCGTCTCTTAATTAAAGTGCTGAACTATGTCTGCGGACCCGGGAGCTGCGGACGCGGGCGGGAACACTTGTCGGGTGAGAAGGAGGCCGCCAACGCGCCGGAGAGATCATACAAACACTAGAATGAGATGCAAGGTGGTTGAACAAGCGTGACATCATCATCCTTGGTAATCCGTCCGTCTGTCTCCGAACAGTTTTCTTCGGACCGGACCGTTGGCCGTGACGCCGTGGTGCTATTGCTGTCTCCTTTCCCGGTCTTGGTGTTCCTTTTCTTTCTCTCACCGTCTGTATGAGTCTGACCGTAGATGAGTTGTCGAGAGTCGAGACTCTTAATCGCAGGGATGTCGTGTTAAGAGGACAGCTGCAACCCGGCACGTGCCTTGGTCATTGACACCTAACCTAACCCGCCCCCCCTGAGAGGCTCAGATGTACGTCCTAAAACTCTGCTTGTTGTCACTTGTATGGATGGGTCATTGATGGGTTGTGTGTGTTTGCGCGGCGTGCCGGCCGGCCGATGGAACCGCTGGGCTGTGGCATGTTCACGCGGGTGGCCGCTTATGGGGACCCGCGCTGAACCATCAGCTCATCATCTGACCTGATGCGTCCCACCCATTGCAGATCCAGCCGCCGTGCCCCGGACCAGACTAAACTGCACCGTTAAGCCGTAGCCTGGTTTGATTGCTGCGTAGGTAGTACATAGAGGTAGGGATAGTTTGTTAGTGGACTTCGTAACGAAGGGCTCCGTACCGCCCGTAAGCTATGAGGTGTAAAGATGAAGTGCTTGGTTTTCCCTTCTCTTTTCGGAGCTTACAGGAACGCACGTTACCCAACCAAGGTTTCCGCAACGTCGTATTCTCTCGAAACCCAGATCAACAAACCCCCCGACTGCACCGTACACATGCATTGTGTCATTTTCAACTCATTTCTTCTTTTTCCATAAGTCCCATATGACATGATTGACGTGGAAAAGGTACTCCGCCTCCCCCCTTGTTGCCTTTTTTTGCACGGCCTGGGATGAGTGTGACGCCACATGCCCAGCTGCATGCCACCGTCCTGCCGGGCACCTCTTGGCGCCCGATCTTGGCGGCGCCGGGGGGGAGGCAGAAGTGTCACGAAAGTGTGTTCAAGTGGCCAGGGTGGATTATCGACTGATGCGTCTAGCTGCATCGCGGCTCCACTCGTGCTGCTTGGGAAGGTGAATATCAACCACCGGATGACTCCCTTTATAACGACGGAGAAGGAGGAAAGAGACATCACTTGTTTCTCACTCATCATCATCATCTCATTCATCTGACACTCAGATCCAAACACCAAGAAACTCACTACCCAAAACATATTCACGCCTGGCATGACAACTCTGTAAGTGGCTCTCATGAATCTTCACATCACATGTGTATCAACGACTAACACACTCAGACCCCTCAAAGTAAAGGTTGCAATCCGTGACCACTGGACCAAGGAAGACAGCTACCTCCAGCAAGCCCTCAAGGCCCTCCGAGACGTCCTCGGCCTCGAAGTAGACGTCAACCCGGACTGGCAGATCCTCCTCACCCAGCTCGACGCAGAGTACGCAGACAGGACCGACTTCGTCGCCGCCGTCGCCGGCACCGTCGAAGCATGGTGCCGCGCCGCGACGGAGCTTCTCGAGGACGAGAAGAATGAGGAGTGGACCAACACCCTCCTGGACAAGCTGAGACTGACTTGGTCGAGGTTGCGACTCTTTGTCGAAGTGAGTTCCATTTGACAACACCCATTGCGTAATCACACCTGACTGACCATCAAAACAGGTCGCCAGCGATGAACAAGCCTCAACAGCATGGTCCGACGACCAAGGCGGCTTCCTCATCACCCTCCCCAAACTCCGACTCATAACCCCAATGGACCTCCACCCCCTCTTCAAATCGGAAATCAAAGACTGCTTCGCCGACCACCACAAGCAACTGCCCCCTTACTCCGCCTCGCCAACAGAAGACTGGGCCGACCTGGAAATGGACGCCCGTCTGAACCGTCTTTCTGTTGGCGGTACGGGCCATCTCCGTCAGCGCGCCTCCATTTCTTCGACGGCATCGCGCGGACCACAGGCAGATTTCATGCCGAAAGCAGACGCCCTCCCGCGCCCGGACGAGCTTCTGCAAAAGGCTCCGTACCACCTCATCGTGTACAGCCGCGGCGCGCACGAGATTGAGATCCAGGGGAGCCACAGCGCGACGCTCAAATTTTTGGCGGACTATTTCAAGAAGTGGAGGAGGACGAATCATCAGATCAGCAGCAAGGTGAGCCCGCTTTCCCTCTCGCTCCCTACTTCCAACGTTTTCACAAAGATCAAGTTGCTGACACAAAATACAGCCTCCCGCCGTCGAGGTAAAGCTGCACCAGTGCGCCTTCGGCATGGGCGCGAGCATCGATCGCCTAGTCCTCGTCTCGGAGCACAAGTACGGCGGCGCCTTCATCCTCACGCCCACCATTATTCTTTCCCTGGTCGAGGGCGTGTTGGGGTATAAGCCCGTGTACTCTGACGCCCACTCGTGGACGTACCGGCGGGATACCGAGTTGAGAGCTTAAAGAGACGTTTCGTGGCAGGACCACGACGGAATCGGATCCCGGGAATTTGGGGTCATTGTACAGCATCGGATGGGAAATCACGGAACATTAGGCCATGGAAGGCCCATGGTATGGAAAGGGGAGGATGGAATTTTTCACGATGCTCATGACCTCATAATGTTAAAGACCTAATAATGCGAGAAGACCTCATTACTCATTATTTTCATTACTCCTTTGCTTTCCTACAGTCATAACTGTGGCACTGTGAACCCGGCTTTTACTAGACTTCAACCTTCTATTCACTCGCTCGCGACTTCAGACGACAAGCATCCGTACCTGAGAACCTTGCTTGGACCATCTGATATCCACAGCCGCGCCGGGCCGTCAGCAGATCAACCTTCAAGCAGCCGGACTCCGAAACTCCGCCCAGGAAAACAAGGCCCGACGCCGTGACATGAAGTCAAGTAGTGCTTCCGCTACAAACAGTGAAGTGTACTACGGATCAGCAATCACAAAGCTAAATAGACACGTCTAACGAGAACTCGAATCAAACCACCGAATCACTTAGTCCATCCAGCTTTCTGACTACTAGCCTGTAGCATTCACAGCGAAAGCTTTACAGACTTAACCAGTCTCATTTCGCCGCCTCTTCCAAGACTGCCGGACCAATCTGCCCCCGCCCCGCAGCCTCAGCCCCAGTCCGTCCAATGTTATCTTCAACGGGAGCACATCTCCGCCACACCGGGATCGTCCGGCGCACTGATCCACACCCCCCATCCCGGGGCCCGAAAGAACCGGCCCCGTTTCCCCCCTTTCGGGATCGGACTAGACATAGAAATTTGGTATTGGCGGGGCCGGACTTATCTTCTCCGATCAACAACTGAAAAGGAACTTGTATGGTCTGATAAGCTCAAGGTTCCGTCAGCCACATCTGTGCGAGCTGCTACGGCCTTGATTCTATTCTTTCTGTGCAATTTTTGCGTTCTGTTTGGTTCTGCCTGCCTGTGCCATTATCGTCTGAATGCTTGTGACGGTAGGTCGATTATGATCTCCATAGCTGGAGATGTTATTATAACTGCCAGGTGCTTCCCGAAGGACCATACTCTCAGTCCAGGTCTGAGAGAGATGGAATAAGTCCAACTAAGCCTCGATTCCTGCCGTTTCCATATCAAACCCCTTCACACCCCTGCACAAGTTGCATCCCACGGCTTTCCAAAGACTCCAAAGCAAAAACAGCAATGCCCTTCAATACTGACGCATACGACCTGAAATGCCGCCAAATGTCTGACGAAGCCCTCATCGCGAGACGATCCCACTACGTCCGCCAGCTCGCGAGCAGCTCAACCGCAACAGCGCTCCACACCGCAGCGGGAGCCGTCACCGCGGGTCTAAGCTGGCTCATGGTCCCCTACGACGCGGCACGCATCCGGAACGCACGCAGAAAACGACGGATACTGGAGAGGCATGCCGTCGAGAGGGGGTTGGCGGTGAAGACGAAGAGGGGGGATGTGTTGGTCCCGATGGCGCTGGGTGTGACGTTTGGCGCGGTCGCGATCGAGGGGGCCGAGATGTGTGCTGATGTGCTGGTGGGGAGCACCGGCGGGTCGTCATCTGGCGTGGCCGCGACGGCGGCGCATGGTGTTGTCAAGGGGGTTGCTCATGTTGGGCTTGATGCTGGCATTGCGGCGGCTGAGCATGCGCATGCCAAGAGAGGAAAGATGAAAGTTGATGAGAGGTCGATAAGGGGAAGTGAACGGGGTGGTTCGATGAGTGAGGAATCGGAAAAGAAATGAGAGCTTTCGGCGTCGAGACGAACGCATGGCGACGTTGGTCTTTAGTGGTCGACGACGTCGCTCATTTCGCCCCAGTCGGTTCAAAGTAGAACCTCTACTGAAGGGCGTGACATGCCCGAAGGATAGTCATAGTTCGATTGAAGAATTCAATCATAAGAGTTGAGTGGAGTGATGAAAACCCGCGATACTTTTAGAGGCGTCTTCTGAATCTGACGTGAGGTGTTAGTGAGTGAGATCTCGAGATAAGTGAGGTCAAAGACGGGTTTGCTTACCGGCAGCACCATAGTAGACCGCACATAGCGGGTACCAGGACAACCAAGAGACCAGCGCTCCAGTATCGCGTGCTCAGGCGATGAAGCTCCTTCAGCCTGCGCTCGTTCTCCTCCTCCTCTTCGTCGATAATGGCCCACTCATTGTCCTTGCTCCAGTAAATGTCAAACTTGCCCTGTCGGATTGAGCCGTGCTTGATGTGGACCGACTGCATGGCTTGGTGGTGTGTATAATGCCTTTAGGCGGTGTTGTTGATGTTGCTGTTGTTGATGATGATGCGAGGAGCCTTCAAGGAAGCTCCAAAGGTTTGGGGGTAAACAATTCCAAGTTGGATGTTTGCTAATCGGCAGGTGAGAGAGATGAGGAAAGACCCGTCCCCTTTGTATGAAAATAAATTTCTCGCCCTCGAGTCACTTATCAAAAAAAGAGGACGCCTCAGGACTCCGTAGATAGGCGTTAGACCCTTGATAGGGAGGCGCGTAGGGCAGAAAATGCGCGGCGCCGCAGGAGATGGCGAAACCAATTCGAGATCGGCTCGGGTTATTTCCAGTTTTTATTATGGGGCCCGCTCACACCGTTCTGGACCACAAAGCTGCCTCCTCGAGTCCTTTGACCCTCCTTTGCCGCCTCGATGGGCCCCTCCCAAGCGTAAAACAAACAGGTGTGTGGAATCGGTGGGTATTCCGAAGGCGCAGGGAGCGGCTTGCGTCAATTTTCGGCGGCCCGATAATAAAACGATTGACAAGATTTCCAAGATGGCGCGAGCCGCGAACCAGATGCCAGGGCTGAGGCATGCGGACCTATTCTTGACAGTTTTTTTTTTTCCTCTTCCCGTCTTCAGCCAAGCTAAGATATGCGTGAGGTCCCCCTGCTTTCCGGTCTTGGATAGCTTTACTGGTTTAGCTTACGGCAGCTCCTTCACCGTGACTTATCTTCATTACCTTATAAAGCAGGTAGCTTCGGACATGGATGGATCCACCTTCAGTGTTCGTTGTCCATTTGTTGGGAGGAAACATTTTCTCTCTCGGGACGCGCGCCACATCGACCATTGCGCGAGCCGCCTTGCTTCTTGCGCATTCGATCAAAATAGCTCTGGCGTTGTGCATCTTACTCACAATGAGGCGGTGTCCCTAGTCCATTCATCCGCTATTACACGGAAGTGAGCAATATGAATGACGGACGAGTGTCATGCCACTGCTTAACTAAGGGGGAGATATCTGAAATGATTCGAAGAGGTCATCCAAGCGGAAACAGAAAACCGAACCAGGCTGAGTTTCACGGCCGGGCACATGTCAAGCCCAAGCAATTTGATTTGAACATTTTACTTTTTACATACGGATACCTTACGGATAGACATGGGTCTCGACATGCAGTGATGGATCCCGTTGGGCATGCGTGTTTTTTGCTGGCATAATCGTTTCCCAGCCGATTTTATCAGGGTCCCCATTTCATCGACAGGGGCAAGACCGCAGCCGGGCTGCTTGCAGGCGAAAAAAAAGAGAGATGGACCCACTACCCGCCACACGGTGAGTCATTGCGATAAGGTAGGCTCCACTCACACACACCTCGAAATGGATCCTCATCGGCCCGCCGCCCGTCTGACTTTTCGGTGAGGGTCTTTCACCGAGGGGAGCATCACCAGTGTCATCAGTATAGGCTTCACGCCATGGGTGTCGAGTCTGCCCGGCAATTCAATCATATCTACGTTCTGAAGCGAAGTATCTTATCTTGTCTGTCAATTGGCATATGTAAGGATAGATTCTCTACTTAAAGTATGTTCGTCTCTTTCGATTATACTCCGCAGGTTCTCTCGGATCGCAGATGCAAAGGCATATAGTTTTCGTCTACTCCTGGTGTCATTCTAATTCTGTTCAAACTCTTTACGCAACTTCTGGATCTTCCCATCTGTCCAGAAAACATACCAATTGTCCGTCTTTGAGAGTATACCTTTCACTCTGACCGCACCTATAATCGCACTGAATCCACCAACGCTCCGCCTATGCATTTGGACTCATTCTGTTCAGGCTCCTGCAGTCCTTCGAAAAAGGAGGTGGCCTCAGGTATATTCGAGTCTAATGGGAGACCTCCAGTCTTTCTTCTCGCCAGCCCACCTAACATGGCGGCAAGTGAGTGCGAAGTAGTTGAGCCCCGTCGCTGGCATGGTATCCTAAGCGCGGACGTATGTGAGTCCGGAGTCAGGCCGCACACAGTCTGCCGCAACCCAAGTTGAATAATATACCACAAAGCCAACCTTGGTAATCCTTGCTCGTTCTTGTCATAGATATACAATACTGAATACTCACGAGCTAGAGACCAAAACCCTTGGATGGAATATCTTCCCCTTTTCACCAAAACGTATTAGACCCAGCTTATAGGGAGATACGCAGAACCAAAGACACAAACAATGCGAAGTGACTCGGTCCTAAATCTCGAATTGGACAACCTTATGATCGCACCAGAGTTCCAAATCGACGCAATGCCTTGCCTCGATCCAAGGTCCCCAGCACACTACCCGCCCTTTTATACCCTTATAAAGCCCTCTCTCTGAACGACCATTTAACAGAAATAGACAGAAGACGTGACAAAATATCTGGGTAGATGAGGCAGGTGCCAGTGTGACGCCCATACCTTCCACACCTTCTCAATACTTCCTACGGCACCTTCCCAGAACACAACCCAAACCGCCCGCGAGGCTCTATATCCAATGAATCATCACCACTTCCTCAACAACAAGTACCTGGGCCGTATGGTCGAGGGGTTCAATTCGAGCTGCAGAGGCCCCGGTTAGGCAGTGAAGTCTCCTGTTTATTTCGGGATCCAAGTTCGAATCCTCGATCGGTCGTCCCATTGTTGTTTTTTGCTTTTTAATCTTCTTGCCCTCTCCTTCCTTCTCTCCGTCCCAGCGTCGTGATGTGCATGCGTATATCAAATACAGCCTCCACACCAGCAGGACCAACTCCTTTTGCTGGGCAGTATATCACTCTATCAGCACAACTTCCTGATGTTGATGCGCACACAAGTAGGAGCGCCGAACTATGTAGGTCATACACGGAAACTGATACCATCTTCAATAATCGGCGTTATATAACGAACAAGCCAAACGTGCGCAATAACAACTAGAGGGTATCATTCTATAGAACTACCTGCACCAACCAAATCACAAAGCCATATTCACTCATCTACAAAGTGGCGTTCCTCACAATCCCATTCTCCGTATACAAATAAGGCGGCGTCTCAGGCGGACTGCGCCCATTCCGGTACAGCCACAATCTCGAAAGATCCTTCACCTTGACCATCTTCTTCCTATGCCGTCCCTTGACGTGCTCCCCGTGGAACTCAACCTCATTATTGACATCGCGACCGAGATACGCAACCTCAAACGCCTCGCGCGCGTTGGCTCCGGCATCACCCTGCCGTCCGACCTGGATCTCGCTTTCCATGAACTCGCTCTCTTCCGCGGCGCCGATAAACTCGCCCGTCTCCGGGTCCTTTGCGAGAGGGAACATGCCGTCGAGGTAATGCTGACAGAACTGGTGACCTCCGCGCTCCGAAGCCCTGACAAAGAGGCGCCCGATGAAGCGCGGCATGCTGTGGTCCGCCGTAAGGGAGGTACAAAAGTGCAAGACGCCCCAGATGGCGACAAAGTCCGTGGTGTGGGCGTAGTGCTCGACGTGGCCGATGGCGCGGTCCAGTGCGGCCGTTGAGGATCGAGAGGAGATGGAGGACGACTCTTTGGGGAGGCTGGGCATGCGCGGGTTGCTGTGTTCGCTTTTGCTTCCGGTGCTGTGACTCGAGACGAGACGTTGTTGACCGCTGTTGGCGATTGGCGATATGGGGCTGTCCACGAAGTCGCCGTGGGTTATGCTGGTTGTGGTCAAAGTCATGGCAGCTGGGTTATTTTGTGCGAGGGCCTGGGACATTGCGTGGCGATGGGGGTTGTTGAAGTGGTTTGCGGCATTGCCAAATGTGTAGACCTGGGCATTGTCAGAAGCGTTGTTGTACGGAGTGTCTGATGTCACTTACCTCGAGTTTGGCAAGAAGATCTTGTGGCAATTCCTGCAATAGCCAGTCGAGAACAAGACCACCCTCGATGCCTCCCTGAGAATGCAAGACGAAGACCACCTTGGAGTATTGTGGGTTGTAGAGCGTTTCCTTGACAATTCGATAGCACATTCTCACATCGTAGGTCGCGTATCCCAGGTTCCGTTGGATGAGACATTCAACAACATCAAATAGGATACCCGAGGTCTGATTGTGAATACCGAGGATTGGCCGCTTAAAGGTGAGAGCAAGTCTGTTCAGGTTGTTCTTCATCCAGTGGTCCCTGATGACGTGTTAGTCAGTCTGTTATGGCCTCATCTAGTTCCTCATAGATGCATATTGAAATGCACTGGGAATGGAAGTGAGAGACGATAACAACTTACCCGACGGCAACTCCATTCAAAAAGATCCATTTTTCGTGAGCGTGCTCTGGTAGCTCAGGTGCGTACTTGGGATCCGAGGTGTAGGTGAGGGTTGGCCCGTTCAGCAATAAGCAGAGCAGATAATTGACGGCGAAGAAGGCACCGAAGGCGAGGCCGGCGATCCAAATAGGCAATAAGACGGCAAACGGCAAAGCCAAGATGAAGCCAATTTGCAAAACGCAGAGAAAGAGGTGCATTCCCACGCAAAAGAGGTTTTGCCTCGTGAAAGCCAACTCATCGAGGTCCCCCGAATCGGCTGGGGTGATAGGCCATACGATCCACGGAAGAGCCCAGATGTACTGGAAAAAGTAGTAAATGTCCCATGCGAGCAGCTTCCAGGGAAAATCGGTGTAAGAGTAGCTGATGACGGAGCTTCCTCCCACCTGGGAGCCGAGAAACTGTGTCGAACCCATTCTCTGTTTATGCAGCTCTGTTCGTTTCTGTTGTCGTGATCGATACCGCACCGCGAACCTGTCGCCCAAACCTGGGATGGAGAAGAGGCCGGCGGCCATGATGACGGGTATGGCTAGGACGATATAGAGCCAAGAATAGCCAGATGGCGAAAGTGAAAATGACAGAGAGGGTGATGACAGAAAGGGAATGTGGTCAAGTGACCAGCGGGAGACGGACGGTGGGTGCTCACGGGGCATTATATCGTGGGGAAGGAAGATGGAGATGGAGGGCGGCGCCGGTCAGACAAACGAACAAACTTCCAACCACAAACTAGAGATCCTAGTTCCCCTCGTAGCGGTCGTTAGCATTTCATGGGGAAGAGGTAAGACAATTTTCTGCTCCAGAAAAGAAGTAGAGACGCAGCAGACACAAGGTGCAGGCAGGGCTGAGTTGGCCTGAACCCGGGCCGGGATAGACGACGACGGCGCCCATCTTCCATCTTGGCTGGTCACTCGACCAGGGGGCACTCGCCAATTAGGGGGGTCGGTCGCAGCGGCTAGGGCGCCACCCCGCTGCCTACCCTCCATGTTGCCTTACAGATTGACAATGTCTGGTGTGTTTTTGGGGGCTGAGATGATGGGGTGCGAATAAGCGAAGATGCGATGCGATGCGCGAGAGCGAGATGCAGTCAGATCCAGGCTGTGCACCAAGAGACCGAAAGCAAGCCTCCAGTATCATGCGAGGCTCTGAGATGTTGACAGAGTCCACAAGTAGATGCCAATGACAGTTACACCGATAAAATTGCAAACAGAAAATGACAAGAAGTCAGAGAAAGCAACTATGCCTTGCGTTGTTGGGGCTGTTTGAGTTGCATGTGGGCGTCTTACAGGCTGCCGTAGCAAGAGTGCACCACATGCGCCAACAGCCTTTGAAGGAAAGCCAGCAGACGCGCATAGGACCCAATGAGAGTGTTCATCTGTCGTCATTTCTGACGTTGCGTGCCCAGCTAATCGGCACGTTCAGCCCGATAGAGTCACATCCTTGAGGGTCCAAGCCGCTTATTGCGATCCTCACCCGGCGAGGCAACAGGCAGCCTCAAAATCTGAACGTGCTTGGTACGGAATGATTGCCTCGTGAATAATGTCCAAGGTCTGACCGTTCGTCTTGGGGAAGTGAGTGGCTGGATGTCGATTTGGCAGACACCGAGCTGCGTTGTTCGGGTCCTACCGCGTGCAGCTATGCATCACCAAAAGTTGAGGTGAATTGACTTCTGACTTCCTTGTCCGTCGAGTTTCAAGCGCGGGAGAGACATATGGAGGCTTGGCTGTCAGATTCGACGCAGTTGCGCTTGATGATTTTCATCAGCGTTGTTTGAATTCGTACTGCCGTCCAACGAGGGTATGTCTTGAGCTTTGGTAGAATCTTCGGTCTCAGCCACCACAGCCTGATATTGAGGCCTCAATTTCGTCAAAAAATAATGCGTGACTTCGTCGCAGTGCGTGGGACTACGATGAATAGAATGATCACAGCAGCTGTTGGAGAGTTGATGGGTGAGAATGGAGGAAGGGGGAAGTTGACGGCCAGCTGAGCTGTAGATTTTGGGGATGAACACGAGTTGGTCCGTGCACCCAGCAAAGGTCGCGGGACTCGGGAGAGAGAGCTCCTTCTCCAACTGGGGAAACAAATCATGTGTTTGATGGGGCAGTTTGTTGACATTGAAACCTCCAAATCTAACATCAACACTGCACATTACACCTTCAACGTCGACCGTCTGCAGAGCGCAATCTCCATACCCAAGAGATCGCAAAAGAAGTACCACCATGTCAATGCTCGCAATCCACCTCGAGCAGATAGCTCTCTGCTGCGAGGGCATCGACTCGCTCCCGTACGCACCGCCCCTCCTCATCCAATCACCCTCCTCAAGATACCCTCACTTTGGCCACCCATCCGAGTCATCCACTAACACACCATGACAGCTTCCCACCGCCCAAAATCTTCACAAATGCGATGCTCTACAACACCGACATCACCTCCCTAATCCGAGACACCGAAGCCCACGAACGCGCCCTCTTCTCCGTACCCCCGCCTCCACCACCGCCAGCAACATCATCATCCTCCCAAAACCAAGAAGCAAAACCCACCACCTCCCGCCGCCAAACCGTCTTCAACGTCGCATCGGGTGAAGTCACCACCGGCCCCCCACCAGGAACCTCACGCGCAGCAGGCGGCGGAGGCATAGGCGGACCCCGCCGCCACACTGCCGTCTCCGCCGTCCTCGGAGGTGATCTCCACGCCCAGCTGCGCCGCGGCGAGCGCCAGGCCGCCAGTAAAGGAGGCGACGTCGACGTCGAGGTACTCTTGCAGGGCGCGACGAAGCTGTGCGGCGTGTACGCTCTTCCCGGCGCGCTCGAGCGGATTCCGCAGCTGAGGTCGCGGTATGCGCACCAGACGAATACGCTGGCTTACTACGAGGCGAAGGTTGCTGAGAACCAGGCCGCGGTGGAGAGGATGAATAAGGATCACTGGATGGGGGAGGGCGACGACGAGCAGTTTGATGACGACGAGGACGAAGAGGAAGAGGCGGGCGACGATGTCATGACGGAAGAGGATCTACGGGCCGAGGAAGAGTTTGTGAGGGAGCTTGATAAGAAGAAGCGGGAGCTGCAGCAGCGGTTGCGGGCGATGGAAAAGGATTTGGGAGCATTGCTGAACATGTGATGTTGGTTGGAAAAAAAGGAATGAGGATATTAAACGAGGGCGCTTCTACTACCATGGTTGTTTTGCGACATGATACCCCAGAAATTCAAACAAAACTCCATCATGACCCAAAAGTATCCCACACTCCGATAACATTCTCCATGTGAGCGTGTGTGCCACAAGAAACCTCAACACGCAAGCCCATCCCGCCCACCAGCCGCCCTCCCACCCCTCTCCCTCGCCGCAACAATCTGTCCCAAGAACTCACCCACCTCCTGCGCGCCCCCAACCTCATACTTATCCTCAATCACAAAATGCGGCACCCCCCTCACCCCCATCCGATACGCCTCCTCCACCTGCCGATCAACCTCCTCCCCTCCCTTACCCTCCTCAAGCCACCGCCTCACCTCCCCCCTCTCCAGCCCACCCCGCACCGCCGCGTCCACAATCATATCCCAGCTCGTCACGTCCCCGTCCTCCTCAAAGTAGCTCTTCATAATCGAATCCACCACCGCGTTCTCCACCTCGGGACCCTTGGTCTTGGCCAGCTGGATCGTCCGGTGCGCGTCCCGCGTGTGTCCGATCTTGCCCCCGAACGTAAAGTTGAACCCTTCGGCCGCGCCCAGCTTCTTCATGCGCGCGTGCATCATCTCCAGCCTGTCGGCGCCGAAGCGCGCCGCCATGCGCTCGTTGACGGGAACGCCCTTGCGGGGCGCCGTCGGGTCGAGATAGTAGGCTTGCCAGGTCACGTTGAAGGTGTCGTCCTTGCCGCCGGGGTACGTCTTTTTGTACAGGTCTATCGCCCTGTTCAGACGGGCTTTGCCGAGATAGCACTGCCAACGATGTTAGTGACCTCACTTTCTGATGAGTACCTAGGGCGTCTTACAAAGGGGCAGACGGGGTCCGATATGACTTTGATGTTAATGGTGGACATCTTGCTTGCTTGGCGTGCGGCGTTCATTCACTTTCAAAATTTCCTTACTCGACGATGGGGAGAATATGAACAGGTACACAGATATTGGTTGAATAGAGTCTATCTTTGAAAACTACGGCATGGAAATCAAAGACGTCAAATACGTCGTAAAACTCGGCCTCGGCTTTGATCGAATACGGCGGGACTCCGCCGTAACTGGGCGCCGACTTTTAGTTGATTACCAATCAGACCCGGAGCCCGATCCGACCGGAATCATTTAGCTAAAGGCCGGCGGGATTCCTCCATATCGAGACGAGCTTACCCCGTCTTGTCTCTTCACATCAGCACCAGCGAGCCCACAATCCGCCATTATTCAGCCAAAGCAAAATCGGCGAGGGCGGGTCTGGGAAGGTTCCGATGGTCGTTCGGCACTCTGCATTTCGGCACTTGATTTGTTACGTTGCATTCATGATTCGTGGAGTCTATGTGCGCCCCTTGTTCATTACCACCGCCGAGGGCCCTGCCGCCCTGCCGCCCTTGCAAAGTTGCAAGCTAATAAAGCACAGGCCAGTCTAAAGCTTGTATCCTCTGTCATCCACTGCGCAAAATAGTTCCGCAAAAGGATCCGCCGTAAATAGGTGTGAAGCCACAACTATGGGTATCATCATGTTCGAGTCGTGCTATCAGTGCTCAATCAACCGAGTAGCGTTCTGTCGCCTCTCGTAGTCTTTGGTCATTCCGTGACCGACGCGATTCGTAAGGCTGCCTGCGATGCCTGCGTCTCTCATCTCTCCTCCAGGTTGATGGGTATATACTGTTGGTAGTCGTGGACGATTCTCCGCGATTAGCTGCGTTGGGACTCTGTGACCGTCGCCGCTTGGGTGTAACATCCGGATACTGCACAGCGCGGTCCCAGCTTTCGAGCGACATGTAGGGGCTTCTCAGCCACGCCCGAAGCTCATGAAGCAGCAATCGTGTATTCTCTCTGCCTAGAAACTCTTGAATGAGCTCCTCAGCTTGGCCCATGCTGCCTTGCATATCCACAGTCTTCAAGATAGCGATGATGTACTCGAGCAAGAACTCGGCATTGTTGGCTCTGCGACGTCGGATCGGGTCGGTATCTAGCGGCCTTGCATGATTATCGGGCGAGAGGAACTCAAAGACCTGTAGTTCGCGCCGGAGGAATGTACGCGCGCGCGAGACAAGCTCTGTATCGGAGGCAAACATTTGCGGAGTCAAGTCTCGGTATCTTGATATCCTGTTCGAGCCCACGTGCAGCGAGTACAATTGATGTCGGTAAACATGTCTTCGGCGGGTAATTGCCTCATCTTGAGACAGATTGGACCGAGTCGTCGAAGGCGCATGGAGCCGTGGCCGCCGTGGGCGGGCTTGAGAGTAATATCGTCTCGTCTGCTGTGCAGAAGAGGCATTCGCTGTGTTTCCAGCCTTATCCGGGGGTCTCTCTGGAGCCTTGAAGGTCTTCCATTGCTTTCGGTCGTCACTAAACTCGTAACGGACCTCCTTGATCTCGGTCTTGCATAGCGGGCATGCTGTTTGTCGTTCAAGCCATGTCGCGAGGCAGAGGAAGTCGAAGTTATGGTGGTGGCAGGGTTGCGCCTCGCAGCCTTCTGTAATCTCTTCGAGGCAAATGACGCAACAGTCTTGAAGATCCGTCGGTCGCGTGGTGATCTCCTGCAGCGTTGTCTGCAAGACGACGGAGTGAAGATCTCGTGGACTCGAGTTGTCGCTGGATGTCGCTTCGGCGGACATGCCACAGGTGTAGAGCGTGCTCAAGAGAAAGAGAGTGGTGTATGACGGAGAAAGAGGACGATGTCACCAGGCCACTTGAGTGTGACCGCTGTGTTAATCAGCGTGACATTCATGGAAGCAGCTTAAACTCTGATAAGATAAGGAATTCCATGGTGGGGCAATCTCTTCGACCGATAAGATAGGTACGTACCCAAAGTGCTGCTGGACGACCGTGGGTCTTTCGTGTTTAGTGCTTTTTCCCTGTCGCGTCACAACCGCGTTTACTTTCCCTCCACTCTGAAATCCACCCTGGACGTCTTCAACTACGTACCTCAATTTAAACCACCTACTCAACCTTAATTTTGCGCCTTCCTGATCTTCAATGACGTAGATGCATCTTGACCAGTGACCGCCTCACAATGGATGAACCGACAAAGGCAGAGTATGAGCTCCAGTCACAGAAACTACGTATCGAACTAAAGACGTGGGAGACCTCCTGGGCAAAGTCTCACGATGGGAAGAAGCCGGGCAGAGGCGATATCAAAAGCAATGCCGACATAGGTGAGTATTTGACCTCCGAATGCACAAAATCAATTCAAGATTAACGCAAAGGATCAGCGCAAAAATACAAGCAATACAACAAAGTCCGCGACATCCTTTCAGGAAAGATTCCTCCACCTTCGAAAGAAGCTCCGAAACCGAAGAAGCGGGACGATATCCCCACTCTCGCGAGGACTCCTTCGAAGAAAACTAGGCACGTCGAAACGCCCTCGAAAAGAAGGACGAATCCCGAAGATGCTGCCCTTACTAGCACCCCGTCAATCTCCAGAACCCTCTTCAGCCCCGTGGCTCCAAGATCGATTGGGCCTACACCACAGCGCGATGGTCGTGTACTGGGATTGTTTGACCTAATGGTAGAGCGTGAGCTCGGAACACCGTCAAGAAAGAACATCAACACTTCTGCGGATGCCAGAGTTATGACGACACCAAGAAAACGGGCGACACCCATGGACGAGGAGGATGATGCGAAATTTGGGCGGACGCCAATGTCCACGAGCAAACGGCAAATGCTAGACAGCTTCATGACACCTCTGAAGAACAAAGATGGCCCTGCAGCAGACGCCAAAACACCCACGACTGTTTCGAAGCTTCAGTTCAGCACGCCATCCTTCCTCAAAAGACACACCCAACCACCACCAAGCAAGAGCGATGACTTCACAGCGCCGCCCCTGCGATTACCCCGGAAACCACTGGTTCGTGGCCTCAGCGCTATTGTAGCAAGTCTCAGAAAAGTGGAAGAAGACAACTTGGATAACGAAGATGAGCTCGAAGCGCTGCGGGAGGCGGAAGGCGAAATTGTGCAGCCTAAAGTGCCTCCGAAGCCGAAAGCGGATATTCTCGCTGCAGACAGTCAGGTCAACCTACCTTTGGGAGGATTTGACGACGAGGCTCTTTACGACAGTCCCGATGAAGAGCAGGTGGGACGCGATGGAATGCCATTGAGGGTATACAAGAAGAAGGGGCAGAAACGAACGACGAGGAGATCCAACATGAAGCCTGTTCATGTCAAACGGCCATCTGCTCCCGCCGAGGAAGAGGCACAAGAAGAAGACCATGAGGCAGGCGTGCCTAAAACACAAAATAGTGGCGATCCAGAGGACGACTATGATGAGCTTGCGGGCTCGGGGTCGGAGTCAGACCCTGACGAGTCAGCACCAAAGAACAAGTCCAAGAAGAAGGAAGAAAAGAAAACAGAGAAGGTCGGAGCGGTCAAGAAGGCCGTCAGAAAGGTGAATGCAATGGCGCACACGAATTTCCGGCGATTGAAACTGAAGAACAATGGCGCGAAAGGCGGGCCTGGATACAACAGCAAGTTCAGGAGACGACGCTGAGTCGACATTTGCATTGCAAGGCGTTTACATGGAAAGCGATATCCCAATTAACATTGCCGATGAATACATGTCCCCAATAAAATATCATTATCATGAATCAGCTTCGGATGTGTCACACGCATTTGGTGTTTGACGGTAGCATTTCGTGCCAGGGTTTGCTCAATATTATATAACTCTATATTACGACAGTAAACGAGCCCCCAGTCGCCGTATCAGGACGAGGAAGTAGAAGGTCGCGAAATCGCAGCTGATGGCAACCATGAGCCATGAGAGACCGGCCGAGAAAATTACACGGCTGACAAGAAATTTATCCTGTTGCAGCACTTCCTCAGGAATCTCACCTTCCTTCTCGCTTAGCCACTCCATCTCAGTCCAGAACGTATCGTCGGTGCCATCACACATCTCCAGCTCTACAAACTTGTCAATCATGCTTTGCCCACGATCGATATGTCTTTGGAGCCGTCTCAAACAACAGTATGACGGCCCGCCCCGCACAACGGGCATAGTCCCCTCCCCTTTACACACCACCACCGGCACCTCCCTCTTAACCTCTTCGCGGTGGCACCCTTCGCCATCGGTCTCTATAGAATGCACCAGACAGAGCAGCCGTCTGTAATCTTTCAGCACCGCCCAAAGCCAGCAAAACGCCAGCGCAACCTGCAACACCATCTCCTTGACCACATCCCGCCCCTCAAGCCCCTCCATCTGCGCAGCGCAGCAATTCCTCAACGCCTGCTGCCGATTCAGCACCTCGCGGCACGAGCGCATCCGCGGCGGCGGCGACTTATACAAGCCCGGGTTCCACTTGTCCGTCTTCGACTCGGCGTCGTCTTCCTGGTGCCATCGTTCCTGCCAGAAGGCGTTCCAGAAGCCGGAGACGGTCTCGGAGGCCGTTTGGGCACATGGCACGGCGCGGAAGAGCTTCGTGCGCCAGACGGATGGCCAGTCTGTCGCGAGGAGGGTGAAGAGGAGGTAGCCGGTGACATCGCTTGCGAGGATGTGCGGTGAGGGGGTGTAGCCGTGTAGGATGCTTGTGATGTCGAGGTGGAGGTCGGTGAAGCGTCTGAGGCCTCGCTTTTTGGGCGGGCTGGACGGCTGCGGCTGCGGTGAGGCTTCCATCGCTGTATCTGTGTTTGGTGACTCTTTTCTCTTGGAGAACCGATCCATGTCTTTTGATTGTAGTTGTCGGGGTGTAGGATCTTGGCCCTTTTTTACAGACGATGTCGTCTCTTGGTCCCCCATGTATAAGGTAGCTGTCGCAACCATCTCAGCTCAACCCAAAATAGCGAGCTTCGCCAAGTCCAACAGAGGCCATGCGCTGGCAATGTTTTCCCTGCGCTGCAGAAGCATGGCTTTCCCTTTTCGAATCTCACTCTGAGAAATGAGAGCTGGGAGTGGCCGATGTGCTCCAGGGAATGAATGCTTGCCTGCCCGTCTGATGTAAGACGGTGCCCACATGTAAGCGCTTATCCCAACCCCTTGGGTCCGACAGCTGCACGTATGGCATTTAGCGAGAGGATTTGGTTCGTCTAGGGAACGAAAGGATCTGAGTTGATTCTCATCTATCTTACTCATCTGTCGCACGGTTCGAATGCGCAGTAGACATGGCGGGTAACTCGAGTCTAGGTTATTAGATGGTGGTTAGTATCTTGGTTATGGGACTTTGGGTTTTACGAGGGGATCTTTGGGACTGGGTGCCTTTTATATCGCCAACTCGAGCTATTTTTTTATTCTCTAGGTATTGAAGCACGACATCTTTATCGTGTCGCGAAGCAAACGGCATCATCGTCATCCGCTACAGCACTTACCATTCATACTTTGACAAGTACCACCTTCCACCCGTCATGTTGCCAAGTCGCTGGAACTCTTCGCAGATTCTGTTTTACGTCTAAATCTACCGCACCTCTTGCGGTGCCTCAATCGTAGTCACAATAGGCCCTTTCTCCCCCTCCTTACCAGCCCCATTCGCCACCGCCTGAAGCTCATCCCGCGCCTCGGCATTCAACCTCACCCACATCTTCTTCCTCAACTCCAACCCGTCCATAAACACCTGGAACCAAGATGGATCATACACTGGCAACGCCCTGCCCATTCCACCCTCAGGCTCGCCCGCAAGCTCCCTCACCGTCTCAAAATACTCCTCAAAGTGCGGGTGCACAAGCGAGAACCGAATATCGTCCCCCTTCTCCTTCACCCTCTCCGCCTCCCACCTCGCCTGCTCTTCAGCGGGCGGCAACCTCGCCCGCCCGGCCAGCACACGCGCCGCTAAAACGGCCTGCCACTCGAAAATCTTAAACGTCAGTCCCGCGGCCACGGCGCCGATGAAAAGCAGCGTCGGGTCGGCGTGGTAGATTACGTGCTGGTAGAGCCCCGCGACGCGGTTGTTGCGCAGCTCGACCGAAGGGAGAAAGGGTAAGGTCCAGGTGAAGCCCGTGGCGAGGACGATGCTGTCGACTCCCGGGACGGAGGTGCCGTCTTGGAAGTGGACTGTTCTGGTGGCCGGGTCGATGTGGGTGATTGTGGCGCGGCGCGAGATGTGGGGGTGGTTAAAGGCGCCGTCGCCGAAATAGAGGTTCGCTTTGCGGCCGTTCACGACGGAGTAGATGGGGAGTTTGGCTGTTTTGACGAGGTCGACGGAGATGTCTGCGCCTGAGACGGAGGCGCCGACTACGACGACGCGCTGGGGTGGGAGTGGTCAGTGACTTTCCTTCCTAGTGATGACTGAGAGAGGACTCACCTTGTTGCGGAAGTGATCTCGTCCGCGAAAGTGCTTGCTGTGAATCACGCTTCCCGGTCGATCCTTTTCAAACTCCTCGAGGCCCTCAATGTGAGGGATGTACGGAACCCAGTAGTGCCCCGTCGCAACCACGACAGCATCAAAGTACTCAACCCACCAATCGTCCCCTTCATCCGCCTCTTTCCTGAGAGTGAGCTTCCACTCATCCCCGACCTTCTCAGCACGCTCGACGGTGGTGCGGTAGGAGACGAAATCCTGGTAGCCGTTACGGTTGACCAGCCCCTGAACGAAGTCCCTCACCACGGTCCAGTGCCTAAAGGGTGTGTCGGAGCCGTGCAGCGCAATCGAGTTGTCGGTGCGCTGTTCGGGGAGGGACTCCTCGGAGAAAGACATGGGGATGGCGTCGACGTTGGTTTCGAGGTAAGGGTAGATTCCGGACTCGGTGAAGCGTGGCGGGGGCGGGGCCGAGACCGACCCGGCCGCGGCTTTCGGCGTCCGGGACGGAAGGGTTTCTGGGATCGGGAGGGGTTGGTCGGCGGTCCGGGCTGCTAGGGAGGAGAAGTTTGTAAGGTGTGGTGGTGGTGTTTGGTCGCCGACCCTATTGTAATGGAAGAATTAGTGCATGTTCTTCGGAGACTCGCCTCGTTCGAACGCGGTGAATGTCTCTACTCCATCTCATCGCCCGCCAATGTAGGATCTAAGTCAAGGTATAGCAATGCTATATCAGTGACATTGATGATGGATTTCATTGGCCGCAGGAATTGGCCATCTGCTTCAGTCATCCAGATGCCAGAGCTCCATCAAGGTTCTCAATTTGGTCCTGGTTCATTTATTGAATGCGGATGAAGGCAGTACCAGAAGGTTTTATCCACGAGGAACAGGAACAGCTTGAACCATCAAGGTACTCCAATGAGCTCCATACGAGTACAACCTTGAACCAACCCCGCGCAACAGTTCAATGGAAACAACTTGCGACGAATAAAAAGAAAGGACTCACCAGCATCCTCCCGCTGCCTCTCGACGCTCAAACACACGAATGACGTCGAACGTCTTCTCTCGTGCCAGGGCGTCAATGGTAATGGCCCCGGCCGGCCCCGCGCCGATGACGGCAACCCGCTTAACCGCGCCCATTCTTCAGATACTCGCTATTTCCTGAAACGCTCTAAGCTCGACCAACGTGAGATCGTAAAGAGAGTATCACAGGATTGTAAAAGGAGAAACGAGAAAGAACAGGATAAGGTACGCGGCACTTGACCCGGCGCGCGAAGTGCGAATGCTCTCACCTTTTTAGCTGCCCGCCTCCCGAGAGTTTGGGAGCGGCTTGCAGCGGACGGATGGAGGGGTTCAACTGAACAGGGGTGGACCCCACTACCAAACTGCCAAAGCCTCCAATCACGTTGTCGTAAACCGCCTGACCGGGTAGTCGGACAGGGATGCCGGTGCTGTCCATTGTGGTGGAAAGTCGATTTGGTCATCTTAGCGCCCGATGGCGTTATCGTGCGAGGAAACGTTGTCTCCCGTCGCCCGTCACGAGCATGTGCCGTTATCGATAACGCTTATCACTACTTCTCAACTACCTTAGACGAGGTCGGAGACCATCAAGGTGCGAGCATTCACATCATGTTGTGTTCTTGGACCCTGAATTCCTTGAGGGTATTCGCAGTGAATGTGGGGGAAACATGGGTATTCGGTTCAGGGCTGACTGGGATTATCGAGAATCTAGCAGAGAACCTGGATGGCCGACTACACAAGACAAAAGCATTTGACCATGGCATTTCAGCTGAATCCAATGGCCAATGTTCGTGGTCTCTTTCTCGTGTACGTGTGTGTGACTGCCGTGATCGACAACCATGAATTCTCCGACAGATGAAAAGATGGTGTGCACCACGCCGACGGACCGGTCCGTCGTGGCGTCTGAGGACAAGTTGGCATGGGATGTCGATGAGGAACGTAAGGCCAAGAGGAAGTAAGACCGCCCCCGCCCCCGCTTTCCAGAGTTATAGGATAGTAAGCTTAATGTATCTTCATGGGTTGAGTAACTTAAGGCTAATTTACGATGTATGGTCTCAGAATCGACATGACTGTGTTACCGCTTCTTGTCTTGGGCCTGCTCATGTTCCAGCTCGACCGTATGAACCTAGCTTCAGCACTTACAGTCGGCTTCGCGAGAGATATCAACGTCAGCCAGGATACTATCAATCTGGGAAACCAGCTCATGTTCATGGGCACCGTTGTCTTGGAGATTCCATGTAACCTGCTCTTACAAAGGGTATGTCCTCAAACCGTATTACTTGCTACTCTCTCCTTATCATCCCGATTTCATCGTCAAAAGCGTTTGTTCCCAAAAGTAACATCACGCTGAACCCAGTTTTCAACAGTTTGGCCCCCGTAAATGGATCTCTTTACAAGTTCTCCTCTTCGGCACCGTCGCCACGCTCCAAGTCCTCGTCAAGAACCGCGCCGGCTTCCTCGCCATCCGCCTCATGCTCGGCCTCGCTGAGGCGGGGTACATCCCCGGATCAATGTACACCCTGTCGAACTGGTACCCGAAACACGAGCTGGCGAAGCGCATTGCGGTCTTCATGTTTGGGCAGTTTGGCGGCAATGCCTTGAGCCCCCTGCTTGCTTCTGGGATACTGAAGTTAGCGGGGAAGGGTGGGTTGACGGGTTGGCAGTGGCTCTTTCTAAGTGAGTCGTCCCTTCCATTTTTCCTTCGGCCTGTTAGATCTCATGGAGTATTCTGACACCGTGTCGTAGTTGAGGGCCTGGCGACTCTGGTCGTTGCCATGATGCTCATCTTCCTCCTCCCTGGATCCCCCGACACGCCGAAACCCCTCGGAAGCCCAGGTCTAATTCGATTCTCCACGAGACAACAACAGATACTCCAACAAAGAATGCAAATAGATGAGCCCGAGAAGAGCGACGGAGTACACGGTATCGAGATTCCCTGGGCCCTCGTCTGGAAGACAGTAAAGCACTACAAGAGATGGCCGCACTACGTATCCACCTTTTGTGTCTTCTCTACATGGTCACCGCTCACGACATATACCCCTTCCATCATTATGTGAGTCCATTAACCTTTAGTTTCCGCAGATTCAAGGAGCGTCGTACTGATCTGCTTACCTCTGCCAAAAGGGCCCTCGGTTTCGACCGTATCAGCGCCAACGCCCTAGCCGCGGTTGGCGCGTCTCTCGCCATGGTCGTCGTCTTTGCCTTTGCCATGCTGAGTGACCGTTCGAATAAGAGAGGTTCGACGGTGCTGTTGGGGCATGTGTGCTACCTGACCATACTGGTGGTAGCCCGGACCGTGCATCCACATGTTGGGAAGTGGTCGAGGTGGGGGTTGTGGACGGCCATCAACGCCTTTGCTGTCTGCTACCATCCGGCGCATAATACGTGGTTGCAGGTCAACTGCCGTGATCCCAGAGAGCGCAGCATCGGAATCGCGTAAGTACATTTTATTGTCTTCGGAAACCTTTAGGAGGAATACGCTGACAAACGAGGAAGCATGTGGGTGATGTCTGCCATCAGTGGTTTAATGGTAGGGTCTCAGTATTTCAGAGGCAACGATCTGCCTTTGTAAGTCTACTTTACGCCAATTTATACCCCAGCCTTCTCTGACTGAATACGTGATAGCTACGACAGAGGTCTTCTGACGATGATTATCATGGTCTCAGTCGGCATGGCGTTCGCTTTATTACAGGAAGCCGTTTACATATTGCATAACAGGCGTGTGGCGCAAGGCAAACACAGTGACAAGGACGGGTCTGAGTCGTACATTTACGTTCTTTGAATTGATTTATCAACTATCAACGACGTTTGTATATGAATGATGGACTTGCCACGATAGAGGAATAGAAAAAGGAGTATGGTATTTGGGGGTTATTCGGGGAGTTGGGGATATATACGAGGAGCTGAATGGCGATAGGCTTCCGGCTCAGAACATAGACACCATAAAGTACGTCCTACGACGATAGAACAATATGTGCTTTACAGATTTCGCGTTCCATGTACGAGGCATTGGGGAAGCACAGCTATCAAACGTAATGGCCAGTAGTTCTCAAGTATTCTCCTATTGGGATTGAGCGTGTTATACAAGAAATGAACACATAAATATCTCAGACTTGAATTTGTCCGAATCTCTCATGAACGGTCACAAGATACGACAAGAACACTATAGCCTAGTGAGAATGGTCATGTCCATGAATGTGCTCATCAGACCGTCGGCTCAAATCCCGCTTTCCAACCCACTCCGTCCCATTGGCCCTCAGCAACGCCGTAACCTGTCCCATGTCGACGCCAAGAACCTTCTCAATATACTTTGGCAACTCGGTATTATCCCAGTTGCCAGCCATGTCACCCTTTATGGCCTGTCCGTTCTCACCAGCACCGTAGCCGTACAGCGTGATATCGGAAGCGGTATGCCCTCCCGTAGACCAGTGCACGCCAGCCCGACTAGCTAGCAAATTTCCTAGCTCCGAGCTCAGCGAGCCAGCGGCGAGGAGTGTATTCACCTCAGCATCCGTAGCATCAGCAAGCCCATACTCGGGCAAAATCTCACCCACCAGAAAGGTCTTCTTATCAGACCCGGTATACGCATCCCAAACATCCATCAGAAACTCGGTCGAGGCGTTGACCTTGGCGAGCGGGAGCGGGTTGAAACCGTTGAGCGTCAGGCCTCCACACTCGTGGTCGGCGGCCGACATGAGCAGGGTGTCTGGGTGCTCGTCGATCCACGCGCGTACGAAGCCCATGACCTCATTGTAGTGGATCGTGTCGAAGAGGTGGGCGGCCGGGTCGTTGACGTGGCCTGCGTGGTCGATGCGCGAGGCTTCGATCATGAGGAAGTAGCCTTCTTCTTTGCAGTGGGTGTCGCGGTGGAGGGAATTGAGGGCCGTTTCGACCATTTCTAGGAGGGAGGGCTCTTGCGAGGGTTGGCGGGAGCGGTCGATCTCGTACATCATTTGACCTGGAATTGTGTTATCATCTATAATGTCTTCACTGTGAGGGTAGAAGTGTTGAAGTACCATCATTAAAGAGACCAATGTAAAGAAGGCGAATATCGCCAAGACCCTTTTCAAGAGCATCAAAGGCCGACCGATTCTGCATCACATGGTAACCGTTCTCCTGAGCGAAGCCGAAGAGATCGATCTCATCCTTTCGGCAGGAGGTCGAGTCGGATGCGGGCTTGAAGTAGCACCGGCCACCTCCGAGGAGAATATCGGCGACGGGGCCGAGTGGATGCCCGTAGCCGATCTCGTGCTCCGCGATCTTGGCGTACGAGTTGCGATCAGCAACGTGAGCCGCGTAGCCTGGATGCATGTCAGTGGTGTAAATGGGATATGGAACTTCGTATGACAAGGGCATTTCGACGGTGGGCTACTTACACGCGGGAGTAGCGTGGTTGATGGTGCTGGTGACGACCAGACCCGTCTTCATGCCTGCGAGTTTAGCGGCCTCGAGGATGGAACCGACGGGCTCGCCAGCTGGGTTGACGCCGATGGCTGGCACATTTTAGTAAAAAGCCGTCGAGTATTCATGAGAGGCGCGTGTACCGTTGTTGTAAGACTTCACACCACAAGCAAAGGCGGTTCCAGAGGCGGCAGAATCCGTGATAAGGTTATCGCTGGAGAGAGTGCGAACATTGCCGAGGACCTTCAAGATTGTGAGTATGAATGACATGAGGCGTCAACGTATTTCTCAACGCACCATCTTATCAGCCGCAAGCTGGAAGCTCACAGGAGCTTTGGGGTTTTGACCATTCTCGAGCAGTGAGACATAGTCCCTTGCCATTGTCTGAGAGGCGGGACCGTATCCGTCCGGCACGATGTAGATGAAGTTCTTGACATTTGGGAGCGACAGGACAGACTTCGCCAAGACGGGGAAGATCACGGCTGAGGAGCGCATCTTGGAAGGCACTTCTGCGATGGATAGAGATCTTCGGGAAAATCATCAAGGTTGCAGCCATCGGTTTTACTCTTATAAGTATCCGTCTCTCATCTTCTTGGCCGCGAGTTGTAGTATCTCACAAGACGTTCTATGCCGCCTGCAGCCGTCGCTGCGGCGTACACACTTGGCATGAAGGATCACATTCAATAGTGTCTCGCTAACTCTAGCATCGGGATCGCACTTTCTCGCTGCCAATATTGAGAGTACATACAAAGCATCTGGTAACATGAGAGATATTTCACAGGCTTGAAGCGTATCTGGATGATTAACACGAATGGTTCCGTCACCTGGCGCACATGTTTTGCAGCGTTCCTGGGGGCCAAGACGCTTTAGTGCCCGGGGTACGGCTTGGCGGTTGAAATGTGATCCCCGCTTGTCCCAATAGATGCTACGGAATGTGCAACGTGGTGCCCGTGGCAAAGGTAGGGAAGCATATTCCAACGACTGCGAAGTACAAACCCCCGGTCTTCGCCTTGGCTTTGGAGACGAGAGGGGAAGGTGGCACGACATTGGCAGCCCACGTGCTTTGGGCAATCATACTTTGATAAGACTTTGAACAGGTGCAATTCCCATCTGCTTGGATGATGGAATGATGAACATCTTCCTTGCGCTTCATTACGGAAAACCTTGGAGCAAAGCTATGAGACAAGGCATTTTGAGGGAGACGGTGGAAATGCGATATATGCACTATTATAAGCAGAGCCTCTTGTGAAACGTATTTCAGCCCGACTTTGCTAAGCCACAGTAGCTGTTGAACAAAAAGCTGTTTGATAACCAGGATAAGATGCAGGGCACCATTACCATGCATGTGACGAGTCCCCTCAGTAATCTCGAGGGAGAAGACGGCGCGGTTGGCTCTCTTGCTCAGAACAAGAGCTCAGTCGCCAGGGTAGTGACGATAGATGATAGTCTCACGATGGCGCGGAGTGTCAAGATGCAACGTTTTGAAGGGACTCTGACTGTGACTGGACCTCATGTGGTATTAGTCCAGGACTCAGGACTGTTATTGCATGAGACTCGGCCGAAACAAGCCACAAGGCAGGAGGTGTTTGTGGCTGATCTGCTGAAGTGTCAAGGAGGTTGATAGCATGACGTCAGCACTAAAGAGAGTCTATGAAGTATGATCATGAGAAGGCTTGGAGAACTGACAAAGTGTGAGAAGCAGCCAACTTATGAATGGAATAGAATGAGTGACTTGCAGTGAGGAGAATGAGTGAGAGTGAGTGAAAGTGAGAGTGAGACGTTTTATTAGACTGAGGCGACGGGACAAGCTTGGGCCAGGCGTGCACCGTTGGGTCTCCACAGTGCTCCAGGTGGTGTAAGCGCCGCCCCAATGATTGGCTGCTATCGCACGGGAAGAGTACAGGGATCCCCCGAACTGCCAATAATAGCTTCCCGCGCGTCTGCAATCAACCTCTCCAGAAACAAAGACGCAGACACAAAACCACAAGACACCAAGAACCAAGAAACCCCTTCTCATTTCAGAATTAGTCTATTGTGGCCGGTTTATCTCACCAGAGACCTCGTATTGACGTTGTTTTTTGTTGTGGGAGGCGCTTAACCATACCATTTCTGCCTGTCCACCCACCGCTACTGTTACGGTGCGTGGGTGCTACGGTCTACCCAGTCTCGCGGCAATGGACATCTCGGCCCCGGCAACCTTGCGAGGGACTCCATGAACTAAGGCCTAGGTAATCGGTCTTCTGCTTGGCCACAAATCTAACACCCGATCACTCCCCGGCTAGCGAAGTGGGAAAGAAATGCAAGGCATTGGACGACATCGTCCCCAAGCTACCGGGCCCTCATCTAAGCTGGGGCTCTACCTTCCAACTTTGGCCAGACCCAGCAGACTAAAAGTGTTTCGAATGCCTTCACAGCCCGGTGTGTTGAATGGGCCACGACAAGGTTGAGAGTTCTAGACCCTTGGACCACTACTTGTTCTTGTCTTGCCGTCAGGTCCAGTCATACAAGATGGAGCCTGCGTCCTCGCGTGCTTCGTGTCTGACGAGTTGTTGAGCACACACCATCCGTCATACAATCATTTTTTTTCTTTGCCTGTCCGCAGTGGGTTTCGAGTCATATTGACGTCTTTCTCTCTCTTTTCCTCCATCCACTCTCCTTCTTGTTCCGTTTTTCTCGTGTTTTGTTTCTCAGTTCCTTTCTCCACGTCGTCCTTCCTTGTCCTTTGTTGCCTTTTCCTACTCTGTTCCCAATCTTCTGTCGATCGCAGCCTTTGTGTGCCTAGACGCCAGATCTGTACCCGCTCTCTTTCAACCATCTTTGGGTTTGCCTACGAGTGAGGCAACGCGGTATTGATACCGCATTCTTATTCATAATATTCTTCGTATCCTGTGGAGAGAGAGCGAGTCCGAGTTGATATCCCTACATACAACGCCGCTCACTGCAGAATACCACGATGCTCCCCAGTCTACGCATAGCAGATGTCGTACTGCTCCTCCTGATCACCCAGACCACGCAGGCCGGCCCATTAAGACGTGGTGAGAGGTAGTAAGTAAGCCCCTTATCGAGACCCAATTTACTTTCATTAACAACATGTCACAGTTTCCGGAGGGAGTGGAACACAACGTACAGTCAAAGCATTGCTGCTTCATCAGAGAGTCTATCACCCTCAATGTACGGCACCTCTCCCTTTCTCGTCTCGCAGAAGCAACACTTACACGAACTTAGAGAACTAAGCAGCTCTGTTGCCCCGCCAGTAACACAGCAAGACCAAGATGGGACCACACCGACCCCAATCTTCGTCACCCTCGACAGCTCATCAACGAGATCCCCAGCTGCAACAACACAGCCCGTGGACCAGAGTCCTTCTACATCACCGGCCGAGTCTACCGTACAGACCCAGACGATACCGGCTGCCACGTCGGCAGTCTTTCTGCCTCCCATGGACAGCACAATCTCCTTGCCGCCCCAACTCACCTCCGGCTTCAAGAATATATCGTCCGTAGTACCTGGAAACACGGCCTCTGCTTCAGCTATTGTTTCCCAGAGCCTGACAGTCACTCCCCATCTCGGAGTATCTCCCGGTGCCTCCTCTTCCGCTTCCCCGGGTACACCGCTGCAGTCATCCCTTTCATTACCGTTCCCCGTTCCAGGAGGAGAGACCTCGGTAGCAGAGTCTACAACCATAGCCATAGCAACTCCTTCGTCTCTCGCTTCCACAACAGCCACTGCAGCATCAACAACTATCCCAAACCCCCAACCCTCAGCAGATACCCCTTCCTCCCTCCCCACAACACCAGCCTCCTCCTCAACCCCTTCATCAACACTCCAACCCCAAGTCACAGGAACACCAAACAACCAAGTCCCCACAATCCGCACCTCCACTCCAGCCGCGACAGCAACAATCTCCCCCGCCGTGGCAGCGAACAATCTCGCCTCTGCAAAGACATTCAACACCCTCTTCGCCTCTCTGACGGAGCAATCCGCCTGCACGGCCGGCCAGATCGCCTGCGTCAAGGGCAACGTCGGTATCTGCGGGGCCAACGGCGCGTTCGCGATACAGAGTTGCGGGACCGGGACTTCGTGCTTCGCGCTGCCGATGACGACGACGGAGGGTGTTATTGTCGGGTGTTATGATCCCCAGGTTGCGAGCCAGATCCTGGGCACGCCGGTTTCTGCGTCTGCGTCTGTGCCTGGTTCGGCGGCTACGACTACGACTGCGGTGCCAGCGCCGCCGCCGGCCTCTTCTGACCTCGGATATGAGAGTACTGTCACAATCACGCCGACTGTGATTGCGACGTACACCATCTCGGTGACCGCACCAGGTGCTCCGGAAACGACTTCCGCAGTTCAGGCCCCCGGTTTCACGACGACCGTATTTGTCACCCAGACCATGGCCCCTGCTCCCGCGCCCTCATCGACAGCAGCAGAAGGAGAAGACTCATCCACCACATCAACTTCCGTTCGTAAGACGCGCACTTCCACAGTGGAAGAAGAGACCTCAAAGTCCAGTCACTCCCGCACAACCAAATCCACCATCGTAGAATCATCCACAGCAGAACCCACAACAACGAAGGTAGCGAGCTCGACAACAACCAAAGCAAGCAACCCCTCAACACTAACCGGGACGTTCACCGACACCCTCATCGTGAACCCCATCCCGACGGACGCACCCTCCGTCGCCGCGGACGCGCCGAGCCCAATCACGACGCCGAAACCCCTTTCCATGCCGGCCATCGGTGCTCAGCAGGGTGTGTCCGTCTTGACGGTGTTTGTGACTGTCACCGAGAAAGAGAAGGAGACTGTCACTGTTACTGTGACCAGGAACTAAAGCGGAGGGCCGTTGGGAAGAGCTGGGAGTCAATACATTTTGTGCCATCAAATTTACGTACCTAATCTTGGGCAGAGGAAAATAGCGTTGTTTTTGTTTCATTTTTAGCACTTTGTCCATCCACAATATAGAAAGAATACTTCATCGTAATCCGTGTCTCTATTAGTTGATCACTAATTGATCATCCTGTGAAGCTCAAAATCGCATCCCCTTCGCTATGCGTTTTGTCTATCTTTCCAGTGACTCCAAGTGTTGACTCCTCCTTATTCAGGATTGAAGACAAAATGTCCGAAAGCTCTGCGCTCTGTCGCACAAAGATGCAAATGTATCGCAAACCACCTACTCCAATGCCGATCCAATATCCTTATGCCTAGTCGATCTCAATGATCTCAATGTCCGAGGTCACCAACGACGTCGTCACTTCGGCCTGGACTTGGTCCTCCACCTCGACTGTGGTTCTGTTACCACTCGATGTCTGTGTCCGGCTCGACTTCGTCATCTTCGACGTGAAGCGCTCAACCAAAAGTGTGCTTCCTAGAGGACGCTTCGCAGGGACGGCGCGACTCGACGATGACGCTGGCGATGCAGAACCGGAGATGCTCGTACGCGATTCTGCCAGAGGCGGCGTGTCCATAATCTGCACATCATCGGAGACGTCTTGTGCGATGTGGACTTTTGGTCCAACTTCATCTCCATCAACCAGAGATCCCAACCACGCCTGGCGAAAGGATAGACCCAACGCTAACGAGACCTGCCTAGCCACACTGTTTCCAACGATCTTCCATTGGTCACTGGGTGATCCAAGAAGGACCTCGTGGTCTTGAAAGCCTTGCGCACGCCGGGCTTCCATCACAGTCAAAATGCGATCCTGCTCCCAATGCATTGTGGATCCGACGCGAGCATCTGTAGGCGAGGGAGTAGTCGTAATTGTTGGTATGACATCGTCTGGTAAAGCTCGTCCCCAAGCGTTTTTTTTTCCATCGACCCTCTCTCCCTTCTCCGGGAACAAGCCTCTCTCTGCCAGGGTCATGGTTCCCTTTCCTTTGGCCCAGGTTTTGTAGAAGTTCATCCCGTAGGGATGGAAGGGGATGACGCTCATCTGTGTGCGTATTCTCTTGGTGACACCGACGGAGACTCTGTGGTCGGGAAAGTCGATACAGCAGTCTGCCTTTCCATCCATGATATCAGGCAAGTCAGCCGTCGCCTCTCTGATGCTGACGAACTTGAAGGGAGTAGGCATTATCGGTTGTTCGATCATTGGTTTGCCGTTAGGAAGCCGGCCCAATCCACGACTTTGATTCTTAGCCGAACATTGGGAATGAGAATGGAGAGGCATGTCGGGAAGAGGGAGGCCAGGCGCAGCAAAGCACAAGAAAACCCTTCTTCGGCTCTGCGGTGATCCATAGCTCCAGGAGCCTAACAGGAATGCTTCTACCTGGTAGCCGAGCCCGACGAGGGCGCAAACCAGCTGGCTGAACATATCTTCGTCTCGGCGCTCCTCCTTATTAATGATCTCCATGACGTTCTCAAGCACGCCATAACGAGGTCGATACATATCAACGAACGAAGCAAAAGCTGCTACCATGGACCGGTTCTTGTGCTGTTTAACGTCGTTTTGATCGTTTGTCAAGCGTGAAAAGCCTTGGCATGGGCTGCCGGCCGAAACAAAGTCGACCATCCCGACCGTAGGGACTTTTTCGCAAAATTCACCTTGTAGGGCAAGCCGTTGAAGGTCGTCAATTGACCCAGCAAAAGGATGAACGGTACTAGTAGCATTAGCCATATAGGTTTGGATGGCTATTGTGTTGATGTCGTTGGCCCAGTTCATCTCGATCGCCCCACCTTCTTCAAGGCCGCGACCAAAGTTTCCACCGCCGCAGAAGAGGTCGAAGCCCCGAAGCCTAGGGAACTTCTTCCTGGGATCGAATCCCTGTCTGAGCGATAGAGTGGGAGCATCTTTAATGGGAGTCATAACACCATCCCGCCATCGCTTCGTTATATAGAAGGCATTGCCCACCCCGTTGCGATCATAGGGTGGCGGTATCTTTTCATCGGGGCCGAAGAATCGGACGAGACATCTTCCATGGATGTTTCTCTGCTCAATGGCAAATTCATCGTCGGTGTAGACAAGTTCATTCGGTGAAACATCTATGTCGGGCTGCAGGCGATGTCTGCGCTCTAGGCGGCGAAACATTGCTATGCCATCCGCGTCGGGCAGAGTTGCTAGTTCGCAGGGCTCGACTATAGAGTCATCTGAATGTAGGGTGACCAACAAAGTATCTCCCACTAGATAAGGAAAGTCCGGTGTATCTTGGCGGTGACGGCATCGCAGGTGTTGCTCTCTGAACGTGATCCATTTTCGCTCCTCATGGAGGTACGTCTGGCGACAAAAGAACTCTGTGTCGGTTCCAGACGAGCCGCCCCAGTCCACTTTGTGGACCCCCAATACCTCACTCTCTTCGATCTTTTCAAAGGTAGAATCGCCGCATGTGCAGTGAAGAGACAGGAAGAGCTCGTTATTCCATGGGTACTTCATTGTCCCGCAGAGTGTGTGACTTGGCGTATATATCCAGATAACATCGAAGGTGGTCTGTTTCCAGTTTTGAGCACTGTGGACTTTCTGGACGAGCCCAAACCAACAGTCAACGTTGTTGAATCCGGCCTCGCGAGCCCAGTGTTCTTCACTGTCGTCCCTATGGGTGGAGATTACGTCTCCAACTCGTACCTTCTGACCGGTCCTCTCAACGAAGTCCTTGACAGTAGTATGGGCTCTTGTGGCCCCCTCCAAACCCAGACCCTGGATAACGCCCTTCCGGAGCCTTTCCGTGTTTGCGCTTGGATTGGTTGCCTCCATCATCGGTCCACAGGGCAAATGATGAAAGAGGTCATTAACGTAAGGAGTTACCACTGTTTTAGGTAAATCAGCTGCCTCAAGTTTTTTCTTTCTAGCCGGCGTTGGCGACAAGTCGAAAATCTCTCCCCAGAGATCGATCGTTGTGGCTGTGTCCCCAAGGACCCCATAAGCTTCCCAATAGATGAAGTCGACATTTGGTACAATTGCTGTGCAAAAGTCCTCTCCGGAATATTGTCGTCGCCATTTAGAAAAGGCATTCGAGTGGCCATGCGTATCCGAAAGCCATTGAGAGAAGTTAGATCGGAAGTCTCGAAACGTGACACGACGGCCATGCTCCATAGCAGCAGAGACATAGTCTACTACGTGCTTAGCGAGATCTGCAACCCAGAGGAAACCAGCATGGTAGCGTCGGTACTCTGACGCTGGATTCCCAAGACGATAGTAAACATCTGGGCCTTTCTCTTTGGCTACAGCAACGTTGAGTTTCGAACGTATCCATATTGCAGAGCCGACCGTGACCTCCGAATCTCCGTAGTTACCGATAGGTAATTGATCGAAAGGAATCTCCCTGACAAAGAATTGCTTCTCTCCCGCACATAAAATACCGTCGACGTACATCAGGGAGCATTTGTCCCGAATGCGCAGATGTTGCAGAGGGCGCATCTCGTAGGGATAATATCTATCCTTGTAAGGCTTGCTATCCGGCACCGTAGCGTCAGTGTACACGGCGAAGTCTTTAATCTCGAACTCAACAAAATCTTGTTGCTCTCCATCGTGGCTGTTCTGCCGCATCTCTTGTAATAAAGACCTCACCGATACCCATTCTCGTTCGCTAGGCCGCAGCTGTTCACCTTGATAAAGGCTTGCCGGCCTGATGAGGGTGCTGCGAGGAATGTGGACGGATATGTTTCGCTGAGGTTTGCTGGTCATCGCAGGTAGAATAGTGCCTACTTCTTTGCCATCTTGGTCAAACACCGGCTGCTCCTGTGACAGGGTTTCCGGCAAAGCGTCAATCAGCATCGGAGATCCCGGGGCAGGCGGCGTGGACTCATCATCGATAAACGGTGCTGGTGCTGGTGCTGGTGCTTCCTCAACTTGAGAGGGCACGCAGTCCTCCAAGTCGGGGATGTCATTGGCCTGTTCTAGCTCCCAAGCCTCATTGACTTCGTTGTTGTCCAAATCCCCTCCCTCTTCCTCTTCCTCTTGAGTAAGCGTTAGTGAGATGAACACGAGTCAACATAATATTGAAAGACAAGAAAACATACCAATAAGCGGGGGAGGCATGGTCGAGGTAGGTGCGGCCTAGGTGTCGCACACGCATCAAATCCTTGGGGTGCTTTGTTTGTCGAACAACAGGGAAAGGCTTGAGGCTCAGTTGTATGCTGAAGTCGAAATTAATTGAGGCCTCACGGACAGGAGTGGTCAAAGTGAGGTCGGCGAAGTAGTCGCGTGCCTGGGTGCCTGTGCGAAGAAGACGCGGTCGTTAAGTGTGATGCCGTATCTGGAAGGTATCCGATCAAGTATTGAGGCAACTGGGTAAAGTAGAAGATGAGTCCAGCGAATAACCTCGATCGGCCGATTTGGGTGATGGCAAGGTAGGTGGATACGCTGGCAAGACAAGCCGCAACGAGCAATGGAAGGCGAGGTATCTTTTGCGAGGTCTTTCCTTCCTCAGAAGAAAGTACTAGACGGCGTAGATACCTAAAAGAGGTGAGAAATGTTCAATAATGAGAAGAGAGTACTAACTCAGTCTCGCCAAAGGAGTACCGAAAAGGGCAAGAATTCGGAAGAGCTCATCTACATTAGAATTTGAGCTTAGCATCCAGAACAATTGTTTACTTTCAGCCATTCTACAACAGCTGTCAGCGAATCCAATTGGGTAAGCGTGATCCACAATTAGTACCATGCCGCTGCCCGTTCCTGCAGCGGCAAGCGCAGGGTTTCCCGGAACCTCGAAAGTCACTTGCACAATACCGTGGTATACTAGCTGCGTATTGAGCGTACGAAGTTCGGGCAATGCTTAAGGCGACCGCTCCTTAAATGAAACATAGTAGCATTAGGTAATATATATTGCCTTTTTTGTTGGTATAAGAAACATGCAGAAGTATTTCATGGTTTTATCCCATGAGGTGTTCTTTGGTGATACCAACTTGTCCCAAGTACCTTAGCAATGCCCTGCGCCTTGCTTGGATTAATTTTGAGCATAAGCCGAGGCAAGCCAATCGTGTTTTCACCTCCAAACAGTAATAATAGAGTTTCTCTTGGCATCTTTTTTAATCATTGAGTTGGGTATCTTTTGAAAGTTCAACAGCAGTACCTAGTTTGAATAGACATAGACCTAGGCTTCTACCTTACCATCCTCCTTTTCTTCTCCGTACTCGAGCACAATCCTCCTGACTTCGAAGACGACCTCTACAGCAATGAGGATGATGATGATCCACTCCAATCTCGTACTATGCTGCTCGCTCGACATCTCCCGCAGGACACTCGCAATTTCTTGAGCATAGTCCATCTTCTGGTTCAACGTCCGGATTCGTACGTTGACGTCCAGCGCACGGCCAACCTGCTCATAGTAGCCTTCCAGACCCAGTTCGGATCGGCTGTCCCAGAAGATGTCTGGAAGAGAGTCAGTGAGTTCTGAATAGTGGTTGAGCCTCGCGCGAAGGCTCAACAACTCGCCCGTCTTTTGCAAAATGAACTTCCTGCCCAACGGCAAGCCAGAACCCTTTGACAACACGGAGGGAATCTTTCTGGTGCTCTCAAAGTAAGCCGTCAGCGCAGTTTCCAGCACTGCAAGTTTTGTACTTCGGGCCAATCCGGAAGAGAATGCAATCTTGGCGAGGGTCGTGTCCAGCCTGTCGCCGTCTCGCTCTTCGAGCTTTGTGCCTAGGACTACGATATCACCCTTCATACTGCTCGTCTCCTTGCTCGGATCGGACACATACTCCAGGTCCTCCACCTCCCGAAGAGCCGGCTTCAGCGGCGTTTCTGCCGCATTCAGCAACTGCTTCGTGACAACGTCTGGGGGTAGGGCCCAAGTGACAATTGTTCCGGAGGGAAAAACGAAAATATCACCGCCATTGACACCTCGTGCGTGGACCACCTCGCTCGCCTCGAACCCGCTCTGGTATGGATCAATGTCAAACCCATGGGCCCGCAGAATGTCCAGAACTGCTCCCATATTAAAAGCTTCGGCAACACACACGGCGTTTATCAGTGTAGGCGCAGACACATCCATCGTCTCTGCTGGCACATCTCCTGGTTCTCGTTGCGCCGGTCGCTGGGCAATAATCGCTACGCGCCGTAGGGAGTTCTTTGCGCCGGCGGAGCGCACCGCCTTACGCTTCGGTGCGGTGAGCTGAGATAATTCGTCATCTTCTTGCCTTGGTGGCCTCGCGGTCGGCTCGCTAGTGCTCTGGGAAAGGTAAACGTTCGAGGTGAAGAAGGTCCGCTTCCGAGGCATGCTTGCTGGTGTTGTGACATGGAAGTATCGCTGCGGGCAGGGCGTGGAGCGAGCGGTGTGCAGCCCGCGGCTGAGCGAGGATGCTATTGTGAAATGAGAAGGCCGCATTTTGAGCTTCGAGGCACCATTGAGCAATTATAAGACATAAAGACAAGGAGAGAAAAGAATAACGTTGCTTCGCAGTTTCGCAGATGGCAGCTGTTGGTTTCTAAGTACCTTATGGAACCTTCCTTAGGTAGGTACAAGCAGGGATCTTTTTCTTATCGATTGAGCTGCCTTATCGCACGTGATGCACTGCGGAAAGCTTCCCGCAGTCACGACGTTCGCCCCCGGTCCTTTTTTTCCTATGGAACTTCATCAAGCTCCCTAAGCCCAACGTTAAGGAGCCTCGCAGCATCTCAATCGCGGGATTACGAGGTTTTGCTAGCGAAGATGGGGCAATGCGGCCGCCGCCCATTTCCAGATCACACGGTATTGTCCTGACCAGGGGCCGATGGGTGCTTGGCCGCGACTGGCAAGCTGTGAGTACCTCCTCCATCTATGACAGCTCTCTCGGACTCGTAGTTAACATGGTTCTTTGTCCAAGCAGCTATCTCAACGGCACAACTACCAGCCCAGCCATACTGCCGCCGCAATACAACAAACACCTTCTTGGCAACTCATCAGACCGTTCAAACGATCCCCCCAGTCACATGAAGCGCCGAGAGCCCCATCACGGCGCGATTCGATACGGATTGTGCGCCACGAGCGGTCGATATTCTCAGACTTACTCCTTGCCGATGCTGCCGACCTGTATCGCCTTCCCTCCGAACCACCATCCGAATCCAAGCTATCCAATCTCCGATTCTTAGCCCAGTTGAGGTCCCCTCAGCTCAGCGTCATCACCGCACAGGAAATTCTCCGCCAGGTCCCACAGCTCAGACCAGACATTGCGCGCCTGCTATGTGACAGTCGACAATGGCAGGCAACCCTACGGCAATTGTCCGCGAGAGGCCATACACAGGCGGATGTGTCTAGTTGGGCTTGGATCATCATCCCGCGCGATCCGGACAAGAGGGTCGAAAGATTCCTAAGCAGACCAGGTCATAAGCCACTGTTCGTCTTGTTCTACCTACTCACCAGCAGGCCGTACTTTCAGAGCTCCGAATCCTTGTTGGGGCTACTGAGATACTGCAATGATTGGTATGCGGAACGACAGAAGTCGTCCAACGATTCGCCGCAGGCCTTTGACTTGGACTCGGTAATTACACCGGTTCTGTTCAGCAAATTACTGGACAAACTGTGTCAGCATGCGAGCAGACTGCAGCCCGATGCGTTGCCTGATATCGCGGAGCTCTCAGTGTCATACATCAAGAATATCCCGCATGGCCATCGCCAACCAGACAAGGCGTACAGGTTACAGTGCCAGGTGCTCAATCGCGCTCTACAGGCTGTATCAGTTGTATCGAGAAAGTCCCCATATCAGTACAGCTTTTATAACTGGACAGCCGTGACGAAGCTTCTGTCGCTATCTTCTACCTCGGAAAAGACATTGATCATTGAGGAAGAGAGCTACCGGGCGATTCGGCAAGTCTTGCTAGCACTACCAAAGACAGCTTCAGAACGGGACACGGCCAGCACACTTGCCAGTCACTGGCCCCCACATCGGATTATGCGCGATGGCATGGAGGAGAAGTCTGGTCCTGAGGCGTACCAAAGCCGAGTTGTCAAGGCTGGTATCATGATGCAAGAGGGTGGTTATAGCAAGAAGGACTTCGACTTGATCACGGATATCCTAGGTGGCATGGCTCCCGATGGCTCACCAACGGTCCAGACTAGGGCAAATTACCCGCGCCACCTTCGTGTTGAGCAAGGCGCATGGGCAGCTCAGATCCGTACGACTCGAAATGCACAAGAAGCTTGGGCCCTGTTCAAACATCCCCCAGAAACAGGGATGAAGCCAACGTTCGGGGTGTACAGAGAGTTGATAGCCAAGCTCTCTGCGAAGCCAGCAAAAGCCGGGCATCACAATCTTCCTGGAGATGGGAGGGAGGTTTTTCCCTACAACGACGAGAACCTCAGCGACTTTGAGAGGGCGCGGACCAACCCACCCAGCATTCGCAAGATTGTAGAAGAGATGTACAACGCAGGTATTCCCATTCGTGGACCATTCTTGGCTGGACTTATCAAGCAGTCACCCAGTATTGACGTCGCGCTGCATCATGTCGATTGCAGTAGCTTGGAGGAAGGACTCAAAAGCAGTATTAGGCAGAGCATGAAAGACTACCAAGGTCTCACGGGAAGTGCCTTGACAAACCCGCCTCACGACATACTACACGCATTCATCGACCTGCTTTGTCGCCTTCAACCAAACCGAACATCGAATACACCCTCGCACATCTCCAACAAGAGCATGTATAGCATCCACTATGCATTTCAACTTGCGCAAATGGGCTGGGCTTCAACTGACGTCTCTGGGCGGGCGCCATGGGAGACAATACTGTTCAATTTGGGCAGATCAAACATCATGGTCAGCAACAGCATGCCCTCGGAGAACAACATAGAAGTGTTGCATCTGGCGGTCCAAGCCCTGAAGACGGCTGAGGGCCATTCCGGGCTCAGTCTGAACATGATCACTGCATTTGCCAGTGTATTACGGAAAGCGGTCCAACCCCGACTTGCCGCCTTGCTTACCAAAGAAGTGGCCAAAACGCCAGTCTATTCTGAGGAACATCCAACTGACGAAATGGTAACGGGGAGCGCGCGCGTAGAAGATGCGGCCGCTTCACGGACTCTGGACGAAGATGAAGAGTTTCTGTCGCTGTATCAAGCGCAGACCACCAAGATCAAGAACCCCAAGGGCCGCATCTATCAACTTCATGGCCCTTCCAGCAAGCTATCATATCGCCATATCCTTACCCCTATCTTTCAACGCGAAGAGCTGGGCCACGGCCAGACACCGATCGAGGCAGTACGAAAAGCATCGAGCCAACTCAAGGCCGCGTGGAGAGCACTCGCCACTCTAGGTCCGGCGCCCAAACCCGATGTGAACAAGCTCGTGACAGCAGCGACGATCAACACGTACATGCGCACACTCGCGTTCCTCGGCGATCGCGAGGAGATGGTTCTGCTCATGTGGTGGATAATCCGCGAGTGGACTCCCAAGGCCGGCGGGGACCTTTCCTTGGCGCACGCGCGGTACCTTGCGAGGGCATTCCGTGCGTTCCGAGCCTACGCGGAACCTTTACTCGACGAGGAGACGGTGATGGCTTTACGCGAGGAGATCACGGCACTAAGCGATAGCAGGAATGGGGGACCGATGCACTGGCCTTCCAATGAAGAGGTGGAGGAGTATATATATGAGGATGAGTGGGGAAATCATCAGAACCTACATGAAGTCATCAAGCGTGGCCTGGCCATGAGGCAAGACCATATTATGCAAGAGGAAGACACTCGGGAGAACGAGACATCCGACAAAAAATGTCGGGTAGGAGTTGGACGTGTAAGATATGTATCATCATGCCCACCCACTACATGATGGGAATCTACAACAGAAAGGGCCAGCGTGGCAGGCGTCGTGTATCAAAAGGGATAGAATCGGGGAATACTTGGATAGATACCCAATCATACCAACACAAAGTTAACTCACATCAATGATTTCGGCCATTTTGATCTTGAATGCATGATATTGAAAAGCAGCATCGTCTATAAAGTAAAGCATTGCGAAGTCTATGTTCCTCTCTCATTCAGAAGCTGTATCTTTCCTCCTTGATCTAGAGGCTGTAATTTGCTCCAAAATAGCATGTCCACGTCTTTCTCATTCCTGTCCAAGAATAATCCGACGAGTCGGGTGACTACTTCTCGATGCTCTCTCTGAGACGCTTGATCTCAGGCATCTCGCCATCGTCGCCCTTTCGCTTCGCGGAAGTCACGCGCACAATTCGCGGAGGTGTGCTCTGCGGTGAGTCTACTCTGAAATCTTCGCCGAGTTCGATCTTGCTCACAAAGTGAGTCAAGCTCTTCTCCCTTTTGATCAAATGTAGTTCCTCAGCCGTATGCTCAAGGAGGGCGCAAGCAAGGTGGGGGTGGTTGAGCAGGAGACCCTTAAGTCTGCTACGCAGACCAGCGTCCGTTTCATATTGCGGCATGATCATTTGCAGAGCAATCTGAAGTCCCTCCTCATTCTGGATATTGTTCAGTAAGTAGTGGACGGTGTCGAGAAAGTCTGCGTGGTTGGTGTGATTAGGCGCAATGGTTAGAAGTGCGAACTTGGCTTGTCCGTAGAGTTTGGCCATGTTGTACGTCCTTGCTCGGACCAACACGCAGACGGTCAGGAACATGTCATGATCACTGTAGTCGAGCTCATCGACTGTGCCTTCCTCGTTTGCCTGAGATCTCTCTGGTTTGTTGTTGCGGCAGGGAACGTTGAAGGGCGTGTAAACACCTGTGTACAAGTACTTGAGGATCGCCTTGATAGTGTTTGCTCCGGTGAGGACGAGACGTCCATTCTATAGGCGTTTTGTTAGCAAAAGCACCTTATTTATCAAGTGCTTTTAAACCTAGAGCAGTTACAACTTACTACCAGAGGCATCTCTTGCAATTCCTTGCACTGGCTAAACACCACACACTTGTGTCCGTGAAAGACCTTCCCGGACGCCTCGATTATCAGGTCGCTCCACTGGCTGGAGTTGAATAGGCTGCTTAGATCAACACCCGCCATCTTATTTCCAGTGAATGTTGCGTAAAACGTTGGAAATTTGCTTGGGTGAATGGTTTAATACGATATGATGTTTGAGATAGTAATCAAATTGAAGTGAGATGAATGGAAAGAAAGCGTTTCTTGTAAAGCTGTCTCCAAGCTTAGTCTCTCCTTGAATCATTTGTTTGGTCGAGTGAGACAAGAATGAGATGAGAGGAGGAAGAAGAAGTAATAGAAGAATTGGAGAGAGGAGGGCCTTTTATTGACGAGAAGTCCCTTCCTGCTCCTCTTGACCTTAGAGAGAGGCAGTAGGTTGCTCTTTCTTTCTGTCACTTTGCAAGTCGATTCCCACAGAATCTCAGAAACAATATCGTGGTTGAGGAGATTTATTTTCCATGTTAATTCCTTTCGCGGCATACCTCGCGGATGTTGTGGAAAATCGAAAGCACAAATTCCAGTTATAGAGTCCAGCTCTTTCCTCGCCAGCGAGTGTCCCAACGTTCCTGCCGCTAAGCTCTTGTATCAAACCCCCTCTCGTCCTTGTCAAGTCCTTATAACAAATTAGATCTCCCCTTCCAGCGCAGGGTATTGTTCAGCGCTATGAGGAGAAGAGCGACTCCGTTTCTTGTTCCCCTGTACAATTTTGAACTCAAAACTGTCGTCGCGAACCGCCTCTGCCTCTCTTCTCTCCCGGTCTCGCTCTCTTTCTCTCTTCCTATCACGTTCTCTTTCACGCTCATCCTCGACCCAAAACTCATCAGCTCTGTATCCCTGAGCTCGAAGATCAGAGATCTTCTCCTGTGCCTCGACGAGATCTTTTTGGGTCTCTGACAGAGCGTCCAAGCTCGCTTCCATTGCGTCGAGGGCAAGCTGCGGATATTTGAGCATGGCGGGCTTTAGTCGTTCTTGAAGCCGACTGCTGATCAGACAGTTCTCTGCAATGGTTCTTGCAATACTTGCGAGATGGATGGGGAAATCTGGGTGCTGGCCACACGTCTCGTAGAGCTTGTCGACCATGTCAGGGAAGTCGACGTGGTTTGTGAGTTGTCTTGCGGCCTTACACAACGCCCATGCCGCTTCTCTATAGAGACCGATGAGATCTAGTTCATGTGCCAGCTGCATGGCATGAATGGACCAGTACATTGAGTGAGGCCGGTCATCGCCACCAGACTCACTCGCCCGCCGAATCGACACCTCGTATTGCGCTTCGTACTTTCCAGAGTACAAATATCGCAACATGGTACCGAGAGCTTTGCCATCATATTTGAGATGGACGATGTCAACTCCGTTGACTTGGTTCTGTAAGGCAGGCTGTTAGAAGATGTCGTATGAGTGCTGTATACAAGGCTTACCAGAGGTCCAATGGAGGCCACCACGTCTCTCAATCTCGGACATTGGCTGAAGACAATGTTGCGATGAATCGAGTGCTCGGTTTCGACTCCATCATCAGTATTGGTGCTGATGAGTCTAAGATCGCTGTATTCGCCCGATTCTAGCAGCTGGGAGAGGTCCAGGTCGCCCATGCTTGCGAGAATAGGAACGAAAGAGTTGTACAGAGTTGAGATGATTAGGTCGAAGGGCTTCCGAGTCGTCCAGCGACTGTCTTTTTCGTACAATGTCGATAACGGCGAAAACGAATGAAAGAAGTCAAGAAGATAGAGGATCCAGGGATGAAAGGTCGATAGACGTCGAAGATGTCTTTGAACGTTGACCAGCAACGCAATGAAGATTGTCTACAAAGAAGCTGAAGATTGATCTAGGGTATGGTAATATAAGGAAGAAAACTCCATTGAGATAAATAGTAGGTACGGGGGCCCGTGGCATTAGGATAAAGGGGCGGCGGGATGAAGAGTTTGATGGTTGGGTGGAACTTGGAGAAGGAAGGAGCAGGCCTGTCTCTTGGTCCTTCCGTTTCTTCTGGCCTGCTCAGATTCAAGAAAGACCTTGCGTTAATGTGTGGCGTGTATACTCGAGTGAATATCCATGGCTGGCAGGTATTGCTCACTTAGACATGGAGTCTCTGTCTGCCGCGTCTCTTACCACCAGATACCTATGCGCCGACATATTCCCTGAGATTCTATGCCGTAAATCCAGGCCATTGTGCATCCTACATAATCAAAAGTTCAGGGATCTGGTATAAGTGCGAAAAGTAACGTCCCAGAATCACTCGACCCTCTTAGCCGGTCTACACTGGAGCCAAACCAGTCGGTTGTCACGGTCAATCGTCACCTATCGTTTTGAGGGAGAGAAAGTCTCATATCTTGGAAGAATGGATCATATTTCTCATTCTTCTACTTCTGATAATTAAAATGGTATAATCCCGGGATTTAAAAGAGTGTTTCGAATGTGAAGTAAAGTGCCTTGTCAAAAGAGTGATGTGGATTCAATCATCGTCTGACAGAACGACAGACATGAATTCGATCCTACAGCAATGAAAAGGTGGAAAGTGTAAGGCTACTAGCCCTCCATAAGTTCCGAGAACCTTAGAAGTCTCGAAGAGGATGGCCGATGAGCGCAGCCAAATTTCCAATGTCGACCCCAATGAAGCTCTTGAAGATGCCACCACCGAACGAGCCCAGCTGATTACCCAGCTTGGACTTGACGCTCGCGACGAATCGCCACTGCAAATTGGGATCAGCCTTCAGGCTACACCGTAATATGTGCTAAAAGCTATTATTGCTTACCTGGAAGGCGTTCATGCTCTTATCATGATAGGCAAGCCAGCGCGAAGTTTTCTCATCGTTCTGGCCGTACTGGAAGGAGGTATCGATGACGACAGTGAACTCCGGTTCGCCTGCAACGTGCTTCTTCTTGAAAGCGTCAAGGTAATTAGTCTGAATGAAGAGGACGCTCTCCTGGTCCCCTATTAGTAGTAACAGTTAGTCAGAGATCCATCACCCATGTAAGATTTGGTATCAGCAAACCCTGGCTCTTATTGATGAAGGGAACAGTGTAATACTCCTGCGAGCGTTGCTTGAAGTTCTGCTGCCACTCAACAGTGACCTTGTTCTTGTCGATCTCGCTAGCCGAGACGAAGATCTTGTTGCCCTTCTCAACGACGCCCATTTTGATATGATATATGGGGATTAATTGATGTGATAAAAAGCTTGTTGTATAAGGTAGAGAGGTATTCGATGCAGTTGTTTGATGTCTGGTGCAGAAAAGGACCCATTGACTGCAGGGTGATCTCTTGCTTTTTATAATTTTCAATCGTCATTAGAGCAGTTTGCTCAAGCCAGTAGCCTTCCTTACAAACCTCGTAGCTGATTTAGAAGTATAACATGCAATACCAAATGCGTAAGAGTGAACAGACCTTGAGTCTACCTCCTCCACGCTTCCATGCGGGCTGTCCGGCGGTTGATCGCCTCTGCTTCGTATTCTCGTTAGTTCTCAATCTCTATCGTCGCTTCGCCATCATATCATCAGGCAGCCTCGTTCCATTCATGACGTGGGAAACCTTTCGGCAGTTGCACATATCGTATCATTTGCCGCTTCCAGACTGTCACAAGTCACTTTCATCGTCGCGAACTGTCTTCTTAGCTTCTGGTGGTACTGCAGGTCTCAATGCTTGCAGATACCAACTCTCAATCATGAGCTGATCATTTCCAAAATATGGGCTTCTATCACACATGGACCGGTCTCGAATACTGCCAGTGATGCTCCTGGGCAGTTTGAGCCAGACATTGGCTTGTCGTGGGCCCCATGGCTGGGTTTTGCGGGTTGAGGATCGCACTTCTTCCTCTTCCGGTCCTTCATCATATTCGCGTTCTCATTGAGCTCTTCAGCTTTCATTAGACTGTCTCGCTCATCACATTATCGGTCCAACCAGGGCCGGCAAGATACTTAGGTGGCATACGTACAATAAGTAGATTGGCAGTGTGTGATAGTGGAGTGACGGAAACGCTCGATTTGCCACAAATTTCACAAGGCAAGGTAGTGATGAAATTCGAACCCAAAGGATTCATCACAGGTGATTGCATATCATACAGAATGGCTTGCATATTTGGTACAAGTTTGCCTGCGCTGTTTGCATTACCCACTCGTACTCAGGATGCTTTCTCCCTGGACTTTGGCTGGTAGCTTATCTCCCATTGAGTCACAGTAATCATCGGACCTGACTTTATCATCCCTCGCCTGCCGTCACGGGCTTGGGCTTTCGTCATTTCTCTCAAGCGCGAATCGAGTAGAGTACAAGCCGAGTAGCGACGAGGAAAGCCGACAACTCCTGCACTTCATGCAGTCCTAATGTCAACCTTCCCTTGATGTTTTATGAAGATTACCTAACATGAGGACTATGTTCCATTTGCGCTGCAGAGTCATATCAGAATTGTGGAGTTCGAGGTTCCAGTTTGGTGATTGACGTTGCTTCCTTTGGATGTGGCTGGCTGAGGCAAACCCCGCAAGTTCAAGCAATGATCCAGAGCTACTTTAGTCGTCCACACGTCTCACTCTAGGTAGCCATATTGTGACAACAAGCGAAATCTGCTGGTTTCGGTAGACCTAGAACATGACAGAGTGGAGTTATTTACTTTTGTTGAGTAGTCTTCCAGAGGCTGGAGCCTTCGAGAACTAGCGATTGCCTCACTTCTAAGTTCCCATCTTCCAAGGCGCTACAACGACCTGCTTGTGGCAGATTTTACCCCGAGACCGGAAAGTGTTCGAGCTTGAACTCTCAGTACTCGGGTGATAGATCTGCCATGGTATGTCGATTTCTGATTCAGGTGATAAAGTCGAAAGCAAGTTTGGCTGAAAACAGGTTGCGCCAAAATGGCAATGTCAAAGTGATTCGATGGGCTTCCCAACTCATTGAATCTGTGAACGCCCAAGAATCTCTGGAGATCAATATTTGTCAAAACTTACACCGAATCAAGCGTCTACCTTGAGACCAAGGGTGTTCGGAGGGACTATTTAATGGCCTCATCTCTCATCACTATCATCGATCAAATTCGCAGTCACTTCCATCTTCATTTCACTATCGACTTCTTCTCATATTCTTGTGATCTTGATCAAACGAGTTCAATCCCATAAGTCTAGGTTTCTTTCCAAGCAACCATGGGCGACGCACAGGAAGCTCAGGCAGCAGGGGTGCTCAGGTCAATGAAGCTTGCTTCAGAGGTCAGTTGAGATATACTTGAGAGTTCTGGGTCATGAAGTGCTAAAAACAAGCAGACGGTGCGCTCTGCCATAGCCACCGCCATCCCCGTTGCTAGCAATCAAGTTTTGACGGTCTCCCTCCCCGGAACCGTAATCGACTGGAAGTGAGTAATTTCCTGATGCCTAACCTAGCTCTCGGCAGTGCGATTATCATCTCACCATTTTACTTAATTCAGGGAGTACTACTACAATGCGGACAAGTACATCAAGCCTCCTCTAGATATTCAAGTCAAGGAAGCGCGGCTTGTAGATGGCATGATACCTCTATCGAAGTTTACTGTAAGCTTTCTTTCATATGATATCGTGAGCACCATGAATTTGAATCAAATGCATAATCGATGATAGGCCGGGAAAACAGGCAAAAGCGTAGCCCGCAGCTACTTGGCCACGCTTGACCTGCTTATTCCCGTCGAAGCGTCTGTCTCCGGCGTCATAGGGAACGAGACTGGCGAAGTAGCCGACGAGCGACTGAGAACCATCAGAGACCGTTATAAATTGTCCATGTCTTACCTCACTTCTCCGGACGATACTCCGACTGGCGCCGGCAGAACCAAAGTCGATACATACGTACAGAAACAGTCTGCATGGGCTGAACAGGTCGCCGCCTATTCACATGCTCAGAGCGCTGCGTTGAGGGAACTCAGCGGTCCTGGAGCAACCCCTTCACAGCAAAAAGAGGCGAGGGAGAAGTATATGCAGTGGCTACAAGAGAATGCGCGTAATGTCAGTACATGCGGTCATACGTCAAATGCTGTGGCGTTCACTCACATTTTAAGGCTGATTTACTGACGGAATAAATAGTTCAAGAACAATATACAAACCAAGTATATGGATTGGGTAGTTCACGGCTACAAGTTCTTGGTAAGGTTTTGAGACTCATGTGAAAACTATCCTCAAGACTTATTGAAAGCCAGGTTGACTTCCATTTTGGAGTTGTCGACATTTCGTCCGGTATGAAGCGCATTGAAAACAGCAAAGAGGCATACCGCAATCTCACAATCATTGCTTCGGACGGCTCGAGTGAATACAACGGAGTCGTGCTCACACCGAGTACCTGGTAAGTCTCCAGAGGGTCTTACTTGACATGCGAATTCTGAACCGGACTCAGGGCAAAAGAAGTGGCTCTCAAGGTGCTTCATTGGAAAGCAAACAATCATGGACCTAGCATTGCCGAAGTTCGCGCTGAGCTTCGCCGCCTGCAAAACCTACTTGCCTCCCACGAAACACTCAAAGATGTAAGAAAGAAGCCAGACATCTACAGATGCTGACCATCTTTATTAACTGCTTTAGGCAATTAACAAGAACCAATTTCATCCTGTGCTCGAAGTCAATAAGGAAGCAGACCAGACGAATCTAAAGTCAGCATATCTCGATGTGTATTCTGCCATGGATGTCCTGAACGGGGGAACCAAGGACAACCAAAAGTCTGGCGGCGATATTCTTGATGCATTGGTTAAAGCGCAAAAGGAGCATACAGAGACCAGCCTTAAGCGAAACAATGCAACCATACGGGACAACACCGCAGAGAGCAAGAGTGCCGCCCTTGGATGGTTGGATACCAGAATCGAGCAACTGAAGACCGAAATCGGCGAACTCAAGACCAGACTAGGCATGCCCAGTTCAGCACCTGAGCCGGGCCAGCTTGCAGGAAAGCTTCTTGACCTGCCTGTGGTTGATGGGAATGGTATTCAGGTAAAAGGAGACCAAATTGCGATTGATCCATGTAAGTGTTGCGATGTCGATTCCCAATAACCGTTCGAGGATGCATGTCGTTGACATCTCTCAGTCATCAATGCACGCGACACGAAACCAAACGGCATCAATTTGGCAGACGAAAATACGTGGAGAAATGCTCCTGAACACCAGCCTGACCCATGGACTAAGGCACGTACTATTTGAAGACAACATGGCTTTTGCGTTACAAATCAAGACTGACTATTTTTTACAGGTTTCTTGCAAAGTATCAAGCAAGTCTGATCTTTCAGAGACAAAGACTTCACAATCAGCTTCGGCAGTTGCTGCGAAGGCTGGCTGGGGGCTTTGGAGCGCCTCAGTTGGTGGAGGCCACAGCTCAAGCAGCGCGTAAGACCGCCCCCAAATCCGACGCCACAGAACAATGCCCTTCCTGATATCATGTACAGACAAGCAATGCAATCAATGTCGAATCTTGACGTTGAAGTCAATATGAGCTGCATGGTTGTAGAGATCGAGCGACCTTGGCTTCATGCCGAGCTCTTTGCAGATGCAGAGCTAGACTCTGGAAAGTATGCAGACCAAGTCAACCATATGTTGCAGATGCTCACTGTATGACAGATTCGATATTTCACCTGGCGAAGATGCTTTGAAGAAGCATTTTGAGGAGGGGACAAATCCGAAGGGAGAGTATCAGCAATTCTCTTCGTACCCGACCGCCTTTGTCCTGGCGGCAGATATTGAACTAAGCGTGCGTCTCACGACAGCTCTACGTTGCGCGGCTAGACCACTAACACCGTCTTAAAGTTCTCTGGCGATACGACCAAGCTCGAAAGTGCCGTCTCAGCGTCTTCCACGGAAGTCAACGCGTCTGTTGGATGGGGCCCGTTCGCTGTATCTGGCTCTCATAGTTCATCAAAGTCGCAGTCGCGCACCAAGATGGAATCCACAGCCAACGGATGCAGGTAAGTCGTCGCTTGGCGTGGTCGCTGCCCTTATTCCAGCTGCTCATCGTCTGTTCTAGGATCTCGGTCGAGGCGCCTCAAATAGTCGGCTGGGTTCAGACATTGCTTCCACAACTCCCGAAGCCCGTCAGGGGGGTTAGCACTATGACAGGTTTGTTCAGTTAATTGTGACTCCACGGATGATTTGGTTATTATGATTGTAGCAAGGTTGGAACTGTTCGGCGTTTCCAAGGGACATATATGTTCCCTAATCTCTTCAACACCTCAGATTGATAACACTAATGGGATATTGCATTGAACCAAATCGATTTGACAATGAAAAATTCCGTGTAAAGCTTTTCTACCGAAGTTGTGCACTCCGATTAGACCTTAACTATGCCATGAGGAAGTTAGTCCCACAATGAACTCGTCTTAGACCCAACTCCTCTCACTACGGTCGGCAACTGGGTTGAAAGGAAATCAGACGGGCTTAGAGCCATGCTACCATCCGGCAATACACTCAATACACTCCGTTCCTTTGTAGTGACATAGCTTTCTTTCTCACACACATAAACACATACACAATGACAGAAAGGCACAAAAATGTCAGACGCAGGTGCCACTAGTTTTTGATTAGGATACAAAGTGTCGGCTACTCGAATCACTCTATACACATGGAGCCAACCCACCTTATCCCCTTTCCACCGTTTCGCGAGCCAAGGTGATAAAAAAGACCATGATTCCATTTCCCCTTCCCCACGTTGTGCGTTTGATTTCATGGAAAACAGAAGAAAAGAAGGAAAAGCAAAAACCTTCCTTCCTGTTGTGCCAACGTGGCACAAACCACTTCCATGTCGACACACCCTCCGTAAAACTGAGAAAAAGAACAGTCGCCCTTTCTGGCGATCATCTACCGAGTTTTGCCAACTCTCCTCCGAAAACTTTCTAATAACACAAGGGCCAGAACGCCAAGAGTCACAGGGTTGTTGGTCGAATCGAGGGGTTTCTCTCGCGCAACTGCGTCCCCATGTACCCATCCATCCATCATCAATCAGACCACCACTTTTGCGTCGCTCAGTACAGGGAAACCCGCTGTTCCGAGTCGCAGGCGGGATTTGTAGAAAAAAAAAAGGGACCCTCTCTCTCACACCAACTCCGAAAGGGCATCGCTTCCCTGGCTATTCAGACACTGTAGAGTAAATGAAAATCGGCATTTTGTTGACGCAAGAGACACCACGGCCGACGGAGCCAGAGATCGTAGGCATCATTTCTTTGCCGAGCCGGGCCGCAGTGAAGACTGCACCGGTTGGGGCGGAGGCTTGACAGATGGCGTCGTCTTCTGACCACCGTTCCGTGCTGCGGCCTCTGCCAACAGTCTGCTGGACACTGGAATAGGCATCCGCGGATACAATTCCTGTGGCGGCAGGTAAGGTTTGCCATGTGGCTAGTTCGGCTTCCTATACGGCTGCTGTTGAGGTATGACCGGAATGGGTACCGGTGTCACCTTGTGCGGGATTGGTGGAGTTCCATTCGGCTTTCCTACACTACCAACAGGGCTCTGCGGCTTCGGAGTACCACCTGCGGCCATGCGCGCTCGCATGTTGGCATTGTAGGGAGATCCTTGGCCATTCTGGTCGTCGGCGGGTACCGGGGTCATGTTGTTTCCTTCATGTGTACCCTGTATCTTGGTCCCGAAAGCTGCGCTGGTTTGCTGTGCAGCGGCTCTATATCTCGCTTGCTCAGCGTGGAGGCGCTGCTGATCTGTCCTTGCAACGGCTGTATTGTATCCAGTTAGAGAATTCATAGGCTGTTGAGGGAGGTGGCTACCATTCGGATAATGCTGACGGTTGATCGGAGGGGTGCCAGGCACGTTCTGGTGGGGAGTCGATCCGTAGTACCGTTGCTGCTGTTGGTGCGGAGTTGGCGAATTGTATTGACCAGCCTGTACTTGGGGCGACATGTTCCGCGATTGCATGTTGTTAGCACCATTGGCGTAGTAGCCTGCGTAGCCCTGGGAAGGCGTGCTCGGCTGTTGCGGGAAAGATTGTTGGTAGGGCTGCTGGAAGCGAGCATTGGGCGTGCCGTGGGAAGGCGTGCCTGCGTAACCAGAGTATTGTGGAGGTCGTTGTTGAGATCCATACTGAACACCCTGGTGGCCATACGGTGTCTGCGCCTTTCCGACGTGCTGCGCATAGTTGGTGTATCCATTGGTGTTCCGATAATTGCCCGGCTGGCCGGGACGGGGCTGCTGCGCATGAGGCATCTGGTGGGGGGCACCGCCCGGACGAGGAACGGAACCTTGCTGCGGGGGCATGGCAGGCTGCTGCCCCGACCGGTAGTAGCTGGACGGCGCGATTGAGGGTGTTCGGGTGGGGGTTCCGTACTGCGCCGCCGCGTACTGGTTGCTGTAGGGGGTGGATGCACTAGGGGTTCGGTGAGGGGCAGGCCGGTTCGACGGGGCAGAAGCGGCGGCGCTCTGCTGTTGACGCATCCGGGCTTGCGTTGCGGCATCGTCCTCCATCACGCCCTTGTACTGATCTGTGCGGACCTCAAGCTTGGTGCTGATGAGAAGCTCCTCAAGTTGGTCGCCGTTGAGTTTAGCCACTGCATAGGGAGGCAGTGTGCCGACAATGAGACTCAGCTGAGCCCTCAGTGCTTCGTACGTCATAGTCTCCTCTTCCGTTGGTGCCGAGACAGCACCATGAGAAAGCAAGTCGCCATTGACAGGATCGCCTGCGTAACGATTCTGTGATGATGGCAGTGTGAGGTTGCGGATGCGCTGATACGAGAGCAAGGTCTCAATCATGTCGGTGACTTCATCGAGGAATTCGTCAACCTCCTTGTCGGCGGGGTCCTTATCCTTGGGATTCGACAGGACCTCGTTCATGTCTTCCAGCGCCGGATCCACCAGCCATTCATCCCACTTCTCAATCGCCTCAGTGACGAACTCCTCGTCCACGTTCTCAGTCTCGGCCTTCTCGCCAACGTGGTTCTCAAGCGTGTCATCATCATCGACTTCCTGCAACTCGGACTCGATGAGGCGGTTGAAGTTGCGCTGTCCAGTAAGCTGCCAGTACATTCGACCAGCATGACTGGACGGAATGACAGAGCCGGAATCGTCTCTGACGGGCGCGAAGCTGGAGAATGCGCTGCGAAACAATGACTCCATTTCGTTAACCTCGATTTCGGTAGACGAGGGTCGGTGACCTGCAAGACTTTGGGCGCGTTCGCGCTGTCTAGTCTTGCTCTTAGACGAAGGTGCCGCATTGGTGTAGTCCAAGTAGCAACCGACTGCGACCTTTTTGCTAGAGTAAGATTCGTTGTAATACTTGGACTTTTGCGCCGGCTCGGGATGGTAGAAACCGAGGACGTTTCCCTTGACGAGCTGCTTGGGTTGCTTAGGCGGCTGTAGTGGAGGGAGGGGTCTGCTCGAGGAGAAGAGCTCTCCAAGAGTAGCCGATCTTTCGCTCTGGCGAGAAGGAACAATGTAGGTCTTCGATATGCCCAAGGGAAGTTCCAAGGACAATGCCTTTGCAGCCAAGCTCTCCTGTCCTGGGGCCTTCTTGGGCAGACTTGAGAAGAGTTGCTTGCCGTGAGGGCCAGGGCCAACGACCGTTAAGACAGCGTTGCCTGGAGTGAGTTCTGGGGCCGGTTTGATGTTGCCGACGTTCACAGCGCTGCGTGGGTACGATATCTCCCTTCGAAGGAGGTCCATGGCCTTCTGCTGAAACTCCTTGGTCTGCACTACAGCGCCGCCATCAATGACCTCCTTGTCCTTCTCAACCTTGGCCGATTGAAGTTCCTCAAGTTGATCTTTGACGGCTTCGACGACATCGGCCGCGAGTTCGTCGACATGCGAGTACGAGTCGTTGTTGACCTTGTCAGCGATGGTGGCTGGGCTGTCGGCGGACTTTTGGCGTTTCGCGTCGGGCTGCTCCGCATCGGGTTCGGGAAGGCGACGCTTCAGAATTGACGGGTTTGCATCGAAGCTTTGGACTGCAAGTCAGTACAATGCGGCCCCGGGGCTGACGAAGGGGGGATGGGCGCGCAGCCAGGGGCGCAAAGGGGGGCGCGGCAGTCGTACCTGCTAAGAACAGCAAAATAGTTCTTGATGAGGGGTTTATGATCCTCCTTTGGGGCTTCAGCAGCATCGACTTCCATCTTCTCCGGTCCATCGCCGTTGACCTCGTCGCCCTCATCCTCGGTGTCGCGCTTCCTCTTCACAGGGACGACGGGCTGGGGGGACTCAGCATGGTCCGGTCCAGGGATGCCGTTTGCCTGGACCGAATCCGGCTGCGCCATTGTGAAAATTGTCGTCGTGAATCGTGGTTGTGGCTATCGGTGGAAATTATCGCGATGCCAGGGCGTTTCGGGCAGTTCGTTCTGTCGATGTCGCGCGGGACGACGGGGGTGGTAGGTAGCCCAGTGGAGGGCGGGATTGTCGCGACGCGCGAGGTTCGTCGGTCGCTCGTCTTGGTGGAACTCCAAAACCTTTTTTCGTCAAGCGTCGCGAGGCCAGGCGTGTTGGGGAACCTTTTCATCCAAGAACACACTCAAAGACAAGCAACGGTACTCGGAAAATGAATGGGGTCCATCAAAGTCGCCGTTTTTGGATTTTTTCGCCTTGCAAGTGCTCCTGGAGCAATTCCCCTGCGTGACTGTCGGGAGGCTATACTGGAAAATTGGACAGAACCACGGGTCCTTGTTGGTTGCTGGCGAAAAGGCACTGAGCTGAGGTCAGCAGCGATTGGCCTGCCGATCTGAATAAGCGGGTCCATTACCCACGTGATGATCTGGCCCGTGCAGAGAGAAGAGTGGGCTCCACGTTACGCTCACACCTTGGTGACTTGATGTTCAGTTGAAGGACCTTTACGGTTGGTAGGAACGCTCTCATTTCAGAGTTTATGCACAGAGGGTAGCTTGTTGAAGCTTCTTTCTAATATTGCAAACAGTATTATTGATTTTGTTGAGTACATGGCCTATGAGATGACCGCAACATCGCTGTAACGGATAGAATTGTGATTCTATGAACCTCAGCAGCGCAGTTCGAGCTCCTTGAAAGGTATACCTAATTTCACATAGATACTGCACAATGACACAGATGCTCAAAGAAAAATGCTACTATTGGTATTCTCACAACGGTGTCCAGACTAGCTACCTATCGTAGTTACATTACAGCCGCACCCTGGATCTGATTGACCGAGTAATCGACGTATTCTCAAGGAAATGGGGTTATGAGTAGGCGTTTATTTCTTAGCCTTGGCCAGACCAACGGCGTTCTTGCCGAGGTCGTAAACGGAGTACCACCGGCGCAGGAAGGCATCTCCCAAGATGACAAGGGGGCCGACCGGCTCGGGGAAGTCCATGCCCTGGAAGGTGGAGATGCAGCTGCCAGAGACCTCCAGGACGTAGTCGTAAGCGGAAATGCTGAAGTTGTAGCCAGAGAGAGTGAAGGTGATGTCGGGAAGCTCGTCACGCTTGGAGCACTCAACAGAGTACTGGCCGTTGTAGCCCTTCTTGGCACCAATCTCCTTGTTGAGCAGCTCAGCAAGAGCAGAGGGGAGGACGTTCAGGGAAGTACCGGTGTCAAGGATGGCACCGTGTCCCTCAAGGTCAGCGGTCTCGTCGCCAAGGGTAATGGCATCGAGGTCAACCTCCCAGTAAGCCTTGCGGCGGAGGGGGATGTAGGTGATCTTGCCCTCGTAGTGAGAGTCATCGAGGCCACCAAAGGTAGCCTCGCTCTCATCGCCCTCCTCGTTGGTGTCGCCGAGGTAGAAGGCGAAGACAGGCTCGTCAATAGCCTTCTGGTTTACAAGGTTGTAGAAGGGAGGAACAATCTTGTTGACGGAAATGGTGTCGTAACCAAGACCGAGGATACCGTCGAAGCGGCCGAAGGCAAAGGCAAGGCCAGGCTCGCTGGTAGCCTCGGCAAAGTCCTGCTTCTTGATCTTGAGATCGCCAATGGAGACGTCATCCTGGGAGACGAAACCAGTCAAGCTGCCAGAGCCGTAGTGGATCTCGAACTCGGAGCCGTTGGACTTGTAGGTGGAAGACGACGAAGAGTCGTACTTGGAGTGCAGGTAGCATGCAATGCTGCCGCACTGCTGGGAAGGAACCCACAGGTTGGAGCTACCAGTGTCCAGAACAACCTTGAAGGTCTGGGGAGGAGTACCGATCTCGATCTCGGAGAAGTCTGAAGTGAGAATGTTAGTTGACTGATGGTGACTAACAAAGAGGCGAATGAGACATACACTGAGCGTTCATGAAGTTGCTCACAGGCACGGGGTGCTCGCCAGTGCTTGTGAAGGGCTTCTGGTTGAACATGGCATCGGCGTGACTGTCAGGGCGAGCGCCCATGTACTTCTGGCCGAGCTGTCTGACTTGGTGCTCGATGGGAACAGAGTTCTAAGGATGGCAGCAGTCAGTAAACATTGTTGGGGAGATACAGGATGATGGGCCAAACATACAAGCTGCTCTTCGATGGGGACCTTCTTCAGCTTCAGCTTGTGGACTTCGGCCTGGGCCGCGCCCAAAAGCACGGCCGCGGTGAGAAGAGTGCTCTTCATCGTGGCTGTCAACCTCGATTACCCAGATTACGATGGTGTTTGGCGCCCTGCGTCTTCGTGCTGGTGATACTGAGGAGATGGCGGTTGAAACGGATGGGGGGGGATGATGATGTGTTGACGGGGGGAAGATGCGGAAGCTGGGGCGGCGCCTGTACCTATTAAGTAGGTAGGTACCTCTGCTGTGGCAGGCAGGTGTGGCAGGCTACCCAGACCAGACTTACCTTAGCAACTGCGCCCCCGTGACAACCTGCCCACTCGCCTCCGCAAGGCACGAAGGACCATGACGCAGCACCCGATAGGTGCAGGTACCTTATCTGCCTATCAAAAGCTGGGGTTGGCTGTGTTGACCCACTTTAGCTGGCTGGGGGAGCAACCATGGAACCTAAGACGGCGCGGAGCTGCCCCAACTCGCCCAAGGCACGCAGCGAGTTAGAAGCCCGAGACAGAGCTCCTGGCAGCTCTCACACACTCGGTGACACTGACACTCACACTGCTCCCGTCTCCGTCTCTCACACTCGCAGGGTGATGCGGCTGCCACTACGGAGCTTGCGTGTCTGATCGCGTGTCCCTGCAGCCTTCTACACCTCAATGCCGCTCAGTTGATCCTGCGCCGGAGAGAGATGCGCTGCAGCACTGTTGGACGCGCCGGAGTGCAAGGTAAGCAACGGGCTAACATTGCGACGGGGACCTTGACATCACGCAACGAGGTGGATTGATGAGATAAGGAAGATAGCTCAGCTCGCCTTCGGTAACCGATTCCCTGACTCTGTCTCTTACTCGGGTATCCGTGGGCCAAGCTTGGCTTGCTTACCTTATTGCTCCAACATCCGAGGCATACCGCGTGCCTGAAAGCCCAGCTGCCTGCATCTGGACGGACGCCTTGGTACCTGAGGCCATAGCAGAGATCCTCCACTAGGCTGTCTCGGAGCTCGGGGCCAATGTGGATGCGATCTAGATGAGTCAGCAGCTCCCAGGAGCAGCGTGACCCATGTTGTTGAGCTAAGGTATCGAGGCCTTCCAGGTTCCCTCGCGCCAACTGCGCTTTGGAGATGGACTAAACTGCACGCAGGTAGTCGCAATTGCCTCAGTGTTGGCCCAACTCACACTTTATAACTGCCTCAACTCAAAGCTGGAATCTCTTGGTTCACGTCAAAGGCGCATAGAGTTTGATGTGAAAAGTCTTGAATTATCTACTGTGGTAGAGTTGCCGTTCAGACACTGGCCAATCACAGATGCGCTTAAAATGAGCTAGGAATAATGCATTTGTCTTGACTCTCACTTTTCGCCGACATCGCAATTGTTCCATCTTGGGTTCTTTGGTCGTTCTCATGTAGTCCAAGTGCTTCAAAGTTGCGATGAATGGTTCTCCTTTTGAATGCAGACTTGCCTCGCCGAGTACATTGTTTCGAGAACAGATTTTCTATTATCGAAGCTATAGCTAAGCGCTGAGACGGAATATCGCTGTCTGTTTCAAGAATCACTCTTCCTTCTCGGGTGGTTTTCTCGACACGATGCCCCCAGTTTCCCCAATTTGTCGAGAACGAGGTGCCTGGGAACTCACCCACGAAGCACATCACTCAGGAAATATCGTGCGAATTGCCATCCTTTTCGAAGAAGAAGAAGAAGAAGAAGAAGAGATATCGGCCTGCTGTTGAGTCACAGTTCAATTGCCACAAGTGGTCCGCTTGTACTATTGTCCCGGCTCACCCGAAGCCTTCCTGACTGAAGCTCTAGAGTCGGAAGTCGTGAGACGGTTGAGGCGGGGGAGGTACGAGCAGCTGCACTAAATGGTCCAACCACATCCCCGTCGTCGTGAAATGGGGTCCGTTTCCTCGATGACTCGTGGAACCGTTCCAGAATCGGAGTCGATAAAACCCGCCACAGGATGTGAGTTCAGGGAAACGTCAGGGAAGCGCCGTTTTAGCGTTCCAACCGGGAACCACTTACAAAGTGGTGAGCCACACCGGGAACCACAGGGAGCCCACCAGGGGCCCAAAATGCTCCAAGCTTGCGGTCGCAAACTGTCGAGCGATCCCAATTTAGCGAACCAAATGCCTCCGAATTGTCCCTGCCATACCTTACCTTAGGTACCTTAAGGAAAGGTAAGTATACTACCTAGTACTTCGTACCTATGCCTGTCCATTGTCAAGCCATCAGTCGACTATCGAGGGGCCGCCACAGTTTTTTTTCTCCAATTCCACCGCGTACTGCGTACGACTACATGCGAAGTAAGGTACTTACAGCTCGACCCCGCCAATCACACCCCGCCAACCCCCACCGCTTCAGCATTCGATTCACATTTTGCTCCCTCCGATGTTCTGCCAAATTTTCTCAAGCTTTTTTCCCATCCCTTCATAACCTTGCTGGCCTCCCTCTCTTCCTCTTCTTTTCCTACATCTACTTCTCTTCTTGCCATTGCTTGCGAGAATTTCTCTCTTCTCTTCTTCAACTTCACAATTACGATCCTTCGTAACACCACACATCACAATGGCTGCTACTGGTTCCTACTCCCTCCCCGTCTCCCACAAGGAGGTACGTCTACTCTTTCTTTGCCCCGCCATGCTTTACAGAGCTCTATACTGACTCACCGATAGATGTTGGAGAAGTCTCTTATTGACTCCGACCCTGAGGTCGCCGAGATCATGAAGGATGAGATCAAGCGCCAGCGCGAGTCCATCATTCTCATTGCCTCCGAGAACGTCACCTCCCGTGCCGTCTTCGATGCTCTTGGATCTCCCATGTCCAACAAGTACTCCGAGGGCCAGCCCGGTGCCAGATACTACGGTGGCAACGAGCACATCGACCAGATCGAGATCCTCTGCCAGAACCGTGCCCTTAAGGCTTTCAACCTCGACTCCTCCAAGTGGGGTGTCAACGTTCAGTGCCTGTCTGGCTCTCCCGCCAACCTCCAGGTCTACCAGGCCATCATGCCCGTTCACGGCCGCCTCATGGGTCTTGACCTCCCCCACGGTGGTCACTTGTCCCACGGCTACCAGACCCCTGCCAAGAAGTATGTAGTCCTTCGCTTGCCACACTTGATTGAAGAATCATGACTGACTCTCGTTCCCAACAGGATCTCTGCTGTCTCTACCTACTTCGAGACCATGCCCTACCGCGTCAACCTCGACACCGGCATCATTGACTACGACCAGCTCGAGAAGAACGCCCAGCTCTTCCGCCCCAAGGTCCTCGTCGCCGGTACCTCTGCCTACTGCCGTCTGATCGACTACGGACGCATGCGCAAGATCGCCGACTCCGTCGGTGCCTACCTCGTTGTCGACATGGCCCACATCTCCGGTCTCATTGCCGCCGGCGTCATCCCCTCCCCCTTCGAGTACGCCGACATCGTCACCACCACCACCCACAAGTCCCTCCGTGGCCCCCGCGGTGCCATGATCTTCTTCCGCAAGGGCGTCCGCTCCGTCAACGCCAAGGGCCAGGAGACCCTCTACGACCTCGAGAACCCCATCAACTTCTCCGTTTTCCCCGGTCACCAGGGTGGCCCCCACAACCACACCATCACTGCCCTCGCCGTTGCCCTGAAGCAGGCTGCCAGCCCCGACTTCAAGGCCTACCAGCAGAAGGTCATTGACAACGCCAAGGCCCTTGAGAACAAGTTCAAGGCCCTCGGCCACAAGCTCGTCGCCGACGGCACCGACTCCCACATGGTCCTCCTCGACCTCCGCCAGTTCAGCCTGGACGGTGCCCGTGTTGAGGCCGTTCTCGAGCAGATCAACATCACCTGCAACAAGAACTCCATCCCCGGCGACAAGAGCGCTCTTACCCCCTGCGGTCTCCGCATCGGCACCCCCGCCATGACCTCCCGTGGATTCGGAGAGGCCGACTTCGAGCGCGTCGCCAACTACATTGATGAGTCCATCAAGATCTGCAAGGAGGTCCAGGCTTCCCTGCCCAAGGAGGCCAACAAGCTCAAGGACTTCAAGGCCACCGTTGCTGGCGGCCAGGTTGCCAAGATCAACGACCTCCGCAAGGAGGTCGCCGAGTGGAGCGGCAGCTTCCCCCTCCCTGTTGAGGGCTGGCGCGTTGACGCTGGCATCTAAATCATGCCAGCGGCTAGTGTGGCGAGAATTGGCCCACGTATGCCAGGGAGCATGACGTGGGAAAAGGAGTAGATCAAGGGAGGAATCGATATATACCACTCTGGGCTTTGATTATGCCCAGTTCAACAAAAATGGTTCAGATAGGGAATAAGCGTGGGGCGACCCAAATCGTCAAAGGGGTCCGGGTTCCGCGCATGACATTTAACATGGCTCATGAACAAAGGGAAAATGTGCTTCACAGAGCACTGCTGCATTTTATATAGGCGTTGCAAATATTTCAAGCGGAAAACCAAATACCGGGAAGGGTAAAACAAAAATTCTGGAGGCGGGAGTTGGGGGTGGCGTTCTCAACTGCGGCCATATTTTAGGTAGCTGACTGCTTCAACGCGGTCAATCGCTCAATGCAATCAAAACGTTGACAAGCAAAGCATATGTGTCTTTTACTCGTGTTCTATTGATGTTTGAAACTTCGCCGTTGCGCCCTGTTTGTGGCGTTGAGACATTCAAAGTTAGTCTCGAAGCCGTTAATGACAATGTTCCATGCCCAACATTGGATAACGACAAGGAAGAGATGACTCGACATTGGCGTTCTTTGACGAAGAAGCCCCGTTGCAAAGCATTGTCCTCGACTTGAAAGCTATTCCTTTTGTACCTACTTTACAATAGCCTTGTGTTTCTTTATACACGATAGCTGCCCATTCAATTTGTCTGAACTTACACAAGGAACCTTTCTTCTTGGCCAATGTCCATTAACAACGAGCTTGAGGACGTCCCGCGCAACTGTCTTGAAGACTGATATACATAACCAACAGTCCTGTCCGAAGTTTCCATCTCGTTCTACACTCGACAGATCAGACAGCAAACACAAACACTCTACAACAATACACCATCTTCTCGAACACACTTATACATCAACACATCCACCCTCAAGCTTGTAAGTCACCAACCCCGGCTAACGAGTACAGTTCATCATCTCCCGCTCTCATTCACCTAAGCAGAACATCACATCTTAGTCCCAAAGTCCAGGTAAGCTTCCACCACACAAAATGACCAGACTAACATCCCTCCCCGTCATCCTCCTCGCCCTCGCCAACATTACGCCAGCCTTGACATTCTACATCCCCCCTTTCCTAAAGCACCAAAACAGCACAAACGTAACCTACCACATCCCACCTCCCCCTCCACCATCCTCATCTCCATCCTCCCCCTCGGACAGCATCAGCAACATCTCCAACCTCCAAACAACAGACCCCTCCACGCCACCAACAGGCCCCGTCTACTTCCGCGGCAACCGCCGCTACGAGGACGAAATCTGCGGCGCCTCCTCCTTCGTAGGCATAACCCGCGCAACATCCCCCCTCACAACGGACTGCCTCCTCCTCGCCGACAAGGCAGCGAAAGAGGGCTACGTCTGGTACGTCCGCGGCTTCACCGACAACACCACCATCCTCGGCATCCGCACCCACGGCACCTGCAACTTTGGCATCCGCCCGCCCTACGCGGATGCCCTCCCGAGCATCAAGACGGGCTGGTACGTCGGCGGCGTGGACGTCGCGGAGGTGGTCCGCACCGCTGTGCGAGACTATAATGTGAGTGGGCAGACGGGCGCGAGCGGGATGATGCATTGCTGGGCGAATAGGGAGAATCATGTCGATGTGCAGTGGGCTATTTACGGTTCTGGGGAGCAGGGTGAGGCGGGTTACTTTTGGGCGCCGCCCGTGCCGGTGAAGTCGGGTGCTGCTGGGAGGGGAGGGGTTGTGGGCACGGGTGTGATTCCGGGTGTGGTGGTTTTCTGGTTACTGTTGTTTTGGTACATTGTGAACTGAGTATGGTAGAGGTATGGTCGTAGGTACTTTGGTTGGTAAGTCGCAAGAGAAATGACACAGGTTTTCGTTGTTATATGGACTTCGTTCAAGGTGTCGTGTAATTGGAGGTTCAGGGAGTGTGTCACCAGTAATGGAAGGTAAGCTTCTCTTGAGCTTCGGCTTCCTGCAAGTTCCAGGCAACATCTTGATTTCATGTGAAAAGCATCTTCCGCTCACGTTAGGATATGGCCCCTTTGTCTAGCGCTTTCCAGGTCTGGACTTGTGGAAGTGCCTCAGTAGATCGTGTATGAAATGAGAAAGCGTATGCTACTCCATGCCAGCTGGCTGCCTTCGTGATCTCGCCAATTCTAAGTTTCGTGTCATGTTGCCTCAATCAACTTCCCGAGTCGTCAGTAGCACGAGCTCGTACCCAAACCTTGATGGCATATCCAGACTGTCGGGATCGTGCACAGCTCGCACCACTTGTGCACCTACGAAGAAGACTTTTGGGCGTCGTGACTGTAACGTGACTCAATGGTATTCTGGTCTTGTTTATGGAAAAGAAAGGTACGATTATAGCTCTTCTGCAGAAAACATCGACATCGTCGTAACGAAGCTCTGTGCAACCTGAACAATGTAGCATCGAACCTTGATCTACCGGAGGCGTTCACGCCCATACCTCGGTAGCTATCGGGGACCACAAGATGTTGCATCGTTGACGCTCATCTTTAGAACCGTGACACCGTGGCGAAGTTCGTAAGGCGAATAGTCACCTCGAAAGATCTGAAAGACTGCGTGGATATGTGGTCTGTTAGGCAGACCCAAGCGAGGCTAAACTCTGATCCGATGCGAACGTCAGATCACGAGCCATTTGACGAACATGTTCGTCTTATAGTGGTTTCGAATGAAAGAGATGAAATCTTAACTATGAGGCAAGGAAACTTTTGGAGCCTCAATAGTCGGTGTAAATTGAATTGCCGGGACAAATGAGGGTACAAGGAGGGGAAGGGGATCGAAACCGAAAACGTCAACCCGTCATGATTCTCACCAATCTGGATTCTATTTCGTTGCCTCGAAGCAAAACAAGCCGTATTCTGGGTTGCAGTGCTGGTCGATCTGTGGCTATTTGTATGTTTAGCCCGGGGATAGCAACATAACACGAGGCTTTGTCAAAGGGTTGCAACGGGAACACGGGAACCAGGCGCTTGCATTTGTAACGACACTTAGAGGAGCGGTCTGAAAGTCTCAGTTTCCCTAGCCGTCCCTTTTGGCTAGGGCAGTAGTCAAGTATTGGCGTCGTAGACTAGTTCCGATGGCAGCCGTTGAGAGTTTGTAGGCGCCGTCCTGAGTCAAGACGGCGTCACGAACTCGCGATAATCGGAGGGAGATCCACTTGTCGCAGGTCAGCTGTCCGCTTCTTCACCGTATCATCGAATGGCGTTGGGAACCATGAGAGGTGATGCGACCAAACCCGTGTTGCTTGAGAGTCGTTTCCGACGGAGCAAAGAGTCGTGTGAGGCCTACTGAGAGCTGGGAATAAGAAAAGGAATGTTGCATTGTCGTCGGGCTGTCAAAAAATGTCAAAGAATAGCAGGCGCCGCATTGTGTCACAGGAACACACCCACGAAGCAGCCTCTTTCGAGGTTCACCCGCTTTAGAGTGTGTTCAGAACTCAAGTTGCATATGCCAAGATGCCCGGCCAGTGCTGTGTTAGCAACTGAAACTAAGAGCACAGGCGGCCGTGTCGGCGCTGCATGATGCATATCTGGTAGTGACGGGATGGATCGAGACAGAGAGACAAAATAGTGGCTTGCGCTAGGCTGGATATCCGTACCTTAACTCAACGATATTGTGGGCGCTTGAGCTCGAGAGCTCTTTCGATATTGCCTCTTCTCTTTGAGTCACCAGACCAGCCTGGTGTGTGCAGCGCATTCGCGCATCGACATAGAGCGAGGGCAATGAGTTCTTCGCCCAGGTAGGACTCCATGTCTCCTGATTCGCTCTTCATTGGTGGATTGCTCAGTGGTTCAGCTTCAGCGAAGCCTGGTGAGTCAACATTTTATCATTTTATCACGACAGGCGTTGCAAGTCGTTGCTGCTTACGTAGCCGCTCTTTCTATCGTCTGCGCCTGCGCCTTCACCGAAATCGAAACAGAAGCACCAGGGCGGTGGCGTCGTCGCCTTCGCATTACACTTCGCTGTCTTTTCAGGGGCATTTTTCTCGTGTTGCTTGTTGTTATACGTGGCCTGGACCCAGCGCCCGGCCGGTCGCGACCATTTTCATACGGCAAATCCGGAAGTTGAGCCATCGCTCTCACGAGAGGTTCTGGACGACATGACAAAAACAGCGCAGAGGTGAGCGAATGTCTCTCGCTTTGCTGCGGGCTGCGGGAAAGATGGAGATGGACAGAGACATGCATGTCAGAGACACAGAACGAGAGGAGCAGAGCAAAAGGGCAAGAGATCAAAGAGAGACGAAATCGGTGGCGCCGTTTGTATGTTTCAAAACGGCAAGTCTCCAGCGGCGTCGCTACCGCCCTCCAACTTCCTTCTTCTCATCGTCCTCATCCTTCTTCTCCTTCTCCTTCTGTTCCTTGGGTGTGTCGTGGGTGTACTTGTGAGCTTGTGGGTGTCTTCAGAGTCAGAAGGCGGGTGAGGCGTCGTTGCATCGATAGTGGAGGGCCCCGGCCATCTCGCACCTGCAGATGATGTGCCGTGACGTGACTTCCAAGTACACACTATCCGTAGCAACTAGCAAGGTCAGGGCACCAATTGATCTCCAAATCCTTCCCCAAACTACCCAAGCTGCCCCTTCCCTGTTGCATTCTGGGGTTAATTTGACCTCCCGAGCTCATCCTAGCAGGGGGCACTTCACAACAGGTGTTCCATTATCCATCATGGCACACTTGTCCCAACTAAACACCCCTTTAGCGGAACTTCCCTCTGTTCAAGCCTACCTTTACCCCCTGAGTCTTCAAATTGGGTCTTGTCTCTTCTTTCCTGTCTTCGATCGTCATTTGAGTTCACCCGCGTCCGATGTGGCTCGTGATATCTCTTCTCTCTCTTTCCGTTGTTCTTTTCTTTTCTCCACTGGCCTGAACCGCGGTTCCTGTGTGACCAACTCGCCTGGCGTGCTACACTCCATCACCAGGACGTCCACGGCCCCGTCTGCCTTCTCTGTTGTTTAACTTTCGCAGCCTACTTATGGCGCTGCGCCTTCCCAGGACTTGAGAACGAGGCGCTCGATGCTGCTTGGTCAACTCGACGCGCAATATTCATCCGCCTCATCTTGGCTCTCAGCTTTGGATTTCTACGACTAGCTGGCAGGAGTCCCCTAGTATAAAGACTGCCCCTCCACCTTCAACCCTGACTCTACTTTGAGCCGCATAAGGTAGTCCAAGAAGCCCATGAGCATCAGCAAATCGTAGAACAACAAGCCGCATTAGTGGGAAGAAAATAAGCATTCGGTAGAGAACCCCCCTGCTGCTGACTCGGACTCGAGCAAGCAAGTATGGTAAGCTTTCATCTCATTCTCCCCATTTGTGTTACGGAACGGCCCGCCGCTATGCTCGGCAGCATCCTTGTTACACCCCGTTCCTCTAGTCCTTCTCTCGGCTGTCAGCTCGCTCCCTCTCTTTTTGTTGCTGGCGTATTTTAAACACATACAAGTATGACTCTCGGTACTGACCATCACAGGGGTCCATCAATAAGCAAGTTGCACGCTACGAAATCAGCGCTGTCTTCACTCATCCTGACGCCTCCGTCGATATCGTCCTGGTCCATGGTCTCAATGGTCACCCCAAAAATACATGGACTTCCTCTTCGTCTTCGTCTCAACATGATGAAGGTGTGTTTTGGCCCACAGATCTACTACCGCAGTCTCTAGGAAAGACTCGCGCCAATATCTTGGTCTATGGCTACAACGCAGACGTCTATACCACCGGTAAAAGCACAAGTGCAAGCGACAACTTCATCTACCAACATGCTCAGACACTGGTCACAAACCTCACCCTCTATCGTAAAAGTGAGCGCACAGACAAGAACCCCATCATCTTCGTCGCACACAGCCTGGGCGGCATTCTTGTCAAGCGAGCCCTCATTTATTCCAATGACTTGAGAGACAAGAACCAAGAGGATGCCAGATCTATCTTCGTCTCCACCTTTGGAATCATTTTCCTGGGAACGCCACACACCGGATCTGACATGGCAACATGGGGTATCGTTTTGCAAAAGATGGCAGACGCTATTGCGCCCAAGAAAATGTTTGAGAGCGAGTCGGTGCTCCTCAAAACCTTGAAGAAGGACAACGAGACTCTGCAAAACATCAATAGCCACTTTCTCGACTTTTACCAGCGTTTCAAAATTCACATGGCCCATGAAAATCACAAAACGGATATCAGAGGAACGATGGTGACGGTGGTTGATGCGAGTTCGGCCAGTCCGCAACTTCCAGGCGTTGTTTACTACGGCATCGAGGCCCCTCATTCCGGAATGTGCAAGTTCAACAGCAGCAGCGCTCCTGGATACAGAAACGTTTCAACCGCTATTCGGACGTGGGCAGAAGAGGCTCCGCCAGTGATTCGAACCCGTTGGGACATTGAAATGGACGACAGGAAAGCCAGAGCACAATCCGAGGCAGCCGAGATCACCCGCGAGTATGGCAGTCCTCAAGAGACTATGGTTTCAGGTATGCTCCCCTTTTCCGGAAGATCATGCCCTAATGTAAAGCCAATCATGAATCTTCAATCTGACATTTGCATCAAGAATATAGATATGTTCCAGCAGCTCAACAATCATCACCTGTTGACACAACAAGCACCCGATCCGCTCCTATTTCTGACTCTACCACCCAAGTCTTGAACTTTGGTCCTCATTTTGTTCATCCTGACCGATTCCGACCCAACTCGTTCTTCAAAGGGCGAGAGGACTATCTTGCAGATCTTCACAAACTGTTGAAAGACCCGAAGAGGCGTTCAGAGGGGACATCTGCGGTTTTGATTCAGGGCATTCCTGGTGTCGGGAAAACACATCTTGCTCGACAGTATTATTTCAATCACAAGGACCAGTATTCTGGGGGCGCATACTGGATCAGGTCTACCACGTTGCAAGATATGGAAGACGGGTTCTGGCGCATTGCGAAAACCCAGGCTATCAAGGGCATGGCTGCTCAAGGACATAAGAAGGATTTGTTAAATCCACACAACATGGTCGATATCGTCAGACGGTGGTTCAATGAGTCAAGCGATTGGCTGCTAGTGTTTGATGGCATTCGCGTCAACGACAAAGCGATTCTCAAGTACATACCCGACCGGCCAAACAGCAGTCTCATCTACACATCAACTGACCGGTGTGATCCTGGGTCTTATCTTCTTGACAACCCCAGCATGATGAAGTTGCCTCTACCACCCATTCAAGACGCACAGGAGTTGTTGCTCGAAGAGATGGGAAAGAAACACCCATACAACACTGATGATCTCAGACGAGCTCATGAATTGGTACAGCTGATGGGTCGCCTCCCGCTGATGATTCACGCCGCTGCTGTGAACATGAATACCACGAGAGAACCGCTTGCAAAGTATCTCAAGACCTTCCGGGACTCACCAAAAGTTGGCGAGCTTCCTGCATACATGGCGATTCGAGATCAGTTGCAGAGTCGCGGTAATTACGCGGCGTTGAATCTGATCTACATACTCTCCTTCTTCAGTCAATTCATACCGGTTGAACTGCTGGCTCTTGGCTTGGGAGCTTTGGACAAGCGAACACCGGTGAAGACGGAAACGACAAAGGGCAGAAGGAGCCTAACACAGACTTTCGTTACTTTGATAAGCTTCGCCCTTATCGAACGAAACGAAGCTGATGACGTCTCTTCCTCGAGCTCGCAGAGCGGTCTCGACACGACTCCTGAGCCTTTGGATACACTCCGTGTTCACAGTGTTGTACAGGCGTTCTTTATTGAACTTCTTGCCAAGGAAGGACAGCTGAATTTCTGGCTGGAGCGGGCCATCCGCGTCTTCTGCGCGTCGTTCGATGAGGCCTATACCAGGATGAACGACGAGCCTGCCACTGGCCTTCCCGAAGACTACAGACAATACATTCGACACGGCAGAAGGTTAAAGGACCTTATTGACCGCCATGTTGTTGATCGCCCAACTCACCGGTCTACAGAACAACCCAGTTCTCAGTAAGTGGAAAAGCATCTTGAATCCCATCGCAGCCCCCGTTATGCATCAATATCCTGCACAAGTCCTATCTCTGAATATATGTTCAATCTCGTTGCTGTCTTATTTCCATGACCCTCTTCTGTTCATTCGCTACAACTCTAGGAAAAGCTTGATGAAGGGTACTGACGTTCAGAAATAGAACCGGACCTGTGAATCTTGACGCTGCTCGAAAAGACTTAGAAGAACGACTCGCGAAGGTGCCTGCAGACCTTAATGACTTACAGAGGACCATATCTACCCGAATCATCGACGGAAAGGAGGCCGCTCATAATTCTGTTTTCGAGCGCATGAACAGTTTATCGTCGCATTCAACAGACGCCTCTGGTGCCGCTGTACTCTCTCAATCACCAGGGGTCTACTCGGCTGCATTGGAGCAAGAATATAAATTGCCGCTGACAACCCACAACCCGCTTCACTTCCACATGCCTTATGTACCTTACGTGGATGAACAGGCATCTCCGGTTGAGTACCAGGGGTCCGAGGATCGAACCATTACTCCATACCCGCCTGACATTGAAGAAGGTCCATACAATGACACGGCTGACCCTGCGTGGACTGTTGTGGCCAGACACCGGTCAGTGAAGAAACAGTCACTGAGGCGCTACCATGATCGTGGAGGAGCATGGAGAGAGACAGCCGTCGCGACAAATGATCCTCGTGTGAGCATCAGTCGGGAGTCTGCAAGAGGCCTCATCACCCCACCTCAGTCTTCCAGAGGCGGCAGATCACCCAGTCGCTCCAAAGTTTCCGCAAGAAGCGAAGCTGAGGCCGAACTCCTTTACATCAAGAAGGGATCACCACCACCACCTCGTGGCGGTGGCTACATATACGACAAGGGCAGAAGCTCCAGTGCTGGTACATCTGTAAGGCCAACCTCGATGCTTGGAGCTTCAAGTTATGCCAAGGCCGTGTCAGGCACCGCAGTCGAGGAAGAGGTCCCCTCCTTTCCTACTTTCGCATCTCCCCCTTCACGGGCCGCGACAATCGACAGGAAAGCTGCTTACGATGATCGGTCCGTCTACAGCCTACAGACCGTGAATAGCCGCACGCCTTCCACGGCTCTCAGGTTGAAAGAAAATCAATTTCCAAAGTTAACTGAATCTGGAAATGCGTCTCGATCGACCGAACAGTCTCGCCAATCGCAGATTCAAGAATCCACTTCGAAACCGTCTTTTCAAAAATTCCTGCGCCGCTTGGGCAGATCCGTCAGTGGGGGAAAGCGCCACGAGAAATCAGGCCCAGGCAAAGTTTCTTCCAGCGGTTCATCGATCTCGTCCATTCCGAGATCGTCGGAAGAACTCCCGTACACATACCAGGAGGATGTGAGAACAGCGAACTCCAGTCCGGGTCTGGCTTACCCACAACAATTTCCCTCCGGACTGTCTGTTGTCACAAACCAAGAGAGTAGTCTGCGAGAGCATCCCCTCGATCGGCAGTCAAACTCACAGCCACCGTACACATACCAGGATGAATCTGACAATGATGTTCTTTCCCAGTCTGATCCATGTCTGGGTCGCCCAAGTCTGAACATTTTTCCCGCTGAGAATATGGGCTATCCGCCGCCGCCGCGGCAGGTTCCATCTAGCACATATCAAGACAACTATCGGCCAGGAAGTCATATGGATCCTACGCCACCAAATGGGTATTCATCGCAGCCCATGTCTAGGAACCCAAGCTCGAATCCTCGACATGCGACAGCGACTGGCTCAGTAGGCACAGCTTTGAGCAGCAATAGCGGAAGTGTCAGGTCAAGTCTCCCTCATCGGCGAGCGCCGTCCATGGTGGAGACGGAGCCTTCACCGCGCCTTTCCCCAATAGAAATGGACCAAACCTCTTACGACATATGGAGGAATAGGCAGACTGGGCAGCCCATTGACGAGGCGCTATTTGGACGCAGCAATATGCCCCGTCGACTGCCTGTCGGTCGTGTTCCCAGCTTCATACGGGAAAGCCCGACAATGAGCCCGCGGCCTCTGCCTGGCAACAGCGAACCAATGTCTAGATCCGGGTCCGGGGGTATCAGAACTACAGATGGACGGCTCATCTCGTTTGGCGATATTCCCGTGGACATTGAAGAAGCAGAACGGCGGCGCGTTCAGGCAGAGAACGAACGACTCCAACGCCGGTATGAAGAGGCTGTGGAGCTTTCGCGACAAATTAGAACTGGCGAGGCAGACACAGAGTCTCCTCCAGAGTCAAGCCCCATAGGGCTGGGGCTACATATGCCTTAAGAGGGACCACAGTCAGATAACAAGCCTGGCGCACAATGCTATAGAAGGCGTCTGTGACGAAGAACAGAATTGGTAGATTGGATTTCTTGTTTGGCTTCTGTCTGACTTGAAGGCTTGCGACAAAAGTGTTGTTTGGGAGAGTCGAGAGGCTGGCGTTGAAACAGAACAGAACAGACCAGGTATTTTAGTCATTGCATCCTTCTAAAGCGGCCTTTGAGGCCAAGCGTTTCTTTTGTTCAGAGGAAATTACAGGTAGAGTACGATTAAAGGAAAATTGTGGCGCCCAGATGCTTCATCTCTTCATGTGACTTGAAATTGGTGATTTACATCTCTGTTGACGATAAGCCATACTCCTACAGCATCTGAACCCTGCCGTCCAAAAAGAATATCCCAAGCCGTCCCACGGCTACAGCCAATCTCCATTTTCGGGACTCTAGTCCTTCGGCGCCAGCATGAGCACGTACTCCCGCGTACTATGCCCCAGCTTAATCACATCCTTGTCCCTCAGCTCATAATACCGACTCTCGGCAACCTTGTCCCCATTCAACACCGTCCCGTTGGCGCTCTCGAGATCAATCAGGTACGGCTTCACTTTCCCGATCCGGTCCCCGAACTCGTTCCGCTTCTCCACGTGCCGGAACTGGATCACGGCGTGCTGCTTGCTGATGCTGGGGTGCTCGGCCGCGAAATCCACCACGGCCGCCTCGCGGCCCATCAGCCAGCAGCTCCGCAGGTTCAGGTCCACCGTGTCGACCACGTCGTCCCCCTTGAAGACGAAGAGCTTCCACTGGTCGCGCGCGGGCGGCTTGCGCGCCTCGGCGGGTTCGTGGTATTTTAGCGCGATGGAGGTGCCGTCGGCTTGTTGGACCGAGTTGGAGGCCGCTGCGAGGAGGCCCGTTGTGCGGAGGTTGGGTTTTTCTTTTGGTTTTTCGGGTTCTTCGCCTTTGGAGACGGCGAAGGAGGCGTCTTGATCCGGGAGGGGCCCCGAGCGGCGGATGGGGCTTGTGGGTGCCGTGAGGCGTTTGCGCTCTGGGGGTTTGGAGTTGTCGTCCGAGTCGGAGGTTGGACTGCGGTCGCGGTGTCGCCGGCGACGGGAGTCTTTGTCTCTGCTGCTGCGGTCGTCGTCACGAGGGGATCGCCTCCGCCTGTGTCTGTCGCGATCGCCGCGATCGCGGTCTCGTGAGCGGGAGCGTTTCCGCGCAGAAGGGTCTGGCGAGCGCGAGCGGCGGGACGTCTCGCGTCTGTCGCGTGATCTGGATCTTCTTCGTTCCTTGCGCGGTGGTCTGTCTGAGCCGCGATCGCGATGGTCGCGATGGGTGTCGCTGCGGTCTTTGCTGCATCTGCGGCGGTGGTTATCGCGATCTGCGGTGTCTCGTTCTCGACGGGGCCGTTCATCTTCGTCTTGGTCGTCGCGGCGGCTGCGTCGTGACCGCTGGCCACGGTGCTCTTCGTCGGAGCCCATCTTTCGTGTGACTTTTGTGTCGCAACTGGGACGAGGACTGGAGGCGAGTCGTTAGGCAGCTGTAGTTTCTGCGGCTACTCGGCTCCCGTTTTCGCTGCGCAACGAGACTCCTTGCCAAGTCGACAATTCGAACCGGAGCAATTGGTAGTTGGGAGTCACCGATGCCTTCTCTAGATTCACAATTTCGACAATGTTGCTTTAGGCGGCTATGGAAAAAGCCAGGAATTTCACCGGGAGCTCTGAGGTCATCCCGCAACGGACGTGCATTTTAGCGGCCAAAGTAAGCCTGGCGCCCCCCACACGCCGTAGTGCCCATCCAGCACGGCCCCACTCCGATCCCGTCTTCATCCCGCCCGGCCATCCTCGACCACCACCGTCGTCCTTGCATTCGCAGAACCACCAAAAAACACCAGGACAAAAACACCAAAACATCACGGCTCTCGCTCTCACATCAAAACAAACATGCCTACCTGCCTCAACAGCAGCCAAGCCACCAACAACACAATATTTTCAAATCCCTCCAAAACAGATAGAAATCAATTTAGACCGACAGTCAAAACCACAAAGCGATTCGGGACTAGCCCCTTCGCGTGCTAAACCCGGCCATTTGAGGCCTCAAAGGTCGCACAGGGCTGCCTCCACCGAGTAGCGAACAAGAGGGTCTGTAAATTCGGTTTCACTGCCGCGCTCTCACGCCGCTACTTTGGAACCACTCGCCCAACTGTCAACGAGAACAGAATCGCGGGACGTTATACATAAGGGGTCGGGCAGGGCGGCCCCGTCAGTCCTGGTTCGGTTCCTGTGATGGGAAGGAAGGCAGGCGCCTTGGTGGGGACTGCCTGCCTCCTTCTCAGCCATTGGACCGTCGTGATTTCATCCGGACCTGGAGCACGTGAGGACACGAGAGAAGCGAGGGAGGAACCTCGTCTGCTACATCATTACAGGGCCAAGGTACTAAACAGAATTACTGGTTGATGGCTCATCAGATTGTTAGATACCCTGATTCTATACCTCTTTTGCGTCGCGCTAGTTGCGCCGGCTCGTCTTCCAACACTTCAAAACGCCCGTTTTCTACCTACTCTCTTCCCTATACTCCTCCGTGCATCCTCGGATCATCATGCAAGGCTGAACTCGGTAATCTCTCCCATCTCGTTCTTCGCTTCCGCTCCAACCTTGTAAGAAATCCTCCACCGCAACTTGATGGATTGAACCTTGCGGTTCTTGTCCCCAGCATGCCATACTTCTACGAACTGGGTCACACCTCTGCTCTGCTTGGGAGCCAACTCTCGCCCAGTTTGGGGCCTGAGGCCAAGTTCGTAACCCTGGTTAATGTTAGCGAAAGGACCTATATGGAGAAAGACACGCGCAAGACTGACCTTTGTGGCGGCGAGCTGGTAGTGAAGCTCTGAGATGGGCTGCGCAGAGTTGTTCGAGAAGGCGAAACTAAGGTTGATCGCATTGCCCGTCCCCGTTCTCCCTGCAATCATCTCAATCTTGACAGTAGAATCGCTAACAGTCGCCTTGTGCTCCTTAGGCTGACTAGGCGCTTCAGGAGGGAGAGCTGACGAAAAGGCCCATTCGTCGTCGTCGTTTGCGGCTGGCGCTGCTGTTGCGGGCGCGATGGCGGGGGCGGGAGCTGGAGTAGCAGGCTTGGAGGAGAAAATAGGGGATCCGAGGGCGGCAAAGGGGTCGTTTGAGGATGTGGCCTGCTGCTGGGGCGGCTTAAAGGCAGACATACCAGACGGCTGGGGTGTGCCGGACTGGGATGCTGAAGGAGAGGTGAAAGAAGCGAACTGCGAGAAGGATGGTGGTTGGGGTGTCGCAGTATTGCTCATAGGTCCCTTTGCGCTGTTGTTCTCTGTCACGGAAGAGAGCAGCGCCGGCCCTGGGATGTCTAATTTTGGTCAGTATGTGGACGCGTCAACAACAAAGACTCTGTTTGAACATACTCGAGTTTGCTCCGAATCCCAGAGTCAAAGCACCTCCTTGGCCGTAGCTTGCTGAATCGTCCATAGAGAGACCCAGAAGATCATTCTCAATGCCTGCTGACTGCGAGGCCGGCTGACTTGACGATGAGCCATTCGTTGTCTCTGGTTCGCCATCAAAGTCGATCAAAGAAAGCTCTTGCGCTGCGCTCTTGGAGGGGCCTGAAGTCGACGGCAGCGGCGCGCCACTGGCCACCTTCTTAGCGGCTTCAAGATCTCCCTTCTTCATGAACTTGTATCGTTCCACTGTCCGGTGTATGCTGTCATTGATCTCCAGCAACTTCGCGACGGCCTCGTGATCATCCGACTCCTCTTCACACATCTTTTGGATCTTGGGCTGCGCGCTCGATAGAGCAGCAGCAAGCTCAGAAAACACATCTCCATCCTGCATCGTGTCGCCCTGTTGGAAAGCTTCGAGTCTCTCTTCGAGCAACCTAGCCTTGGCTTGGATCTTGGCAACCTCCTGAGCGGCCTTGGCGCGGTAGTCGGTCTTGGATCGAGTATCGTAGCCGGCCATAATCTTCATGAGACGGTTTGCCTCCTGGAGATCCTCGGGTGTGCCTCGTCGAATGAGCTCCTGGAGCTTGGCAGATTGCGCCTCGCGTTCCTCTTCTTCCATTTCCTCGGCAGATTTCAAGTTCTATGCACGTCAGTATAGCTCCAAAAACATTGCCAACGATACAAAAGAGCGCCTTACATCGCTGGGGTTGAGCACGGCGGCGTCATCCCGCCTGACCTCGGGGAATGTGTACCCCTTGTAGCTCAGAAGACGATGCATATCCCGAATGAAGCCCAAGTCCTCCTTGTACCTGCTCGTTTCGCATATCGTGCTTCTCCACTCCTCAATCGCCTCGAGGATCTTCATCTGGACCCTCGTCGCCCGTATCGGGGGTCGCTCGGGGAACCTTCTGACGAGCTCATTGAGAAACTCCTTTGTGCTAATCTGCAAGTGGAAGGGGTAGCCGCAGTTCTTGACGCAGATGTCGAGCAGGTTGATCGCGAGAAGGGCGACGTTGGGGTTGCGATGGTTGATGTAGCTGACGATGGCGACAGCGGCTTCACGTGGGGCGGAACCCTTCTTGGAATTGATCAGGTCGGAAATCTCGAGGTTCAGAGCGAGGTTCGGCTCGTAATTCTCGGGACTGCAGGCGGCCTGGATGAAGCGCTGGAGCTGGGACGGCGTGGGAGCGCCCATTTCGCCCCAGCGGTCTCGGGCCGCAGCTCTGGCTGATGCGGCCTCCATCGTCGTCGTTGCGGCTGTTGCGTTCGTGGGCGGCCTCGGGCGGGGAGGTAAGGGAGCTATCTTGGCGGGTTGGGGATCTCGTCGTTCGTCCAAATTTCTCAAGGTGAGAAGCGCATCCGAGGTCGGTGGATGGGTTGGGTTGGCCGTGAAGAATTAACAGCTGGCCGAGCGAGCGCCTGCGAATTGGACAGATTGGATTAGGTCGGCGCAGGCATCCCTCATGAACCCTGTGATAGGTACCGATGGCATCTATGGCCGAGTGACGAGGGGCTGCTGAGTGACAGGCGGCGCGGGAAGAGGAGCCACCAAAAGGTGGCCTGTGCTTGCCATCCACACTGGTTTACCTTATTCGGAGATATCACGCTTACTGGCATATTTGAACCTTATTATGCACTTTGATGTTTTTTCAGGTCATTTTCGAGATTTGCCCCTCCAGAACCTACCCCGCCAAACTTTTGTTCGTCCAAGGAGATACCGAACCCTTTGGCCATCGTCCAGTCACCTTGCGATCCCACGGCACCTCAACCTCTCTCTCCAAGATGGTCCGCCATAAGAAAGACAACTTCAGCTCCCGCGGTCGTAAGCTCCACTCGGGACCGCCGCGACAACGCCAACCTCGCGATGGCGACGACGCCGACGGCCCCTCCACCCGCCCGTCCTTCAAGGCAGCATGCTGGGATCTTGGCCACTGCGACCCCAAGCGGTGCTCCGGCAAGAAGCTGATCCGAATGGGCATGATGCGCGACCTCCACGTCGGTCAGAGGCACAACGGCGTCATCATCACCCCCAATGGCAAACACACCGTCTCACCGGCTGATCGCGACCTCATGGACCAGTACGGCGCCGCCGTGGTCGAGTGCAGTTGGGCGCGTATGAAGGACGTCCAGTGGAATAAAGTGGGAGGCAAGTGCGAGCGGCTGCTGCCGTACTTGGTGGCTGCGAATACCGTCAACTACGGCAAGCCGTGGAAGCTGAACTGCGTCGAGGCGCTGGCGGCGGCGTTTTACATTTGCGGGCACCCCGAGTGGTCGGAGCAGGTTCTTGCGCCCTTTTCCTATGGCGAGGCGTTCTTGGAGATCAACGGGAGTCTGTTGAAGAAGTATGCCGCGAGCGAAGACGAAAAGGGGGTGAAGAAGGTTCAGGAGGAATGGCTTGACAGGCTCGATAAGGAGTATGCGGACAGCAGAGAGGATGCTGACGCGGACGATATGTGGAAGGGAGGAAACACAAACAGGAGGGCCATGGTGGACTCTGACGAAGAGGAAGATGATGACGACGACGAGGACGACCAAAGCGGAGACGAGTCTGGCGAAGGCGACAGTGCTGACGGAATATACCTGGGCAAGAAGCCCGCAAAAGACCAAGAAGAGGAAGACGACGACAAAGACCCCTACGCGATATCAGACGACAGCGATGACGACGCGGCCATGGAGGAGATACGGCGCAAGGTTCTCGCGTCAAAGACGTTCTCTAACCCTTCGGCAGCAGAGGAAAAGAAGAAACCTGAGTCCATAGCACGGCCACAAAACTTGAAGCCGGACTCTGATATTGAGCCCGACTCGGACAATGGAGAGGATGATGACGACTTTGACAACATCATCAATGCCACACCTGTCACGGACAAGATTGGGCTAGCTAAGCTCGAGAAGGAGCGGTCGCAAGCGACGACTACAAGTAGGACGTTCTCGTCGAATACGGTTTCTGCCCCGAAACGGTGGTAAAAATAAATAAATAATACATGACGAAGTTTGAGGTGGCCAAATGCCTCCCCAAATATTCTATAGCAGCCATGATAGGTTGGTTACACAAGTTGTTTTACAGTATGGCGTTGTATGAGTTGCGTCTCCGAATACGTTCGTCCTCCTCCCGAGCACAGCTTTGATGTCAAGAAACTCCCAAGCACCACTGTAGCTCAACTCTATACCCACGGCCTTGTCTTGTCATCTCGTACAAACGTCTTACAGCTGTCCCCATTATCTTACAAAGA